CCAAGCAAAAGAGTCGGTCAACAATGTTGTCATTGGAGGGCATGTTGTTCGCGATATCCTGACGTTGAAAGCACCAAACAAGGACGGCAGACGTAAAGTTCTCGAGCTCCTGGTACGTCAGAAAGACAACGATAAACCAAAGCACTCAAGATCCCACAGCGATGGTGCTGCTTGGATGGGTGGCTCAGAGGCAGGAGATCAAGCAAATGGTGCAGAGGGCTTCGAGGTGGATCCTTCAATTGATTTTCTGGATGTTGCTGGTCAGACTGATGGATACATGCCTGGAGATTTGACGTCCCTTGTCTCCAGAGCACAGAATGAAGCTCTGATCCGAAGTGTTTCGGAAGATCCAGACGATACACGAGTCTCGTTGACTAGGGAGGACTTTACGTCCGCGCTGAAAGGTTTTACCCCAGCCTCTCTTCGCGGTGTTACTTTACAAACATCTACCACTACTTGGTCATCGATTGGTGGTCTACAAGAGACCAGGCAGACCCTGTTGGAGACTTTGCAGTACCCGACAACTTATGCGCCCATCTTCGCACAATGTCTGCTGCGTCTTCGATCTGGTTTGTTGCTTTATGGCTATCCAGGGTGCGGAAAGACATTACTTGCATCTGCAGTAGCGGGAGAGTGCGGTCTCAACTTCATTTCAGTCAAGGGACCTGAGATTCTCAACAAGTACATTGGTGCTTCCGAAAAGAGTGTTCGCGATCTTTTCGACAGAGCAGAAGCTGCCCGACCTTGTGTGCTCTTCTTCGACGAGTTTGACAGTATAGCGCCAAAGAGAGGTCATGATAGCACAGGTGTCACCGATCGTGTTGTCAACCAACTGCTCACGCAAATGGACGGTGCGGAAGGTCTTTCAGGTGTCTATGTGCTCGCTGCCACCAGTCGACCTGACCTCATCGATCCTGCTCTTCTCCGTCCCGGTCGTCTGGACAAGAGTCTGCTATGCGACATGCCCAGCACTGACGACCGTCTCGACATCCTCCGCGCCGTAACCGGCAACCTCAAAATCGAACCCAGCATCCTCGACGCCTCCAACGACAATGAAAGTCTACAAGAGATAGCTCGACAGACACAAGGATACTCGGGTGCAGACTTGCAAGCAGTCATGTACAATGCGCACTTAGAAGCCATCCACGACGTCTTGGGTCCCACCGACGAACTCGGCAACGGCAGCAACGACAAATCCTCATCCTCACGCTCAAAGTCCAGATACAAAGACTTTGCTTACTTCCGCTACGGCGACGAGAGTCTAGGAAAAGACGACTCCGCAAACCCAACACCGCAATTACTAGCCGAACGAGCCACCATCGCCGCAAAACTAGCCAACATGGAAACAGCACGCAAACGCTCCAAAGCCTCTGCTTCTTCCCAAGCAGATACGACTACCAATGGCGTCAAGGAAGAGGCTGAGGGAACACAAGAACCGGTAATCTCATGGAGACACGTGGTCAAAAGTCTAGAGCAGACTCGTCCCTCCATTTCCAAGGCTGATCAGAGGAGGCTAAGCACGATATACAGAGAATTCGTCGTAGGCAGGAACGGTGAAATGGCGGATGGAGAGGCTGGCACCGAGATTGGAGGACGCTCGACGCTGATGTAGAGGATGATAGATGAGAGAGAGAAAAAAAAAACGAAAAGACATGAGTTTTTGGTATCTAGACCAAGAAAAGCATTTGCTCGAGAGCGCTTTACTGTACATGTAAAAGGTGCTTTCCCAGCTCAATCCAAGGTTCGTGAATCAATTCGTTCCTCGTCCTCTTCCGTTTCACGCGCACCTGCCGTCGTGATAGAAAAACCATCACCATGCCTTGGGTAGTAAGTAGTAGTCAACAGTCGACCAAACGAGTGAGCAAACAAACGTAAAAACGGTTTTCGAACAACAGCTAGAATAATTTGATAAAAGAAGGGATGGGGGTATGTACAGAATGAAAAGACTAAAAAAGAGAGAGAGAGAGAAAAACAAAAATCCACATTCATTCATACCAGAGCGCAGTCGGGATATCTCTAGTCCCCGAGCAAGCTTTCGGCATCGGCAGCGGCTTCATCTTGTGCTTCTTCCTCGGCTTCTTGTTCGTCATTAGGATCCACCATTTCGTCGTCTTCATGCATCTCTCTTGAGCGGATGGCCTCTTCATCCTCTTCTTCGTCTTCGTCGTCGTCTACGACAACCTCTGTGCTCTTTTGGGGTGCGGCAGATTTGGCTTTTGCTTGTTGTGCGCCAGTTTTGGTTGCGGCAGTGGCGGCTTTGCCCTTGGCTTTTTGCCTTTGGTCTGCGCGTATAGGTGCTCGAGGACGAGTTTGAAGTTGTGTCCCAGGCGTGTCTTGTTGCGTTCGAGTCTCTGCTTGATGACGGCCACATTGACCATTCTTCCCAGAACGGCAAGCACGAGTTTGGAAGCCAGTTCGCAGAGACGTTGCTCCGCGAGCAGACTGTTTTGGAGTTTGGCCACGCGTTTGGCTTGAGAGGCTTGGGTCTGTTCTTCATCGCCTCCTTCGGCGTCGGCTTCGTCTTCTGCTTCGTCCTCGGATTCTGGGTCTGCATCGATTGGGTCGGCGGGTTCTTCATCGTCGTCTTCTTCGGACTCTTGGGCTTGTGAATTCTCGGCTTCGACTTCGACATGTTTGCCACTGGCTTTGGCAAAGGCGGCTTCGGCTGCACCAAAGACACGAAGAATACGTTTCTGCAGCACTGCGTCCATTTCCAGGGCTAGTACGAGATACTCGTCTCCGTTCTTGTCGGTAGTAACTTGACGCAGAGTGGCCATTATGGTGTGCGTGTCGAGAAGCATACCAGAAACTAGGGCATTAAGCTCATCATTTACGGGACGCGTCTTCAAAACCGCACCAAGAGCATTGACGTATGCATCACGTCTCACGGCGAGGTTCTCAAGTTCGATATCAGGCAGAGTCGTTGTCTGCAGCGACTTGATGAACGCGGGTATCCGCCACATGAAATAGAAGCAGACTGTGCGCGAGGCGTGCATGGCCAAGGCATCGTCAAGGGCAGCAGTCTCTGGGTCCGAGCCCTTTGGCGAAGCAGCACGATTGATCAGAGCAATCAGAGAGTCGATGGGTGGAGAGGGTTCAGAAGTCTCGGAGCGTGCGGTAGCTGGTGCGGAAGGTTCGGTCTCGAAGTATTCCACAGGGTTGGAGATACTGGACAGTTTTTCAAGGCGTAACACTGTTCTAGACATAGCATCAAGCACTGTGGTGGACAGCAGCCCGCGTGTTTCGAGATCTTTGTCATGTGTGAGTGTGCTGAAAGTTGCGATGGTATCTTCCCACAGGGTATCGATTCTTTCGTCGGGAACATCTCCAAGCTCGTGATAGCTCTTTGCACGCAGCAAAGCTCGACTGGCTTCCGCCAATACCTCTTCGTTGGCGTGGGACAGGAACTGCTTGTTGAAATCGTTGAGCAATGTCGCGTATGTGGAAGAATCTTGTCTGAACTCTTGGAAGGCTTCCAAACTCAGGACACGGCCCAGGCGAAGTGTGCTCGCAGCGGTCTGCGGTGAATCTCCAAACTTCTTAAGCAATCGAGGGATCAAGTTCGCGAGGTGGCGTGCTGCTTTCTCCTGCATCTCCTCGGTGTCTTCCTTTTGCTTCTTGTTTTTCTTTGTTTTCTTGTCGGAGTGTGCTTCCACCAAGGATGAGACAGCTTGCTTGACAGAAGAGTTCAGGACTTCCAGGAGGATGACTTCCTCACTCTCTGTAAGCCTTAGCTCCTGCTTGAGTTGTGACTCGCCACTGGCAGTGTCGCCATTTTGGTCTGCAACAGAAGTGTCGTATAGAAGATACCCAGCCAGCTTTTCCCATTCACGGACCTCAACGATCTGTTCGTGAAGTGTGTCTGCAGCAACCATGAAGCGAGTATCTGCTGAACCAGCATGCAATAGATAAACGCCTTGACCGGGACCTCTTTCGACACTTGGTGGCAAGGGGCCATCTGCTGAGTCGTACGAATCCAGTCCTTCCGCCAGGCATTTGAGCTTGATCCACTCCTGACACGGGCTGTCAAATGAGTCGTTCTCTTCTCCGAGAATCTCCTCCAGTGCTTCTTGGCCACCAAGTGTGTCAACCTTTGCCTCATAAGCGTCGTTGATACTCTCGGCGAAGAAGCCAACCACTGACTTCCTCACTCGCGGCTCGGCGTCGAAAACCAGTCGTCCAATATTGTCAATGTCATCGGGTTCGAGTAAACCACCTTCCCTCAAGTCGTCGAGCAGTTCAACAGCGGCGGCTCGTACGTTCGACTCGGCGTCTCTAGTGGCTATCTCAACCATGCGAGCTCTGAAGCGCTCGGTAAAAGTCTTCAGGCCGCCAATCTTGTTCTTGTCTGCGTAGAATCTATGCAGTTGCTTAATTGCTTCCAGACGGGTCGAGTGGTTTGGGTCGGAAAGCACCCATCCAAGGTATCTCAGGTGTTTGCCATTGAAGAACAGGTCCGGGTAAGCGACAATCCAGTCTCCAATGGCTTTTGCGCAATCCACGCGAATGTGAGGATCCACATCTCTGTAGCGGTGGATGTAGATTGTTTCAAACCAGTCCTTCACAGTGTTGTCGAGGACTTCTTGGTTTGCTTTTGCTTGTTTGGAATAATCCTGCAACTCACTGACTCGTGTCTTGTTCGCGTTCTTGCCCTTCTTCTGAGTCTCACTGTGGCGCAGAGCTTTCGAGGCTTCTTCAGCTAGTTCGTTGCCGACTTCGCAGAGAGCGGTAATAACGGCTAGGGAAACGACAGTCGCGGTGTGCCTGAAAGGTCTGTTCTGTGCTGCTGACATGGTGCTGAGCCATACTTGGATGTTCTCGATGAGTTCGATGTTGGTGAAGAGGACGTTGGTGGTGTGGATAGCCTTGATCAGCGTGTAGAAAAAGCCCGTCAATGACTCCTTGAAAGCGGCGGTACCTCTGCCCTTTGCGATGATGGGATATTCAGAAAGGTTTTNGCTAAAAGGCGGTTAGTAGAAGAATCGCGTGATATGGACAGATCAACATACTGCCTGGAATTCGTCCTGTAAGTCGCCGAGCTTGCCAGCACAGTTGTCGGGATCCTCAATGTCTTCGTTGGTGACTTCCAACTCACAGCCCGCCGATCTCAAGACGAAGTTGACCAGATCTGCCACGGCGCCAGACTCGTGCTCGTTGAAAGCCGCGAGCCATCCTTCGGCTGCTTCTTCCAGCGTCTTGCCTCGGGCGAAAACCTCAGNCTGCAATATAAAATCAGACTGCGTGTGCGTAGCAAGAAGTGTGTGCTTGAACCAACCGTAAAGACCTCCGGCTTCTTCTGCTACAGCTTCGTCTACACCCTTGGCCTTCTTCGAGCGGCCCTTCTTGCCAGCCGCTCTCACAGGTAACGCGACCGAAGTGCCGTTTGTTTTTGAGCGCTTCGCAGCGGGCTTCTTGGGTGCAGTGGCCTTTGTCTTGCGCGCTTTGGCCTTTTGTTCTCGAAGCTCTTCCTCGCCAGGTTCGCTCTCTTCTTCCTCGTCGGAATCTTCATCATCGTCAAGCTGGTCGTCGTCTGCGGCATCACGCTTGCGCTTGGAGGCGGCGGGTGCTTCTTCGATGTAGAGCTCGGGCTTGCGCGAGACGCGCCCTGAGCGACGGGAGCGACGCTCGTTGGAGGCATCCGGAGCCTCGTCATGAGGCTGTGACAGCGGCGACGACATGGTGCAATAGTAGTTTAGGCGCGTCGAGATATTGGGTTTGCGACAGGACGTGGTATGGTGGTTATGCGCGTCGCTGAGATAGAAATGGGCGATTGGACGCTGAGGGCGATCAGATCATCTGACACGTTCAATACCTTGCCCTAAGCAATGGATTACACGCAAACACAATAACCCGGAGTGTTGCAATTATTTGGGCTTGGTTGGAAGGAAGAAGGCGATGATCGCAGCTTCCCAAGTTCACGCGTGTCGCGTCTGAACGGAAGGAGCTGGCTGACTGACCGAGGCAGCAAGAGCCGCCGCAACGCTCCCGAAGCATGATCAAACTTACTAAAGGCTATACGATTTTTAACGTAACATATCAAGTCGCAGTGGTTTAGTGGTAAAATTCGTGCTTGCCATGCACGAGCCCCGTGTTCGATTCACGGCTGCGACATTGTTTTGTCTCTTTGGAGTGCTATCCTTTTGCTCCATGGAATTGAATTGCTGGCTTCATTAACTGTTTAGTTCCTGCAGGCATATGGTGCATAAGCAAGGTCGTGGTGGAAGTATCAATCCCTTTTCACCACCGTTGTCAGGCAGGCTGTCCAGAAAGTAGAAACACCAGACATGGATATATAGCAATGATTGAGAATAGGTAATTTTGTTTTTGTCATGATTATGATGTTATGCATCAACTAGAGCATCCCGTGCCGTCTATTTGTGCAACTTTCATGTCCCCATCTTCAGCCATTATACTAGAAAGCATGCTTCATGAGCATCTGCGTTCGAAAAGCATCTCTGGACCACCACGGGTCTCTGTTACTACTCCAAGAACTCGATCATGACTGAACCGTTCTTGAGCCCAGCCTCCTCGATGGTCTGGTCCAATGCTTCAATCAGGTTGCGGCCCATGAAGACAAACTCAAAGTCGACACCTTGCTTGCCCTCGACAGGCGATTCTTTGAGCCACTCGTACATGCGGCGGACCTCCTCTTGTAGTCCAAAGCGTCGGATCTGTCTGCCGCCAGAGTATCTGAACTGGATACGAGTCGAGGATGCCGGATCCGTAGGCTCAGCGTGAGGTTTGTCAGATGCGATTTGGGCGAAAGGACCAGCTTGTGATGCCGAAGGTTCTGTCTCTGCGTTCTCGATCGGAACTCCTGTGTCGGTGATGTCCATGGCGTCCGGGTCGACAGCCGCGCCCTTGCCCTTGCTGGAGTCTGCCTTGGTGAGGGCATCAGGGTCATCATCCTTGATGGCTGCACCACCTTGTTGCAGGCTGTTTTGCATTGCCATCTCCAACATTTCCTCCTCGCTCATTCTGTCAACATCCTTGGACTTCTTCTCAGGCTTGCGGGTTGCCACCGGGTTCTTTGCAAATGCCTTCAGGCTGTAACGATCCAGGAACTCGTGCAAATCCATGAGAAAGTCTGCTGGTTTCGGGACGGGAGCACCTGACCAGACCTTGACCTGCTCGCCAGTCCGGGGGTCAACGATGGCGATGTGTGGGTATGCGTCGTCACTGTCTCTATTTTGGAAGTAGTACTGGACATATTGAGTGCCGCGCGGGTCGTCCTTGGAGTACTGCAAGAAGATGAAATTCTCTTGAATGGTCTCTTTGATCTGCGAGTTCTTCCAGATGTCGCGGTTCAGAACCTGGCAGTCGAAGATGGAGGGATCTTGGACGTTGACAATTATCCACTTCTCGTCCTCCTTGCCTTCGTCGCGAGCATCTTGGAATGACAGGGGTGAGATGAGATCGGTAGGGGGTCTAAAGAGTTCGGCGAGCAGAGTTGACTTGGACGATTGTTCTGAGGCACCTCCAGTGGCACGAGCGAGGTTGCGGCGATGAGCTTCGGGATCGGAAGGAGTAGCGAAGCCGGGATTGGCATCGTCATCCCATACGGAGACTTGGTTGAAGATGCCGGGTCNGGTTGGCTAGCAGCATGTTAGCGAACTGGTCGACCATCGCAAGTGAAGTGACTAACCTCTTCTCTGGCGTGCCATCATCTGCTCCTGGACAGCGGCGTTGATGTCATCCTCGTCGTCACCAGCCCATCTGGAGCCAGGGCCGACAAGCGTCTCGGTAGTTCTTTGCATGGGTGCTCTGATTTCTTCTTCACCACCGGCGGTACCATAAGCCTCCTGCTGCAGACGTCTTGCCATAGCCTCATCGTCTTCGTAGGGGGCATCATCGTCGTCTGAGTCTATCGTCACAACGCCATTGTCGTCCTGGTTGTAGCGGTGGGATGCTGGCTGAGCAGCGGGCTGAGCAGATTGTTGTGGCATGGCGGCGCCCATGTCGGCGCCATCGCTGTCGAAGTAGAGTTGGATGGCCTGTTCGAGATTGTTGTCGGTCAGAGTAAGGTACTGACGAGCACGTTCGGGGGTGGCCGAGGTGATTGCGGTAAAGTTGGCGATCAGTTCGTCGTCCATGATTGCTAATGTTGATGAATCAAGGTTGCCACCAGTTTGCGAGAATCCGTCGATGCGCAGGGTTTGAGTCGAAGAAAGTAGATGGCGGCGAGGATGGAGGTGACGGAGTGTGTGTCTCGGTGCGAGAGCGAAGGCGACAGGATGTTCTTGTCAAGAGAATGGAAGTGATTCGAAGGACTGGAATTCACTTGATCGAACTCGGATATCGGACTTTAACATCGTCATATGTGCAACATTGCATAACCATCCATAACTGTGCATGAGAGCTGCGCGATGATGCAGCAGGCAGGAGCGTCCGAGCTTCTTTCTTGCTTCGCGACATCAACATCAGCTCCTTCACATCCCTTCCTGAAGCCTTCTTGATGCCAACCGACATCTACACGTCTCTTCCCCATCATGCCGCCTCAGCAAGGTTATATCTCCCGTCAGTTCGAGGCTCTCGAGGATGGTGCCAAAACTCCCATGGCCATCTGCCGCCACTGCAACGATAAAAAGGTGGCAAGAAACATAGTCGCTCGTAAAGTCGCTCATCTCGCCGCCTGTGAATCTTACTACACCTATCTCCGAGCCCTGCTCGACGATGACTCTTCTAATGCTGGCGAAAAAGAACTGAGGCAGGTTCCTGAAGAACTCAAGATTAAGATCGAGCAGCGTACCGATCAGCCTTTGGTCACAAAGACAAGCCATGCTGCTGCCGACCTCGCCAACCAAGAGGTCCTCAAGTCTGACCTTGACGACACTCTTATGCAGGCCATCTTCCATGGCAGCTTGCCCTTCGACGCCTTTGAACCAAACAAGCATCCTCACATTGTCCGTCTCTGCCGGATGATCATGCCGGACTTTGTTCCTCCTTCGCGTGCGCGTGTTGCCCAGACCATGGCCGATATGTCTGTCCGGCCCGTCATGCCTGTCATGCCCAGTCAGCCAACCCAGTCATCTGAGCAGTTTTTCACGCCTCGTACAGATACTGTCGACAGATCTTACGCTCAGGAAGAGTCTGCGCGCGCTGCACTCTCATCTCGCATTGTGAATGACTTGCTCTCTCGCGCCACCCCACAATCTACCCCTGGATCCAAGCGTCCCTTCGAACTTGTCTGAACAGGGAGTGCTTCTCCTGGGGCACAACATGGATCTTGTCATCGCCGATAGCATGACGAAGGCATATCTTTTACCAACCTGAGCAAAAGAACTGCTCCCGAAGGAGGGAGAGAAACCCACACTGGCGACCTCGGGGGAGAGGGTTTACAAAGTGTGTCGAGATGGGTTATCTTTGAAGCAACAACCGGGACTCTCAACCACTGCTTGGAGGGAAAGGCTGACGGTGGTTGTGGCGAAAGAGTGGGCTTGCCCTGGGGTTCGAACCCAGGATGCCGCTCCACCAGAGGTTAGGGACTTGCCAAACGCGCCACGGAACACTACTGGTGGTGGTTGCTGCTTGGGGGAATGCAAGCTTTGCTGTCTATATACCTGTTGCTTCAGTTCATTTGGCAAGTAAGAGTGAGACGCTAGATCTTGTTGTCACATGCAAACAAATCTCACCCCGTAGGTTTACCTTGTTGTGTCTCGCATAACCTTTTTGTGGAGGACTCTCGACAATTAAGGTGATGGTGGGCCTACGCGCAGCGTGCATCATCACCTCTAACGACAGACCTCAGTCCCTAACATCTCTCATCCGTCACTATCAAGCCCATTGCTCATAGGCGACAGTGACCTCGCGAAGAAGATCTTTGATCAAGCAACATTAGTCTTCACTTAGCCATCAGCTCATAAGTAGCCTTGTACCGATAATGGAGCGGGACATGACAGAAATCATTGCGACCGAACATACCAGGCAAAAACATTCCCTGCCGATGATCATCACAAAACACCACAGAACCAAGATCGAACTGTCAAGTTCTTATAAAAGACTTTTATAAATCCATCAAAAAACATAAACTACTTCTGGTTCCACCAAATAGCATGAAGAGGAGCGGCTATTGCTTGGTTTAAACAGATTGTAAATCTCAATCATCACTGATAAAGCTCGTCTTTCCGTCGCCGTTCGTCTTTCCCATCTTACAACTGCCACTCCGTAGGCTCGAGATGAGTAGCATTGATGGAAGTACCAGCAAGTGTAGTATCAGCAAGAGGAAAGCCCGCACGGTGGACAAGCACTGTTTCCCCAAACTCTGACACATCATCCACAACCCTGGAACCAGTAGTGACTGATGCATTCATAAAAATCCTACTGCCAATGTTGGCCATCGGTAATATGTAGCCAAATGTGGGCGAGTATTGCCCCCAAGACCAATGCACTCCAGTATTGTAGAAAAGTTTAAGAGTCGCCATTGTCGTTCCCATCAATATACTTGGGCACGCAAGTCCAGTGTCCAGGATTGTGTTTACACCACTCGGGTCTGCAAAAATCTGCGAGCTGGTTGCCTTTGCAGAACTCGGAGCAGGGGAACACGTCTGGGTATACATCGCAGTATGTCGAGCTGATGTCGCCTGGTGTGGCGGGTCGGGAAGAGAGGCTGTTGGGTTCGAGGTTGGGCTGAACGGCGATGGGAGCTGCGCTGACGATACTGGCAGTACCGGCAAGTAGTAGACCTGTGATAAGGGAATCAAGGATCTTCATGTTTACTTGATGTATCAAATCTTGAGAGGCGGTGTGAGGAGCTGTGGAGGATTCCAAGATGAAAGTGTTGACGGGAAAGGTGTTGATAGCGAAGAAGATGAACAAAGAACTGCTGCGTGGTATGGTTCTTATGTATTGAGAGATCCTTTTTCGTCGCAACTTACTCATCGCATGTTACTCATCGCGTTACTTCCTTGTGACCTACGAATCGTAAGTTACTCAAACGTGCTCTTTCCCATGTGCTTCCGCCGAGCTTATAGTTCTCTATTGTTACTCCCTTGGCAATGTCTATCCCTCGCATAACGGCTTTGAGACACTGCGAGAGTGAATATCCGTACATCATCTGAGAGCGATAAAGAACCAAGAGAGGCATTAAGCGTAAAGTTTCACGATGCACAAGTAAGGGCAGCTGCCTACAGTTCGAAGAATATACTTGGAAAGATGACAAGGGCCAGTAGACCTCGAGTAGCATGTTGAGGCGGAGGTCATCGATGTTATCATAATTCCGAGAACGCCACGAGTTGTGGTCTGGATGGTGTAACTGAACTGATGCCACGAGCAGCCTGAGCGTAAGCATCACGTTCTGATATAAGCGATACTAGAGCGAGCTACGCAACGAAAGAGTCATAGCATGACAAGACGTGTATTTAATCGGGACCAAATTCGTGGAAAGAGCTTCGAGCGTGCTGTGACAATGGTCGCTAAGAGATGCGAATAGACTGCGGTATGGAGTCAAGGAAATCTACGAAGCATAAGAGTTATCAGTCCTATGGCTCGTTCAACAGCCTGTTGAAGGAACTCGCAAGTAGTATCTTGAGCAAGACTCCGCTCTTCAAACATGTCTTCACAGGGCATGTCGTGGTAGTGGGCCCAATCTGCATACAATACGTTGGGGTACAGCATCGAAGTCTAAACAGACTTCATGCCATCCCCAAGCCAAATTTACCTGACACCTTGACTGATAGATTCAAGTAATGCTGCTGGGGTTCGGGCGCCGGACAGGGTCCTGACTGTATGCCTTTACGAACACCTCCAAACGGCTTCTTTGGCCTGATTCAGTATAACAGACTTTAAGCCCCCAGACACGTCTTCAAAAGGATCGTCAGGCTGTCACACGAGCTGAAGTTTGGGGGTCGAGTCATGGACTATCATCATTTTACGGCCGATGTACTTACTCCGCAGACCGGACGATAGTCCATGCAGGGAAACCTTGGTTAGAAGGGGCCATTTGATCAGCAAAGGTCAGACGTCGACCGCTTTTGCAAGAAGCAAAGATAAGAGACGACGTTTCGAATGTGTTGCGAAAGCAAGAGGTCACCGAGACGGTGGCCGTGTCTTCTGACCGACACTTGTGGAGTCGCGGCCCATCGTGACCATTGACCCAGCATCCATCTCCAGCTCCCACGACTCGAGTGTTGCATTGGTAGGCCGCATGAACAGTGAGTCAGCGACATATCGAGCAGCGAAGTCGGGAATTGAAGCGCAAACGACTCGGAGTGTATGCAGTCAGCAGACAATGACTCGGGATCCTTTCGGACAAAACATGGATGGTCCAGGAGCAGCGAGAGCGAGCGACATCCTGCTCGGGAAGCCTTGACCGACTGTGATAATCGCGCAATAATATCTGCTCCGCTGTTCAAATCTCCATTGGTTGACCAACGAGCCGTTGGTCGGGTGTTCTCGACTCCGCGTGTTCAGAGAAGGGTTGAAGTAGAAGGGGAGATTTGAATCGCATTAAAAGCACGAGCACGCATGTGGTGCGACGTGAGCCTTTGCGTGACTTTGTCTGTGCTTGTGGAGGAGACTCGGAGAGCGAGCGAACAACAATAATGGTAACCTGCCTGACTAATGGCTCCCATGAGTGCTCGAACAGCTGAGGGAGCTGCGGCAGTACACATCATGTCCGGTAGAAGCGCATCAACGCTGCAGCCTCCATGAAAAATTCTGCCTCGCTGAACGTATTGCTCATCTGGATGCCGCTATACAGTGACAGATTTTAGCGCGGAACGAAGCTTTGAGACGGGTTTTGGCGTGTCGCGTGCTCTTTCATCGTAGAGAGGGGAGGGGTCTTGAGTGAATAAGGTAGTATGGATGTATATATGTTCATTCATTAAGCCGTATATTGTCCTGTCGTAGATATCATAAATTGGAAAAGAGACACCGCGCTTTAGATGCTGTGCCCAAATTGAGCATAAACCACCACCGTGTATAGTGAAAGATGCGAAAGGAGATTGACGCAGAGAAAATAGCGCAGCCAAGCGCTCCCAACCTCCAACGAAGAAAAAATATTCCCACAACGCCGAGACAACCGTTCTCGCTACACCTTACCATGCTATGACCATTCGCTTGCCGAACAACCAACGAGGACAGCAAAAGCCGTCCGCAATGAAAACAAAACAGAAAAAGAGAAACAAGATGATCGTTATGAGAGGGATGATGAAGATGGCGTAAGATGACCCCACGTCGAAACGCGTCGTGGCCAGAGCGAAACCTCATTCGAGAGAAGATGTTCAAGACCATCTTTGTTAGTTCAGAGATGAACTGCCGTTCTCCGAAGATGTCGCGTTCTAGAGGAACGAAGTGGATTCGAACTCAACGGACAGGCGAGGGACGGGAGCCGGGATGATCCAGGGTCGTGAAGTGGGTTCTCGCAATTGTTGTTACACGATAATTACTCGATCGAAACTGGAACCCAACGACGAGGGATCTTTCTCGAGGTAACCCTGGAACCAGCAACAGAGACGGCCTCGTCTTCGTCCTCGTCGTCGGAGAAGGCAGAGTTGCGAGATACAGGCTGCTTGCGTGGTGGTAGCCAGATTTTGGCACGTCCACTTGCGCCCTCTTCGAACTTGCCTCCACGCCTCATGTTCATTTCGAGCACGATGACACGTAGGAAGTCGCTGTTCTCGCGAGGTTCGCGTTGCCTGGACGGCGTAGGCACGTGCCCTGACATGGCGCGGCCGGCTTCCGAACGAGCATCTGGTTTGCCGGTGCTTGAACCACGGCGTGAGCGGCGGGGCGAAGATGCGGCCCGTTTGTTGTAAGTTTGCATCTGGATCATTGGGGCCTCGGAGAGTTCGCTGTCAGGCGAGTCTAGCGAAGAAAGAGCCTTTTGCCAGTGGTGTTGTTGCTCTTCGAAAGGCACTGGAGCCGAACGAGGGTTCAGGTACTGGCGATGCGACTTCGAAGGGGTCGATGTGAATGGGGTAGGTCTCAGCTCGGAGCTCAATCTCGGGAAGAGATAAGGGTGTTGCCAGAGCGAAGCATCCGAGAAAGAGTCCTCGTCCAAGTTCAGGTTCAGCGACGAGAAGGATGAGGTCACGCGAGACTTGATGGCTTGCAGGGATGAGCTCAAGTTTGAACGAAATCCACCTGACTTGCGTTGCTTGCGTTCCTTGGGACATGGCGAGTTGATGACGATGAGGTCTTCGTCGAATTCCAGAGATGAGAATCCAAGCGGGTGATCAACACTACAGTCTTCGATTTCCGGGGTGTAGAGAGTCTTCTCCTTGCGGTAACTGCCCATGCTGGACTTTCGGCTTCGGATCGAGTCTGGAGTGGCAGGGTTGCTGACGGACAATACTGAGCCCTCATCTCCATCCAGAGAAGGGATTGAGTCGCACGACGTCGATCTTGAAGAGTACATGTGCTCGTAGTCGTCTTCATCTGCTGATCCAAGGAGCATATCCAGCGAGGCGCAGCTGTAGCTGGACTTGGTCGAACTGTCCTTTCTCCATTCCTGGATGAGCTCATCGATAGACATGTCCCGAAGGGGACTCTGCTTGCGTCTGATTTGAGACTTGGGAGGAGGGATGGCAGTCACGGCCAGGAGGGCAGCGACGGCCGGAGGCAAGGCATCAGGCCGGTGTCTGGTTTCGGAGTTCCGTGATGTCCTGGAAGATTTGCTGCTGGCTCTGGATGTTCTAACGTGTTTTAATTCTCTGGGGCTTCGTCGAGATGGGATCTCGACAGGTCTCGAGGGTTGCAGTGTCGAAGGCATGGCGGGCGTGAGGATCCAGGGTGCGTGGGGTGGTGGGTGGCTACAAAGGGAAGCAGCGTCGGACCGTGGGGGCGGAGCAGGAGTGGAAGCCGGAGGGAGGGTGAAGGACTTTGTGGACTTTGTTGTTGAAGAGCGTCTTTGTTTTTGCGAGTCGGAAGGTGGTGATGAAGAGTACTTGAAAGAGCGCGGAACAAGCATATTGAACAAGAGTCAGAGCGCGCGATGCTAGCGGCGGCAATGCGGATGACGTTGGTTCTTATTATCAAATCGGCCGAGTAGCTTTGCGCACTGTTCAGTCTCGCGCCGACAAGGGTCCAAGTGGCCTTAATCTCAAGAGACGCGAGTTGGGCTCTGATATTTGCGACCTGTGGACTCGTTGGATCAAAGGAAAGAGTGCACGCGAGATGANNGAAGGGCGTTCGTTTCACCAGCAGGAAGGAACGACATAACATAGATAGGGCGTCCGGGATGGCGTGGGGTGCAGCAAGCCTTGCTGATAGATAAGGATGAATCGACAAGTCGGATGCCTAAAGGAGCAACCTTTGCGTTACCTGCCTCGCANNGTCGCGTGAAAGACGAAAGCCTNNGTCCAACGGCCTGACGACGTCCAGCCGAGCCACCTGTCAAGGCCTCGTGGAGATCTGGAAATCGCTTTCTCTCTTGTCTCTGTTGCTTTCTTCTTGCCAACATGGAGAAATANNATGCGATGGTTGCTTTCGCGACGGCAATAAACATCATGCTCATGTCATCTTGCACAAAGCTGTAGCAGGCGGAAGAGGCGTTAATTCCCGACCAACAGTGGTTTTCCTGCCTTTTCAGGTCTAGTCTCCCGAGAATATGGTTTGACTCAACACACTTTGCTTAGAGAACAGCTTAGACGCTGGGGGCATTCTAGAAGACGAAGAAGCGCCGGCTGCCCAGGCTCGTTGCTCGCCCTTTCCAAGCAAAGCCCTTCTGCGGCAATGCGCGAAATCTCTGTGTCAAACAAAGAGTCCAGCCACGCAGCCTTCGCCAAAAGTTGATGCCAAACCGCTCGTATTCCGAGATCGGGTACCTGCACCTTGTCTTCAAGCCGATCATCCGCGAAGAAGAAGCAAAAGCACGGCCATGTCACACGTACCCCGGACCTTCCCCGACTGCCACGCGACCAATTGGCGCTACTCGTATGGCCCGTCTCTCATTGGCCGAAGATAAGCAAGCAACCCCAAAACACTCCCCCAAGTGCCCAAACAGGGGCATCACCGTGTTTGCTGTCTCGGCCTCCTGCTCCTGAAGGTCACACGAGGTATCTCGAGACACACCGACATGATACGTCGCTGCTCGCTATCATCACGTTCGAAAAGAGCGTGTCAACCACAATCTGTTGTCATGTCCTATCTCGACAGGATCGATTGACACTCCGAAATAACCATTTACACTTTCATGAGTCCATCGCGAGATAGGCAGGCCGATGCGTCGTTGTTGATCGGATAAATCCAACGCCCGTATTCGACTATGCCAAGTGTTTGTCACCAGTGGTCCGTCATCTGGGCCGCCTTCGAGATTACATCAAAAGACCGATCGTTGTTTGTTGGATCAACGTGAGCCAGGATAACACTTTCTGATGCCAAGCAGCATCCAGTCGCAAGACATGAAGGCACGGCATACCCGCGTTAGACGGTGGTAAGTTGCTACCATGGAATGCGGCACAGTTCCGTTCATAGGATAACACGTTCTGAGACCGATTTATCTTAAGCATAACAGTAGCACAGTCTTCCTTTGAGGCCGTTCACGTACTGACTGACCGTTCAGTGCTCTGTTGATTGATCTAGGTATCAGTCTACTGACGAGACGCAAAACGCTGGCGGCATTGGAATAAATTCTACCATATGAGATTGCGTTGAGGCGGTGAATTGCGCCAGTCTTGAATAACACATCACCTGACATCAAGAACATGGCTTGTGTCAATCCCATTCCACCTTCCTAGTGAAGGTATGGGCACCGAGATTCATGTTCAACAACGCCTTTTTCCAACTTCAGTCCTTCTTCTTCAGACAATGGGATCTCCACATTGTGGAAAGGCTCCAACTCACCTTCCTATTATGTTATTGAAACATGACCCGACACTTCCTGAGCGCTTGATCTGCAGCGCAACCAAACGGTCGGACGACATGTGACAGCAATGACAGGTCTAGAGCTGGGCTTTGGCGAAACGACAAGAACCAACAGTCAGATCTACGCGAGTATGCCTTTTCAGTCTCTACCAGCAGCGAGGTCAATACGTGCGCAGGTCTTTGGTAAATGTCTTCATCTCTGGTAGGGCGCGATAGACGCGAGAGACGTGCTCGACTATGCAGGGGCGTATCTCGATTTCTCAACCACTTTCTTCTTGGTCATCTCCTCTCGCTTGTCGGATTTGGACTTCCTCTGTCGTTTCGTATTCTGCATGGCTGCCTTCCAGCCTCGACGCCACCATTCTGCTGAGATAAACTGTTCATGTGCCCCCTTTGAAGTTGTCAACAGTGAATCGGAATTTCTTCTCAAGCGGTGTACTCCGATGTAACGACTGGATAACAGTTCCACACAAGCCCCCAGTACCTGTGAATTGCTTCTCCCAGACCTTCCAATATCAGGGGTGAAGAGGATGGCCAAGAGTTTGATGGCTTCAACTGTTTATTGAAATCTGACAAGGTCGGAACAACAGCTACAAGCACAGAATTATCATCACCCCCAACAACCTACACGAGACTCATGGTTCTGTTGTTTCTAGCTTCCCTGGACCAGAGAGAAGGGTGGTTGTCGTTGATCATTGTGGTGGACAAGGTCGTACCCTCAGCGCCGGAATGCACGAGCCACAAACGTGTGGTGACCACCTCAGTTGTTCAACCCATCAAAGTAGCACTGATCACGAGTAGAAGAACCACGCGGAGCCCTGTAAGTGATTGGAGTATTGCTTTGATCAGTCGTATGAGTGTCGCTATGAGAACTGGTCATCGTACTGCCTCCCGATAGTACCTACGTCGTGGTTACGTGCTCACAAGTAGACTGAGCCATACGCAACTTTTACAGTAAGACTTGCATCCTCCTCACATTCCTGTATTCCGAGTCGTCAACACAAGAAAGAATCATGTTCTTCAAGAACATCGCTCTCTTCGGCGCCAACGCCAGGGTAGCCTGCAAATTGCCAAACTTTGATATCCCAGCCATTATAGCTAGTTCCAGACTCACCCTCAACCCCACCGAAGCCTTTAGCAAAAAAATGTCACAGTCAAAGGAAATAGATCTCCTGCACACTTGACGGCAAAAAGATCGGCTCAAGTGCCTCAAAGGCATTCATGCCGTCCTCAATGCTTTAAACATGCCAGTTCTAAATGCTCAAATCCACAGTCAGAATGGAGCAAGCAGATGCAGGCGTCAAGCGCTTCTTTCCCTTCAGAAGAGCATGGAATGCACCATATACACCGCACAACCCAATGATGCACAGAGCTACACACATCCACTCTTGGGTATGCCAAAAGACAAGAACTCAATAAACACTATATGATGCAGCACTCAGCCATTGTAAGCGGCAAAAATATCTTACACCACGATCGGCTATGGAGACTTTCTACAACCAAGACCACGAAATTTGTATGCTGTGCCCCATGGCACACACACACAAAAAGGATTTGTTGACGAAAAATACTTTTGCAAGTCAATTGGCAACCCTTGATGCCAAAGCCCTGTTCTTCTCTACAAAAGCTGACTGTGAATAATCTACAGACCTTTTGAGATGTACTTTCAAGAAGCGCTTCACCAAGGAACAAGACTCCGAGGGGAGAAAAAGTGACAATGTCACGTAAACCGCAAAGGAAAGAGTCAAAAGGGAAGGAGAAAAAAAGCATGCATAAGATCTGCTATATACAAATCCCCAGATCTCTCAAAAAGGAAGCAAACAAGGAACGTGTCTGCAATGAGAAAAAAGATGACGGCGCTTTTTCGTTTCAAACGAGAGTGCTAGAAAAAGGAGAAGAAGAAGAGGAAAAGAATAAAACTGTGCTGTATATCCCTGGCCAGCGTAACGCCCTCCGCTCGCAACTTTGATATCGATAACTTGAAAAGTACCAGAAGACATCATACACCAGATGTAGACTCAAACATTCATTTTTGCCGACCTTTCCAGCAGGAAGCTTGAGCGGAGTGAGCTCAATCAAAAGTCGTCTCAAAGCCAGCAGAGTGTTTGTGTTTTGTTGATTTTGTTGCTCGAGAATCGGATTTGAAATTTGTGTTTTTTTTTCGTAGACTCGTGGCTGTTTTACACTGCCCGCTACTCAGCCGTCGACTCTTTCGGATCATCAGCGTCCATCATCTCCTCCTCGCGATTGTTTCTACCAAGACTCTGCAGCCAATTCTCGGCACTCTGTAGCGTAATGCCAACGACATTGTTGACTTGAGCCATCATGTCAAGGCCTTCGGTTGCAAAGGCAATCATGCGGTGTGCTGCTTTGCGGGTGTTTTCGTCTGCGCTCTGACCTGCAATCGCTTTACCGTCTTCACCTCCGTCAGCCTTGGTAGCAGTTTGAGATGGAGAAGCTGCCTCTGCCGATTGTGTGGCGCATCGCCATCTTTGAGGAATGGACATCAATTGGCCCTTGACAATATTGCGGGCATTCTCAGGGAGAGCACCACCAGCGTAGGTCGACACTGAGTTGACCACAGTCTGGATGGTGTGCCAAATGTCATCACAGAGCTGCTTGATACGTCTCGCAAGCATCTCTGTTGATTGGTCGCGCTCATTTACGCTCTGAATCTCAACGACGATACCAGCTTCTCTTTCCTTCTCTTGCCTGGCTCGGTCTTGTTGTGACGTCTCTTGCGATTGGTCGTACTCGTGTAGAACCATCTTCAGCGCATTCATCACACTCTCAACGTGTTCAGTGGCTGAAGAGAGAAGCTTGACGCAGTACTGAAGGCTTCGCAAGGAAGAATCGCTAAGCGCAACACCAAGAGCAGAAGTCGAGATGAAGATTTTGGTCGACCAGCTCCGATTGATAGGTGGTCTGTCGACACCACGACTTCTCTCTGATCCATGAGGGCTAACTTCCTCTCTGTATGAAGGTGGTTTGTTGGCTTGGTACGCGGGTAGAAACTCCTGTGAGTCGTGCAGGCTCGGGTCTACACGGTCAACGTCCATGTCATCGGACGCTACTCGTCGACGTTTACTTGCATGGGATGGATCCATGGCTGGCGAACTGGGCCTTCGGCTATCGAGGTATCGTCGGATACCTCCTTCAACACCAGTACGTCTACCGAGGTTACTGACGGTACTAGCGACAGGAGAGCCGACATTACGCTCTACGAGATGGACACCGTATCGGACGATACGAGGTGAGAAGTTCTTTGTCGCGTTGTAAGCGGACAAACTACCGTTTACAGTATTTCCAACCCATGGGTGGGCGTCAACGAGAAGATCCAATAGCGGTTCGAGGTCCTTGTTCGAAGACGCTGAGGCATTCGCAGAGCTGGGGTTGGATGCCGATGGTCGGGCTTTTGGGGAAGGCGCAAAGTCTGGNNGATGTCAGTCGACGTGACAGGCAAGCTGAGATGGGGCATACACACCAGGGTTTCCAAGACCAGAAAGAGCTTCGGCGGCCAGGCGGACATCTGGGTCGTCCATTGACACGCTTGTCGAGCGTTGGGTGCCCTCTTCAATGCTCATGTTGCTAGCTGCGTCGGACTCAATGCTGGTGCGAGGCATGCTCGGTTGCGGGTCCGCGTCTCTTGCGGCGGCAGCATTGAGCAAGACATTGGGGTGGACCGTCTTGGAGGGAAGGTCGGCAAGGACAGACTTCAGATCCGGAAGAGTGATGTCGGCGGGGGCATGGTTTATGTGAAGGTCCTGGGTGGGAACAGAGGGCAGTCTGAGATTATCGGGATGGTGCTCGTAGGCGTATCCGGGCGGCGCTTGGCGTTGCGATTCCATCGTTGCACTGACGTCGACAGAGCTCCTGCGCAAGTCGGCGACGACTCTGGCAGCAGCAGCTAGCAAAACAAGACTGGGCGGATTCGACGGCGATTGACAAGTGATGGAAGCAGGTCGCGACGGTTCATTGGCATTGGGCGTGTAGAGAGGGACGTCGATGGGACTCATCATCTTTCGGGTCTGCACAACGGGCAACAAATATCACATGCTCTTCTTCCCGTGGCCTTGGCATGACCCGCGTCTTTCACATGTCATTTCTCTCGGTGACAACTCGATCAATTTGGAAGTGCTCTCGACCATGAATGAAGTCGTCTTGATGCTCTGCTTCACTGCTCTTTGTCCACTATCAATGTGAAGACTATCTTGAATCTCACTGAGGCGCCACATCTCGTGTTAGCTAGACTTCCTCGTAGAAAACCAGGCACCCGATGTGGTACTGCTGAGTATTGGTGCTGCGAGATGCCGCTATCGATGCAGGCGTTGGCAGGCTGGGTACTCGTAGCCAACGCCTCGAGAACCCTTCATGTCTCCCATTCACATGATTGCTGGCCTGTGGTTCGTCCAAACTCAAGTGCCGTATCAGGGATTGCTTGTCAACTCCACATGTCGTAAGGATTTTTGTATATTTTGAAGTGTTCGCTTGATTGACACCTGATAGCAGCTCAACCGTTCCTCGGTCTTCAATATTTGGCTGCTGCAATCACAGTCTGAGCCTGTTCATCATTCATTGCTGTTCCACACCGAATAGTGTGAGATAGTCCTCCTTCCTAAACATGTGTGCACTGTCCACGGCGTTGGGCTGTCCTGCATACACATCTGCCTTGCGCTCAAACAATAGCTTGACCACATCGTCCGAGCCCTTGAACACTGCGCCAGCGATGGGACTTTGACCTCTGTCGTTCAACACATTCGGATCTGCACCCTTGTCCAGCAGCATCCTTGTTGTCTCCGCGTAGCCATGGTAGGCCGCTAGCATGAGCAGTGTGTCGCCCTTGTGGTTTGTGAGATTAGGTGGTATGCCNNACTATAGATGGACCAAAGTTAGTTCATCTTGATAACAATATCGGAACCGATGCTTTCTGATCCAGCTGTGCAAGATTCATCATAAGATGCTGGGCCATGTCACAATTGACAAAAGGCAGGCACAATAGAGCATATCTTGATTGACTTACGCGCTGACATATTGTGCCAATTCCTCCGTCTTGCCTTGTCGTGCAAAGTCGAATAGTTTGCCTGCTAGTTCGAGCGCTGCAGGTGGCAGGTCGCCCGCCTGTGTCGGAACGCTGCTGCTTGATGGCGCGTCACCTGCTGGTTGTACTGGTTGCTGTGGCAGACCCATGGTGATTATGTGTTTCTTCTTCTTCTTGAGCGTGATCTCACGTGTCTGAGAAGGAAAAGTATAGAGTGGTCGTCTAGTTTTTATGACCGTGCTTGCCAAACTCGAGTGGTAAGCAATGACATCATAGAATTTTGTGGACAGCGATATAGAAAGTTACGAGTCAGTGGATGAATGGATGCATATGAAAACAATGATTTTTCCTGCCCTGTGACTCCTCGCTAAGTAAATACATTCAAATCTCTTCCATGTACATGACTCCTTCTACGAAATGTCTAGACAACAATTCTGTCCAAGGAGTACTTGCCGACACGCATCGACAGCTCCTTACCACGCAGACCCCTGCTCTTCTCGACCTGGCCAGTGCTTGTCATACGCATCTTGTTGGCGGGTCCTTGAGCCTTGTGACCAAGAGGAAGGATAGGATCAACGGCGAGGGGAGTCTCCTCGAAACCAGGTGTCTTGATGGGATCGACCTTCTTGATCATTGTCTGTTTCTGTGAAGCGTGGACGGTGTTGCTGAAGCGCTCAAAGTCGTTCAAGAAGACTCCGAAGCTGCATGCCTCGATACAAGTCTCGAGGGCAGCACTGGTCTCGGCGACAAGAGTTTCCAGCATGTTGTCTGTCTGGAGGTCTGGATCTCCGCTGAGTCCTACGAGCCAGCCAGACGTGCCAATAGCGTCGATAGCACAATTCAGAAGGTTGCTGATGATAGCGATCGAGTGATCACTGGGCGATCCTGCATCTTCTGGTCTGGGAGCAATCTCGTCTTCGGTGTACTTAGACGTCCAGCCACCATCTGCAAGCTCAATACGAAGAATCTGGATGAAGAATACGACCTCGCGAGGCGNCAGGTGAGTACGCAGTCTTTCAACAATACTGCGCGAAGGGAATGAATGGAGGCGAGTGAAAACGGTGCGGAAAGAAGCACTACGAACACTGAGACCAGTATCCAGGGCTGACAGAGCAAACTCAAGGTCGGCTTCGGCGGCATCAGTCTCAGCCTGGATGGTGATTTCAAGCTCACTGCCAGACTCTTCGCTCTTGCTAGTGATGAGCTTGGAAACTGCGGCGGGGCTCGGGCCTTGTAGAGACTTCACGAGAGAAGCGAGAGCTACGATGACCTCTTCGATCTCCAGGTAGACAGGCCAGCTCAGCCACTCGTGCATGACATGCATCTCTGGGTCAAGCTCGTTGACTGCTTTCATGATGTCACCAGGGTGAACCCTCTGGGCGGTGGATTGAATAGCGCCAGTTTCACGCAAGGCTCTCTCGACCGCCATGGCAGACATGTAGCCAGTGACAGAGAGCCACCTGAAGATGTTTGCTGCGAAGAAATTCATAGAGATTGAGCTCTGGTCCTCGTTTGTAGCGTCGTTCCAAGCAAACATTTTGCTGAGAAGATAGACTGCTTTGCGTCTCTCGGTCTTCTGGACAAGGAATCTAGAATCTCTCACAGGCCACATTCTATTGTCTTCGCTATCTTGGGCCTCGGAATCCTGGGCGGTCGACTTCTGCTGCTTGGGGGTAGAGGAAAGCTCAAGTTCAGCTGCAAGGAAACGTTCGAGGGCAGCGACATCGGAATCAACGAGTGAGTCAACTGTCTCTTTCCAGCTTTCCCACTCTTGCGAGGACGCCTCAGAGTCGGGAGCAGCAACGAGAGCCTTCTTGGATCCTTTGCCGAGAGAGTTGATCAGAAGACTAGTGTTAGCTTTCGACTTCTTGTAGGCGGTTGCAGACAGATTGATCTGCAGGCCGACGAGCGCATTTCCGGAAATTGCAACAGCCATACCAAGGTCTGAGAAGAAAGTGACGAAGTTAAGAGAGCCTTCAGTGGCGCCATCGGTTCTCTTTCTCTTGTCACCAGCCGTTTCGAGGGGGTCGGACTCGAGGGACAAAGCGGCCTGCAGGGAGTTGTACTTGGTATCGTAGATGGCGCACGAGGTGGATTCAGCAGCAAGAACCAGTGCAGCCGAGATGCGAACAAAAGATTGATGCGACTGGGTATGAGGAGTAAGAACGGAAAGAACGCGAGGAACAGTCCCTGAGAGATCATATGTGGTGATGATTCCGGAAAGCAGTTGATGCAGCTTGCCAGCCGACGACTGCAGAGAGAAGGTGGCCCTGTCGGAAGAAGGAGTAGCGGGCAGCTCGTAGCTGAAAAGGTAGCGAAGACCTTGGTGGGCGCTGGTAATCATATCCTTGGATCTTGAAGGCAAAGAAAACAGGTTGAAGCGACGAGTGTTTTGGTCGTCGACTGTGACCATGGCGAGGAGGGGCGTGTTCAGCTCGGTCGAATTGTCGAGGCTGACGGTGCCTCCAATCAAAGCCAGAGCGTCTTCTCTGCTCTTGAGCAAACCCTTTCTTGCCGAAGTCACATCGGTGATACTAGCATACTCGACCTTGACAGACGAAGGTACGGCATCGGACTCGACCATGACGATAGCGCGAGCGGCATCTGCATCCCATCTCTTCTGCTGGAGGTCGCCAGCAATGCACTCAACACTTCCATCGGAGTATGTGACAGCGATATCCAGAGCAAGACCGAGAGTTTCGTTGTCCGAGTGCGAGGCAAGGGCGTTGATGGCGAAGACGGGGCTGGTGGAAGTGGGCAGCTGGTAGCTTGTCTTGACTTGCTGATCGGCAGAAAGGTCGGTTGAGTCGGCGATGGTGTCCTCGGTGAAGCAGATGACCTCTGCCTTTTTACCAGTGGTGTGGCCAAGCACGGCATATGTGACTCTCTGGGCAGCCTTGCGACCAGTGATCTTGCGGTAGATGGAGCATGGCGCGCATAGCAGACGGGTCTGAGGAGGAAGAGCATACGATGTTACCAAGCGCGGATTACGCANCCTAGAGATGCGAGTTAGTAGGGTCCTGAGACCAAGAAGAATGCCAGAATGAGTAAATACATTGTAGATGGTGATGCTGTCTCCGTCGACACTTGCGACAATTTCAGGACGCTTTCTCCATTTTTGGCCGCGGAGTCCAAAGACAGGGGCGGCGTAGGTGGTGCCGACAGTGGGATCAAAGGGCTTGGGCAGAGAGGCCAGAGTAAAGGGAGCCTCGATGGCAGCTCGGTCGGCCATTTGTACGGTATGGCGCGTGGACAATGCTCGTTTGGTGTTTCTTGTCTTGCTGCTTCAAAAAAATCGAGGTCCTTGGCAATCTTGACGGGCAGGCGCGACCGCTCTCGGACATAATAGCGTTGGATGACGTGCTAACTCCGAAATGGGAAAGAGCGCGTCTTCCATCCGAAATGGGAAGCTACGCGTCGCATGAAGCAAGAGTTGCAGACCACAAAGTTGCACAACACACAACACCTTCCATGGCTATCGGCGCCATGAGCGATGGTCAGAACAAGAGTCTTCACCCGTTCTTTGTGAAGCCTCAAGGTACATGTGCACTGTTTTCTGTCTTTACTACATCTACTTACCCACCTAGTGCCTGCTTCAAAGCCAACTCCCGATGCCGAAACTCCTACAGTAAACGACGATACCTCGCCTGGTGCAGAATCCAATTCTTCGCAGCCCGAACTTCCGACAGCACCCGACTCGACCACTGGTAGAAAGACTCATCCCAGAAAGGCCAAGCAGAAACCAGATACTACTTCAACTTCCGAGTCCATCGAGTCCACCGCCCCAACAGGCCGCAAGCGACGGAAGCTGAGCCTTGCCGATCATGTCGTCGTTGCTGACCGAGGCTCCGAAGATATGCTGCCTCAGCCTTCTAGTCCAACCTCTGTGCCTTCGTCGCACCCTGGGAACAGTCAGCCCGTTGATCCACACCAAGACCCAGAACAACAATCTGAGACCTTTCCTGCTCTTCCAAGCATACCGACAAGCACACCGCCCAAGAAGATGTTGAAGCTGACCACTGGCGGTACTCTGGTCTCTCCTTCGTCCAAGCCACTGCCACCCAAGGAAGACCACCAAATCAAGAAGCCTGCAAAACGAGGAAGACCCAAGAAAGAGAGACCAAAGCTGCTTGTCACCATTCGCTACCCTCCCGACCACGCTTTAGGGCATCGAATAGCACGTATAATGGACGGTTCCGAAACTTTCAAAATCTCGAAACCTACCCCAATGGCTCCTCCACCCAAGCCGAAGGTCGTCAAGTTTGATCCCTCCAAACCGACGCATCCTTTCTTCTCCGGAAAACCGAAAGATGCCATCCCAGCCCCTGCCACATCTGCAAAGGACCCAATAGATCCCAAGATCAGCCACGTGCTTAGCCCACGAAGGCCTTCAGCTGTAACCCCTGGCAAGTTACGGGCACAAGCACGAGAGAATGGTTTGAAGAGCATGGACAACTCTTCTACCTTCCCACATTTTGGTGCGAACAAAGACAGAAACATCATCAAACAGCCTGGCATGGTTGAAGCTCCATTTCCGCCAAAAGGTCACGCTCACGTCCGTGGAGACTTCTACTACCACACAAGCCGACCGCAGATAGATGCATCCACCGTCGTGTCTCGCTCGACGCGCAAGATGAAATACAAAATACCACTCCTGGACCCGTCCGAGAGTACGCTGACCCGTATCGAGAGCGACCTTGACTTCCGTCAAAAAGATACGCCGAGACCTGATGGCTTTTACGACCCTCCATCTTCGTTACGTATTCCGGCTCGCCATCTTATTCCTGGGTTGCGGGCTCAGAAATGGATCAGCAACGAGCTTCGCGCGCAACCGTCAGCAGATGAATTGCAGTTTGCACCTGTAAACCATCGCAATTTCGTTCACCCAGCGTGCGAACGCCTCTACCTTGGCATACCAAGTATACTTACACCATATGATCATGGGCGGTCAGAAGTACAAGCCTGGGCTCAGAAGTACTCACCCCAGTCCGCTGCTCAAGTCTTGCAACCGGGAAGAGAGGCAGCATATCTGAGAGAGTGGATGAAGGCCCTCACTATCAGTGCAGTTGAGACGACCGGATCACATATTCCCAAGCGCGACAAAGCAGACCGCGAACGAGGTCATAAGAAGAAGCGCCGCAAGAAGGCTGCAGGACTAGACGACTTCATCGTTAACGACGATGACATTTACAACGATCCAGATGAGCTTGTTGAACTGGATCCCCCATCGCTATCATGTCGAAGAGCAAAACCGTCTCTCGTGCGTCACACTGATTTCAAGGACCAGTCCAACCGCTCAAAGATTGCCAACTCGGTCATTGTGAGTGGACCTCACGGCTGTGGAAAGACCGCCATGATCCATGCCGCGGCAAAGGAGTTAGGCTTCGAGATATTTGAAATCAACCCTGGTTCGCGTCGAAGTGGTAAAGATGTGCTCGACAGGATTGGAGACATGGTAGAGAATCATTTGGTACAGAATCGCTCACTTGACACCGGCAATACATCTGCCGATGAAGATGCTGGTCGGTTGTCTGACGCCTTCAACAAAGACCTTGAATCTGGTAGGCAAGGCACCATGAAGTCTTTTTTCACGTCCAAACCAAAGTCGGCACCACAACCAAAGACGGAAAAGAAACCAAAACTCAACGTCGACCAAGTACAGAAGGTCTTATCATCCTCGAAGCCGTCACGAGGACAAAAACAGTCACTGATCTTGCTAGAGGAAGTTGACATCATGTTCGAGGAAGACAAAAACTTCTGGACCACAATCTTTACTCTACTAGAGAGTTCGAAACGTCCCATTATCATGACCTGTAATGATGAAGATCTTGTACCTCTACAGGCCATCACATGTCAAGCACTTCTTCGTCTATCTGCCNNCCCTGCAGACGTCGCCATCGACTACATGTTGTTGATGGCAGCCCAAGAGGGTCATTTGCTATATCGAGACGCAGTATCGAGACTATTCGAAGCAAAGTATCATGATCTGCGCGCAAGTATTGCCGAGTTGCAATTGTGGTGCCAAATGGGCGTTGGCGACCCCCGAGGCGGACTAAGCTGGATTTATCCCAGATGGCCACCTGGCAGTGGACTTGACGAACATGGTCGACCTATCCGAGTCTTCAGTGAGAACACCTACCAAGCGGGCATGGGATTTATTGCACATGAAACAGACTTTTCGCTGGAAGGCACACAGGATGATGAACTGCTCAAGGAAACTTGGGAGAGCTGGAATGTCGATCCACGTGAAGAACTGTTTGCTGGAGTTACAAGCTCATCTCTGGTTTCGAAAGAAGTGGACACCCAAACACGTATAGCTGCACTAAAGCAGTACTCGAGCCTATCTGATAGCCTCAGCGACATGGATGTATTCTGTCAACTTGGTCTGCCTGGCAAAGAGAACTACAAGACTGATGCAACCCAGCCCGAACTACCTCTCAAGACCCGCGCAAGTTATATTAATGGTATGGCGCTGCTCCAGACACCAGAGGTTGTTGATTACAGTACTGTTGACACCCAAATCGCGGTTTCTGGTTCGCGTCTCGCACGCAGTGTCTTCTCCGACCTCCTGGAACCCCTTCCATCAGGTCTCATGAGGCGTGTGATCGAGACACACTCTGCAGCAAATAGAGCACCTCAACTTACTCGCGGAGATATTTCGACAGCATTCGACACAATAGCCACTATGATGACCACCCCCACAGCCGGCCCTCCCAGTCTGGCCTACTCTGTATTCGACGGCCCTCTCAAGATCGTGGTCACCGATGTCGCGCCGTATGTCCGCAGTATTGCTGCCTACGATCTCGCTCTGGAAACACATAGAGGGAAGCTGCAAGGTAGCAGTCAAGGGTCGACAAGTGGTGGCGTTGCTGGAAGCAAACGAGCTCGAACAACACGAGCTGCCCGCAGTGCACTCGAAGGAGGGCAACGTCAGCTTACTCGACGAGAACGCTGGTTCGACCCGAGCTTCGACCTTGAACTCGCTTTGCGGACTGCCGGCGACTGGCCTCGTGTGGAAGGCGATGTTGCGGAGACACGACTGCACAGCCCTGGTCTTGAAACGTCAATGCAGATGGAGTGATGACGATGCTTGATACTGGCTACAGTTGACAACACATATTGCTCTCTGGTTCATCTGGTTTGGCTCTACGGAGATCGGACAGATAGTTGCTTGTTGATATCTATACTTCACTGGCTGGGAGCGAACATGTAGCTTCTGGTATTATCTGCTAAACAACTATCAATATTACTAGCTGCAAGTACAGCTCTTTTTCATATCCTTGATCAGTTCCAGGCTCTGCCTGCTCGTGCGCGTGATTCAACGTATATGAGAAATCAATACCACCATGTTCCGAATGAACCGAGGTCAACACGATGCAATTGATCCTCAAGGTCGGGACTCGCATGATATTCCACGTTATGGTTGGTCCCGAGCTGACCCAAAGCGAGGAATAGATTGAAGAGATGGGCCTGTTCATCCCTACTAGTATCAAAACTTCGTTCGCTCTCAGGTCAGGATACCGTAAAATCCATCTCTGACTTTCATACTCGAACCATGAATGATTGAGCATTTACTTTGCTTAAAACTCTGGTCATCACCAAGATCTAAACACTGTCGAGCATCGCAAGCGAAGTCGGCTAGTTTCAATATAGGCCGGGTAAATCTGGTGCTCAAAACTGGATAGTATGATCTGCCTGTGTTGCTATATAGTCGGACATAATCTCATGAGTAGAAGATCGAGACTATAACGGATAGGAGTGATTGATCTCTTTATCTGAAGGATGAAAGAGGAGCGCGAGCCTAGCCTAGATATATACCAAAGAGTGCAGCGTACGAGTCATGAAAGATTGATGTTACTCCTCTCGCTTCGTCCGAGCTATGCAAGAAGCCTTTGAGAGTCTTACCCGTATGGTCGGCTTCCAGCAGTCCATTCCTTGAGATGATAAATGAATGATCGCCATTAGCGGCTGCATTTACTCGCTACGCCGCAAAATCGGAGGTGTGTGATGTCCTAAAGCCGAGCTGATTGCAAGCAATAGTTGACCGATAGCCAGAAGCACCTCATAGTTTCCTTGGTTATTGACAAGTTGTTCAATATCACTCAAAAGAGATCCTCAAAAGAGATCAGAGTGTACTCCTTACCTTCACCACAGGTCAGCCTGCGGGCCGTAGCGCCCCACTACAATCCACCCTGGACCCCGCCCAACCTCTGCAGTCTTGTCTCAGCCTGTCTTTTCTCCTTCTCTACCTCCCGTGCACACCTCGCGGCGCGGACGTTCGCCATCGCGACACGTGCTGCGAGAGGATGTCACGGCTTCCGTCGCTCCATGTCGTTTTGTCAATGGGACACAATCAACACTATGATGTATACGGCGATGCTGATAGCCTGCACATGCACCTGGACACAAAGCCGCTTGCCGGTGTCTGGATCACACTCGCAAATGAGATCAGCGAGAAGGTAAAGATTCGCCAGGCTCCTAAATTTGAAGACCGTCACGAGAAGATGAAGAATGGCTTTATATATCCGAAAGGCAGGCCACGAGTTTGCAAAGAGCGCCAGGCTTTGAAACATATTCTCATTGTCATACTAGTGCTTTCGTAAGAGATATTACTGACTTATTCACTTGAGGCTTGTGGTTCACCCGTAGTGACTGTCGAATATTGAGGCAAGATAGACTGTTGACCACCGTAGACTTTGGCGAAACATGCCCAGCCGCCGATGAGATATGCACCGGGCAATGCACCGGATTCTGCGAGAAGAATTTAATAGATCCAGTATCTGCCTTCCAAGACATGGAACACCAGTTCGAGAGGCAGCATGACGCCGATTGTCATGACACCAACGCCGATGAATGCACCAAGAGTTGTCAGGACTTTGCCATCGCCATCAGGATCTTTTGCGTCGCGGAATTTGATGATGTAGTCAATGGTGCCGATGAGAAGGATGAAGTTAGCGACAAGAAGCACGAAGTAACCAATAGTCCATGCCATCATCCCGACGTTCTCCCAGTCGGTCGCTGGACGCGTTTCCTCAGCCTTGGGACCGGGGATGTTCAGGAGGTCGAGCCACAGGAATATGTTGACCAGGCCATATGCGCCGAGGCTCGCGAGCCAGTCCTCATGGCCATCCATTCTTTCTCCTAGATACTTGGCTACAATGAAGCCTGCAGGTAGCGCCAGAACTTGGACCCAGAAGACCTGGTAGAGAAACAGCTTTTCGTCCAGCCAGTGCGTGGATACAGCAATGATAACTGCCACAAACACGCCTTTTAGAGCACCGATAAAAGCCCTGGATGCTCCCTTGACATGGTCATCAGGCACCATAGCCTTACCAAGGGCATCGAGGCTATTTGAAAGCAAAGTCAGACATGCGATGAGAAGGCCAAAGCTGCCAATCCATCGGGCTGCGAACTCGAAGGTGGAACCCATGGACAGGCCACTCAAGTCGAGCCATATCAGGAGTGTTGTCACCAAAGCGTAGCCTGCCACATACATGGCGATGTCATCTTTATCTTTGGCATTTACTTGTTTGGAGCTATCGGGCTTCGGGTTCTGCAGGATTGCATCGGGATCCATGATGGTCGAGTAGGATCTCATTTGGCTGATGTGTGCCCGGTTAAATATCGATAGTTTCGATGTTGATATTGTTGGGATGAAAAAGTGTTGACTGAAGTAATCTGAAAGGTGCAATCTTCGTAGTCGGAGGAAGCAACAGTCATAGGAAGCAGCGAAGCACGTCACGTCATGTGAGCCGTAGCTCTTTCCAATGATATGCAAGCTCCTGGGATGTTGAGCAAGTTTAGAACAGCCCGAACTCTATACTGAGACTCGTACACACAAGGTATACCATCAGCGAACATGAACGAAAAGATAGGCTGCTAAAGTCTGTGCTGACAACGACTATCATGTTGCGTCTATGGGTAGATCGAGATGCGGAGCAATCGCGTGTGGAAAGAGGGAGCGATTCTTGGAAATCAAATTTGCTCTTTGTCACTTCCCAAGTTGCACATCTACGTGATGAATCTTTCCCAGGCTTGCGGTCCCATCTAGACTTCTTCGAAGATGCACGCTACTTCGAATCCGTTTGTAGACATCGACATGCATACGGTAACAGATGACACTATCCTCAGTGATACAGATAACCGCTCTCTCAGAAGACCATGTGCTGATATACTGCAACACACAGCCATTTGATTGGTCATTAGTCCCTTCATTCTGTTCTTTCCCATATGCTTGATCACATATTTGAGTCGGATTATGAGTAACATGACATTGTTTTGGTCGATTGTGTGAACGACTCACTATGACACTACTGCCAATGAGCCCAATAAGGCAAATCCGCCCCCACTGTCTTCCTCGTTCCTTCTTCATGCTTGCTTTTTGGTCTTGGAAGGGACTAATCGTTCCTTCAGCAGCCGACTCTCTTTACCACAGTAACAGTGGTCANTGCGTAGCTCTCAGAAACCCAAGTAGNGTCAGCCGTGTAGGTAGTGCTTACCGGCTCAAATGAGATCTCAGTTGCCGTTGTGATAGTAGAGCTCATCACACCTCTACTGCTTTCGGGGGCATAGCTGAACATGGAAGTCGAAGAGGCGGTCTGATCAATATCATCGGTAACGATACCAGCAGCACCGGTGCCATCTCCGAGGGGAGTAGAAGTGATGAGGGGAGCATAGGAGAAACTGTAGATTGGCTGGGAAGCATTGAGACCGCAGACACCAAAGTTGGACTTGCAGTTTGTGCCGCAATAGCTGGAGTTTGAACCACAGTAGCCATATTCACTATGTCCACTGTTAGTCGGGGATGTGAAGTTTGANNAAGCAGGAGACCGTTTCTTACCTGCAGCAGAGTCCAGAGGGCAGGACCCAATGCTAGGACCGCAAGCACCGAGACTGCTGTTCGTATTGTTGTTGATCGAGGTGACCGATGGAGAAAGAGTTGGGCGCATGGCAAGAGTCATGCTTGTGGTGATGTTTGAATAGGAGCCAAAAGGCAAGACTGTGTTGTTGAAAGTGGTGGGCGAGGACGTGGGACGAATATCAATGGTGATACTCGGGAAGTCCATGGTGTAAGGCATCGCTCTGCCCAGGCCAAAGACTAGAGCGAGCGATATGAGCTGCATCTTGAAGATTAGTTGACGCTGCTAGGATGGCAGCAGTCTCTGCTTACTAGTCTGTACATGTCTGGATGATTTGACCGTTGGGATAGCTGATGTGTGTTGATATGTTTGTTGTTGCGTCAGCAAAAGTCTTCTGAAGTTTGGTGTTGATAAACAACACTATGCGCTGTCCCAAAAGTCGAAACACCTGGCACTCTTGTATCCTTGGTATGAGACACCAACTCGATCGAGTTACAATAATGTGTTTTTCGTGATTGAGGTTGCTTTAAATCTTGATTTCAATTGTCTTGTGATAGACCTAGACATTGTCAAATGCTGTGTCTGAGAATTGTAGTCCATGACGCATAGGCGGTGATAGGTAATTCAAGTCTCGTCCATACAATTGTCTCTGACCCTTCCTACTACGAGAGAGGTTGACGAAATCGAGAAGCCTACCTGCTGGTCCACAAATCTACCTTAATCCAACCGAAGGTCGGGTGAGCTGGCGACCCTGGCAAATTTCATGAATCTTTGAATTTCTCAGGCCACGCTTGCAACCATATCGGCTCATCGAGATCAGTGCTCGAGCTGACTGTAACACCTGTCTGGGCTGAGTATCGAAGAGATTGGTTTGGTCAATATTTTTCTCTTTTGAAATTGATGGAAACGCAGAGTCGTGGAGACAATGGGGTTGAAAATACATATAACCTACTCCTTTTACTTACACCCACAACCAAGTGTCTTTGGCTACCACCTACATTATGAGACTTGGGAATGTTTGGAGTGTTGTGTTTTGCAGGTGGTCAGAAGACAGAAGAGACCGGCCTTTGATAGAGAATCCAACTACGGAAGCGGCTCCACAGTCGTCGGCCAAAAAGTACACAGGTACAAAGCACGGCAGATTATGCATGAAAGTCTAGTGCGACGTTACGAGCATGACGAATGGCACTCCAACGTCTATAACGGTACATGATAGAAGTTTGGAGGAAGTTCTGGTATGAGCATTGACAGTCGTTATACAGGGGCAAAGGAGTTGACGAGTTGTTTGTTGATAGTGATCTCTTTTGAGGGGGTCCAAAGACGGAATGTGAAAGGGTCTGGCTTTATGCAAACCTGGTCCCAATTTTCGCTGCTACGGAGATGAACCGCAGATCGTATACGAGCAGCAGCAACAAGTCGGCACATGTTGGGCCAAAGCCCGGCACAGATTGGCCCGGAGGCTCATGCGGCTTCGAGTTGGCCAAGCCAGCCACCGGAAGAGTAGATGGCAATTGGGAACAAAAATGATTACTTGTGCATTTACGAGATTTGCTCTGACCGTGCATGGATCAGTCGCAACTCTTATAGGGGCAGCAGCTCTGTAAGTAGGTGGTCATGGGAAGTGTATGAGAGATAAACAAAGAGCAGAAGTGTTTCAACACAGGCCGATAGCAGTCCGACCGCAACAACTAGCGAGAGCCAAGGAAGCTTAACCAAGCTTTCGACAAAGTTTGATAGAATTCGTGCAGATCGAAGCCGAGTCAGGCAATACAGAGACAGTTTCTGAAACATGCTTGACAGCCCTTGATACAGGGCCTAGCGACGACGACGAGAGGTCACGCAGTGCTGAAGAGTACGGAGAGGGCGAGTTGCAGAGAGGAGCTGCAGAGTAAGCAGGACGATTGCATGACGGCAGTACGTGCGTGCGGGCAGGCTGGTGCAAGACGGTGAATGGAGACGCGCAAATCAGATTGTGATTGCAGTCCGTATCCCAACCCCATCCAGCCCACCCCCGGTCCCAGACATGGCGCTATCCTGGTTTTCTGCGCCTCGCTCGGCCTTTCTGCTCATCTGCCCTGTCTGCTTCTCTTTCCTTTCCCTCTCTCGCTCTCTTCTTATACACAGTCACCCCACACACACAAGGTCCTGAATAACGAAGCATTGATTGCAGCAAAGCCGTTTTACACCCGGGATCGATATAGAAATATCACAACGCTTCTAAGCCACCTTTGCGGTCCCCTTGGCACCGTCTTCCGGCCTTACTGGATATTATCTCTTTTGCCGTCTTTCCTCGAATACACAACCTCTCTCTTCCATTTATCAAGCTGCTCCAGCCACGACAAGATGCGCTCCTCAACATTCATCACACTGGCCGCAGCTCCCCTGTTGGCTCTCGCCGCTCCTCAGCAACAACAACAACAACAAAACCAAGACGTACCACTCATCACCGCCTCGCCCGAAAGCCACAACACCGCATCTCTGCCCACACAAACAGTAGCTCCCGGCGATGCCTGGAACGCAGAAGCCTCGGATGTAGTATTAGAGTAAGAACTCCCTCTCCTCTACTACCCCAAACACAACACTAACCAAAAACCAGANCTCCGTCAAGCCCCCAATCTACTGGCCACAAAAGCAGCGACACAAGTCCCGGCTACCCAAGCCTACTGGATCGCCGACCACTGGGACTCGGCACTGAGCACCGAGCTGTGGACCCAGATCTTCTACTCTCAGACCTTTGTATCCGCTCCCGGACAATTGGCCACCGCTGGCGCTGGTGAGATCGGCCTGGGCACACACACGGGCGAGATTGGCGTCGCAAAGGCAGCAACCGGTGCGGGTGCTTCGGTCATGCCTCAGGGCTCGCTGTTGACCGCCATCCTGGGTCTGGCCGGTGTTGCCGCTGGCATGGGCGTTGTGCTGCTGTAATCGGCGCACGTCTTCCTTGGCTGCTCGCCTGAGGATCTTCTGGTCGCGTGGGTGTTGATCATGACGCGCGCTCTCTCGCTCGCTCGATCCAAGTCGCGACACCTGTCGTACCGGATACCCTCGACTCGTGCCTTGTGTCATCAGGCCTCCTGCTCGTTACTCTCTCCGTCTCGTGGCCGCTCCTATCTAGACACCCCCGCCCACCCCCACGAGTCCCTAATCACATATACACACCTCTTTGCCCTGAATCGACCCATCACTCTCTTCGCACCTTTGCATAGCATACATGGAGTTTTGTTTCATTCTCTGTTCGCCTGGATTACACACGAAAGCTCCCTCAATCGCCCTACAATCACCTGTACACTTCTCCGTTAATACCCTCTTGTCCGCCGCTGGTTTCTGCTGTTTGTTAGAAAGAAGGATAGGGATCCAAGCACATAAACGCATATAGACATGTCTCCCTTTCCTTTTTTGTTTGCCTTTCTTGCCAATATACCAACATACGTTCAAACTTATCACTTTTGTGCTGTCTTTCGAGACGTTCAGGTCCGCATGGAAACACATCAGAAACATCCGTTTCATTTTGGATCACTGTCATGAAGAAGAAGAAGTTCGATACAACCGCCCCAAAGCTATGAAAGACGCCTTAATGCTGAGAGAACAGTAAGACCACCAACTTCAAGTCTACCTATTTAACCACCAAGTAGGAACAGACCGAACATCACCGTCCAGCCTAGTAATGGCCATATTGTAGGCGTGTGTTGTGTCAGAGATGGACCGCTTGAACTTGTCTTTCCTCCTGTGGCGGCTGGGTACATTGTCTGATTGACATTGCAATAGTCGTCATACATGAAGAAGTAGCTCTTGCCCGGGTCTTCCAACCCAGTACGTTGAGGGTCGATACCTTGAGTAGGAAAATCAGGGATTGGACACGTTCGGCCAGTCCAATTACGGTCCCCGGCGCAGGCATTGCGCCACTCATTCTCTCGTGTTACGTTGCTCGAGTTGAAGTAGGCTTTGACATAGCTGAGCGTGAGCACAGCGTCTTGAGCCGGTGGTCCTGCACTCCAACCCTCATTGCCTGTAGACCAGTGATTGAGCATCAAGGTTCCGGGAGCGTCAGGTGCATCGCCATCAAAGGTATTTTCGAATTCTTGGAGACGCTGGCCGTCGGCGAAAAAGACAATCCGCTCTGGTGTCCAATCGAAACGGTATTCATGGTAACCAGCCCTAGGCTTGAAGGGCAAGTTTTCCACGCGGAAGGTGCTTGTATTGATCGCATTGTAGTTTGCATCTGCAGAGGCTGGCGACTGGATGACGAGATTGATGGGTGAAGAGCCATTGCTATTCTCGTAGATGTTTTGACGGCTCAGGTATTCCATATCAATCTCTTGCGAGTCGTTACGATACTGCGGTTCGTGTGAGTAGTAAGTTCTATCCATATGTTCAGCGAGTACACTCACCCAGAAGAAGGCAGCACATGTGCCAGAGACATTGCTCATCCTCATGCCAACTCTGAAGCTGCCATAACGCATATCTCGACGCAGACTGTCAATCTCTCCAGAGCGAATCATCTGGTCTCCGGCCGGGCCCAGCAGATCTTGTTGACTTCTGACCCAGACTTGCAGCCCTGGCGCACCGCCTAGCTGTCCATCGCCGCCCCAGGCTTTGCGCGAGGGTAGTGGGTTCAAGACGACATTATCAATCTCAGCAGCTTTGCCGTAAGGACCTCGAGCGGCCGATAGGGTAACGTTGTATGCTTGTACTGCCCAGCCCACGGCTTCCGAGGCAGGTATATCGATGCTGTCAGGTAGGTTGTATAGGTGCAAGAAGTCAGTCTCTAGGAGGTCGGTAAAGAGAGCGTAGGGACTCGATCCATTGGTAGCGTTGACCGTGTAGCCACACTCGCAGCGAGGATGTCCGATTTCTGGTACACAAGCACAAGAGTTAGCAAATTTCGCGAGGCTCAGGGCACAAGGCATGCTGCGGGCCCCGACCACTGACTTGTGGTCTACGGTGCGAGCGAGCAGTACCCTATATTTTTTCGGTTAACCTACGGGCTGCGTAGGCAAGGCCAAACATGATCGTCCATCCTAAAAGCACACTCGGTAAAAGAAAGAATAGCTGCATGCTGACGACAGCTGAAATGATGTCCGGCTTTGTGGAAGATCAAGGTGCGGAAAGAAGATTGAGCATAGGATGTGCATGAATGAGAGAAAGCCCGATTACATCCCTCATACTTGGGAGGAAGTGACGATTTGTAGTGCTGATGTGGTTGATGACGAGTCAGTCATTCGTACCTGCCTGCCATCTCCATCGTTCTCGAGGGCTTGCACAACCTCACCAAAGGCAAGGACGACTGCAGAACTAGACATGACAAAGGCTGATCTCTGGAGAACTTTTGACAGCCACCCCTCAAAAGTCTTGTTCGGCCCTGTCACTGCCGCCTCCTAGCGTTCTAGTGGCCGAACCAAACGACTTCGGCCCTTGCCTTGCCAGACTTGGCCCATATGGGGCGGTCGAGCTGTCGTAGCTGTTTGCTGTTGAACGGGTAGCTGGGAGGAAGGGTCTTGTGTTGTACTGCCGATCCGGCATGCAGGGCGACAGCTTGGAAGCCTGCATGTCTCAGCCTGTTACTGTGCAACCGTCTGCTACAAAACAATTGGTCTGTAGAACGAGAACAAAGGGAGAAATTTGTACCGACCTAATTGACCAGCGCAGAGCCTCTTTACTGCAGCCATCTGTCATTCGTATATTCTCCCTTCTTTCTTCGTCTCCCATCTGCCTTGCTGTCTATTTGAGACCCACCACACACCACATGCAACTCCTCGGCGATCTGAATACGAAGAAAAACAATAGACAACAATCGTCCGCACTCGTTTCCCATACCTGGCCCATCCCTGCCAGCCCCTCGAACGCGCTAACGCCAGATTAACACATTCTCGCCTTTGGAAGTCCAACCCAGCTTCCGAAGTGATATCCTGAAATTCCCGACCCTCATGCTGCTTTTGGGTACGGCTTTGCGCCAGCGATTTTGATCAACTTGACACATACTTGTTTGTCCTTCGACGCAGTCTTTGGACGCCTATCACACCTCATGCCATGTGATTCTGGGTGATAGGAATGTGCTGATGATCGGCACCAGACTTTTGTGGTTTTGATAATGATGAGTGAGCTACTCGACCCCGTTTCTCATACTGGAGTTGATGCGTTGTCCTGTTGGACGTAGCAGGCCCACTCCTCAGGCCGCTCACAGGAATCCCGATTCAGAAAGTAATCTGGTTCGACTCAGCATAATACTCTCCTTCGTACGTGTCAGCATGACTTACCGAGCAATCTTCTCATCTTCCCTCTCTCTGGGCTCGACTGCCAAGCTACGGTCGTACATCTCGTGCACATCGCCCGCTGTTTGCATGTTCGTGAGAATATACTCTTGGAGCTCCGGAACAGGTTGCAGTGGATAGGGGACATTCTGATACTGTTGAATATCACGAATGACCTCCGCAGTCTTGCTACGTTTTGCGAAGTTGATGAGGTTGGTCTTTTTGATCACTGAAGGGATACCATCCTCGATGAAGGTAAGGTCAGTCAAGTAAACGCNCTGTTATCACGTCAGTGCTGGTTTGACACATTCGACAATCTTTGACCTACCAAAGAATGGGATGCATGGGGNGTTGGCCTTGTGCAATGTCTCTCTGTAGTCTGAGAAGTTCTTGGTGCTTCCCATCAGCTTCCTCATGACCTCTAGAGTCGCTTGGGTCTTTTGATTGACCTGGGCCCATGTGCGGCCCAAACGATGAATAGGTGCTGTGCCTAACGCTGATATAATCGACGTGAGAGTAGAATAATTATTGAGTTGACGGCATTTNNCTGTAAAATTGTTAGTCTCGAACGCTCTGAGATCTCACGAGTGAAAGCTTACATCTGCGACTGCGACGAAATGCTTGATGACAATCACACGCCTCTTGACATCAGCTTGAGTCAAAATCATCTGAGCAACCCAGTTGGTGAGCTGGTTAGAATGCAGGATCAAAGCCTTGACGTTAGCAGCCGGATCAGGCTCGTTGGGCTGAAGCTTCTTTTGCCACGTCTTGTTCAAGCACTCAGTAGGCTTGATCTTGCAGTACAGTCTGCACTCGATGATAGTGAGCTGTCTGGCGAATTCGAGAGCATCAATATCGAGGAACTTGAGTTTTCTGATATTCTTAGGAATGATCGGAGTAGGTGTCCTTTCGGAGTTCAGTGTCAGGACCAAGCGTTTACCAGGGGCATCTTGTCCACGCATTCTCTGCTCAATAGCTGTCATGAGGGGACCGGCACCTGGAGTGCTGCCAGAAGCGACCGTTTCTTTCGCAAACGAGTAGACTCTATGCATGAGCTGTTGATTCGCGTCGCTATTCTCCTCCATCCAGTAGTTGTCGAACCAACTCTTCAGAATGTTGACTACACGGAATCTGATAGGCTTTTGCTTCTTGTTGACCCAGGTTTCGAGGTCGAGAGGATTCAGGCCGTAGGGTGGCTGCACGTTCCATCGTTTCACTAGTATCTCGAATAGCTCACTGGCAGATGTGAAGGATCGGTATGTAAGTAAGAATGTGTTGTTGAACGGTGAATCCAAGCGATCGTGTCGCGTTAGTTGTTCAACCAGACCAGTCAGTGTACCACCACGCAATTGGGCCGGATGCACCTTAGTGTCGTAAGCGATTTCGCCTTCGTGGTCGAGCTTGAGGAAATCTGGAACGTCCTCCTGTTGTATCGGTGCAGGCACTTCACCAAAGAAGCGCTTCAGTTTCGAGTTATCTGCAAGACGGGGCGTCTCGACAGTAGGCTCAGGGCCTTCCACAAAGCTCCTTGCAGGACCAATACTGTTAGGGTTGCCCCTCAGGGTTGATCCTCCGAGAGATCCTTCGGCATAGGAATTGTCGGAGATGCGGTGATCTTCAGTCGCCACGGCAGCTTCGATCTGAGGCATCATTTCGGCTAGCAGTTGCAGTGAGAATTGCAATTGGCTAGCAGAATTGTCAAGCTCACGCGCAACAAGTTTGACGTGAGTTATGCGCTCCTCAAGCGAACTACCCCTATGATCAGACCACTCGTCGCTCAGAGGACTGGCCACTGTCTGACAGGCAACCACCAGCTCTGAAGAATTGTCGTAGAATTTCTGTTTCTGTGTGCTGAAATCTATGATTTGAGGGTTTCTGAAAGTGGATCCGAGCGGGGCCAAGTTGATACTTTCAACAACAGCAGAGTATGGTCGGCAGGCCTCGATGACTCGACTAGCATCTTCGGAGATCAACTGGCTGGATTTCTTGTGCTTTTTGGGAGTGACCAACTTCTCGTCAAAAGCGAGGCGCTTGTCCAAACGACGGATGCTGATGGAGATGTTCTTTCTCATGTCATCCATGCGTTCTAGCAAAGTCTGGTCAAGATGAGAAGTGGGCTCGATAAGCGTATCTGTGTCTTGCAGTAGAAAAGGTTGCGATGCAGCGGATGGATCACCGAGAACCAGACCATTGTTCTGCCAACTTCCGCCTGAACGAATGCCTGACACAAAGCCAGGCGTGAGGCGCGGAATCTCTTCGCCCCGTTGTTGGCGCGCAACTTCAACATAACCATAAACACCATGCAACAAGCCTTCGGCCTCCAGCAAGCACTTGGAATACGAGTCTGGGGTAGTGAAGTCTGCGGCGGCGAAATGAGAAGACAAGACTAGCTTGGAGAAGCTTGACATCATTTCTCTGAAATGAGGGTACAAGGCTTTGTTAGTCGAGATGATCGAGGGGTTGCCAGAGTGGTTGTCGGTGGTGCCGGAGCCCGCTGCAAGCAAAAGACGGAGGTGGTCCGAGATATCCTCTGCTCTTTTCACAAACTCGCTCTTGTTGCTATTGTCGATTGATTCTCGATAGCGCTGGACAGCTCGGCGCATGTCCTCGACCAGAGTATTCCAGGTAAGTAGGACTGTCTGCGAGTCGTCGAAACAGCGACGTGAGATGACCAGATCGTCTTTCTGTGCAGGCGTGACGGGGCTGTTGATGAAGGATGTCATTGCGGTACCGTTGGACATGTTGGAATGATTGGCGTAGCTTGAGTTGGATGTATCGGCGACATTGGTTCGCGACCTGGTGAGAGGAGACTTGTTCCGGAGCGATTCGGACGAAGTCGCAGGAGAGAGAGGGTTTGAGACATACGAGGCTCGATTTCGCTAGAAGAGAGTAGAGGTTAGNNAAGAGCTGTCTTTGTCTCAGTTAGACACGAGACTCACCAAAGAAGTCCTCGAGCGCGTCATGTCGGCCTCACTTGCAGATTCATAGTCGGCTTCAGACTCGGCACGCTCGTAGCCGCCACGTGCAAGCATCTCGGGTGGAGGACGGGTCTGGTCGTGGGTGAGGACATGGTAGCGATCGTGGGGGCCTGGTTCTTGGTGTTGGGTAGGGTTCTCCAGCGGCAGTTCCATTGTACTGACACCAGTCAAGGTGTTGAAGTAGAAGAGGCGGCCATCGGGCGTAGCCTGTGGTATCCAGAATGCGGCCTCCTCCTGACTGTCTTGCGCAGAGTTGGTATGGCGGTACGAAGAATCGGGAGCCACGTCGTCCAGGTGGTTGCGTGCGTGCGGCTGAGCATGCGCGTCGGAGATGTGGGCAGGTTGAGCAGCGACATCACCTGGCTGAGCAATGAGCTCGCAGTAGTTGCTGGGGAACCATCCTCGCACGCCGCGGATTATGCCATCCCACCAGCCGCTCTCGAGTTGGGTGATGACCTGGATGATGTCGCCTTGCCGGAAGCTCAGACTGGTGCGGTCGTCGGCATCGTAGTCGTAGAGTGCACGCACATACATGGTGCCCATTGGAGAGGACGCGAGGCCATTCATGTTGACATTCACGGGGTGAACACGCCCTGCGGCGTCTCGCAATCGAGGAACTCGGTGTCGCTACTCGATCTCGTGAAGCCTACGGGTCGGGAGGGCGATCGGCGCCGAAGCGTATGTTACGTGGCTGTCGCTGCTTGTACTGCTTGACTGAGGTCGCTGGTCGTCGAGATCGGCGCCGAGTGAATTCGGTCGAGGCTGTGGACTGTGCGAGGGGTCGAAGGGTGAGACTGTGAGACGGCAGTGGAGCAGAGAAGCGACGATCCTTCGGCAAGCAGCAGTGACGGCGAGGGCGCAAAGAGTGACTGCAGTAAGAATGGGCAATGGGTCGTGGGCGGTGTGAGAGCACAGTGAAGGCTGCGTCAAGATGCACCTCCAAGGGTCTACGAGGCCTCACTACCTACGCATTGGGCCAGTGTTTTGGCCTGGATCGATATGCGCCCTGAGTCGTCCTGGTCTGATCCCAACGCCTACTCGTGCTGTATTGTGCCGGCGCCAACCACTCTCAGCTCCCCGGAATGGAACATGAAATGACAACAACCAAACACTGTCTGTTTTCCCGGCCTGCCTCTTCAGCTCCGACGGGTGTTATTTCAAACCCGTTGGCACTCGATGCCGCTTCTCTCTTGCCTACATCTTGGCCCTCTCCATATATCGTCCACTCTCTTCTTGACCACGCCATCGCAAAGTCATGACTGGCTGTCCTTAAGCGCTCACGGCTTTCTACCGTCCTCTGTTGTGCCTGTATTCTTGATAATCATGGCACATCTATATTTACTATAGGGGCAGTAAGTTAATCAAATGCTTGTCAAGAATAGACAGCTACCTTCTTTGGAAACAACCAGTAGTCCTTTGCTCAGAACCCCATCTACCGAGTCTTTGCCTTGTTCTGTTGGTTCTACTGCGTGGTTACTATCTATTGTATACTTGCTTCTACTGTCTGCATTATCGTTAGTGGATAACGGCCCCTCTTCCTGTGCGCGTAAGATCCTGTGATGCACCCACATCGACTCTCACGTGGCCCTCGACATGCCTTATGCATCCTAACCGTGCCCAACCCACCAGTGTCCTGCAACTCCTGCCCCTCTCTCCAAACACGGACTTTTTCAGGCGCCGTGACTGGACTCGGATCGCACAACACCTCCGGCTCCCACAATGTGCAATTTTTCGTCGCGAGACAGGTCTGCAGTTATTATTGAGTGATTGTATTCTGTGCGTGAGATCATCTCGAGTGATCAAGTCGACTTGACTTCCAGCATGTTCTGCGACAACAATATCATTTTCTTGACTGGTCGAACGTCCCATCGTCCTCCATCTCGTCTGGTCGGTACCACACTGTCCTTGCTTGATGTATCACTCGCCCGAGCCAATGATCTACCCCTAAATCAAACACCCACTGAACTAGCTCTTCCGCTGTCAATCATCCTGTCAACGATGCAGTAGTCTCCGGCCCTGGTTTTCGACTTACCGCCACGTTATTTGAGTCTACTCAGATATTCCGTTTTCTGACACGAGGCGCATCGTGATACACCCAAGTCGCGGAGAATGGTGATGTTGTATGTCCAAATGTGGCAACTTACCTTAGGTACCGGTATACTTGCGATCGCAGGCTCAAACACTATCAATGTATTTCGGGTTCAGGTCGTTCCGTAGTGCATGTCGAACTTTCATGTGATACTATTTGGCTGGAGCGCTCGCCGACGTGTGGTACAGAAATAAGCGATTGAAGCAACGTGCATTTCAGTCGGAGGACACCTGCGTCCGCTTGGATTGTATCGCATTCTCAGAGCCTTGTGCGATCATATCGACCAATAACTGCTTCCAGAACCTATCATACGGACCATTTGTCTGTTTATTCCAAGAGTAAACAATTAGCACCAAGAGCGACCATCCATGATGAATGTGCAAGTTCTCCAAAAAGATAATAATACGATATTACCTCTGTGAGCTCAACGCGCGACATGTTGCTACAGCATATGTCGCGAGATGTGATCTCTACGCGACAGTCGTAGCATCGTGTCCTCGTTCAGGGCCGAGTCCAGAGGCTGAAGAACCGTCCTGCAATCGTGTCGATTTAACGTCCATCCCTTTGTCAACGTCTCTGCGATACGTTACAAAGGGCGAAACCTGCTAGACCGATCAATCACTTCCGGATATGAGCGATCAGACGTGGCCACCCGGATCATGAAATTCCACGCAGTAAACCGGACAATCCGCGTTCATGCCACTTTCAATCAACGACCCGTCGCGAGGTCAAAGTGCCGTGAAGAGACAAATCATCAATCAGAGACGCGTCTCGTGTTGGACAAGCTTCGTCAATGCCGAGCCATATTCAAACCGGGGAGGCGATTCCACGAGCCTACGCGCCCCCTAAAGCTGTCCGTCTCTGGACCAATACCCCGGTCAAGGTGGGTGGCAAGGTCGTGTCGAGATTGCATCAATGTCCCAGCTTCCATTGCTGGGGGACCGCCGCAGACTTGAGAAGCCGGCTTCCGCCCAAGACTTAAAATGAAACAATAGTGGTATACTTATGAATGATGTAGAAATCGACCCCTTTTCCAGCTCTGTAGACGAGGCATGTTGCTCAGACTTGTTTCAAGAACGAGCTGCTGCTTGAGATGTCCATTGAGTTGAACCTCTGACTCGAAGGCAACTTTTGCAGTTGAAATCTCTGATCAAAAAATGTCGTCGATGTTCAAAGAGATTCAAGAGTTGACGCGCTAAGCATCCGGTTCGCGGCGAGCGAGGGGTGAGCACCGGCGTGCAAACGGAAGACAGCATCCGCTGGGAGCTAAGTGGGGCATACTAGATGGGCCGACCCGCACCCTCTCGTCCCTCCGATTTCCTCATGATGGTAGACGAGCACATGCTCATGCTGGATAACAGAAACCACGTGCTGGAGGGACTTTTGGAATCTGCAAGAGTATGTCAAATATGCCAAACAAGCGGTCGGATCATGAACAGAAAGTTTCGAGAACAAACTCGAGCTTCTTTCTGATCGCGGACCAGAATTGACAGAAAAAGAAAAGCATGATGATCAGATTTGTCCCAAAAAGTTGGGACATGGAAGGTTCGCTGGAACCCCAAGACAGCTGCCGGATCGAGGTTCCTATGCCTTAGCCCGGGTTAGGCCATCGATAATTCTGCGAGATGGGCGCGATGCCAGGAACAAGTAATTTGGTCGGGACCAAATACGGAGAGGGTCATGCAGCTTGAAGATCGTCCAAACACGACACATGAAGCGATGCAAAGATCATGACGGTGTTTGAAGCTCTGCCTTCCGAGTCGACAAAGGGATCAGTCTCTCTGTTGGCCAGTCGCGGTGATGAGATGATAAGGGGGCTGGGTTAGGAATAGAAGATACATCGGCGTCCGGCTACATGCATAACGTGGCGCCTTGCACAGACTCGCAGTGGCTCAAGTGCGCATTGAAATCGAATGCGCATGATGAGTTGTCTTTGGACTGGAGTTGGAGAAAGCTGCAGCGGATGGCGAAGGTGCAAGTCTGGCGGTCTGGCAGCAACACAGAACAACGAGTGTCCAGTTAATATAGAGGCATCGCTAATTAGTCGAGAGATCAGACGGAGACGGCACGGATTCTTGTGCTCTTTGGCAAACGCGAAGTGGTGATTTGACGGACGTCGCGTGCGTACAACCCAGTCATGACGAGAAGGCGCTGAACAACGTTTTGTTTCGCTGTCAACGTGCTAGCGACTGGGCTGAAGTAGTCAGATAGACTCCCCAGAGGCGAGAGCATGGGGCAAATGACAAGGACAGGCCGCCAAAGGGATGGCGGGCTTCACACGACAGGCGACAAGCAAGTTGCGACTTGCAACAATCCAAACAGGAAATCAGCCACAGGCGTGATGATTACCTGCTAGTTTATGACAGCGCTCGGACACCAGAGGCAGGGTTGTTGCCCCGCGTGTAAACTGGCAGTCGCGCCCGCTTCTTTTGCTGATGCCCTTCCGTTTTTGAGTTCTTTCCCCTCGTTCCTTCCTTCTCACATCATTGATCTCTGCTTCGCTCTTGCCTCGTACCCCTCCTTCCCTCCCATCTCTCAACTTTCCCCCACCTTGCGTGGCCTTATTGTCTTGTAACCTGCGTCGAGACGTCTGAAAGGGCATCGTCGCACTCCCACGTTCAATGAGCAGCATAATATCGCCCATGCAACATAATCATTACAATCAGACCCCGTTCATCAAGACTTAATCCCTACGCGCCGGTTGGCTCCTGTTGTCTGGACATAGCCCGAAGCATTCAACATCTTCACCTCGCCCGCCACCACCTCTTTCCCTGAACTCCGACCGCTCGCAGCGTCCCCTACATCCACCATGCCTGCTGCCTCATCGTCTACCACTCTTCTTCCCGCCGCCGGCTCGGCCTCGCCTTCCATCAGCCGCAAGTCCTCAGCCTCCGCTCCCGAAAAGAAATACAAGTGCCAGTTCTGCAATCGCGCTTTTAGCAGAAGTGAGCATCGCAGCAGACACGAACGATCGCGTAAGTTGCCCCACCCCGCCACACCACCACTTATTAGACACTGACCATTTTCTCCCAGATACCAAGGAACGCCCCTTCAAATGCCTCAAGTGCCGTAGCACCTTTGTGCGCCGCGATCTTCTCCTACGCCACGACCGCACTGTACACGCAAAGGATGGAGGTGTGCCGCTGCAGAGCGACACCAAGCGAAGGAGTAACGCGTCCAAGCAGTCGCCGGAAGTCGTCCCGCCCAAACTTCCCATCGGCATGGAGCAAGCAACCATCGAGCAGATGAGTGCTGATGATGGTCTTTTCGGTGTTGAAGAAGCCGCCATGCTGATGACCAACTTCCAGCAGAAGGCTGCCATGTCCACGCAGGGATCCATGCCCGAGCCCATCCTGGCCGAGCCCTCGTACTCTCAAGCCGGGTCCATGACTCTTCCTCAGATGCAGTCGCAAACTCACTGGGACACAATGGAGACGATGATGCCACATCCTATGGCCAAGTCGCAGTCAATATCGTCTCAAAGCACCGCAACCGGTCATGATGGTCGCTTGCCAGCCAGCGCCATGAGTATCCACAACCAGCTACCTCCGCTCATGGAGCAGCAGTTTGGTAATGCGTCGCTCTCGGCACTTGGAACGCCTGGTGCTTTGTCTCCCTTCACTTCGATGATGGGACCCGTGTCTCCAGTTGACTACCGTCGCTCGCCTGGCCCGCCTCAAGTTTGCACGATGCCTAAGCCGCCCCAGGTCGAGTCTGAGGAACAGATCGCCAGCATTCTATCGAACATCAAGCACTGCGATAGCGAAGGTGCTCTGCTCGACACATTCCGTCTTCCCCACGGCGACGACCTGAACCGTTATTTGTCGACATACTTCAACCTCTTCCACCATCACTTGCCCTTCTTGCACCCCTCGTCGTTCAATCCGGCACATGTCTCGGCACCCCTGCTCCTATCGGTCCTCTCAGTCGGTGCGCTTTACGCCTTCGAGCAAGATTCTGCATACATGCTTCATATTGGATCTAAGCTCCTAATCAACCAGTTCCTGGTCAACAAGGAAAACTTCAGTTCCCGCAAGTGTCCTATCTGGGCTATGCAAGCCACTCTGCTTAACATGATCTTCGCCAGCTGGAGCGGCGATCCGAAGGGCCTCGAGTGGGCCTGCTCCGTCAAGAGTCTTGTTGCCAACATGGTCGCTGGTAATAGGTACGAGCTCAAGTTGCGTTCTGAGGCCCGCCAGGGCGCGCAGCCTAACCATCAGGAGTGGATCGAAGACGAGAGCTGCCGTCGCACATACTACGCTGTCTACATCTTCTTTGGCCTACTGACCATGACCTACAACCACACGCCTGCCATCAGCTTTAACGAGTTCGACACACTGGAGCTGCCATCTTCGGAAACCCTGTGGGCCCTTGATGTAAATCAGAGTGCTATCTGGCATGAGAGCATGAAGACCACGAATATCATCACGTTCCAGGAATCCCATTGCAATCTCTTCCAGGGTGAGCCTGCTCGTTACAGTGCCTTCGCGACTCGCGTCATGATCAACGCTCTCTTCCTCGAAGTCTGGTACCACAAGAGATGTCCCGAGGCCTTGCAGGACGTTGTGACCGAATACAAGCTTCGTCTGGCCTTGGAGTCATGGGAGAAGTCTCTCGAGATCTGTGAGCCTGAGACTGTCGTTGTTCAGCTCAGCGCACCTCACCGTGGACATCCTCTCATCTTCAACGCCATGGCTGTGTACCGTAACACTACTGCTAGACTCATGGTCGATCTCAAGTCGGTCCAAGAGGCTCTTCGCTACCACGATCCTTACGAAGTTGCCGCTGCTATGACCAACGCAAGAGACAAGGTCAAGCGCTCTCCCGAGATGCTCAAGGTCATCCAAGCCTGCTTCGATTGTGTCGAGGTCGCCGCCGTTCATGGCATTCGTTGGGTGGCTCGCACTTCTGCCACCAACTGGAGCATTGAGCACCCTCTGTGTGGGCTTGACCTGATGGTCATCTTGACACTCTGGCTCTGGCGCGTTGAGCACGACGACGAAGCTCCCAATGCTGAAGAGATTGCCATGTACGAGAAGCTTCGCAATCTCTTCGACGACGACTCAGTCGAGATGTACGGCAAACTCAGCTCAATGGTTGCCCGCATTTGGGGCAGCATGATCGATGAAGTGGTTGTCTGGGGCATTACCAAACTTATGGGTGAATCGTTCAAGCTCCACGCTCAGGCACTCTCTGGTTATGAGGAAGCAATGCTTGCCCAAGAGCAGGCGCATACTGCCCCCACCATGACCTCCCACAATCTCGCGGTGGCTGCCTACTGACACTGCAATCCACCTTTCACGACCCCTCCTCCGACCAAATCTCATGTCTCTGTTACTGATCCGTCTCATACCCGAGACGGATGATCTCCTCTCACCTCTTTGCGTTTGCTTATATTTCTTCATCTCCTTTTGCCGCGTTATGACTTTCGCAGCAAGATGCTTCAAAAGCGTGCGGTCGTCATGGTATTCTGCTCTTCCATTGGGTTTGCCGGCAACGGTTTTGGTGGCGGGTTTGGGTTTGGTAATAACCTCTCTTCCTTAATACCCCATCTACGCCTCCTAGTGTCGGCTGGCCCGCCTTGTCTAATCTGTTGATTTTTTCCTGCGTTTTCTTGCTCTCTTTCCTGCTGCTTCGGACCCAGAATACCAAGGTTTCTTTTTTTCTTATGCGAATGTGTTTGGGAAGTATTGTTTATTTGGGTTTCTGCTTTGTTGATGTTCTCGGAGATATCTTGCAGTGCGCATAGCGTGGTTTCTGCTACCTTATCTTTCTTTCACACTTCTGTAGAGCATACATGTCATCTTTGTCTTCATTTCATGACCTGTGTCTTGTGTTCTCATGATATCCGATGTGATCGTGAAGTGCTTCCATAGAACTCTGTCTAGCCTCCAATGCCATCCGATACTGACCAAGTCGTATACCCAAATCTATTTCGATGCTGTAGGTGGAGCACCAGCATTGCGACCCGAGAAAGCTGCATGTTCGTGATGCGGCTTGTAATAGAAACCATTCTCTCTGGGCATCAATTCGGGCTCCAAGTTTGCAAAGACCGTCTCCAACAACCTCTTGATACCGTCCTCGTGGCCAGCATCCCTATTCCACACCTGCACCAACACACTCGTGAACCTGACACTCAAACTGACACCACAAATGTCGTCTCTGAACTGCTGTCTGTCGCTCTCCACCGCGGCCTGCAGTTTCTCACCCACGGCGAGCAAGCAGATGCGTTCCCAGAAGGCTGGAGCGCGGTCCTTTGGCACGCGAAAGGTCCAGCAGCCGCCGTGGGCGTTGCGGGGGTCTTCCCAGAGTGGCTTTACGTTTCTGTGGAAGAGGTGGACGGAGTCGCGGANGGGTAGGGCCGAGACGTCGAAGTTGTTAAAGACGTTCCAGAAGGTGCGGACGTCGGAGATTGAGGCTAGGTGGACAAGTCTGTCTTCGTAGTTTGTTGGTGATTTGTCTGTGGGAGAGGTTGTGGGGGGAGCAGCTGGTGGAGTGGTTATTGATGGAGAAGTGGTGGTGTTGGTGGTGCGGTTTTGACGATCGTGCCAGAAGTCCCAGGCGTGGACGAGAGGTGGTGCGCGGAGTTTGTTCAGAAGGTTTGCACGCATCTCTTTGCCACGAGCTGGAGTTGTTGATGCTGCTGCTGCATCGTCTGCTATCGCACCCAGGTTCTGGAATCCGGACATGTTTTCCGAATTTCCTGATACGATCTTGTTGTTTCTCTTCTCTATTTGACGTCAGTTCTGAACATTCAGGTCTTTCTCGGCAGAGTGAGAATGGTTTTCTGTCTTCTTTGCATATCCACACCTTGCAGGAAGGGGTAAAATCTGGACATGTAAATCACTTACCAGCGATTGAAGAGTGCAGATACTAGAATCCTGAAGTAAGGTCTCAACGTTGACAGGAAACCAGTCAATAGTTATGTACAAGCAAGAAAACCGAAGAGTTTGTGGTTGATGCAAAGGTGCAAGGTCGTCAGGGCTGGTGTCTTCTTGTCGCTTCCGGCAGTAAACAAAGAAAAGTGGTCGGCTGTTGTTCCTTCCATTCACAAACCAATGTTCATTATGTTCAAGCAGCTTACTTCCTTGCTTCGACGTCCTCTTTATCACCTTTGTGGTTTCGCTAAGCGCCCGTGCAATTGGTGAGCTGTCATGTGAGATTGAAGTGTGATTGCGGTTTTGTTTGGGGAAAGGGGTCCAGCACTCTCTCCACCTTGTGTGCTTGGACTCTGTTTCAGAAGTCATCCTCTGGAGTCTAGCACGTGCCTTTGTATACGACCTTTCAGAGATAAACAAGGTCGAGTATCTGTAGGGGATTTATATCATCTCATATGTCCCTCCATTATAGACAGAACGTCGCCGAAGTTCAGAAACGGTCGGCTTCTTGATCAAGTCCCCAGGATAGCCCCCACTACCTCTGCCGCGTTGCTTTGCTTTGCCCTGACAAGATACTCGGTAGTACATATATCTTTCATTTAAACCTCTTCTCTTCCTCCTCTCTGAGTTTTTGCTCCGGTGACTCAATTGAACATCTCCCTCAAGGACGAAAACAAACAAGATGGGTCTCCCACCCCAACTAACCCTCCTCCGACCTCTCCTCCTCCTCTCCTACTCAGCCTCCTACGTCCCCATAACAATATTCCGACTCCTGACCTCTTCGCCTTCAAAACTGCTCTCCTGGTCTTCCTTCCAACACGCCTGGTTCGGAAACTTTTGGTCCTGGTTCGGCGGTGTATCCCGCGAAAACGCCAATGCCACTGTTTCCCCTCTGGTCCGCGCAAACGTGTCTGGCATCGTCCTCGACATCGGCCCCGGAAGCGGAGAATGGGTGTACCTCTATGCAGCCACAGCAAACAAAGTCACCAAAGTCTATGGCGTCAAGCCCAATCCCGAACACCATGCTGCACTGCGCAGACGAGTGCAAGCTGCGGGCTTAAAAGGCATCTATGAGATTTTGCCAGTGGGAGCTCAAGATTTGGGGAGCGTGGGGTTGGAGGTCGAGTCTGTGGATACGATAGTCACGTTGCAGACTTTGTGCAGTTGTCCTGGTCCTCAAGATATCATCAAGAGTTTGTATCCTTATTTGAAGAAAGGGGGTACGTGGTTGGTCTATGAACATGTCAAGACAAAGTATCATGATCATCTTGTTGGTTATTGGCAACGTAAGTGTAGACAGCAAAAAGCTTTAGTGTTGTTGTTCGCTCTTTACTGACTTTGATAATTCCANGCGTTCGTCAATCTCATCTGGCCGACTTTCTTTGGCGGGTGTGACATCACTAGACCAACTGATGAATGGCTTCGCGAAGCTGGCGATTGGGAGGAAGTCTCGTTGAGAGCAGGAGAGGGCGAAGGTCCATACGATACCATCCCTCACTCGCTCGGCACGCTCGTCAAAAGAAAGTGATTTACACATATACTTGTGCTCAATGTACATGGAGCAAAACATAGCAATGAGGATCTTCTGTTATCGATAACTGATATACAATGTACCGCCCGAATGCAACTTAACACCCAAGATACAATGCCAATGAGAAGAGCCGAGAAAACATCATCCGAATGTATGCAAACAAGAGGACAAAAAAAAGCACAAAACGCTATGATCAATCGCCCTTTGTCCTGTTGCCGCTCCTGTCTCTTTTCGGCTTCGCGGTAGCGGACGTCAAAAAGTCATCCGGAATATCATTCCAATCACGCGTTTGTGGAAGAGGTCGACTGGGTGGTCTTGAGCTCTCTTCATCACTACTGGTATCATAATCATCAATATCGTCAGGGTCCGTCTTGCGGCGTGTAAAAGCTGCAGGTGGACCGTTCCCTGTCTGATATTGACCCAAGATCTGTGCTGCTTTTGAGGGGGAACGGCGACCGGCAAGAGGTACACGAGTAACACCGTTAGTGGTAGTCAGATATCTGCCTTCGTCATCGTCTTCCTGCTCGCCTGACCAAGTGGGTTGGACATGTGGCTGTGGTGGATGTTCTTGCTGCTGTTGCACTGGAGCAGGGCCTCCAAAGTACCTTCCTGCACCATATACGCCAGCACCCCACTGCGCACGTTGAGCCTGGTAGTCCCGCCACGAGCGGCGTTCAGACTCTTCTCGCAGTTGACGGTCTTGGGCTACTTCATCACGACGGGCTATCCAATGAGCACTAACCTCCCATCTCCAACCATCCCCCTCGGTGTTACAGACGGGGAAGAACCACAGATATGGGTTGTGGCCGAAAAGGTCCAGCAGGTTCCGTCGCCAACCGAGGTCGAAGGCATGCGGCAGCTTATCGCTGTCTTGCTCGTCTAGATACTCGGCATAGCGCTCTCGCTCACGGTCTGCTTCCAGACTTGCGTAATTACGACGTAGACTGTCCGAAGCAGGAGACTCGAACGACGAGTTTTGGGTAGGCAAAGGGGTCGGGTTTCTCGACTCTTCGCCTTCCTCTGGCCTGGTAACACCAGGCACAGCATTTGCATGAATCTCCTTGAGCTGTTCGCCCAGCGTAGGCTCGTCGGAGGGATCATCGTGCATGTAGTGTCTCTCGTGATTGTGTATTTGACGTTCCATGCTCTTTTTCAAGGGGCTGAAGTAGCGAGTCTTTTCTAGACTCTCGATGGTTGTCTTGCCGGTGGTAGCCAGGTAGATGTGCCAGGAGGTGAAGCCCGTCAGGACGAGGCCGATGATTCCTCCCAGAACAGCGAGCAGGATGACATTGACAATTCTTAGTCCTTCCTCGATCTTGGTCTCGTCGAATATGTCACGCCAGACGAACTCGGTAGCGGTCGCGAAGGCGAGCCAGCAGAAGAGGGATGTGTAGGATAGGAAGAGCAGGAAGGCCTTGTAGTTATACATGCCGACGCAGGTGGCTAGCCAGGGGCAGTGGTGGTCCATCTTGAGGACACAGCGGTTGCAGGAGCTACAGTGGTGGGTGCGGTCGGGTTTGATCGAGTTGCACTTCTTGCAGTATCGTGGTTTGCCCGACGACTTGGCCGTGAGTGGTGTAGGCGTGGCAGATTCATGGGTAGGGAGGGAGGCGTATCCGCCGGTGGCTGGCGAGTTTGTAGGAGAACCAGGATCCTTGAAGACAGCGATTGTATAACACGAGACGGCAAGCGAGTAGAGAACGAGACCGACAAAGGACGATGTCTTGCCTAGACTGGAGTGTCAGCAGGGTCGAGACTCGAGAACGAGAGGCGTCTCTGTACCTGTCCATTTGCCTTGGTTGGGCCAGAAGCCGATGCTTATCTGGACCCAGGCGGCCCACGACAACAGGCCATAGACAAAGCAGAGAGGGAAGTAGGATAGCGCTCCGCAGCAACACCGTTCGACCCGCCGTGCCCAGCTCTTGCGCTTCCGGTGAAAGTCTCGCGACGATGACATGATGAATGGATACTCAGCACATGTCTTCTACTCCAACTCGTCACAAGGATGCGAAAAATGTTTCTGTCCGACTCTCGCTGGCCTCGTCGTCGTCGGTTGACTCGTGGCGTATGTGGCGGTGCCCGGCACGCACAAGGGCCCGGTCCGATCGACTCCACCTCCCGAGTCCCCACCGACCTGTGTTTCATCGTCAAACGTTCAGAAACACCATCTGCATGTGACATCCATTATCATCAACTAAAGTACATTTCTGTCTGGTGCTATTGCTTCGATTCGTGATACGTGAGCTTCATGACTTCTGCCAGCTGACAGAAAGCTGCTTAACCCTGCTGCCAGAGCTTGCTGTGCTTGCCCTCGATGCTAACGCCGTCCATCCCCTGAATCTCTTCGTCTGTCAGTCTCCAGCCAAACGCCTGAATGTTGCTCTTGGCCTGCTCGAGATTTCTGATACCAACAACGGGGTTGACGCCCTTGCTGATGTTGTAATTGAGCGCCACAGCAGCCATGCTGACTCCACGCTTTTCTGCAATTCCCTTCACCACGTTGAGCGTGTCTTGAATATCCTTGATAGGGTACGAGCTGAAGCGATATGTCTTTGGTGGCTCCTTCTCAGGTGTCCACTTTCCAGTCAATCGACCTTGTGCTAGCGAAGAGTATGACTGGAATTGAATAGCGTTCGCGCGACACGCTCTCAGCATACCCTCAGTCTCGGGAAGACGTCGCATGACGTGGAACTCGCATTGGTTCAGCTCCAGCGGAATGTCGTACTGAGCCAGCTCCTCCTTCATCTGCAGCATGTCTTCTTTGCTGTAGTTGGCAACAGCAACTACCTTGCAGAGACCCTCGTCCACGCATTGCGCCAGCGACTTGGCAACTTGCTTGATGCTACCGGCGTGGATATGTCCATGAACCATATAGACGTCAACGAAGTCCAGGTGCATGCGCTCCAGTGACTCCTTAAGCATCTTGTACGGCGCAGATGCAGGCGTGAAGATGTTCTTGAAGTTGTCGGGGACGACGTAGTACTTGGTCTGCATGACGAAGCTGTCGCGAGGCATGTCCTTGACAAGCTCACCACAGATTCTCTCACTCTCGCCCGAGCCGTAAGCCTGAGCAGTGTCGATGTCTAGAATGCCGTCAGTATCGATCAACTTCGCTCCAATCTGAGCGCGACTCACNNAGGTGAGGCCGTTGTCGACCAGGTATTTCCAGGCCTCGTTCAGACCTTCGCGTTCCTTTGGGTCCCAATGCCATGTCGCCTTGTCACCCCATGCCCATGCTCCAATAGATAACCAGGGAATCTGGACATCTTCCTTCTTGCCTTTCAAAGTGATGCGCGTCGAGGTTTGGGGAACGAATGACTGAGGCAGGACTGCTGCCATGCCGTCGAATGAGGGATCGACCTTGTTAGGTGTTTCCGAGTGATAGCCTTCGGTGGCCGAAAAGCCGGAGCTGAGTGCGGTCTGGAGAATGTGCTGCATGTTCTGTATGTTTTGTGTGTGCGGTTGGAGGTGTACCAAAAAGGATAAAGACAAACACTGCTTATGACGACCTACGATGTGTATATATACCTTGCGTCTCGTGGACTACGTAGCTGCTTTGATACAGGGAACAAAGATCATGAAATCATTTGCAGTCTGCAGACCACCCGACACCGAGGGCAGATGAGGCAGATACTCCAATGAAGTGTTAACGGGGAATTTTTGCACACTACTCGGAGGACCGCCACGTCCTTCCATCGTGGTGATGAAGTAAAGATGACGATTTATGAGTCCACCGACTTCTTCTGCAGGGATTTGCGGACATGCATGCCTCGCAAAAGTCTCGTGATTGTAATCTGTCCTGAGGACGGCTTGTTGTCCATCTTGCGTGTGCACGAAATACCATGTGAAGCGAACGACAGACTCTTCGAGACATCAAGAATGGAAGAAGATCGGAAGTATTGGTGCATCGCTGGCAAAGGACATGCACATCCCGAAGATCATCCTGGCAAGCTCGATAGGTCTGGAGGCAAACCCAACCTGTGGGCATGGGATCAGGCAAAGCTCAGTCGAGAGTTGGCTGATCTGGAGGAGAACCCTTTGCATAGATAGAAAACGTGCGCCGAGCTTTGGGTGTCCACAGTATCCAGGTATCTTCGTGACCCCAACACGAAATAGGCATGTGAGATTGACTCCCAGGGCGAAGTCGGGGTCAGTTGGAGATGCAGATCCCGGCACCGGGTTGATGCGAGATAAGCTTTCGAGAACCCAAGCAAAGAGCCCAGCAACCAGATTCCATACTGTAGCTCTTACCAAATGTCCAGCATTGTATTGCGACGCTTATGGTGAAGGAGAAGCCCTGTTTGCCCTCGCCATAGCGAAACACAATTGCGTGACGAGAACCGTTCACAGAAACACGACTTTTCCAAGCCATGGTGCAAAGAAACCAACCCAAAAACGGCAGAAAGCGGGTCCCGCACCTTGATGACCGAGGGACCAAAACAAGAAAGCCCTTTCTGCCACCAATAAATTTGCCAGGAAGCCGGCGTGGCCAAAGAGAAAGAGAGGAAAATTCTAGGCAGGCTTGCGTGTACAGTCATAAGGCGTGTTTGAGGAGAGATCGGGTTCGGTAGGTGTAGATAAGGCACAACAAAGCCATCTCCGACGGCAGACAGGGATAAACGACAAGAAAAGAAAAATCACATACACATATCGCAACCTATCAACTCTCGTGTATCCTGGTATACAGCAGCCGCGCTTCGTATCAACAAAAACCGTCCCTTCCCACACAACATTTGGCTCTCCTTTGTCTTCGCTCTCCTGTTCGGTCCATCAATTTTCTGCGACAATGCCACAAACAGCACAAGCAACAGCCGACGACACATCACCGCCGCGCAAGGCGTCTCCTGAGCCTTTGGACGTCAAGAAGCCTGGACTCTTCTCACGACGACGGATCTTGGGACCTGTCGACAAGGAATATGGAGACGCCGCGTTGTTGGTGCACTCATTTGTGACGGGTCTGATCGATGCGGCCTCGTTCGCCAATTGGGGTGTCTTTGTGGGGATGCAGACTGGTAGGTGATGATGTTTCTTTTCCATGTTGCTTCTTGGAGCCATTCCATTCCGGCTGTTCGTCGCTGCAAATATGGATGTATCTCATCGCTACGAAAACAGAGAGCACGACTCTGAAGGGTCCATTCCAGTCACTGGATAGATGTCCTGCTCTCTCCTGCTCCTTGCCTACCTTTCACCACCGACTCTATCTAACATGTTTCTAGGCAACACTGTGATTCTAGGTCTGTCAACTGCTGGACTCCCAGATAACCCTCACGCCTGGACAACCACCCTGGTCTCTCTTGCCTCCTTCCTCTTGGGCGCCTTCCTCACCTTCCGGAGTACTTCGCTCGTCTCCCCCAAAGGCATTACCAACAACCGTCTCTGGCTCACCACGATCCTCCTTGTCCAAGCTCTCCTCGTCATCATCTCGGCCGCCATCGTCAGCGCCAACCTCATCCCTCACAATCGCCCTGGCTACCCCGACGACGAACACAAAGCAGGCGTCATCAACAACATTCTCATCGTCAGCTTATTCCCTCCTCTGGGTTTCCAGTCTGGCATGCAGATTGCTACTAGTCGCTTGTTGGGCTATAACGAGTTGCCGGTCAATGTGTTGACGAGTACTTATTGCGATTTGATGGGTGATGCTAAGCTGTTCGCATTACATAACGTCAAGAGAAACAGGAGAGCGGCGGCTGTGGTGCTACTTTTCGCCGGAGCTGTCATCAGTGGATGGCTTATGCGCAGTCAGGGTGGTTTGCAGAGTGTGTTGTGGGTTGCTGCTGGGATCAAGCTATTGGTTGCTCTGCTTACACTTACTGTCCATCCTGGCAAGACAGAGTAGTTGGATGGTTCGATACTAAAGAATACAAAGCACCATCCTGCGGGTATGTTGTACATAGAAAACACAGAGGCCTGTAGCTTTCTTTGTTGAAGGTGTATATCACCTGGCACTGGCGTTCAAGACGCTGAAGTTGAACATACACATAAAGTAATGTAATAGTACACAAACACATGTTCAGCTATGGACATTGAAAGAAGTATGATGTCGTCCTTTAACGTCACAGCAACCTATCAGAGCGCATTGTAATAATGAAGAACCGAGTTGTCTATGCTCATGCTCGGTTTCTTTACTCGGGGCCGTGTGGCTCGATAAATTCTACGGGGTCCCTTGTACCGTCTCTGCCAACGTAAGGATTCTTGGTGTGCATCCGATATGACAAAGCTTTCAAGAGATCGGATGAGAGAGGTTCGGTGGTTCTTCTCGATCACAGCTCCATACTTTTCTCCGAACGTCAAGAGGTCATTTGCGTCGCGGGTCCTGGCTGTTGCACTCTCAACCGAGTCCGAGTTCTAGTCGAAGATTGTCAGTCTTATAAGATATATTCGAGTGAAGGAAAACTGACTACGTGTGAGGTGCAGATATGCTCAGGACGATCTGCGTGTGGGTCGTGGTCGAGGTGCTCTCCTGTCTTGACTGTCTGTTTGTTTCTTATGTCTCAATCAACACCTCTTTTTCCAAAGTCTGCATGACTGGCGGCGTCTTCATACAAGTCTCTCTTCGTCTCTGCCTTCTCCTGGACTGGGAAGAACTCTTCTTCCTTTCTCTGGCTCTCAATCTCATCATTGTCAGACTTCGTCTCCTCGACAGCAGACTTCTTTTCCTCGCTGATGATTGTCTGTGCTTCAAGGATCTTCTGTCTCTCTGAGCCGGTGGCTGTATTCAGTATGACGGTGCACTTCGTCATGTCGGTGTAACTGTTCGTCGATTGTGGAACGGTCCTGATGTTGTTGCGCCCTAGAGTGTTCGGATTTGATCTGAAACTAGCGAATATACCGTAGGAATGGGGAGACGAGTGGACGCAAATTCACAGTGGTGCCTGAATAGTGGTGTACTCAACGCCAGAAGACCTTCGAGACATGTCGAGAAGTAATGAAAAGATCAGCAGTCATTTGAGTGTTTGTCACAATACAGAAATTGTACCCAAGAAGGACGTGTTGGGAAATTCGTAATTCATTATCAGGTGCTGTCAAGAATTCTTGCAGTCTAGAAACTTCTCATCGCAAGAGACGGACTTTTGATAGCTGCTCATTCTGGCGTTGAGTCTTTGGTGGGCCTTCGTTCAAGATCCTGTCCAGACCAAGATCACGCCAAGCAGGTTCTTGCTGACGCTGGGTGGCTCTCTGAATTCCAAAGGCAGCGTGTTGTTCAGGGACAACGTCGTCTTCGTCGTCAGGGTTCAATGGCTGGTGCTGAGGTGGTACGTAGATTTCTTCGTGAGGCAGATGAGTACGATTGAAATCCTCTAGAAGATCGGCATGGTGGCTGCGATGCAGGTGGATGTAGGTGTGTGAGGAGTCTTTGGTCTACATGCAACAAATGAGTTTCAAGACCACGACTCTATGACAACATAGCGGCCTACCATGATGACAATTAGTCACCTGCATAGAATATTGTTTATGTTCTGATATTGTTGGCGTGCAATGGCGACGAAGGACAAGCAGTCAGTAAACAACCCCGGGTCGCATGTCCGAAGCGGTTAGCGCCTTGGCACAGCAGAGCGTCGCACTTTGCTTCCAACGAAAATCCGAAATTCAGATCTCTCATTCAGCGACGACAACCAGCAAACCGTACGACTTCAAGTGTGTATTTCTCTTCACTCGCATCGGAATCGCAAAAGGACTCTTTCTAACACGCGCTTTTTCTCGTCATCAGGACCTTTACGGCAACCCATACACCGCAACCATGTCTCACGAATCTGTCTGGTACTCGCGTCCTCGCACCTACGGCAAGGGCAGCAGAGAATGGTGCGTTCACACTCTACGATCCCCGTCGCCCGCTTGAGAAGCACACGAGAAGAAAGAGAAGGAATACACTGGTGTCGTGCGCGCGCTTGGGCGAGGGGATCCATACGTTGAAAACGAGAACATCTGGCTGACGAACTATGTCTTCTACAGCCGCGTCTGCACCCACAAGGCTGGTCTCATCCGCAAGTACGGCCTGAACATCTGCCGTCAGTGCTTCCGTGAGAAGTCCACCGACATTGGTTTCATCAAGGTACGCATTCACAAATCCACGCATCTCCGTGCCAGACCCGCAACCGACATGCGCTCTGGAGTCATCACCTGTCGGAGGCTAACACCCTGCCACAGCACCGCTAAATGCAACGCCCCAATTGTTGGGTCTGTCGTCGTCGCACGTCAAGCAAAGGAGGATGAGTTGATCATGACAGGAGTCTTGGGTGGTGCTTGCAACGCAATTTTACATGGGTTCAATGGCTCTTACTATCGGACATGGAATGAAGCTCGTCCTCTGCTCGCAGATCAACGAAAAAAGTCAAAAGCTGTTTCTTGTCGCCCTAACGAAATCATTGTCTTGATGTTCATGAAATTTCGGTGCCACTTTGCCATGCAGTATCTTGCATGACCAGTATGGTCTGTTCCTTGCATGTTCGAGTAGTCGTTTTTGTTTGGACCATATGAAACTTGATTACACCCAGCTGCAGTCCTGTGAGGCTGTGCCCTGGTCAAGTGATATGGTAGAGCTGCAAGGCCGCGCCATGTTCCCCATGTTTCCTTGCCTGTCCGCGGCAGCATACATGAGGAAAGGGACGAATATAGCGGTAGTATTGGATATGTACGACTTCTCGAATGCGGTTTCCCCTCCCTGTTAATGATCAATGACATCGGCGGTCGAGATCAGATCGTGCTGTGACATGTGGTCTAATCTTTGCTTCTCGCTCTGTGCTCTCAACTTGGAACATGGCATAAATCCGAGTCAAGGGCAATAGCCAGCCCGCATTTGAGAGCCGAGGAGGCGACAAAAGGAGATTGCCTGTACAATTTTCGCTTGTGCAATGCTTTTCAGCTCACCATAGGCCTCGCCTGAGTCGTATCTCTGCAGAAGCAAAGGCTATGAATTAGGCTGTACAAGAAGATTGACGCTTTGCAAGGATAGGCATAGCATCGAGGTTTGCGAGTCAGGGAGCAAAAGGAAGGGGCAGGGTCAAATCATGGGGAATCAAGGAACAGACAAAGACGCAGACGATATGAGCATTATATTGGCTAAAGGTCACAACGTCCAACGAAGCAGATGTACTATTGCTGTTGTTGGTCAATGCAATGGAAGCAACCCATGCATCTCCATTTCCAGATGACCGTGGACGACGGTGGTTGCGGGTCGAGTGGCAACGGTGAGTAGCCATGTCGAGGCTCAACTAGGCCTAAGAAGAAGGCAGCGGGTGTTGAGTGGACTTTTGGTGGTGGGCGAGACTCGGGAGCTAGGCCAATAATGCTCATAGCTAGGAGCAGCAAGCCGGCCGTTGCAAAATGAAGCCAACGGGCAACACCGGGAATGGTGTAAAAGGACAGAGAAGTCAAGAGAGGAGGAAACGGGCGCTTCCTTTGTGGGATCTGGGCACAGGGCTAGAGACACGCGAGCGAGCAGAGTCTACAGGCCGAAGAAGACACAGGAGCAGGGAGAAGTGCACAGAGATGAACAATCTGTAGGCAGGTCGGCACAGACGGACAGGCGCAGACTTCTCCTACGCAGTTTGATGAAGAGCAACATTTGGTGATTAGAGTTGGCTACTCAGATTGCTGGCTCCACCAGCCTGCTCCCGTTTGAATGGACCAAGCCGTACCTTGGCCGTTTACCGAGAGTTGCTAGTAGCGGCGCTCGGACGTTTCTGCGTCGACTCGTACCGATGGCCGACACCTCTCCAAATCCATCTCCCCCCATTATCGTGCATCGTGCAGCCTCCCAGCTCAATCCCACGTCCACGGACAGACATCATCGATCAATTGCTCGCCTTCGACTTCTGCCATCTCTAGACCGTCGACCACTTCCCACACGCCTGCTGTCTTCTGGTCGCGAGCGCCTGTCCTGTCCGACGTGTTCCCACCTGTGCCGATCTGACCCTGCCCGACCAACCAAACACGCTCCCAAAGCCAGCGCCTGATTGCTGACCTGCACCTCGCACCACCGACTCCTGTCGCTGCCGCTCACCCTCCATTCTCGTGAGCTCCGCACTTTTGCACAAGTCGTCACCACCCTCCTGTCGCCGCTGTTCAAGCCATTCACGTCGCCGCCGGTCCTTCCCAGCCTCGCCCGTGACCCTCGACACGACCGCGTCACTCATTCTCCAAGCTTGCGACCACATCTCCACATTCGCATATAAAAATCTCCAGCCATGGCCGACGGAAGCGCAGAATCAATTCAGCAGAAGATCTCAATCGCCCGTAGAGATGCCGAAGCACTCAAGGACCGCATAAAGAAGAAGAAGGATGAGCTCGCCGACACAACTCGTAAGTTTACTCGGTTCTACCCTTATAGCTTGTCTAACCCTTACCTGCANGTCCGCGATGTCGCCCGCCAACGTACTGAGGCTCTTCCCCGCCTCCAGATGAAGACCAAGCGCACCCTCAAAGGCCATCTCGCAAAGATTTATGCCATGCACTGGTCCACTGACCGAAGGCATCTCGTCTCGGCTTCGCAGGACGGCAAGCTCATCATCTGGGATGCCTACAGCACAAACAAGGTCCACGCCATCCCTCTTAGATCTTCGTGGGTCATGACCTGTGCCTATGCTCCCAGCGGCAACTACGTCGCTTGTGGTGGTCTCGACAACATTTGTTCCATTTACAACCTCTCCGCCCGCGACGGTCCTACCCGTGTCGCCAGAGAACTTTCCGGTCATTCCGGATACCTTTCATGCTGTCGCTTCATCAACGATCGCCGTATCCTGACATCTTCTGGTGACATGACCTGTGTGCTTTGGGACATTGAGACTGGCCAGAAGCTGCAAGAATTTGCCGACCATCTTGGCGATGTCATGAGCTTGAGCGTCAACCCTCTAGACAACAATCAATTCGTTTCCGGTGCTTGCGACGCTTTCGCAAAGCTTTGGGATATCAGACAGCAGAAGTGTGTCCAGACTTTCGCTGCGCATGACTCGGACATCAACGCCATCCAATTCTTCCCCAATGGAAACGCCTTCGGTACTGGTTCCGACGATGCTTCTTGCCGTCTCTTCGACATTCGCGCCGACAGAGAATTGCAGAGCTACACCGTACGTTGCCGCAGTCGCATCCTATTTCCGACATGACTGACTCTATTTTCTAGNATTGGCGAGCCCGTCTGCGGTATCACATCCGTGGCATTCTCCGTCTCGGGTAGACTTCTGTTCGCTGGTTACGATGACTTCGAATGCAAGGTATGCGATCTTTGTTCTGCATTCTTACTGTAACATACTGACTTTCGCTAGGTTTGGGACACTCTGCGTGGTGAGAGAGTCGGCACATTGCAAGGTCACGACAACCGCGTCAGCTGCTTGGGCGTCAGCAACGATGCTCTTTCTCTCTGCACAGGTTCTTGGGATTCGATGGTAAGCATCTTGACTGCCAGACTTGCGTGATTTTTGCTAATTTTTCTGTGTAGCTCCGTATCTGGGCATAATGACCTTACTTCTCAAAGAGTCTTGCCGACCACCTAATTTTCCAACCACGTCGCCACCATGTGTCTCTGTCCAGACAACGGAACCAACAACTCATACCAGAAAAACGGACAAACGATACCACCGAAGGGCATGTGCCATGCAGACTACGCCTTGACCGCAACACAGTGGCCTATTTTCACTTCAAACTCTGCCGGAGCAGAGCCTTTTTTTTCTAAGAATTACGGGGCCGAAGGAGGACACGCCTCGTCCCCCTTCTTCTTTTCTTCTTCCCGAATCGTACAAGTTTCATAATGGAGGTCTTGTGTACTCAAATGTGCGCGACAGCAAGCCTTTGCCTGGGTCGGGATGGTTATCTGATGTTTAATTCTCTTTTTCTCGCGGCGCTGTGTCTTTTTCTGGCGTCTTACTCATAGCAGACCTCCGGCTGTCGATTTCTCTTCCATTCCGGACTCTGGGTCAAACGCGGAGAGCTACTGAGCGTGGAGCTAAAGGGGAGAAAAAGTGCTGCAATGGAGTCTCTCTGCTCTTCATCGTTTTTCTTTTGACCAAGCACATCTCACACGTTTCCTGTTGTTGATTTTCTTTTGTTGTTTTATAGCGGGTTTTTCCATCTTTGTGAGGCATGCAAGTGCGTGGGGTCTATCCACGTATGCATTCTTCGTGGTGTACTTTTTCCTTTTTAAGCAGATACCAGAGATAATTGCCTTCTTCCCTAACCGACCTAAGACACACGCTGCATCAAGTGAGCGAGGTAGGATGCTTATAACCAAGACGTCTTGTAATTGGTGTCTTGTCCTGAAACCTGGGTAGAGATGTTGTGAGCTTGAAACTTGATTGAAGCGAACTCTCACGGCCGTGTTTGAGAAGGACGATGCGTTGGAGTGTACGGTGTGGATGAGCACAGATTGGCAAGGACTTTGTGGAGGAATCGGTCAAAGGTGGCTGTTTCACATGCTTCTAGCTCGGGTGTTGGACCGTGCTGGTTTGGTGTCGAGGTGCTTGATCCACCCGAATCCGTCATAGGCCAGTCAAAGGTGTGAATCGAGGTTCCGTTGCAGTGTGTTTGACAGAATGAGTGGCTTTGTGATGATTGACAGTGTGCTCAGAAGGCCTTGTTTGAGTGTGCTTCGAGAAGTTCCTGAATCTTTGACATGTTCTGTGTATGCGGTAGCTGCCCCTGAATTATCAAACGCCTCTGCATCGTTGTAGAGGTATATCTACTGTTCGCCAGACGCTTTTTGTAATCAGACCTTTTGCCAGTACTCTTGTCCTATCCAAATCCAGTTCCATCCATCACACATACACGCACAAACAAACCCAAACATCATTCCACTGAGACCCTTGATAGACCCTTAGCCAGCACGGTCCACCATCAATCATCACGAGCATCACGACACAGAGTTGAGCAGTCGCTTTCGCAACAAGGACGACAAACACATCCTCATACACACGCAACCATGACTACAGCACAAGACGAATACAACGAGCTTTTCCGCGACAAGTCACGCAGAACCCACCACCCCGAAGACGACAACGAATCTATTCCTTCAGAGAACGACGACCTCTTGTCCGACTTTGACGACGAACCTTCAGCTCTACCAAACCTGCCCTCAAGGGATCATGTACCGCGAAACAAGTCATACTCGAACACAGGCCCAAAGGGTGTCATCGCCGATGCCCAAGCCTTCGAAGCCGCGCGCAGAGAACGCAATTCATCGCCAAAAGCAGGCACACAAAATTACGCATACACACCGAATGTCGCAAGGCTGAGTCTGGACGGTCGCAGCAAAGGCAGTCAAAGCGGAAGCGATATTGAGAGCGAAGATGAGTTCATGGCCGAGTGGCGGCANAAAAGATTGAATCAGCTGTCTTCAAACGGACGCCAGGCGAGCAATAGTATTGGCCAGCCAAGAAGTCGCGCAACCTATGGAGGTCTTGTGTCGGTCGATGGTGAGGGCTACCTGGATGCTGTGGACCGCAGTCCTTCAAATACCGTCGTCGTCGTCTTCATCTACGACGACTCGTCAGAGGTCAGCTACATGGTCGAGGATTGCATGCGCCAACTGGCCCGCAAGCACAAGACAACACGCTTTGTCAANATGCATTATCTCGATGCCGAGATGGAACCTGCTGGTGTGCCCGCTGTCCTGGCATATCGTGGCGGCGACAAGTTTGCAGGCCTCGTGCCTGTTGTCGACGAGATCCCTGATGATGCCGACCTCAGTGTCATTACTCTCGAGAACCTGTTCCAAAAGTTTGTCTCACATCACTGGCTTTTCTATATCTATTATTGGCTAACCTCTCCTTCCTACAGACACCAGATCCTATGATGACATGGATCTCATCAAGCACGCTCGATTATGCACTCCTCATTTATAGAAACATCCACCACAGTTTGATGCCTTGAGGCTTTCCATGGAGTTGTACGATCAAGTTAGATATTGGTTTTCTTTTGCATGGGTTCTGGCGCTTTCTGGGCATATGTTTATACCACCACCCATCGTCTTCAATATGCACCTTGGATTCAAGGACTATACATATGTTTGCATACCACAGCTTAGACTTGGTGCTCGTTACTTTCATGACTGGTCCCGCTCTTTGCGACTGGCTCCAAAGACTGTGATATCATCCTCAGTTTTGTGACCAGTGACATGTCGGTCCGTGGCAGAGATCCTTCTCTGTTCGTTCGGTGACGATGAACGAATGTAACGCTGAGTCGAGCAACCGTTCGACTATGGGACTTCGCAATCGGGAATAATCGAGTGGCTGGGGAACAACGACGATATCGACAAAGCTGTCATCATCCTGTAGATAACATGCTAGCGTAATGTGATGAGCAGAAAAATGTCTGAATTCAGAACAACAGCTGAAAGGACAAGCATTTATACATATGCTTGCGTGGCAATAATGATGTTAGGGCATATCCAAACGCCGACACACAGGAGACTCAGGCTTTCGATATGCAATCAAACCTTTACTCCTCTCTCGAAATTACCAACAGTCATCGCATTCGCACCAGCTTGTGTGCACTTCACATGCCACAAGTCGAGGCTGTGTTGGCAATCTTTGTTTGTTTTGAGACCTAATCGGGCAGGCAGGACGTTCCCCGAGAATCGCCCTCCCGCTTGCCCCTTCCCCAAGGAGTTCTTCCGAGGGACGTTTGACGCCTTCTCGAACACACTGGGTGCTTCCTTGCGTACAAGGCTTCCAGGAGAAGCACAATGTAGGATGGCCTACAGTGGTCATCCGTGATGCCATGCCGGCAGCCGGTGTCGGGCAATTCCTCGACCTCGAACGTTGAAACTCTCTATAATCGCTATGCCCAGCTATCTGAAGAGAACGCACGAGATGCCCGGGCTATCTATCGTCTATCTCACTCCTCGATACTGCGAGTCGTCCCTCTTGTAAGACGTATATTGCGACAAAGGCTGCGACCATACTGCTGGCCAGCACCATTCTAAGTTTACATCACTATCTCATCCTATACCCAGCCTTCCAGTCCACAAAATTTCAAAAAGTTCAACGACTCACTAAAGCTTTTCCATACATAGCAAGAAGATAAATGACCGTTGGAGACACCACCGGCCGAACGATCGTTGTTATTAGCACGAACGAAAGCCATCAAATTTCGCAGTCATTCGGGCCAGCATTCCTTGCCGACGACCCAGACCTTATCACATCCAAATACAGAACAGCCAGATATATAATACTCGTCCTTTGCACTCTGTTTCTCCTCTCCATCATCATCCAACCAACTCACAGTCGTTTCCAACTACTCTACACTCGCTTCTCTACCCAACCAACCATCCAAACCAAACCCCAACTCTCAAAATGAAGTCCTTCGGTGTCATTGCCCTCGCCGCCTCGGCCTCTGCTGCCTACATCAACGGCACTGCTCCTGCCAACGGAACTGTCTACTACACCACTGAGGTCGTCACTGCGTACGTTGGATTCTTGATCACATTCGAGTGGGGACTCTCTTCCTGACCAGAATTTTTTACAGANTTGACCACCGTGTGCCCTGCTCCTACCGCCGGCGCCTACACCACCACCATTGCCAACAACGTCTACACCGTCAAGTCGGCCACCACCATCACCGTCACCAACTGCCCTTGCACTCTTACTGTACGTTTCTGCTTCCTTCCATCATCCCGAGAAGCAAATACTAATGATTCCNNGATACAGAAGCCTGTTGCTTCCATGGCCACTGGTGGTGCTTCCAACGGCACTGCCACCGCTACCAAGCCCGCCATCTACACCGGTGCCGCCAACAACATGGTCGCTGCCGGCTACGGTTTCGCCGCCCTCGGTGCCGCTGTCGTTCTCCTGTAAAAATGTTCTTGACAATCTATATCCTCAAGCATCATTTCGCAAAACACGATACACGACACGACATCATCTCTCTTCACGCCCTGGACTTTTCGTATCTTTTTCCACTTTTCAAAAAGGACATTTTCTTCTTCTGTACCTAATCTGATTGTTGATTTGGGGGAAGCCGCTGGAAGACATTCTAGATACCTGTCTTCTCGGTGTGCTTGTTTGGGTAATTCTTCTTTATCTATATGGTTGGTTATACATATTGTTTTCTCATGACAAACTTTCTATCATTCTGTGTCTTGGTCTTTGTGACGTGAATTAATATTACATTCCTCGCACGTTTCTGTTGGACATTACGACTTTGTCACCAGTTTCGGATACTCATGATTAAGGTACCACTACAGACAAGAGAGGGCTCATCAACCGACCAATAGATAAGCGTTTGCCCTGTTCAAACATATTTTACATAGAAGAACGTCACCTTGTCGCCAGATTCCAGAGATACTTGGTCTGTCAGACCCAAACCAGGGTGATCCCCTCAGCATGATTTCTTGACCATAACATACCATTGACAAGCATTGTTTTTGCGTCCAAATGGTCAATTGATTGTTACATTACTTGAGTCCCTATATATATACATGAAACAAACCCTCGCATCCTCCAGCTACCCGAAATTCTTACAGAACTCGAAAATATCAGCAACTCCTTCTCATTCTTTTTACTCGACATTTCCAGAAGGAGCACCAAGGAAATCAAAGAAGCCTTCGGCACCACCTTTGACGTTTGCTACCAGATCCACCAATGGGTCTATGTTTCTTTGCATCAGCAATGTTCTTTTTAGAAGAGTCATTGGAAGGTAATGACTTACTGGCGGCATCTGGAATCTCTTCTGCGCGCTTGACATTGTTGGCACCGTCTCCGCTTGGGAGGGACAGAAAGTCTAGTCCACCCTCAAGCCCTCCTTTGATGTTTGTCAAGAGGTCATCGAGGGGGTCTTTTTACATGTGTATGTCAGTTTCTGTCGTTGGATCAAGGTGGGCGAGACGTTGAGGAACAAGGTCGGCGAAGATGAACAGTAACAGAAAAGGAAAAACACACTGGCTGGATTGCCGACTACAACATCATCTCCTCTCTTTTGCAGTGGTAGTGCTGATACAGTTGCCGTCAAGGCAACAACTGCTGCAATGGTCTTGGTAAAGTGCATGATGTCGTCTTTCGTCAATGGTCGTCAAATAAATGCTTCTTGCAGGGATATACACGATCAAGCGTCTGGAAAGAGTGCAGTCGGAGAAAAAGAGTAGAATTGAAGATCATCTTATAAAAAAAACAGCAGACTCATTTCGTTATATGGACAAATTTGATTCAATGGTACTGGCTCCGTCATGGATATTCGGGAGGTGAGGTTGGCTTTGCTGGTGCGTTTTCCGTAACTGGTGTGTTGATCACCGTCGATCCTTTTGTGGTGGAATCTGCCCATTTCTCTGGCAGATCTGCTTTTGGTGCGACGAGGAGCTCGGAGTGGTCGACACATGGGAGACTGTCGGTCGTAGTGTTCGCTGCTTGAGATCTGCTGGCATTACAATGTTGTGCATCTCAGCATCTGTTTCTGCGGCTCTGTTGAGGAAATGTGTCGCAGATCATTGCGAACCCGATCCGTGCGGCGGGCTGTCAGCCGCACCAAGCTGAGGGCGAGGGGCAGAGTGGGGCAACAACATCAAGATTGAGCAAGCTCGAGAGTAGGAGACACATCCCTCACAATCACGCTAAAGAGCTAAGAAAATACAATGAAATATATATCAAAGAACAGTCACAGTCACAGCAAAGTCAAGAAGAATTGATGTTTGAGGGGATTATCATTCGGGGTATAATTGATACATCGTGAAGACCATCGAATCAAAGCTCTGATCGCTTTCCATCGCAGGTGTCGTAAAAAGTGAACCCTCGTGCAAAGAACTTGAGCTCAACCCATGAAGGGGAGCTAGAGATGTTGTCATGTCATGCCGTCGTGTCGAAAGTCATCAGTCAAGAGGACTTGGTCGAATTGATGGTGTGTTGAGGTTGCTGAAGCAAGACGCTTAAATGGAGCGCTTGTTGGCCTCGGCGGAGGTCTCGTGCTTCTTCTCGTCCATCTTGTCGGAGGCGGCGCCCATGGCACCGGAGACACGGCCAGAGATGGAGGAGTCGGCAGTGTTGCCCTTGGCTTGCTCCTTGTTGGCCTCCTTGGAAGCGGTGGCGCCAGTGCCCTGGACAGTCTCGGAGACGTACTGGGCGGCGTTGTTGAGAGAGTTGCCGATCTGACCGACGATACCCTCGTTAGGGTTGTTGGCGTTGGGAGCAGACATTTTGAATGTGGTTGGTGGTTGGTTGGTTTGGTTTGGAAAGAGAAGATGTGGTTTGATGAGTTGGTTGATGGAAGAAGAAAGGTTGGAGGATGAGTGTGATGGGAGCTTCTTAAGTAGTGGTGGAAGGGAGCTCTGCTTGCGGTGACGTACGCGTTGTCCTCTCACTCAGGCCAGCTCTCACTCGCACGCTCTTTCCTACTCCACCCTCGTCCAATGGCATCCAAGTACTTCTACGGGTGACGATTTGCGTTTCGACTCTTCAGCCACACCACGCTACTTCCTTGGTGCTTCACTTGCTAGGAGCCACCTGACACTGTTTGCGTACGCCTCTTCTCACTTGGATCCCCGATGAGCGATTTAACGTGGGGCTCAAGCCGAGGTGAGGGGGTCGAGCTGGTCGAGCTGGCCACTTGGTGGCTGCTGCCTTGCACCTCGCAGCTCAAGCGGGGTGAACGTCATACATATGACATCATAGGCTCTGCAAAGCTCAGTAGCGAAACAACACGCACGTCTGAGCTCCTTGTTTATCAGGCTTGCATGTGAAGGCTGGACTTCATGAATAGGTGGAGCTTTCCATCACAGTGATGGAGATTGTGGACCTACCGCTCGCCTTCACCGTCTTCTGACCGAAGCAGCCAACGAGCTGAGAGGCGTTGGATCAGTTGCCAGGGGTTGCGGACGGGATCGAGATGAGGAGAAGTCATGGGAGAATGTCACCCTTCATACTTTGCCATGCAAGAGTTATGTGACTGCGGCACCATCTACTCCGTATCCCACTGAGCATTGAACCGAGTGTACTATGCCCCTGTGCCGCTGAAAACCGGAACACGATTTCGATACGATTGGAAGTGCGAAAGAGGAAACGTTGTCAACGCACGATATGCACAAAGATGCCAATTGCCAAACAGCATAGAGTACACAATACAAAGAGGTGGAATAACATAAAATACAGAGAGGTGGAATGTATATTTGATCATGACTCCGTCTTCTTCATGTCCGGTCCAAGAGTCCCCTTTTCCTCTTCCCATAAACCACAACAATGCCGGATAGATCGACATCAACATGCCAAAGCAGACAGCATCTGCTTTCCCGCGCAATCCAGGAAACAAAGGCCAGCTATCGACAACAACAAAGACATTGTGAGAAAGGGTCAAATTTTATAATGTACACGGCAGAGTAGGGGAGATTACACTGCGAGACGTCTAGAAGGGAGGGGTGACGGGGCCGGCGGCCATGGCGCTCTCTTGTTGGGCCATAACCTCTTCCTCGGCAGCCTCGATGGAGACGGCAAGACCGACCTTGGCAGCGTNTCTGGTTGAAAAGGTCAGCAGTCTGTAATGAGTAGCAATGCGAAGAGTGGTGCTTACCTTGACGTGGTCAAGCTCGCCGGCGAAGGTGATCTGGACCATGGGGACAATTCTCTTCTCGAGCAAGACACCGAGCTTACCAGCAGTGTCGACCTGAGCTCTGAAACTGCTGGCTCTGAAGTCGTACTTAGCACCAAGAGTGGCGACACCCTCCTTCTTCATGCCACCCATCATGGGGTTGCCAGCGAACTGCAAGTTGAGGTCGACACCGGTCTCGAGCTGAGCCGAAAGTCTTCTCCAGTACGAACCTTGGACACCACCGGAGGGCATGAGCTGAGCACTGGCGATCCAGTCCTCGCCCTTGTACTTGGCAGCGTAGCTGATCATGGCCTCAGGGCCCATCTGGGCAGCGGGTCTCTGGTAGACAGCCTCAAGACCGAGGGCAAGTCTGGGAGTGATGCTCTGGAGGTAGCTACCAATGAAGATACCGGTAAGAGGGCCGTCGAGGATGGAAGGGTTCATAGCCTTGATCTGAGCGGTGAAGTCGTTACCAACGTAGTCGTTCTCGAGGGAGAACTGAGCGCCTCCAGGACCGGCCATGGAAGCAGCCTGGATCTGAGTGGTGGTCTTTGTGACCCAGCGAGGAGTCCATCGGTAGTTGAAGCGTGCAGAGAGGGAGAGGTCGCTGTCGAGGTTACCTTGGCAAAAAANTCTAGATTCGTTAACGTTGGGAGGGTTTCGAGGAGGGGCAGAAGATGTGTGTACCTTGTTGGTGCCGTAGAGGGCAAGGAAAGCGTAAGGAGGTATTTGCTGGGAGCCTTGGGAGAAGGCGTGCGAGACCTGGAACAGCGGCGACACGCTGAAAGCCTTTGTGAGGTCGGCGCGCAGACCGGAGAAGGACAGGTTATTGAGGAAGACATCGCGCTGGACCTCCTTTGCAACGTTCTCGACAGTACCGGGGTTGGTAAGGCCCAGAGCCTCTCTTCGTGCCTGGAAAGCCGAGTATGTGTCCTTCAGCGCCGAAGCCAGAGGGTTGCTGGTGATGGCAGACAGAGCGCCAGACTTCTTCTCGGCGACAGGAGCGACAGGCGCTACGGGAGGGTAGGGGGTGGTGGTGATGGGAAGCGACGTCATGATGTAGACTTTTGCTGCTGAGGGCGAGAGGACGAGTCTTGGGGCACCGGCGGCGGACGGCGGCGAGGATGCAACACAATGAGATTCTAAGCGACGGGTCGACTCTGGCGCGGCTTAGATGCGAATAGCGGCGCGACAATTCTTTCAAAGAATGGTGCGTTGATGATGGCTTGGTTGACACTTCCAGTTGTGTCTGCTTCTGCGCGACCGACGTCGATGCCAAAAATTTAGGCCGAGCCGCGTGATTGGACCGATGACCTCCGAGAGCCTCAACCACCCTTTCCGCCCTCTCACGACTATCTACACATCCCAAGTTGCTCGATACTGTTCTCATCAACCGGCAAGCTATTCTCCTGGGGCTTTTGCTTCCATTGCCCGCTCTCTACTTTGCTCCGTCCATTGCCTCTACCGATTGTGCCGAACACCACCCTCGCATACTGCCAAGATCAGCTGCTTGTCTTATCGCTCACCTGTTTCACGCGCATCAGTCTGTCGGAATCCGCTACCAAATTACCCATACAGATTATTTTGATTTTACCGGCATCCGATTGCCTTCGTTTTAAACATGGATACTCTTCTGTACGTCTTCTTTGAATTCCTCTATCATTCCAATCTTCTCTTGAATCAGTTGCAGATATGGCTCTAGTACACCCTTTCGTAGTCTGTCACAATCATGCTTCCAATTGTACGTTTACTAAGACGAAACTTCGCATCAGTACTGCCGATGTCATGGCTAGTTCACCAAACTGGAAGCGCAGATCAAGCACCTTCGTTGACGCTATCCATGACTTGCCCGAGAAGGAAAGCATGGCTCCTGCTCAGCTATACAGCACCGAGTCTGGCCGTCTGTTCCACTCCGGTAGGATAGTCATCGCTACCGTTGGCCTGCCTGCTCGTGGCAAGACTCACACCTCAGTTGCTCTGGCTAGATATCTACGATGGCTTGGTGTTAAGACCCGTATATTCCATCTTGGTGATTACAGGAGAGCGACCATGGGCGATGGCAAAGAAGTCCCTGACGATTACTTCTTTATCAACGCTTCTCCTTCTTCGGTCCTACTCCGCCAGAAGATTCTCCGAAAGTGTAGGGAGGACATTTACGATTTCCTCGAGCACGAGAACGGTCAAATCGCCATTTACGACGCAGTAAATCCTTCTGCTGCAGGTCGCATTTCCCTCGCCAAAGAGTTTTCCAAGCATAACGTGCAGACACTCTTCATCGAGTCGCACTGTACAGATGAGAAGATCATCGAGGAGAACGTCCGCAGCGTCAAAATCTCGTCTCCCGACTACCAAGGTTGGTCGGACAAAGATGCTGTCAAAGACTACCTGGCCAGAATCAACGCTCGTATTCCTCACTTTGAGTCCATGGAAGAAGCTGAGCTGCATTACGTGAAAATGATCAACGCCGGAGAACGTGTGGTTGTCAATAACTGTGCCTTCAATTACCTTTCTCAGCGTATCGTCTTCTACCTTCTGAATCTCCACACCAAGCACCGCTCGGTTTACTTTGCCAGAGCCGGTACGACAAGAGATGAAGACTCTTACAAAGCTGACGCTTCGCTTTCCGAGGATGGTGTGACCTACTCGAAGAAGATGAGCGATGCCCTGATTAGCCACAGAGAGGACGAGCGCAGGCAACTCATCGACAGAGGTGGTCCTGATATCCCATTGAAGCCCCTGACAATCTGGACATCTACTAGACGACGCACGGTCGAGACATCCCACTACCTGGAGAGTCTGGGATACTCTGTCAAGCAACGTCCTCAGATGAGTCAACTCAATCCTGGCGTATGCGAGAAAATGTCCGAAGACAAGATTCGAGAACAGTACCCCGAAGAGGTGCGCAAGCATGAGCTTGACCCGTACCACCATCGTTACCCTCGTGCGGAGGTAAGAGATAGACCAAAATCATGGAGTGTAAACATGAACTGACATATACGCAGNTCTTACCACGATCTGGCAGTTCGTTTGGAGCCTATCATTCTGGAGCTGGAGCGCGAGCAAAACGATCTTCTGATTGTGGCCCATGAGAGTGTACTGAGAGTGCTTTATGGTTACTTGATGGCTTGTGGTGCACGCGACATCCCGAAGTTGCAGTTCCCTCGTGATGAGATTATTGAGGTATCCTTTCCTTTTAATCTTGGTTGGTCCATTTGCTGACATATTGCGCATCAGATCGTCCCTGCATCCTACAACAACGAAGCCAGACGTATTCACGTCTCCGGTGTCCCAGCTCAGATCGTACCCGACAGCCCTGAAGACTTGAAGCTTCCTGTGCCTCCATCGGGTGCAATCACTCCCTTCTCTGGTCTCGGTACACCTGAAGGCACAAGCACACCCGAGGTAAGGGAGGAGGAAGGAGCCAAGCCTTTGCCGATGGTGAATATTCATCCCAGCAGATAAATGTAGAACAACCGAGTCGTTCGATAGCACGGTTGATTGGTTTCACGTTTATACATTCGTTTCTTAGCGATCTGCTTTCGCAGGTCCGTTCTGATGGTTGAGGTTGTTTTACCGTCAGACTCGAGAGCCGGAGGCCGAGGAGGAGCAAAGGTCTTGTCGTCGCACAAATCGTTTTACAGTATCAGTACTCCGACTATAGAATAGCGAGATTCGTGGAAATTGAACTTCATCTATAAGCTCTAAATACAGAACAGAGTACGCACTGTGCTCTCCTCGGTGATGAGCGAGGGTCTGGGTCCACAGAATTGTCAAAGCATACGACCTGACATTTTCCCTCTTATGTCTTCTGTCTAGACGAGCTTTCATCTCTGCAATCACACTCGTATCTGGGGCTCTCAAATTGACTTTGAGATGATCGCATACAGTTTTGGAGAGGGCAAGATGCCTCAGTTGAGCCTGATCCAATAATCGGTTCTCTTTTGTGGCTTGGAATGGATCCCGCGCCGACCGAAGGAACACGCAGCGGGACCTTCTCAGCTGCGACTTCCTCTTTTCGCGAGAATATTGACCGGGCCTAGTCTAACCACAAGAATCAGGTAGGATTGTACTGATTTCCTTTTGATGTATGTATATACATATTAGGTTCTGCTCATCGTGAACCTTTTTTTCCTGGTCTTTGCTCGGGTTTCTCTTTGGCGGTGGACTTTCTCTCTCTCTTGCAACCAATCCGCGTTTTGGGCTCACCACAGCACGCAATCCACGCTTGCTCATCACGCAATTTCCGGCCAAGCTATGCTCATACTGCATACACGATAGCATTCCAGAAAGCGCTCGAATCAGAATATATATGTCAACGAATTGCTGGCAAAGCTAGGTAGCTGGGGATTTTCTCATTCTCTCTCCGGATCTTCTTTGCAACGGTGCCCCGGTCTCGTTATCGACTCTGCAGATGGACGGTGCAAAGACTATCATCCTATCCAACGGTTTACTGCCAACGGTCAACGTAGAGTACACGGCTGCAATGGCCTCCATCGACACTCTCTCAACACCACCATCACGGCATGACCTTGAGGAACGGCATGAGGACAACGAGACAAGGTTCCTCAACTTCGAGAAGCCTGGACCTGGGACACTACCCTTCTGTCTCGTCCTCAACATGTTGGTCACGGTATCATGGTACTACCTCAACGTCGACGTCCCCGTCTCCGAAAAAGTAACACCTGCCTTGGTGTGTCGCTACATGTACGACGGCCTTGTCCTACTGCCTATGGGCTTGTTCTCGCTTTTCGAATGTCTGTATGCGTTTGGCACGTTGTTGTGCCTAAGGCGAGACGACCGCGCACTGTGTGTCGCCAGAGTGGCGCTAGGAGGTATGCTCGGCGCCTCGGTGGTTGTCAAGTATGGACTCGGGGAGGGCATCTTTGATGGCGGTGCTTGGATGCAATTGTGCTTCTGGGCAGCAACTGGAATCTTGCCCGGAGCTGGAGCTGTGGCTCTGGTTGGGTATTGCTGGGACTGCTTGTATTGGGGTTGGGACAGTGTGGAGGAGCGGATGGTAGATGAGAAGAAGCCGCTGCTGGAGAAGGAAGATGTTTGATGCATAACGAATATTGTTTGGGTTGGAGTTAAAAGCCAGGATGGATCTTGGATAAGAGGCCACGGTCTGGGATATTGGAGGCATCCTCTGACAGATGACAGACACTTCTACATGGCTTCGTCGTCAACAGGAGAAATTGGGCATGGACAGGTTTTTTTGGATGGGATAGTCTTGTGAGCCTGCGCAAAGCCGTACGCCAACTGTTAATAGCATAATTTATATTGGGGCCGTCATATCGTTCGTCAACACATCTACACTGCACCAGCTTGGCGCCATAGATTGCGGAAGCCTGTCGCACCAGCAATCAGGCCGAGAACACNCAGCCAGTCACTGCTCAAGGCACCCGACTCCAAGCTATAGTGGTAGGAGACGGGTGCCCAAGCCATGTTGACAGTCATCTGTCTCTTCCACAAAGCCTCAGCTTCCAGCGTGTCCGCCTTTTTCTCCGCGCTATCTCCTGCCGACGCGATAGTTGGACGGAGCTGCCACACACGAGCGAGTCGCACGGCTTCCAATGCAATGTAGGCCATCCAGTAACGCGAGCTCCACACCCACCACTTGTTCTGCTGTTTTGTGTCGAACCTCTCACCACGGAGTACACCCTTGGACGCTAGATAAGCCACATTCTCGTACCACTGGTATGCGGTGATGGTCCAGATCTGACCCCACACGGCAGCTTTGACGACAGAGTCCTCGGGAGGACTGTTCCAGGTGCCCTTGGCCCAGGTGTACAGATCCAGTGACTCGACGACACGAGAAAAGCATCTGAAGTCGCTGATCAACTCGGATAGCGCCTTGCTGCCTTTGATGACATGGCTGAGTTTGTCTTCAGGCGGTGATAGCGTTGCGACGACAGTTTCTCCAGGCAGTAGGACGGCACCGAGTTTGCGGCTTACGGAGAGGAGGAAGCGTCGATACCTCAGACCTTGGAGACGCGAGAGCTGGGTATAGATGACGACAAGGAGGTATTGGAGTGTGCAGAGCGTCTTGTCTCTTCCTGCAGGTGTGGAGAGGACGCGGACGAGGCGGCCCAGCAGGCTGTCGGTTCTGCTTGCGACGAGACGGGCGAGGTTATCGAGATTCGTCGTTGACATGTCGGAAGTCATGTTGTGTGTGTTGCTATAGAGGAGCTGTAGTCTCTTTGAGAGATGGTGATATCGTGCAATGACCGGTGCCGCTAGAGACGAGCGTGAGCAGAGAGAGGTCAGGGAAACAAGACGATGATTTCTATCTCCCTCGGTAGCTCGAACTTCGAAACAACAACCATGGCCGAGAGGACGCGGCAGACTTGAACATACCGAGGTTGATCGCGGTACACGAGTCAAACGAACCATGACCGTGGGGATGCCATGACTCAGAATCTACTTGAGGAGCGTCATGCTCGTCAGGCGTATGACTGTCTTTTCTGTTTGCGACACGCGACTTCTTCTTTCCTCTGATCTCTTCATCTCCACACCAGAATGACAGAAGTATACACCAATGGCCACTCGCAGGCTCCCGCCACGGCGTCCGATCTACTCTCCCGCTGCCAAACCCTCCTCTCCGAGCTCGAGATGTTCAAAGAATACCTCAAGTCCCGCAAACAAGACCACCAAGTCGAAATCGCCCACTTCCGTAACACGGTGAAATCTGAATTGCGGACTCTACAGCGGCTTGCCTCTGCTTCTTCCGACGACGAAAATACAAACCAACACACTGTCAACTCCTCGAACCTGCCCTTTTTGGAGTCGGTATGGAGAGTCGTCAAGAACAACAATGGACTACAGGCCATGCAGAAAAGATTCTACTGGCAGCTCAAAGGCCAGAAACGAGGCCAAAAGAAACAAAATTCGGCTTTGGTCGATGTCGTTGCCGGAGATGGTTTGGAGTGGTTTAAGGTCTCGCTCTTGACAAACAATCGCTTGTTGTTTGACAAGGCAAAATTGGGCTGGGAGGACGCGTCGAGCAGCGACGAGGAAGAGGACGAAGATGGTCAAAATGACAAAGTTGCTCCCCCTGAGGACAACGAGGATGATGTGCCTTTGATCAAGATGACCAAGGATCTGGTTAGAGCGGCCAAGGAGGTGAGGATTCGCACGAGGTCACCGAGGATCACTCTGGTCTTGCCAAAACTGAAAGAGGGAGAGGTCGCCGAGATTGACAAGATATTGGATCAGTTGCGGGCTCTGGGTGCGAGACTGCTGTAAGAGACCGACGCTGATGAATCGTACATGTCGCATTCTGCTAACAAACCCCTACAGNNCACCTCGTCCTCAGCCTACCCATCTGTTCCCTTCGAAAGCGTAATGCCACACCTCCTCACCGATCCTTTCGCTACCTTTACCTCCTCACTAAACATCGACTGCACTATCCTACTCGCCCTCGTCAGCGACTTCAGCCACTGCTCTGTCACCACCGAACCCTGGTTCCACCGCGCCCTAAAACGCCAAGTCGAGATCGAAGACGAGGAAAACTTGCTCCCCAACCTTCTGTATCCCGCTCTGGCGAACAGAGTACTGCTGTGTACCGATGAGGCTGCGAGAAGAATGAGAGAGATTGTGGATACCATCGGCACTGCCGGCGAGAAGGAGAGAACCAAACTGTTCATGGGTGATACCGAGCTTTCCGCTGCGCAACTGCGTGAGGAATTGGAAAAGCAGAGTCGTTTTGAGGTTCCTGCATCTCTGAGGCTGCCGATTGTGACGCAGGTGCCTGAGGAGGAACCGACGACACTGCCACCGTCAGCCAAAGCTGTTAAAGAGCAACTTACCTCTATCAACCAGAGTGTGTTTTTGCATGGTTGGGCAAGAGGAATCACTACGGTCACAAGTAACCGGACAGTGGTCAAGCAAATCGAGAACATACTTGCCAAAGAAGCGAGTGATGAAAAGGAATGGCCACTGATCTGGCTGTGCCCGACAGCAAGATCTCTCGTGGGAAAAGAGAAGGGTAGAAAGGATTGAACAGGGGAGGTGCATTACGTTGCATTCACATTGCTGGTGTGTAGTTCTGGATGGCTTGTAGAAAGCAAAACACTTGTATATATATGAGTACCTCTTCCACCATCTCTTGCTGGCAAGAATGCGAAAAGAGCAAATGTCGGTATTCTGTATTTGGCCATCATCTCTTCACTCCAACCTTTTGCCATCACGCACATTCTAAGCTACACTTTCAAAAGGGCATGTTCCTCAAGCGTCGAGTACCAATGCAGTAGAGTCCACCAGTTGCAGGAAGAGTCTCGAAGCAGCCGTGAACATTGTATCAGTGATCAGTCAAAGGACCCCGATTCAGGTCGTCGGTTAGTGGAAATCCCCTTCCAGACGGGGCATGGCCGAATGTTTGAATGGCCACGTTTCTGGCGGCCACAACGTGACGACTATAGGGCTCTTGACCCATACCTTCCACGTATACTTGACAAGCTCTCTCGGTGCATAATGCCAAGTGATGTAATAGCACACCAACGGCAATGCAGAACGCCTGGTAACATAGAGACGTTCGTTCTTTACAACAAAGACGGTCTTGACGGCTTTGTACCAGCGCAAGCTCCTGTGTTCGAGAACCAGGCGGTTGAATGTAGCTGGATCTTTGATCAGAGTTGCTTTGTCGAGAGATGGATCCAGTTTGAATTCGCCGAGAGAGTTTTCACCGAGGAGGATCACGGTTCGAAGAAGTTGATCTGAAGATATAGCGTGAAGGTATTTGTTGGTCAGAGCGAGGGTTTTTAAAGAGCGTGTGGGACATTGCTTCGTGATTTCGAGCCATAGCTCCGGTGGAAAGACGCCGTATGGCTGCTTGGGAGTCTTGGTTGGTAAGGCATTTGTGCTGATCGTGGTTTTCATGTTGCTGTCAGTATTATCGCCGTCATCAAGTAATACAATGGGCTCTCCCCGTTGGAGCACAGGTGGTAGATTCGAAATGCCGGGTGAAGAGCTCGAAGGTCGCTCTGTCAAGTTCCGACCAACTCGCGATGAGAGTTCCATATCATCGTTCTCCAGCATTGGACGAAGAATAGTCTTTGATCCCTTAGCTCATCTCTTGCTAGGTTTGGACGAAGGAATGGAGTTCTCGGATACCTGAGGCTGTACAGCGGCTTCAGTGTTTGACCTGGGTGGTTGTGCATCAAATCGTTGGCTCGTCCGTTGATGCTGCAGAGGTCTCGGTGTCAGAGCTCTGGGAACATCTCTTGTATCTTCTAGCTGCAAGAATGCTATCAGCAGTCTTTGCAGCGCCTTCACCAGATCCAGAAAGGAATCGATGACTCTGGCACTCATCAAGGGTGTAGAAGATGTGACATGGGTGATGTCTGCGAATTCGAGTGCTGTAGAAACACAAAGTAGTTACCGGGACCTTCAGACTTACCCTACATGTCAAATACTGGACAGGTTGCAAAATCAGAGACTGCAATGTGTGAAAAGACTCAAAATGTAGCGTGGTTTCCACATGGAACCCCATTGCCAGATGCTCCCAAGGTTGTTTGATTCGCTATCGATGATCCTGGAGGTGCCTAGAATGTCAACAAGCTCAGGTGTATAAAAACACACTCTCTCAAAAGTTAGTAATGATAACCTACTGACCACTCTCTTGATCACGGGTTAGATATTGCGCGAACATGGCAGCTTTCATTGTGTTGATGGTCTGCACTCGAAGGATCCCCCAACAAAGCTGATCGTGTGAGTAGTCCTGTGCGCCTTCTGATGTCGTGTGACTCATGCATGTCGGAGACGAGAGGAGTATCAAGAGGAAGTTCCTTAACCACAGTCACTGATCCGAGTTTCGAGCGTGCTGAGAGGATTTCGGCCATAACACTGGACTAAGCTCGGCATAGCTCGGATATAGTGACCATGGTGTCTGGATAAATTGACCACAGGCGCCACCTATGAGTATCTCCCTATAGGTGCAACAGGCTTGATCAATAGATCAATCTTTCATCACCACTCCGTAATATTGACTCGTTCTCGCTACTTGAGTACTTTGTCGCCTCCTTCGAAATGCTTTTAACACGCACCGGTGTCTTCTGTCCCAGAGAACCTTTTTCTCATCATTGTCGAAAAGCATCGAAATCACCAGATATGAACACAAGTGTCAACCATATCTACGCTATTGCGTTGTCGAATCCCAAGTCGGCAGATTCTCCGACATGGGCCATCTCCGTTCAGCCCATGAAGCAGAAACGACTCTTCTTCCATGAACACCCTCATACCTCTGTCTTCCTCTCCAACGAGACCGACAACAGTCGACGAAGAAACAGCGACGGATTCAAGGGTGAAGAGTTGCTAGTCAAACTTCTCATCGGCGAGAACAATGTCAAGAACGTTGGCGAACGTGTTCAACAAGCCTTATCCAAGACCGACAAGACACAACCCTCGGAAGCATGGCTACGCTCCGCAATCCTTGCTCTGCAATCAGAATCTCTGTGCAACAGATTCAACATCGATGACTTCCAGCAAATGGCCACTCAGACCCTTCAGTCGCAGCAAGCACACCACGAAACCGTCGCCATAGAAGTAGACTTTCTGTCTGAACTAGGACGCACGAAATCCGTAGAGGAGATGCACGAGACTAGAGAAAAGGCAATCAAGGAGAAGAAGAAGGACTCGAGCTATTTTGGTTTCAGAATATCGAGACCTCAGAACATGCCGCAGAGAGTGAGGAGAGTCAACTCTTGGGAGAGAAAGGATGATGCGTATGGAGGCTTGATGTGAAATTGTGAAATGGAGAGGGTGTGGGGTGGTAATAGTTGCGTCAGAGGATATCATGCAGGGCGGCTAATGAGTAGAAGGCATGCATATGAGCAGTCTCTGCCACACCATTCAGACTGATGTGTTACGATCGGAGGTCGCAGGAAACAACAAGGCCTAAATAAATTGATACCATGAAATGGAGGAGTTGATCAAAGTTACAAGAACTAAAGCATGAAGCTGGTCAAGCTTTCTTGAGTGTGATGGTTGGAGCGATCATTGCCCCTTCAAGCATTCTCCCTTGGCTACTATGTAACGATGATGCCAACGACAGTTCGTATAAAACATTCCACCTCCCAGTCGCCAGAAACGACCATCAACTACAATACCATCACAATCAATCATGTCCTCGAACATCAAGCCCTTGGTGCTTCACGCGCACACAACTGGCCCCAATCCAATCAAGATCGCCATTGCTCTCGAAAAGCTCAAGGTCCCCTACGAAGTCAAACTCTGGGAGTTCGGTGATGACCCCAAGAATGGCCTCAAGGGAGCCAAGTTTCTTGCCGTCAACGAAAATGGACGTGTTCCTGCTCTCGAAGACCCAAACACTGGTGTTGTCTCGTGGGAGTCTGGTGCAGTGATGAACTATATCAGAAGAAAGTATGATACAGAAAATAAATTGGGTCCACAGGGAAAGAGCGAGCAGGATCTTGTCGACTTTGAGAAGTGGGAGTACTTTTTGCTCACGACTTTGGGCCCCATGACTGGACAGACGAATTGGTACAGGTATGTGTTTGTCTTGGGCGGCTTTTTTTTTGTCTAGACTTGAGAGTTGTGAGCCATTGCTGAATCTTGGTGCNNTAGACACTACAACGAGGTCAAGAACGAGGATGCCTTGAACAGATATGCGGCACAAACACATCGCTGCTACCAAGTTCTCGAAGGTCAGCTGAAGAAGACTAATGGCGAGAGTATCTTGCCTGGTGGCTACACAGCCGTCGATGCACACTATGAGCCCTGGGTTCGCCAGCACGCTTATGCTCAGTTGAGCCTAGATGACTATCCAATGGTCTCGAAGTGGCTGAAGACGTATGGCGAGACCGATGAAGTCAAGGCTGCGTACAAGAAGATTCAAGACGCAACTTCATAGAGCATCCAAAGGCCGAATGATGGGTCGAGGAGTAGTTTGCGTAGCAGTCAAATGAAGTCGAATTCTTGCACATTCACTGCATTTTGAAGGGCTTTCTAGAAAGTATGTGGTCAACTCCGGTTCCCTGTTCGATTCCACCACTTCCCTTAAGCTCTCAACGTGCCTAAGACTGGTGTGCTGTAACTATATAAACGCACAATACTATTTGGAATCGAGTGCTCTCCAAGGAGAATCATCGTCTGAAGGCTACTTGTATGGTCACACATATGATTCGATAGACAATTGTGCATCCCTGTGGCAAATTATGTAGCACTATTTGTTGAATTGGGACAGTGTTTGATTATAAGATTGCAAAAGCCTCGAGCATAGATAGTATCAGATGTAACCATACATTCTCTATAAGATACCACACGTTCTCTAAAATGCTCCGTTCGTGACTATTGGCAGATGATCTCGAAGGCAGACCACGAGGTTCCAGATGGTGCGTTACCGCAGCCGAGCGAATCTCCAACATTGATGCCTGCCACTGGCCATCCATACATTACATTGCTCAGCACAATACCACAACCTTGCTGACTATGACCAACAATGTAACCTGAATCCGTTAGCAGGTGCCTTTGAAAGGTAAACGATCCAGCAGACTTACATCCAATAGTACCTGTCTTGGGCGATGCAGTCAGACTTGCTGTCAACGCTCCACCGAACTGTAGCCCAGTGTTGGGAATTGTGCATTGTGCTTCTGTCACCCCGAAAGAAATGGTGGTGCCAGCGCTGCCGTCTGTGGGCGGAGGCTTGAGAGATGTTAGTATCTATGTCCAAGGATGGGTATTGGTGTANNGATGGCTCACAGTGTTCGGTGCAACACAGGTGTATTGGTTGTATATCGTAACTTTTGCTGAAGCAGGACCTCCTTTCGTGGCAGCGGTAGTAGCACCGCCATTCTTTCTGACTTCGAGAACAGGAATAGCGGTGGTTGAGATTGTGAGAAGGGAGACCACAAGTGGCGTCCAGGAAGAGAAATACATTGTGACGAGAGATTGGGAGTTGGAATTGGATCGGAGTTGAGAGGCGCGAGGTATGCGGTGTAAGATATGAGGAATAAGGTATGCAGTGGATGTGGATGGCTTCTCTTCATGTCCGCGAGTTCTACTCTTATATCTGTGTTCTCTGGAATCTAGATTTCACAACACACACAGCATGGTCGTCAAGTCCGAGACTGTACCCAGAGCTGATGCTGCATTTAGCTGTCCCTCTACGGCCGAGACTTCCATGTGGACGGTCGAATTCATCCTTCGGGATGGTTAGACTACCTGATATTGCCGTGCTTCGATCGGTTTGGGTCATCGCCACTGCTGAACATAGAGAAGGCCTAGCAGTCGGCCTGGTCCTATAAAGTATATGATCCATATTGTCGAAGGCTTGCAGCAAGCGCAGCCACGTCTTCGGAGCTGAATAGTTCGGCGACAGCGAGCTAAGAGGCCAGAGCATCGTGTACAATGTACATGTGCGATTAGGTTACGCGATGGTCAAGTCTCACCTCGTATTGATTGGAAGTCGGCGGGTTCGTACAGTAGATACAAGTGCTCAGCTGCGAGAGACTTTCAGCTTGGAGTTCGTAATAGAGAGCTTGCGGCATGAATTGTTAAGACGAAGGTACAAAGACTCGAGGACCATGTAAGTTATCAAGGTTATAGAGGCAAGGACCACATGAGGTTAGTCCAAACCTTGCCCGCATCACCAAGAGGGTTCAGCTGAGGCTCGGCCCCGCACTATATTTCCGACTTCTGATCCGACAAACGAGTGAGTCTCCGCATGTGGATTGTTGAGACACTCCGATCTGAAGATATTATTCTTCCTTTGCTCTTTGAATGCACTCGTTGTAGCGGCTTCTGACTTTGATGTACCACGCCAATTGAACAAGTGTGAGTCCGCCCACAACCAAGCATGTATAATTCATGTTCGCAGCTGTNNAGTTTGAATCAGCTTGACTGGCCTGCCTGAAGCAGAAAGAAGACTTACCAGTGACAGGCTTGTAGTAAGGGAACGAAAAGAAGACGATCGCAAAAGTCAACCAGCAAACGGTGATGATATTGACAAAGAACCCTTTGAACCCGTGCATGTAGAACACACCCTTGTACATGTTCTTTCTACCAGTCAGTAAGTTGGTCAAGAGAGGCACCAGGTAAGACAGATTGTTTATGGTGACGCTCGAGCCAAGCAAGGAATTGAAAGCCGTGCTGGAGCCGAGATACAGGCAACCAAGCGCAGCAATGATGGCCGTAACTGCTATTTGTGAGTTCATAGGCATCTGCAATCGGCGGTCGACTTTCGACCAAGTACTCGAGAAAGGAATTGCACCATCGCGCGAGAAAGCCCAGAACATCCTTCCTGTCGAAAGCTGCGATGATATAACACATGGCCCTAATGCGATGAAGAGGATGAAGGTCAGGCCAAAGGCTCCACCGGCGTTCCTTGTGACTTGTCGGAAGAGCTCTGCAAGAGGCAAGCCAGTGTTCGTACCCGACAGGGCAGCATAGTCTTGAACGGAGAACATGAGAGCAATCAGATAGGTTATACCAGTGACAAAGGCAATGCCAAGAGTGATTGCGATCGCGAGCGGTGCGTTCCTCGACGGATTGGGCATCTCCTCTGTCAAGTGAGTGACCCCATCTAAGCCCCCCAAGCTGTAGAGAGGATTGACAAGACCAGTGATGAAGCAAATGACTTGGTTTTCCCAACCAGTATTGTTGATCCATGTGCGAAACACAAACTCCGAATCTTGATGAGTAGGCGCGTAAGCTACGACAGTGATCATCACAGTCAGCCAGCCCAGTTGAAGATAAAAGAGCGAAAATTGGTTGAGTAAAGGTATGATCCGATTACCCCAGATCACGATTGCAGCTGTGATTAGATTCAGAACTTGATACACCACGAAGGTCTGCCATGTCTGGATCGTCATGTTTGCATGATATATTGCAATGAGGGCCATGAAGGTTTGTGCATATATCAAGTTGGTCGATGCGGTGGTGAACACCCAGCCCGTAGTTGTGAACGCACCAGTCATAAAGCTGAGGAAACTCCTTGACCTTTCTGGCGAGACTGCAGCAATCCAATGGTACATGCCGCCACTCGTAGGGTAAGACGACACAAACTCGGCCAATGAGGCACCCAAGAAGGATTGCAGTAAGGCGATGAGGATGAATCCGTAGATGACTGCTCCTGGTCCTCCAGCTCCAATCTCGGTCGCCAAACCCAGACCTAGTCCTGTCCAAGATATGGTACATGTCGAAGCCAGGCCGATCAGACTCAGCATACTGAAATGCCGGGTGAGCTCTTGGGTATGACNCTTGACAGATTACATTAGTTGCACGTGGAGTCCAGCAAACAGACGCAACAAACCCATTTGTTGGAGTCTCAAATCGTCAGCGTTGTATGCCTCATCCTTCACATGGCTGTGTACATCCAGTGCAACGACGTTCGTCTCTTTTATTTTCTCCGCCATGTTTGAGAGTGCGAAAGTCAGATGGAGGAGACAGGAGAGCTCCAGAGGCTAAAGGCGACTTATCTTTCGTCGCATACATACAAGCTACGCCGACTATGAAGTGCCGGTACTGAGTGATAAGCGATTAGTTTACTCAAAGCTAAGGAGCTTTCATGGCGCTGTTCCATGAGGCACATTGTATCAGTCATGAGGGCTCCATAGCACTGGAGGAGAACAATATGCAGTGCATTGCGGAGTCCAGATTGCAACAGAGCGACCGGCCGCGAGACGATGGATGAGAGCGGGGCAAGCTGGTGGCCGATAGCGTGATATTACGACCTTTGCAGATCTACTACCATACTATCCTGCATTGCGCCTGATCGAGCAGGTGCAATGTGCAATCAGATAGCACTGTACAAGAACAAGATACGAGATGATGGTAATGAAGTTGCATTTTGCAGTCGTGTTCTGAAAAGAAGAGCACGGCGGTTCCCGATGGCTTGCCCGACCTCGCTGCCCGAGCTCGTAGGGCTCGCCTTTTCGGTTGCATTCAACCCGACACCACTAGGATGGCCTATCATAGCGTCGTGTCGCAACTTGGCCGGCAAAATGCTACCTAGACCATGGCGATCATGGCTGCACCTGTGCCAAACATCGACCTGACATTGAGTACAAAACATGACGACCTGAGACAAAGTGCAAAGGTCAAACAGCGATGCCGTCCCGTAGCCACCTCCTCGTAGTGTTGGCAGCAATATGCATCGTTCGAGTGTCGTGCTCTTATATCAACTCTCTGTCGACTAATGCTCAGGAAGTGCTCAATGGCTCAATGAGCTGAATGGACGGATACTACGACCCTGCTGCTGGCTACCTCTACAGCCTGGATGCTTCGGCTGCTCTTCGACACGACACGCGCAGCTCAGCATGGTACGCAATTGGACTGTTGGCGAGAAACGGAAACGAAGGAGATGATGTCAGAAATGCCGAAATTATACTGGCCAACATTGTTCATGGACAATACAAAGATCCCACAGAGCAATGGTATGATTGATTTCATGCCCGCACTATTCACATCAACTGAACATGTCAGNNGTTCGGAGACTACCAGAAAGAGCCAGAGGAACCGTATGTTGGAACCGAGGCGTATCCAGAAGCCATCTACAACTCCTGGGATCCTAATTGGCGAGGTTTCGTCGGCACTGCTTTCATCATCGGCCTGGAAGAATTTCCACATCTGCTCTGTGAGAACGTGACCAATCTCATGCTCGAGTCTCTCCGTAATGCAACTATCGGCGATTCGTATCGCGTTGGTGGTGTAGACGATGACAACCTGTATCCAGCTTACAGCAATCCGTCGATCATGCGAGCCTTCGTATCAGGCTGGACCGGACGTCGTCTGAACGACTCCAACTTCACTATGGCTGGCGAACGATATGGTCAAGACATTGTTGATTTGTTTACCCGTGCTGATACTCTCTCAGAGTTCAACAGTGGCACGTATACAGGCGTTTCACTCTTCGGCTTAACGCTTTGGGCCAAATACCTTCCCGCCGACTCTGTTATGAGTTATGGTGAACGAATGATCAAATCTACGTTAGATGCGGTCTCGAAATTGTGGAACCCTTCGTTGAGGAATATGGCTGGCCCATGGGACCGCAGTTATGGCTTCGATATGAACCGCTATTTCAGTCTGATGGCTCTGTGGTTCTGGATTGCCATTGGCAAAAGTGGTTCTGGATTACCATCGCATCCTCAAGTCATGTCCCACAGCGCTGACTTTGCGTTTGGTCCTCTGTTTGCCATACTTGGCGAGTTTCAATCATCATTGATCTCTGAAGACGTCTTGAAAGCGTTGAAAGACTTCTCCGGCGAGCATACTTTTACATCCTCCACCTTCTCTCCGCCCTTCGATACTTATCCACGGAACATCACTAGTTGGCTCGCTTCAAACATTAGCATTGGGGCTGAGACGTTCGATGAGAACGTCGTTGGTGGCCCGGCAATCAACCCGAGTACTTTCAACCCTGCTGTCATCCAGTGGAATACTGGTGCTGGTATTGGTTTTATCACAGTACGAACCTACCTTTCCCATTCCGACCCGCTCGACTAACGATCTCAACAGCTGTACGCCAGTGAAAACGCAACTACAGCTGTCGTCTCTNNCCCTCACCGTCTCGAACTGTCCTACCCGTACGGCAACAGCTCCTCAATCTTCAGCTTGCTTGTCTCAACTTTCGCCAATAGGCGAAACGTTGCTAGCTGGAGTGACATTCAAGGTGCAAACGTCAACGTCACGACCAATGCGAACACATCGTATGCAATCACCTTTGCAGGTGCGTACGGTGGTCAAGACAAGGTCATCAACGATTTCGAATACTGGAATATTAGCTATACTATGCCTAGCAATTTTACAGGTGTTCCGAGATTGGTTCTGGATATTGAGCTGTGGGAAGGTCAGGAGAGGCGCTTAGGGTAATTTACCCACACGGTTGTGGTATCGTAATGATGAGGATCGACATCTCCCCTTTCCCAACTAACAATTCAAGAGCCACTTTGGAGAACATATGGTCAACTCTTGATATCTAGTCAGTCATATCTTCATGGGTCTTCTATGGCCATCTGTCCAATCTGGGAAGCCATCATGCATGTCTATAGCATAATATAGTACTACTTGATAGCATCGAAGAACTATCGACGTACTGTACAGTTTGTTTTCCAGTGATTTAGGTCATACCGAAGCAAAGGTTCGAGCAATTGGGCATGGCAGGATAAAAGGTCAGGGTCGTTGGAGCAGCAGAGCGACCGGGCAAGGCGATGATGACGTCGCTCAAACCAAAACGACTTTCCGACACAGCATCATTCATCTTCGTACTGACATACTGAAATCTTGTCGCAACATGTCGCAAGTCGCCGAGCCTCTGCTGCAGCGTCCGCTCTATGGTAAGTATTGCAAAACCAGACTCTTGCGCAGCATGCTAACCTCAGCGCANGTATTTGACCTCCCACAAGAACTTCTCTCCACACTCGAACTCAAGGCCCAAAACAATGCCGCGGTCGCGATACCCGATGAACCCGGACTGCTAGCCGACAGCAATAGCAAGAGAAGCGAGAATGAAGATGGTGTGCCATCGTCAGCAACGTCGTGCGGCCTGTGTGGATTGTCGTTTCCCAGTGTGCAAGAGCAGAGGAGTCATGTGCGCAGCGATCTGCACGGATACAACATGAAGCAGAAGATGCGCGGCCTGAAGCCTGTAGGNGAAAATGACTTTGAGAAGCTGGTGGGAGATCTGGACGAAAGCATCTCGGGCAGCGACAGCGACGACTCGGCCAGCAGCGATGACGACGGCAAGAAAGACACGACATTGAGTGCGTTGCTCAAGAAGCAGGCCAACATCGCCGACCCGGACTTTGACGACTTCACCACGACTAAGACCAAGGTGGGCGCAGGCAAGCCACCGCTATTATGGTTCTCATCGTCCAAGCTGCCTTCGAATGTCGCCCTTGGTGTCTACAGAACTCTTCTGCCTCCTGCCGTACAGATTGGAGATGCTGCCACCATCGTACAGACAATCAAGGATAAGCAGCTCTCACCCAAGCCTCCACCATCACAACCCACCTCGGCTCCCACTGAAGGCTCTGGAGGCGTCCCTCTGCCCCGATCCCTCCAACCCGACACTTCTGCTACAGGTCCTCATTACTTCCTCTGCATGATCGGTGGCGGCCACTTTGCTGCAATGGTCGTGTCTCTGACGCCCAAGATGACCAAGAAGGCCGGGGTCGAGGATCGTGCTGCCACTGTCCTCGCACACAAGACGTTCCATCGCTACACAACCCGTCGCAAGCAGGGTGGTTCTCAATCTGCAAACGATAGTGCAAAGGGTGCTGCTCACTCTGCTGGTGCTGGGATCCGTCGTTACAACGAGGCAGCTCTAATCGCAGAGGTCCGCCAACTGCTACAGGACTGGAAGGTCTGGATTGACAGCAGTGAACTCGTCTTCGTCCGCGCCACTGGCACCACCAACCGTCGTACTCTGTTTGGTCCATACGAGAACCAGGTCTTGACTTCTAGAGACCAGAGAATCAGGGGCTTTCCTTTCGCCACTCGTCGTGCAACCCAAGCAGAGCTGATGCGATCTTTTGTCGAGCTCACGCGCGTGAAGGTATCTACCATTGACGAAGCTGCCATTGCAAGGAAAGCTCAAGAGGAGGAAGCTGCACGTCAAGCCGCCGAAGCAAAGGCTGCTGCCAAACCTACCACACCAAAGCCTGTGAAGCCTACCAAGGAAGAAGAGGAGGCCATGCTCCATACTACCCAGCTACAAGCTCTCATCCGTCGTTCGAAAGCACCCGCACTCGTCTCTTACATTACATCCAACAACCTCTCGCCAAACTTCACATTCTATCCCTCAGATAACCCGCAAAATCATCACGCCCCCACGTCCCTGCATCTCGCCGCTTCTCTCAACGCTCCTGCTCTCATATCATCGCTGCTACTGAAAGCAAAGGCCGATCCCACCGTCAAGTCTGCAGAAGGCAAGACCGCCTTCGAAATCGCAGGCGATCGTGCAACCCGCGACTCCTTCCGCCTGGCCCGTTCCGAGCTAGGAGAAAGCGCACACGACTGGGACGCAGCAGGCGTACCAGCCGCACTCTCAAAAGCCGACTGCGACGCCCGCGTACAACGCGAAAAGGACGAAAAGGCAGCAGAAGACGCAGCGGAACAACAACGACGAAAGACCGAGACCGAGCGCCTACGGAACGAAGACAAAGTCAGAGAAGAGCAGGGCAAAGAGAAAAAGTATGGCAAAGGCAAGACGTTGGCGCAGATGTTGCCTGAGAAGACGGCACAGGAAAAGAGAGAGGAAGAGGCTAGGGGCATGACTCCTGAGATGCGTATGAAGCTCGAACGAGAAAGAAGGGCAAGAGCTGCAGAGGCACGCTTCAAGGCCATGAGTGGAGGTAAATAGATGCTGATCTCCTGGTCATAACAAATTACTCGCGAGCTTTCTGCTGCTTCCTGAGAAAGCCCTTCAGAGAACACGATCTTACCTTTCCTCTCCCGCCGAAGTTCAGTGCTATAGTATACTATAAAGATGCACAGTTTTTGTCAACCTAGAAGTGTGGCCACATAGATAGCCCTGAGGTAACGTCTCTCTCTGGACAAAGTCTCGTTCTGGAAGGTATTGTGCATTTTTATAGCTACGCTATCAAGAGTCTTTAGCACGTGGGAAAACACATCAACAATCAAGTATGGAGAGTAAAACGAATCAAGGCAATTGACTTTGTTTCTTGAGAGCTATGGCGCAAGCTATCACTAATGTACAAATTTCTTCTTTCCTGCAAAGCAAAACCACGTCTCCATGATCTTCAGGATGGCAGTGGCCGGACACGTTCCACAACACAACAATGTGTTCACCTTATGCCAACCTAGGTGCAAGCATGGCCCAAGGGGTGGAGGTGGTACACGCAAGGGTGTGTCTGAGAGAACAGTTGGATGGCAGGGTAAGTGGTTCTGCCCATCTGAAGGCAGTTCAAGACCGACCAGACAAGCTGCTTACCCCACTTCTCGTAGTGGTTGTAGTCGAGCTGAATGCCGCGAAGGATGACAACACGGCTGATGAGGTGACGGAAGGTGTGGTTGACGGGGATGAGCTGCAGAAGAGCCTCAATGTCATCAGCAGCGTCGAAGACGTCGTCTGCAGTTATGTTCTTGTTGAAAATAACATCAGCGACTACGTTGGCGAAGAGTGGAGCCTGGATACGTGCTGCAAAGCGCCAGAGTTGGACAAGAGTCTTCAGGTCGATCTTCACGTCATGAAGGGGACCATCGTTGGACTTGACAGAGAGGTTACGGCCATAAACCCATTGACGGAACACAGCGAAGGAGCGGTCATCCACGACAATACCGAGCTCTGCTTCCTTGCCCGAAACGAAAGCTGCCGCGAAGTGGTTGGAGTAGTGCACCAGTACTGTCATGTGAACACCGCCAATGGTAGGACCGTCGAAGAGATCACCGTCAGCGAAGTCTCCGATAGTGTGGGGGACCGACCACTCCCCTGGCACAGGGCAGCACTCGTTGATGCAGACTGCCTCGGTGTCGTTGGTAACGTGCAAGGGAGAGACATACTCGTCGGCCTTGGGATCAGGAAACTTCTTCTCGGACAGTGAGATGGGGAGCTCGGTCTTGATTTCGGAGTAAGAGATCGATGAGACTTCTGAGAGGTTGTCGACAGGGGGTGCAGGGCTGCCTTGGATGACTGCGGGCTCAAGGCTGATGACAGCGGCGACTGGAGTTGAAGGGCCATCATCAGAGACAGATGATTGAGCGACAGGAGCAGGCGACTGGGGAAGAGGAATATCCTTAGCCAAAGCCTTGATTTTGTGGTGAGGTTCTGGCTTGCGCACGGTGCGTGGGGACAGGTGAGGAGACCGAGTAGCGGACTCATCGGGGCCGGTGACAGAGCTTAGAGGAGTAGCTTCGAAGAGCTTGTCGGCAAGATGGTCTGCATCGGGAGCAGTCTGAGTGCCTTCATCCTTGTTGATCGCGGCGTTCGAGGCATCGGAGGTCGTCGAGTCTACCACAGAAGCAGCACCGTCAGGCTCAGACAGCTGAGTGTTGGGAGCATGGCCGTTGGTGAAGCGGGACAGAAGCTTGTGAGGGCCCAAGCCTTGGGCGAGGTGGGCAGTGAGAGCATTGCGATCACCGTTGGTCAGATCGACGAGAGAGGATTTGCGAATTTCACTGGCTGTAGGCGAAGTGACGCCGGCAGTGACTTCACCACCAGCAGACTCATCAGTAGCGGGAGTGTTGTCGGCGACAGCAGGGGTGCTCTGCTCGGCGACACCCCAGGAGTCTTCGACAGGCTGTTCCCACGACATGTCCGCAAAGATCTTGTTGATGTGGTGGGTCGTAGTGGTGATTGAGCCTATGCCCCGCGTGTAGTTTGCGAAGGGAAAGGGCTGTGTATGGCCAAACGCGTTGTGTTGTGCGGTTGGCAGCCAGAGATTGAGATGTTCTGCAGATGCGCGATGGGAAGGTTGGATAGCTTGAGAGCGGAGAGTGAAGAGAGAGGTGATGTCGTAAGAACACGACGTGATCATGTTCGACTTGAATGAAAGAGGAGGAGAGGTGCGCGTATCAGAAGAAAGGAAAGCGTGCAAAGCTGGTGTTGGAGGTGAAGGAAGCGCGCAAACACGAAAGGCGCAAACATGGAAGGCGCAAACAACGGAACCAACCAAGACTTTCTGCTTCCGTCTCTTCACTTCTCTGCTGGATTCATGGGATGTCTTGGGTACTTGCCATAACAAAGTGAGCAGAGGTGTACCTCTTGACCGGAGCTATTGCACCTATCCTTTCCCTGTACTAAGAAGTATATAACAGAAGGGTGTACTTACAGGCGAGGATGCTTGCTGCTTTCGCAGTCAATGGATGCTATCAGAAGCCACATAGTGACAATGCTTGCCCTTCTCACTCCGCATACTATCTTTGCTTCTCACACCTGTGGCCCAGTCAGCAGGCATGAGATGAGAAACAACTTCAGACTCATGAAAGGGAGTTTGACGTCGCTCCTCTAGCGTGATGAAAAGTACGCGCACTCGTACGAACAAGGCTGAGTCGTTGGGCCACGCGGCGGCGCTGTACGGAGTAAGGCGACCTTTGTCCGAAACGCTCAAGATATTTGTGTGACATGATGATCATCCTTCATCCCTGCAAACCTGTCAGGTACCAACTTGGCAGGGCAGGCCTCGTCTTCTTGTAAATAGACACTGCCACACAGATGTGAGCTGGTACATAAACACTGATCGCCGTAGGTTTTCTTCTTTTGTGTCGCACAATTCTTTCCCGTTCACCTCACCATCCTCGAGTACATCTCTTCTTTCCAGCTTTCGCTCAAATCGATCCAAATCCATTCAAGATGCGCTTCCTCCTCATTACGACTCTCGCAGCTTTCGCCGCAGCACAAAGCAGCACGTCAATGAGTGCCAGCGCGAGTGGTAGCATGACAACCTCGACCTCCTCAGCCTCACCTTCTTGCGGCGCAGGCCAGTCGACCTGCAACGGCGTCTGCTTCGACAGCAGCGAGTACACCTGCTGCCCTGCCGGCCTGTGTGCCAGCGGAAGCTACTGCGGTCAAGACAGTTCTGGCAATGCCGCCTGTTGCGCCCAGAACACAGCGGGAACCTGCTCGGCCGCTTCGACACCTACATCCCTCAGCCGTGGTGCTACCGCCTCGTCGGGTGCTGCATCAGCGACTTCGTCCTCAGCAAGTGGAAGCAAGAGTGCTAGTTCTTCCTCGACTGCCTCCGGATCCAGCACTGCTACTTCTTCAGGCGCCGCTGGAGGTCATGCCGACTCCTGGCTCTCAAACGCCGTCACCTATGCCGCTGGAGGTCTTATCGCTGCTGCTCTAATCTAAAGATACCACGATACAATTTTGATAAAAAGAGATTGGTTGTACTGTTATGGCCTGAATGTTTTACTTTCTCTGTCTATATTCTGAATTTCATACCGCTTTACACACATCTAACCTATTCAGTCACCACTTCTCGTCTAGCTTAGTGTCCGACCAGCTTCTGGCTGGCTTCGCCGTATCTGTTACCATGAGGCTTTGCATTGTCGACAATCTTTCTCATCTCAGCCTTTTCCTCTTCATTCAGATCAACGTCTCTGGAAGCCCAATTCTCTTCCAGTCTGTGGCTCTTGGTCGTACCAGGAATGGCAATAAAGCCCTGAGCGGCAACCCAAGCAAGAGCGACCTGGGTAATACCGCAACCCTTCTTGTCGGCTAGCTTCTTGATCTCCTCGACAATGGCTCTGTTCTTGTAGAAGTTTTCGCCTTGGAATTTGGGAGCTACAACNNAACTAGTCAGTACACATAACAGGACAAAAGGGAATTATGTAAGGTACTCACAAGTGCGGCGGAAATCATCAGGAGCAAAGTCATCAGGAGTCTTGAAGGAAAAGTCATCGACCAACCATCCATGGCCTAAAGGACTGTACGCCACATAGGCGACTCCCAACTCTCTGGTCGCCTTAATCAACCCATCTGTCTCGTGGACAGTCTCGAAAGCAGAGTATTCAGCTTGCACAGCATCGATCTTGGCAATAACATTCGCCTTTCTCAATGTGCTCGCCGAACACTCAGACAGTCCAATGTACTTTGTCTTTCCAGCCTTGCGAATCTCATCGAGAGCAGTGATGGACTCTTCAAGTGGAGTATCGGGATCAATACGATGAAGATAGTAGAGATCAGGAGTAAAGCCCAGTCTCTCGATGGTGCCATCAATGTACTTCTTGATGTGCTCGGCAGAGTTCGTGACGCCTGCCTTTTCAAAGACGGCGAACCCGCACTTGGAGGCAATGAAGACCTTGTCGCGGACGTTGTGCTTGCGGATGAAGTCGCCGAGGAGGGATTCGTTGATGCCTGCTGCGTAGACGACGGCAGTGTCCCAGAAGGTGCATCCGAGTTCAATGGCTTTGAGAAGAACAGGCTCGGCTTGTTCGGGTGTCAAGTTGGTTCCGAGACCAAAGGATAAACCCATGGCTCCGAAGCCAGGGTTGTTCACTTNGATGCCCGAGGAGCCGAAAGGTAGTGTTTTGACCATGGTAGTGGAGATAAGGACTCAGGATATTGCTCGAGTGATTCTGCGTATGCAAGTCCTGGCATGTAAGAAAAAGTACGTCAAATGATGAAGCTCGTCTGATTGTTCTATTGTGCTGGATGGAATTGCCTATTTATCTACGAGCATTGGTTGGTATGACGCTTCGGCCGAAACCCTGCCCTGACACCTTATTACCTAACTCCGCAACCTCCATGCTCAGTCTCCATGTATATCCATCATTTCACTTAAGTCCGGGTTCTGTTGGGAGCATGCAGTCATGTAGATGGTTGTCTGTACATTCTTTCTAGATACTCACAGGACCTGTGATTGGGCATGTGCCATTCGTCTTTTGTAGACATAAACAGCAAACTGGTTCTCTCCGGCGTGCCAGCCCATAACCATGCAATAATCACCCCAGAGGACCCAACCGAACCGATAACCAATATCACACATCGAGTGACTCTAACAAGTCGTCGGGATGTGGCCCTGACAAGGAGAACAAGTGCGGAACGCTATCAATCATAATAAAAAAAAATACAAATAGTGTAGTGATGGGAAGGGGAAGAAGCTTGGCAGGCGTATTGTTCTTGGAGATGGACCTGCCGAGCATGCGAATCGAATGGGTCTTCACCAGGTTTCCTGTTGACGTTAGTATAATTACAGAATGCGTTGATGGTTAAGGACTTACTGCAACGTATTGACCGTCATCCCTCTTCTGTGCCCAGAAATCCTTGGCCTCTTCGAAGTTGAGATTGCCCTTGTCCATGGCTACGTCGATGAGAGCTTCCTCTACACCTTCGCCCATGCCTCTTGAGCTTCCACAGACGAAGATACGACCATCGAGAGCATTGATGACAAACCAGACAATGTCTGCCTGTAGACGTACTTCGTCCTGAACGTACTTGGCCGCCTTGTTTGCTTGAGACTCTGATACGACTTTGCCAGTTACTTCACCACCCTTCTTGGGTTGAATTTCAATAACCCCAGCGTCCGATTGGTCAACTGGAGGAGGCTTGGCGCGAGATTGGACAACCTTCTTGATTTGCTGTTCGTGGTCGCCCAGCTCTCCAGAGTAGATCTCATCCAAGGTCGAGTCTCGTACACCCTGGATCAGCCAAATCTTGTTGGCACACTTCGAATTGCGTAGACGATTGAGGATGAAGCCACGGAAGGGGGCCATGCCCACACCAGCACCAATCATGATCATTGGGCCGTCCGAATCGAACTTCTTTGAGAGAGGGTTGGCCATCAATCCACGGAACATTGGTATGCGCACGCTTGGCATCTCGACTTCGCCGCCCGACTGCTTCGCCTTCTTCTCAGCGTCGATGAAATGGCGAGCAACGCGCTCGAGGTATCCAGAACCAACTCCAGTCCTCATCTTTCCATCCCAGTTTGGGTTTTCGTGGACCGTGACTGCAATTTCGATGATGCGTCGTCCGGCGAGTCCTTCTCTGTCTGAAGAAACGTGAGGATCATTGGAGAGGGAATAGAATCGAGGCATAAGCTGATTGAGACAACTGAGTAGCATCTCGAAAGGAGGTCTGGATGAAGGGAAGGCCTCCAGAAGCTGTAGCAGTGTGATGTTGGGTCCAACGCGAAGGTCGCAGAAAGCGCCTTGACCTTGAGCACTAGCCATGTATTCGAGGATCTTGCGCTCGTTCTTCGCATCTGCATATTCGGCCAGAACACGGAAGAGTTGCTTGGTCGGTGGGGAAGATGCAATGTCCACGCACCATGTCAGAAGCTCTCTGCGTGTGGTAAGCAGCTCGCGAGGCTTCTCATCTCCCCAGATTGTAGGCCATCGTCCTCCCTCAGTCTTGAGCACCACAGGCTTGTCGCGGACAAATTTGGGTGTACCAATCCTGTTGAAAATGGTGTCGACGACGGATGCGTCATTGGGAGGACAGATACCAACGGCACCACCGACCTTAAAGTCAATATCGCCTTCCTTGGGGTAATCGGTGATGTCGATATCAAAGTGGACGGTGCGCTTTTCGGCGCCTTCATTGGTAAGCTGGCGGGCGTGGAATACAGGTGCAGAATAGACATCGTAAGGAGGGTGGGGCTGAACAAAGGTAGGCGGGTGGACGTCAACCGTGCTTTGATGACTACTGGCCTCGTCCTTCGAGACAGATTCCAGTGAGTATTTGGGCTTGGGAAGTTCCACGAGATCGCTAAGACCAGTGTCGAGAGTCAAGGCATTGATCTTGAGGTTTAACCCCCGAAAGGCGTCACTGTCGGGTAGTACGACGGGGATGAAACCAGGGCGGGTTGTGTCCGGAGGTAGAGTTTTGATCTTACAGCAGTTCGCAGCCGCTCCACAGCAGTAGTTTTGTAGGAACTTGGTACCCGTCTCGCCAGTTCCGAGCAGCTTGCGAATGTCGTCGGCCGACGATGTGATCAGATGTGTCGAAGCGCGGCGCTTGGTGACCTCTTTTTCGATTGGACTCTTCTTATCCTTGGGTGTCATGTCCTCGAACTGGTCGTACAACTCGGTTGAGGGCGTCGAGATGCCAGATTCAAGATATCCCTCGGACCAAGCCATTGACTCGCCCAGCGAGTCGCCCGATGAGCGTGGCGATTGCGATTGTGAGTGTACGGATCGCTTAGATGGCGACATGCTGCCTTGTGGAATGGAGACGGGCTCAGTGGGTATCGGATTGTCAGGGTGTGATGTGGCCGATGTGGGAATGTGCTTGTGTGTGTGAGTCGTCATAGTGAACGACGACAAAGAATGGCGACGAGGCATGTTGGCGAATTGTGTAAGAGTCGCTGCAGAGAGATTAATGTCAGCAAAAGAAGAATACAAAGACGACGCTCGACATTTGACAACGCGAAGTGGAACTTCGTCATGGGGCGGGCGGGGCGTCTCTCGAAGCGTGAGAACTCACGAGGATATCTGATCGGATCAGATAAGAGATTTCTCCAGAAGAGACCCTCTGTAAGCAAATTCTCAGATTCACTTCGACGAGAATTCTTAGGTATGTAGAGGGCAAAGCTGGCGAGCAACTGCTACAATAAGTTCTTCGATTGAAGATCTTGTGGGATGGGAAGGAGTGAAAGTACAAACAGAAAGTCGAAGGTGATGGGACGGCTTTGCTAAGTGGCAGTTGCCCCTGGTGGCCCCTGCAGAGTACGAGCGTCACTTCAGCCCATCAAACCACGAAAGATCCAGGCAGATTGATAAGATACCTATCTACGCTGTTTTCTTGCATGGCCCAGAGCTCCTGATTATCGGATGGGGCCTCAATCTTTATCAATACCATTATTGCCGTATCGTGGAGAGACTAACAGCCCAGTTTTTATTCCTTCCTATTGTTGTTGCAAATTTCTAATCCTATGTGTGGCTGAGTCTTTTGCCTTCCGATCAATGCTGTCGCGACCCGCTAATTGACCTCGGCTGGTCATCGACTCGTCTGTAGACTCTACCAACTCGTAAGATTCTATGTTTCTCTCATTGCCTCAATTTGGTGAGATGCTTTACCATAGCCTCTTCCTTTTTCTAGACACTCAGCCGACATTGCGTGCTTGCCTATCGCGCTGAACATGGGCAATCAGCTGTTCAACAAACATCGTACGAGCGACCCTGATCACGACATCTATCTGGTGACTGTGTACCTGGATAGCCCTTAACAATGAATTCTAGCAAGTGAAGGTCTCGTCTTGTTCACGCTTCGAACCATCTCGTGGCTGCAATACTCGACCCGCAGTCATACCTAGCGTATGCATAGTCTTGTTACTTGCAATCACATCGGACAAGACTTATCTCATGCTTGACAGTATCGACTCATCTATCACGCTCTCAGACCTCCTGTGGGAGAGGGAAAGATATCTCCAGTGTGTCTAAGCTCATAGCTTGTAGCACAGATCGCAGTTGGCTGTTCTCCATTCTGGTGGGCGTCGAATTCCTCGATAACATATGCAATATTGAAACCTTGCTCTGCCGTGAAGATTTTGATAACAATTCATATGCACTGTCGGAGTCTATGTTTCCGTAATCATGCAAGTTGTATTCTTAAGCTGTACAGTGTTTGTGGCGGTCGAGCAAGCTAGAAATTCTCAATCCATGCCAGGATCTTCACTTTCTTCGATCACACGTCCCTGTTGCTCGTGAGGCATCTGACCCGAACGCTCAATCTCCTCCATCTGCTTTCGTCCCTCTTCGGTTGTTGCATCGATGACGCCCTCTTCCAAGCTCAACATGCCACCCTCACCAAGTTGTGCTACGACTTGCTCGGCTTCGTCAACACTCATCTTGCCCAAAACCTCGTTGACTCTGTCCAAGCTGCCGCTTTCAAGAGCGCGTTGAAGGCCTGGCGGGAAAGTCTCGAAGACTGCGCGAGCCTCCTTGGCATCCTCATCAGTAGAATCGGCAGGTGGCACCACAATGTTGATGGTGGTGTTGGGATCTACTGCATGCAATTGGATTTGTTCGACGCCGCCGGTACCATCTGCTTCATCGCGCTTGCGTTGCTCAGCGAGTTCTCTTGTGCGCGATCGGATTCTGGCGTATGTTGAGTTGACGTCGTCCATGAACAGCTTCTGTGCTTGATGACCCTGTGTGGTGACACGCTTGAAGAAGAGCTGTACTCCGTCACGGCCCAGTTGTCGGCAGTACTGCAGTAACAAGGCTTGGTGGACACATTGTTTTGCGTAGTCGTCATTTCCGTCGCTCTGGGCATTGAAAGCCTCTACTAGTAGACCATCCGTCTCTTTCTCTCCCATGACAGAGGGATTATTTGAGATGAAATCCAGTGAAGAACGGTAGTCGCCGTATCTAATCTTGGCAAACTTCTTTGCTAGGGGCGAGGCCTGCATGTCTTCGTCGTCGCTGTCTAGACTCGCGACGGGTTTCGTGACGATCGACTCATCCTCGATGTCAGCATCAGCGCCTGACGATTGACCACTGTCGGCATGTTGAATAGAAGGGCGCGACGGGTTGAGCAGCTCAGGAGTTGACGAAGGTTTGCTGGCGCCAGGCTGAGTCGAAGATTTGGAGACGTGAGAGCTATCGAAGCCGGTGCGGTAAGTTTCGCTGGTAATCTTTGCCTTTTCCTCCTTCTCGAGCTCAGCAAGCTTCTCCAGTAGCTGGACTTGTAGATCCTGAATCTTTGTCTTGTGCGAGGTGACTTCGGTTATGAAGGCAGCATAGTATGCTGAAGGCGCAGGCTTGGCCTCGTCTACGGCCTGCTTGGCTTGATCGACCAGAGCAGCCATCATCTTGCTGTAGCGTGGGGGATCTTGAACATTTGCATGAACACCGCCTGGTGGAGGTGGGGGAGTATCTTTGTCAGGGGAGCCTGTGCTCTTGATCAGAGCCTGGAAGATGTAGCGTTCGAAGCCTGATGAAGCCTGCTCGGCTTCTTGCTTGAAAGACTGCAAGGAGTCGAGCAGGTCGTCTATGCGCTTGATCAAGCCATCGTTGATGATCTTTTCATATTTGAGAGTTTCAATCTGGTGTTTGCGATCGACACGCTGTTGGTGGATTTGGTTCTGCTTTGCACGGATGAAGGAACGCTTGTCGACGTTGGGATGGACTTCGATATCGGAATCGTCAGACAGCTCGAGAGCTTCNNCTAGATGTCATGGTTAGCTTGAAGCAAAAAGATTCAGGGGAAGAATAGCTACCCATTTGCTGTAATCAACGGGCATGACGGCGGGGCTGAGGAGACAAGCTGCACTCAAGTCGTCTCTTTGGGTACACCGATACTGAGGCTTCGTTGCTAGAGCAGATGCGGATACTCTTATCAGGAGAAGAGATGGTTATACACGAACAAGTGGGACAACTTGTCTGTCTGTCTATTGTTTCATCGGATTGACCGAAGCAAATGGAAAGGCCCGAGCTCCGAGGCGCGCAGCGGGCCGAAGGTTCATGATGACGATGCGACAAACACGCGGCTGCACGTCTAGACTGTCGCTAACAAGTCAACTCATGTCGCATTCACTCACACTCGACCCATGACAAGAATGCCCATTGCTGTCCGCACTTTCGACTTGTTGCGGTAGACGACCTCTCCCTCCCTCCCTCGCTCTGCTCCAGCTTCTTCCCTCGGCGCCCGCCCGCCCGCCCTCGCCCTTGGAGCCCCGGCTAGTCATGCATCCCCGGCAATGGCTCTGCTCAAGAGCATGCCAGGACTCGTCCACTCTACTGGCCGTTCTGTCGAGGTCCACGCTTGCACCAGCTAGACACAGTCGCCTCTTGACCACACAAGCCAAAAAACCGCCATCGCTACCTTCACACTCGCTCGGCCTCTCGTGCGCTCGCTTGACACCCCTGTCACGCCCATCATTACATTCCTCCCCCCAATCTGCTATAGCCTTGGCCTTACGACGCCCATTCACTCGCTCTGCCATCGTCGCAAAGTCACAAGAGGCCGCTCGCTCATATCGAGATGAGATCAAGCACCAACAAGATCCCGACGACGACGATGCCGCCGACGACCAGTCTTTCAAGCCTACCGAAAAGGTAAAGAGTGCTGCCCAGCTGAACCTGTCGGCAAAGCTGAGCAAAGACGGCACTGGCAAGACCGGCGGCCAAAACGAGATCTGGAGATTGCTCAAGATTGCCCGTCCCGAACTCAAGGTCCTCTCCTGGGCCTTCCTCTTCCTGCTCGTCTCATCATCCATCTCAATGTCTCTACCATTCTCTATTGGTAAGATCATGGATGCTGCTACCAAGCCTGCCGAAGATGGAGGCGCCGATCTGCTCTTCGGCATGACCATGCCTGTCTTCTATATCGCTCTAGGTACCATTCTGTCCATCGGTGCTGCTGCCAACTACGGTCGCATCATTATTCTGCGCATCGTTGGTGAACGTATCGTTACCAGATTGCGCTCTCAGCTTTTCAGACGTACTTTTATCCAAAACGCAGAGTTCTTTGATGCCAACCGAGTAGGTGACTTGATTTCACGTCTCGGTTCAGACACCATAATCGTCGGAAAGAGTATCACCCAGAACGTCTCTGATGGTCTAAGATCCCTGGTCTCAGCTGTCGCTGGTTTCGGCCTCATGGGCTACGTCAGTCTCAAGTTGACTGGTATCCTGGCCCTCATGTTCCCTCCTGTCGCCATCGGAGCTTTCTTCTACGGTCGCACCATCCGCACTCTATCAAGACGTATCCAAAGAAACCTCGGAACCTTGACTAAGATCGCCGAAGAGCGTCTAGGAAACGTCCGCACATCACAAGCATTTGCTGGTGAGCAGCAAGAAGTGCACCGTTACAACACTCAGGTCCGCAAGATTTTCGATCTCGGCAAGAAGGAAGCTCTTATCAGCGCCGTGTTCTTCAGTTCTTCGGGCTTTATGGGCAACATGACTTTCCTGGCTCTCTTGTACTTTGGAGGTGGCATGGTCAAGACTGGAGCTATCAGTGTTGGAGACCTGTCCAGTTTCCTTATGTACACAGCATACGCTGGCTCATCGCTGTTTGGCCTCTCAGGGTTCTACTCGGAATTGATGAAGGGTGTGGGAGCCGCCTCGCGTCTGTTCGAGCTGCAAGACCGTGAACCTACAATCAGCCCTACCAAGGGTGAACCTGTGAAGAGTGCTAGAGGCGACATTGTCTTCAAGAACGTCAGCTTCGCCTATCCCACCCGTCCTGCCGTCCCCATCTTCAATGAGCTGGACTTCACCATCAAGCAAGGCACTAACGTTGCAATTGTTGCTCCATCAGGCGCTGGTAAGTCTACAGTGGCCAGTCTGATTATGCGCTTCTACACGCCTTCCGACGGACACGTTCTTATCGGAGGACGCGATGTAACTACCATGAACGCAAAGCAGTTGAGGAGGAAGATCGGCTATGTCGGACAAGAGCCTGTCCTCTTCTCAGGCACCGTCGCTGAAAACATTGCCTATGGCCGTCCTCTAGCTACTCGCGCCGAGATCATTGCTGCAGCGCGCCAAGCGAACTGCCAGTTCATCTCTGACTTCGTGAGTAACTTCCATGGAACCCAAGTCTAAATTTCGTGCTAATCAAAGTCACAGCCCGAGGGCCTCGAAACGCATGTTGGCGCAAGAGGCACACAACTCTCCGGTGGCCAGAAGCAGAGATTGGCAATCGCCCGTGCCTTGCTCAAGAACCCTGATATTCTGATCCTCGACGAAGCAACCAGTGCATTGGACGCCGAATCAGAGACTCTGGTCAACCAAGCCCTGAACACGCTCCTCGCAGGCAACAACACTACAATCTCTATTGCTCACCGTCTATCAACTATCAAACGCTCCGACATGATCATCTGCATAGGCAACGACGGCAAAGTAGCAGAAACGGGAACGTACAACGAACTCAGCAAGAAGAAGGAAGGCGCATTCAGCAAACTCATGGAATGGCAAATGTCCGGTAATGAAGCAGCCAGATCTCGTCCTCACGGTCCAAAGATCGAGGAAGGGGAGGAAATCGAGCATGATCTCGCCGACAGCGATTCTGCCGAAGGTCAAGAGCAGATGCAAGAGCAAGGGACGAAGTACAGAGGTGAGGACATCACCGCTGGAGAAGCCGTTGCTGAGAGGACGCCAAGGAGCACGGGGAGATGAAATGGGAAGAAAAGACGTCGATTCGGCAATCTGCTGTTGTTGTTTTCTGTTTCTTCCTTTTGGATACCCCTCACTCCTGCCATGTAAATGTTTGCATTTCCTTTAGTTTCGTTTCTTATCACCGAGGGCTTTCAGTGCTCAGGAGATGGCATTGTTATGAAGAGATAGATGGAGGTATACCCCACTCAAAGATTTTTCAATGCATATCTGCATGATCATGTACTGTATCCTAGAACTCGCCTTGATCTTATAGACTAGCATCATACTTTGAAAAAACATACGTTTTCGAGGTAACTGGCACCAGAATTGTGAGATGCGGGAAGGCCAGAGGGATGAAAGGTCAAATGTTCAAATTCTACAGGGTTCTTTTTGCAGCCAGATCCATGGGCGAAAACAAGGGGGTATCTCTGTCCTAGTAACCGCTGGCGCCAGGGGCGTTCTCGTCCTTGCGAAGGTTGAGCAACAGTTCTCTGAACTTTGACTTTGCCGAGCCCTGAGCACCGCCAGAGCTGCCCTTTCCACTGAGATCAACAAGCTTGGAGACTCTGTCCCAGCTGGTTCCGCCGGCGGTGGTGTCCTCTCTGGACTTGAGGAACTCTTCTGCGTCCTTGCGGGTCTGGGAGACGGTCTTGTCCTTCTTGTTGTTGTAGTTCTCGTAAAAGTCGTCGATGGCTTGGTGGGCGGCTTTGACGGTCTCTTCCTTTTTGTTCTGCGAGACCTCGTCTCTGTGCTGGAGGGCCATGTCTCTGCGCTCGCGCCATTCGCGGATGACGTCGGGTTCGGACTCGTCTTCGTATGAGGCTTGGTTGGATTTGGGCTGGTATGGTAGTGTGGATCCGGTGATTGTGCCGCCGGGTGCTACTCCCTGTTTTGGACGTGCGCGTCAGAAAGTGCTGTCTGATGGTAGATGAGGTGATCAGGGGGGACGAACCTCGTTTGATGTGTCAATAGCAGGGAAACTGGATTCGAAACCACCCATTTCGTGATCGGCGGGAGCCTGGTAGGACTGGCCTCCTCCAAGAAGGTCGTCGTCGTCATTCTCAACGGTAGCGGAGTTGTCGGCGGGGGTTGCGAATTGGTCGGCATCGTCACCAAGGAGAGCGCGCTCACGGGCCAGGAAGTCTGAAGGCTCGTCGGACATTTGAGTGGTGTCCATGTTATTGTCGGCGGTAGCATCTCCAATCAGACNCTTGTTCGTCAATGGTTAGTCAGAGTGCGGTGAGTACTGGTCAAGACGCAATGGTATACCAGAATCTAGGTCCTCAACAGAGGGGAACTTGTCGGCCATTGCGGAGTTTGTGGTTTTGTGCAAGTGGTGAGGTTGGCAGGGATGGAGTGCAGCGTTCGAGTGAGGCAGTAGAGAGTTGAGGATCGGTGTTGATGAGGTGGTCAGTTGTGGTGGATTGTTTGGAGTCCGGATTGACGACAGCTAATGGCCAGCCTTGGGGTAGCACGGAGCACCAAAGCACGACCGGCGCCGTGATGATGCGGGAGAGAGCGGGTCCTGCCGCCCATAAAGTCCAAGCACCTTGATTGCGCGCTGCGACTTGGTCGTCATGGTTGATGACTTCTGCCACCCATCCAAATATCCCACCACATCGTCCCTCCGTCTCGTGTGTGCACAATGGCTTACGCCGATGATGCCGTAAGAGCAAAGCTCTCGGCCTTGAACGAAACCCAAGATAGCATCGTCAGCGTCGCTCAATGGATCATCTTTCACAGGTTTGTTTGCTTTGCGCCGCAACATGTCAGACCAGCATAGCTTAGTTTCGTACCCAGACGACACGCAGACCGTACTGCCGAACTGTGGCTCGAAAGGCTCAAGGATTCGAACCCTCCGAAGAAAGTCAATCTCATCTATCTCGCCAATGGTACCTGCCCACAACTGCTGTCCATCACACGCGACCACTACTAACATGTCTCACANGAGGTTGTCCAGCAATCAAAGGCACGCAAGAAGGACGACTTCCTTGTGGCCTTCAGTCCTGTGCGTCCCCCTTCTAGCAACTTTTTGTCAAGCGTCTCTAACCAGACTAGNATCATTGCAGAAGCCACATCCTTGGCCTACAAGAGCGGCACCCAGGACACTGGCGGAAAGATCAAGCGTGTTGTAGAAGTCTGGCGTCAGCGCAGCATCTTCGACCTCGCCATCCAGGATACTATCGAGAAGCGCATTCAAGGTACCAGCCCTCGTTATCCTTTGGCGCAATCGTGTGACTGACAAGCAACAGAGGTCGACAAGTCACGCACAGCTCGTTCAGGCGGCGCACGTCTCGGTAGTTCTCTCCTTGGTGGCTCTCTCTTCTCCAACTCTTCTTCTTCGCCAGTACCACCCGAGCTACAAGCCCTGGCACAACCGCAGTCCTCCCTCTCTCGCTCCGAAACTGCCGCTCAACCTCTCATCCAGACCGCAAACACCGAGTACGCAAAGCTGACAGACCCCAACACACCTATACCCAGTCCTCCTGTTCATGCCGCTCGTCTATCATCGCTTCTGAAGAATCTCGCGGCTGCAGAGGGCGCCGTCGATGCTAGCCTCAAGGCCCGTAACGAGCTCATCGCTGGTCTGGAGAAGTTGCTCGACGCCAACAAATCCAAGCTGGCTGAAGAACAGAAGACACACTCGGAACTTTCGTCCCGTCGCGCTACCATCGAGGTAAAGAAGAAGGATGTCGAGGACGGCATTATGCGTGGTCTGTCCGCTGATGCTTCGGCCGCCGTCTCCTCTGGCCTATCTGCCAATCCTCGCCCTACTGGAAACGACGGCAGTCCTGAAGTCGAGTCTTTCACCCCACCTNNCCCCCCTGATGTCGAGAACTTCACGCCCACTGGCTCTCCCGAGCCCGCCTATCCTGCAGACGACAACGCATACGACCAAGACTTCTTGGAAGCAAACACTTTCGCCGCAGACTCCAACCAAGAACAGGAACCCATACACACCGAGCCCGCTCCCTCATTCGAGCCTCCCCCAGCTCTTCAAACCAGCATTCCCGCCATGTCTGAGGGTGCAAACATGCTACTTAGTAGCCTGGCCCGTCCCGCATCGAACAGCCCCGCCGCTACTACTGATCCCAGGCTGAAGAGAAGAAAGATGAATCACAGCTCCGAAATGGATGAGGAGCTCTTCAGTACTGGTGAGGGTGTCGGTCTGGATAAGGATGTTGCTGCCATGCTCGGTGCCCAGTGAGCTCGACAAGGACTTCAGCAAGTTGTCAAAAGTGTTACACAGTCAACCATTGCGAAAATATACATCCCCAAGGCTTCTTCTTATACCCTGGTTCCTAAAATGTCTCCTGACAGAATTCTCGTAGTTTCAAGGCCTGATTGAACAGTTGCTACAGTCAATAGCTTTCGCAGACGTTCACATGTTCAATGACAAAATCGATTCGAACTGCCACCTTCTTGGACTCTCCGTCTTTCTGTGCTTTCCCATCAGCTGACTACCTCTGTCCGTAGTTTGCTTCCTGAAAACCTCGATCCCCTTCCCCTTTGCTCGGCAAATTAGTCCCACACTTGTCTTCTAAGCTGCCACAACTTGATTGTCCAGCAAGACATTGCGGACTTCCAAAATCTCTGCAGTCCGTACTCCCTCCCCGTATGCTAGAGCATGTAACGCTTTTAGCTATGTCAATGTACAGTGCTACCAAATGACAAGGCAGTGTCCACTGAAGAGCCAATATGCTAGTGGCTGTCTTAGGCTACTCCTCTGCCCCAAAAACCCATCGTCTCTTTCCATGGTGCACACCTCGCTTTACACTCTTGTGGAAGGAGGACATAGTTTCAGCCCTTAACACACGTGGAGGTTGCTATACCCTCAGTTTTACACCGCTTCTGGTCATTCTCAATTTGGTAATAACCCATCACGAGCGTACAAGAAGTTGACAAAGTTGGACAAGTCATGCACCTCGGCGAACTAATTAGACTCCACTCAACTCGTTCACATCTGTGCTTCCCTGTTTAATGACACTCGTCTGCTCGAATACACTCGACTGCGCGCGCCTGAAACATTCTCTGCCTTTTCGTCAGTCGCTTAACTCACGCTTAGGCGTCGACGGCACAACATCACAGTATTTACAAATCGAACCACTAGCTTGTGTGGTCGCTCTTTCCCTAGCTATCATCCCTTCTCGACTCCCATTCTCACTCAACGACTCAGCAGACATTCTAGGTTCTGTTCGCTTGTGGCAGCTTGCACTCACTCTACCATCATCATGAAGCACCCAAGATCCGACGTGCCCATAGAGATCAACCATGACTCTCACTTCGATCTCGCTTCTGGCAAATCACATCAAGTTTTACCTCTAAACAAGAGAGTTCCATCACGACAGAAGAGAAGCCCTGAACGTCAACGTAGTGTTGACGAACCGCAATATTCCAGAATCCTTGATATCCCTCGCCCAGTCTGGCCTGCCAACGATGAGGTCACGCCAGAGATATCTCAGAAGAGAATCAAACAGCTGGAGTCTGGAACTGAAGAGCAAAAGTTAATGGCTGCCTTTGCCAGACATGTCATCAAGCCAGGCCGTAACAGCCGTGCGAATTCTTGGGTATCACACAGGTCACTGAGAAAAGCTTTCCCTGAGCACTTCGAGCAGTCGGGATTTGTTACAGGATCTGCCTGGAAAAACAAGAAAGCTAGCGATTTCGGTCTACCAAACTTGTTCCTCAGAGGTGTCGATGACAGGATGGCCTCTTTTGGCAGTCACGAGTCTGTCAAATATCTGTTTGCGGATCTCGGATGGGCGCCTGCTACAGATCCATGGAATGATAAGGAGTATCAACGGCTACGGCAGCGTAATGTACACGAGCACAGCTCTTCAGTCAGGGCCGAACAGTCAGCCAGTCACGCCATCTCAAATCAAAGAGAACGAAGTGTTGAGCAGGACAATGGCCTGGATGCAGTGGAAGGCGAAGAGGACTATGCTCGCCCATCCAAACGACTTCGATCGAGGTCTTCTGTAAAGTCACAGCCAGAAAGATACGCAGAAAAACCTGCGATCCTGCAGTCAAGTTTGGCTGCCCCGGTTCGTATGAGCGATACAGCCAACAAGCTCGATTCTATGGAGAGTGGTCATCTCGAGTTCAAATACAAGACACCTCCTCGTGGATTCGGACAAAGCACGCATAGCACAGCAACAAAGATGGAGGGCGATCACCGGCACGCGAGCTCGCAACAGCAGGACAATCGAGGCGTGTCGGCGAAAGAAAGAGTAAGTTATCAACAGATTCTTGGGTAATCAAAGATACAATACAGGTCGCTGACTAATCTCAGATCATGCAAACAGCATGCCCAAAGCAAGCCGGTCCAGTCTGCCAACCCCCTTGTTGCAAATGACATGAGAGCCGTGAAGAAAGTTCTCATTCCGAAGATCTGCGATATACTCAGAGACTTCCTGACCTCGCCCGAAGACGAGGCATTCATGCCTCTGCTCCGCCAACTTGTCAAAGCAACGGTTGCAGACACGACTCAAGCCATAGACGACAAACACCTCGATCTTCTTAATCACGTCGTCACACATTGCACCAGCAGTTCTCCCACCGATCCTTCAGAGATCACGAGCATAACCAGACCTATCCTGAGGATACTGATGAAACACCGTTGCAGATTGGCAACGGAAACCCATAGCCGGATGCAAAGAGACATCGACAGCATGGCTATGAGAAGAGACATGGAGAGACTGCGTGTCATATACGCAGAGATGTTGTTGTTCGAAGCGCAGGCCGAGGAAGGTCAGAACGATCAGTAGGGGAGGATTCATCAACTTATTGACATGGCCAAAAGTAGCCTGGACGAGACAATGGAGATGAGAATGGGGAGAATGATTTACAATCATATGTCCTGGATGATATTGCAGATAGTAAGGGAAGAAAATTTGACAATTCACAAATCAAGGCCCAAGAATGATCAAATGCAATTACTTTATGTGGTTGACCAGTGTTGTTGGAGCTATCAGTGAGTGGTTTAAATGGGAATTTGGCCTGAATAAGATGCGTTTTTGAAAGCATACAGATCGCATTGTTAGGTACGTTCGCCTTATGACTTCTAGACTTTGCTCTTGCAAAACGTTTCTGACAACCATGAGCACCGCATGCCGATGAGTTATCTTCAAGATCTAACTAAGCTCTCTCTCCTGCTCGTACGCGTACTCGCATACCTTTCCAGAACTGATCAACTGGTTCGCAGACAGTGTTGAGACGATAAGTACAACAGATATAGGACGGCAGTTGAGGTGTGAGAAGGCGCAAGCCCTCCTTCCAAAGCAGGCTGGAACGCTGTTGACAGGATCAGGTTCATCCGTTATCGAATGTCACTTCGGTGGACGGAAGGAACCAAGTCCGCGTGTGGAAGATCTACGCTTAACGCTACGGATTGACCGGGTGTGATGACAAGATAAGCCCGCATCAAGAATAGCTCAAGCCGCATGCGAAAAACATCGAAAGTCAATCCAGGATCGACCGAGGGCCAAGCACTGAAACACGGCAGAACCAGCCGTTCCTACAATAGAGCATCTTTTCCCCATGGGAAGTTGTCTGTGTGTGGGGACACAGAGGCACAGAAGGGCGAGTTGAACATGGATCAGAAAATCGGATTGTGGAATGTATCAGAGGTGCATGGCTGTTGGGAGCAACCTTGCTAGTCAAGCACACTGGGCATGAGGTCAAACAAGGACAAGGAAGAAGCATCGTCACGATCAATCGGGCCACGACGTTTTATGGTGCCACATCATTCGTCGTTACGCGCGGTGCACCGCCCCAAAAGCCTTCAACCGCCAGACAGACGTTTGGCGTGCTGTCGAGGAGCTTCAGGTTGTATCTCTGTACTGAAAGAACGAATGTGACTGCGACGAGACGGATAGTTGGGAGCTCTGAAGGGTGCTGTCAAAGGTATATATATCATCGCTAGACAGGGTAGATAAATCAAGAGGCAGGCAAGAGGGGGACCTCCTCGAAGGTACCAGCCACATTCGCAACATTCTCTTGTTTCTGCATGCGCGGCAACCCAAGCCGAATGCCTCGTAATCACTTCTCGACACAAACCTACACGGCGCCCAATTCTTTTCTCTCGTTCGTTCTTTTATTCCAAGTTCCATCTCTCTGCTTCTCGTCGACCTCATCTTCACCACTTCACTCGCTTTTATCGCGTGTCGCATATCCATAGCAGAATCGCCTGGGCCTTATCGACAAACTTATCCACAGCACTAGTCAGCCCCCGGCAGCAAAGGTCCGAAAGCCCACTTCAGCATGGATCAATCGTCGCCCACCACTCGCCCGCGGACGACCTCTCGCGCCTTCAGTCACAAGTCCGACCACAGTCGCAGCAGCAAGCATGAGGTGTTGGTTGATAACCCTGCCGAGAAGCAGCGCCGCGACAGTTTCTGGAAGGGCGGGTCCAAGGCGAACCCAAATGCTGCTATCAATGAAGCCCAGCCTGGAGGTGTGTTCTTCTCTCCTTCTGACTTTCCCATCACCGTCTACCCCGACTACCTGATCACCACAATCCTGCATTCCCAANNCATGGCCGACATTGCTGTTAGCTTTCCCGTCACTCCCGCTGACCCCAACAAAGATGCCGCCGTCATGGAGAAGTCGACCCTCGAGTCGCTCCGCCACGTCCAACACAAAGATAGTAATGGTAATGTAATCAGTAAGTCAAGTCCTCTGTTGTCGCCTCCCAGCGCAATGTCGCTGACCACATCCCGCNNAGCTGAACCCGATCTTTCCAACCCAACTCGCCCTCGCTGGGAGAGACCTCTGGACACTATCAGATCATTTGAAAAAGCTATTGATGGCGGATATAAGCGTCGTTCTGTTAGCAGATCTGGTACGTGCGCTATCAATCTCCAGACTCTGGGACGCCCCACTGACAGACATCATNNAGAGAGTTATACCTACAACAACCACGACCAGAGCCGCAGAAGCAGCTACTATGGCGGTAACAGTATGTATTACATGTCATCGATGGACCGAACTCACACTGACCGGATCATGTANGACCACGATTCTGCCCGCTACGAAAATGGCTCGCAATACGGTGGTCACTACGGATCACGCCGCCAGGACGGTCATTCAGACGCCGGTGTCCCTGGAGGCCCTCCGAGCCGCAACCAATACGCAAGGCGCATGAACTCGAGTCGTTCCAACAGCGCATACGGATTCTACCCTCAGCATAGCTACAATGATTCGTACGATGCCGGTGCGCAACACAGCGATGGTACTGGACCTTGGGCAAACTCGACAGATCCCAGCAGTGAGAACAGCTCACTGGACCGCGCCAACGGCGTTCCTAAGCAGACCGACCCATATGGTCACGATATCTACAACGGACCTCCGATCATGGAGGAGTATGCTAGTGATTCAGATGGTGGTTACGGCATGTCGTACGGCAACAGAAACGGAGTCGCAGGTGGGAACCCAGCGGCCCCGACACGTTCACAAGCACCGCCCGTCCGCGCACCTATCAAGCTCGGTGGTGCTGATGGTCAACTTGCTTCCCAAGGTGGAAGCCTGCCGCCTGCCACAAGACCTACTGCAGCAAAAGAGGAGAAGAAGAAGGGATTCTTCAAGAAGCGTTTCAGCAAGGGCTAAAGCAACCACTGAAAGACTATGAAAAAGAAGCAGTACATATATTTAATGACCTAATGGGCAGATTGGGAGGGAGCTGGGTGTTTCACAGCTGCATCTCAGCGGCGTTTGGGTCCTTCTTCTTCTGGACGGGTTGGGTTGGTGCTCGACAAAGGCCATTTCGTGGCAGTGGCATCGTGAAACCGGCACTTTGACATTAGTGTCGGTACAAATGAATCATTTCTCGCTTTTGCATTTATTCTCGCTTTTTTTCGTATTGATTATTATTCATGGAAATATTTTTGTAGACCATATTGCACACACGTGCCCACGACATTGTGAAGGTTTATACTGTAGACTAGCGAGACTTTTTGTCTTTCTCTTCAGCCTCTGCTCGTTCACCTGCATCCTCTCTCATAGCGACGATAACGTAGCCAATCAGGACGACGTTCGCGATGATTGCAGCAGTTGCACCAGCAAAAGTAGAGTTGCCTGACGAGTCATTAGGGAGCGTGAGGATTGCGTTGAAAGAAGCATAATTACCAGAGTAGAGAGTGTTGAGCGTCAAGAAGTAGGATGAGATGGGAAGGATAATCATAGCAAACGAGAAGAGCAGCAGCTTGACAATGACATGTCNTTGAGGTGGATCAGCAGTGGACTCGATAGGATAATAGACGGCTTCGGCATACTGGGGCACAGCAGGTGTGGTTATGGAAGGCTGCTGCTGGACCTCATCTTGATCCAGATGGGTTTTCTCCTGCGAGACGATTCTTCTGTTGGTAGCCATGGTGATTTACAGAGTTTGCTACTGTTGTTGGAGTGGTGATGGTTTGAATGCCTCTTTAGTGAAGCAAAGTGCAGGGTCGGCGCGTGCGCGTCACGCCTCCGCATTCAAAGTCGGAGAGTGAAGCAATTGACAATTGTGAAGCCTTCCAAGGGTCTCCCTTGCCACTTTTTTGAGTGATTGTGCTTTTATCGACAATTGAACCCCTCCCTCCGCGCTATTGCCTTATACGACCTTTCATCCCACCTCAAGAGTCTGGACCTAGCGATCTGTCTTGTAACAGTGTCGGCATAGCAAAAGACTGAAACTTTTTTCTACCCTCTTAGACCTTGCACAAGGCAGGCACAATGGATGAGAGTGATCCCATCATGAGCAGCCCATTCAAGAAGCAAAAGACTGCTGGTGGCTTCCGCCCTGCTGGTCGCCGGCCACAGACACAGACACAGACGAGCACCTCAGGGACGATACCGACGCAGATTCTTCCACGACCAGCACCGCAGGCCGGTCTGACCTTTGCTAACCTCATGGCCGACTTGACCTCCAACTCACAACCCTCGTATGGCACTCAACCGACCCAACCCCTTTCCAACGCTCAGAAGCGCTCTCACTCATCTACTCCCACCGTCCAAGTTGCCCGCAGCTCGCCCGCTCCTGTCCCCGAGTCACCGCTGCCACAGCCTCAATCTCGTCTTCAAAGCGCCCTCGGTTCTCGCTTTGCTCCTCCCGGAACCGCATTCAGACGTCCTCCAGGCGTTCAACAGTCTCGCCCTGTGCCGCTCATTAACATTGACGATGATGACGACTTCGTTGATCCTCCGGTCGACCGCAGTTCAGACACCGAAGGCCCCGCTACACAATCTGCCATAATTCCTACTGCTTTTACAAAAGGTGGAAGAAACCTCGACTCCTCTCCCAACCGTATCCAGGAGAGCCCCAAGTCGTCGGCTGAAAAATTCAAGAGCTTCACCTCCTCGTTCGTTTATAATGCCGGTGGACTGGAAGGTGCTTATGGGGGCGTCTCAAGAAACAAGCCCCAGCAACGACAACCTGTCCCCTCGCGCGCTCAGCCTGTACAAGACATGTCCATCAACGATATTTTCGATGTCCACGATCAGAGAAAGGTGGAGCGAATGATGACGGTTTTGCCTGGCCGAGCGATTCGTGTGCTGTACAAGGCCTTGCAGCAATGTCATGGTAACTTTGACGATGCTGTTGACGTGATTTTTCGTCAGGAAGAGAACGTTGGTGACATGGACGTTGTCGACCTCACCAGCTCTGACATTGAGAGCAATGCTGCAAAACCCAGTGCCCAACCCAGACCGGCCGCCAAACAACAAGTCAAAGCACCGACACGGACCATCGCCGACAAGTATTCGACTAAGCCCAAGCCGACTACCCCCGCAACCTCGGAGGCTGCAAAGCCTAGACGACGCTTGATGCAAGGTCGCAAGAATCCTGTATCGCCCATTGGCTCTCCTTCTCCAACTAAACCTGTCGAAGCTGTACCGAAGAAGCGTGCTGTCATCATCGACTCGGATGATTCTGATGCCGAGTCTGGCAAAGAGTCATCAGAAGAAGACACGAGTGACTTCGACGGTCGTCTGCTCAAGTTCTTCAACACATGTAGTGTTCAAGATCTGGCCGATCTGTCCAACGAGAAGTTGGAGATTGCCCAATTTATATTGTCCAAGAAGCCCTTCCGCAATCTGAACGCCATTCGAAACATTTCTGATGCTCCCCCTTTGAAGTCAGGCAAGAAGTCTGCCAAGAAAGCTATCGGAGACAAGGTCCTGGATGTATGCGAACTTATGTACAAAGGTTACGAAGCTGTTGACGAGTTGGTCGAGAAATGTGACAATCTCGGTAAACCTATTGCCGATACAATGAAGCAATGGGGTATTGACTTCGCTGCCGCCACCAAGGATGGCGAACTGGCCCTCACCTCACTGGAAGATACACAGCATGACTCTGGCATGGGTACTCCCGCCAGCTCCACTGGCGTGGTTGACGACGATGACGACGACATAGTCAAGCCTAAAACGTCCAGACCCAACAAGCTCAAGAAAAACATCTTCCTCAAGCAACCTACAAACATGAGCACCGACATTACCATGAAGGATTATCAGCTGTTCGGTCTGAACTGGCTCAATCTGCTCTGGTCTAAGAAGCTGAGCTGTATCCTTGCTGACGATATGGGACTGGGAAAGACCTGCCAGGTCATCGCCTTCCTCGCTCACCTCAAGCAGACTGAAGTGCCAGGTGTGCATCTCGTCGTGGTACCTGGATCTACTCTGGAGAACTGGATCAGAGAACTGAACAGATTCTGCCCCGCTCTGAATGTTGCTCCTTACTACGGCTCGCAAGCCGAAAGAGAAGAACAACGATACGATTATGGTTCTCGGCTGGACGAGATTGATGTAATTGTGACTACATACGAGACGGCAGTTGGAAAGTACGATACAGACTTTTTGCGCAAGACTGTACGCCCTGTAGTGTGCGTTTTTGACGAAGGCCATGCTCTGAAGAACAGCCAGTCAAAGAGGCACCAACAGCTGATGCGTATCCCCGCCGAATTCCGTCTTCTCTTGACTGGTACGCCACTGCAAAACAACTTGCAAGAGCTCGCTTCGCTGCTTTCGTTCATCCTTCCTAGTCTGTTCCATTCTCGAAGAGAGGATCTCGACAGCATTTTCAAGTACAAGGCCACTACCAAGGATGCTGATCATGCAGCTTTGCTTTCTGCACAGCGTATTGCACGAGCTCGCTCTATGATGACTCCATTCATTCTTCGCCGAAAGAAGCAGCAGGTCTTGAAGCATATGCCTGCCAAGCACCGTCGCGTCGAATACTGTGATATGCTGCCTGAGCAACGCGGAGTATATAACGAGATGGTCAAGCAAGCTGTGGACGCCCGCACACAGCCCAAGAAGGGTGGTGCTAAGGCTGCAAAGACTGCCCAAGAGATGACTGCGTTGCGCTTCGCAGCTCTGCACCCTCTGCTTCTGAGGCGCAAATATAGCGACAAAGAGCTGGAGAAAATGGCAAAGGCTCTTCAGCGATCAGAAGAGTATGGCGACAACAAGCCTGAGCTCATCTGGAGAATGCTCACGGAGCAGACTAAGGGTGGTGACTTCGGCATGCATCGCTTCTGCCTTGAGTACGACTTCCTGACCAAATACATCTTGCGCAACAATGAGTGGATGAACAGTGGAAAGATGAACAAGCTGAAAGAGCTGCTTGAAGGATATATCAAGAACGGTGATCGCACCCTTATATTCTCGCAGTTCACAACAATGATGGACATTCTGGAAGCAGTTCTGGAGACGCTTTCGATCAAGTTCATGCGTCTTGATGGCAGCACTCCTATGGCGACTCGCCAGGACATCATCGATCAGTTCACCACTGATACATCGATCCCTGTGTTCATGCTCAGTACCAAGGCTGGTGGTGCAGGTATCAACTTGGCTTGTGCCAACAAAGTTGTTATCCTTGACTCCGGCTTCAACCCTCAAGACGACATCCAAGCAGAGAACCGCGCGCATCGTGTCGGTCAAACACGTGATGTCGAGGTTGTCCGTCTTGTCACCCGCGGGACAATCGAAGAGCAGATTCATGCTCTCGGAGAGTCAAAACTCGCACTTGACGATCGCGTGGCCGGCGCTGCCGAAGACGCTGCCGCGGAGAAGAAACTCGAGGCTGACGCAGCACTTGCTGTCGAAGACATGTTCTTCAAGCACCTGGAAGAGGAGAAGAAGGATGGGCACCCAAAGATGGAAGATAAAGACGCCATTGACGCCATGGACATTACGAGAGACGACACTGCCTCGGCGAAGAGTAAGGATCTTCGCGACGAGTTCAGAAACGGGCTCAAAGACGCAGGACTCGATGTCAAGGAAGAGGAGGATATCAAGAAAGAGGCCGACGTGAAGGAAGAAGTCGATGTGAAGAAGGAATGATGAGATGATGAAAGTTTGCATGAATGCATCATCATAACCATGTACTACAACAATGGTGTTGATGGGAGTTTTCTTTTTGGTATATCAAGAAGTCGCGGTTGCCCGGAGAAGACATGCAAGACACTTGGAAGTTTTTGGCGCATCTGCTTCAAAGCATGCATGAAGAGATAGGAAGAGGCCAAAGCCTAGACCATAGACAACTAGCCCTGCACACAAATAAGGGACTAGAATGGATTTAATCACAAGACCCACATTTTGCTTGCATTTCGTCTTTCACCTCGAACGAGTCTTGCCCTCAAAATCAAAAGCTAGACAACCATTTTCTTTGTATTGCGTTGCGTTTCGTTGTTGAGGTAAGGCCTGCGAGACTTGGACTTTCAGGGGCTGCTGAACAAGACGAACGAAGAGAGACAAGAAAGAGAGACAAGGAAGAGAGACAAGGAAGAGAGACAAGGAAGAGAGACAAGGAAGAGAGACAAGAATTCCATCATCGCCATGGAATTAAACTAGGTGATTTTCTTCTCCAACGTCCAGCCTTACCAAAGGCTAGCAGAACAGCGATGAAGAAAGCATCTCTCGGTCAGACCGAAAGATAACTGCCTCTTTTGAGACGTTTCAGAGTCACTCGAAGCCATCTGTGTCATGATCGGATTCGGATTCGGATTCGAGAGGTTCCGGGGCCCATTCGTGAACGACAGGGGTTTGGAAGCAGTGCAGAAGAAACAGGAATGAAGGATAGAAAACAGAGGAAAGGACGACCTCATGCTGAGGACATCACCGAAAAGGCACATGGCAACAACAGGCGTTCCTTCCCTCGGACTGTTCGCCACTTCGCATGATGCTCTACACGGAGAATTGAGTGGAGTACAGGCAGATGTGACCTTGCAACTCTCTGACGCATGTTTTATACTGTGTTTGTGCATTATTGGAGATGGCGATGTTAAAACGTAATCATGGTTCCATGAAACTTGTCCATTCGTCAACTCGTCATGTCTCTTATTTAGCTAGAACTTTAGACTCCTCGTAGCAGCTACAATGAGCGAGAAAGCAGACATTGCATAGCAAATTACAAAAAGTGACTTGCATACGAGCAAGCCCAGAAACAGAAGAAGAGAGAACTGTGCGCCAATTGGGGACACAAGAGAGTGCCGTTTCCAGACAACCGAATGTCTCAACTACTCGACCGTGATCAAGAAAGCTTGGAGTGCACCATAAGCGCGGCAAAGTGCAGGTCTATCACCTGCCTTTACGGCCTGCTTCATCCTCTGAATGAGGTTAGTGACTTCTGGCAGTGCGAAGACTCTCATAGAGTATTCCTGGAATATCTGGGTAGTGATACGGCCGTACTCTTCCGCAAGGGGGTCTGGTCCGAAATGATTGGTGAAGGATATGTCCTCACTAGGTGCGAGAGATGGCGTGGTCGCCGGTGTGGCCGACGGTGTCTTGTAAGGTATCGGAGCGATCGTGTGCTCTAAGTACTCTGGGTGTTCTTGCTTCACAGGCGATGGTTCGTCCTCATCTGTCATATCGATGACAACTCGACCTCGAGAGCGCGGCTGGGCTGGCAGTTGCTGTGGGAGAAGCGAAGTCTGTCGTGGTGTTCTCACGACTGTGGTTGCTGGGTCTCGGAAATCATGGCGTTGACTGGACCGTAGCGATACACGAGGTGATTTGCGGGCCTGTCGTACTGGTTAGTAGTTATAAAACCGGGGGTTGAACTACCTCTTGGCCCTTACCATGTCTTCGTCCTCGACACAATCAAATTGGGTCAAGCTGGAAGAGTCTGACCCGTCTTCGCTCTCTGAGGGAGTGGTAGATTGTGATTTCTCATTGCATCCATGTCTCGAGTCAAAGGCAAATACCTTCGACAGAGTACCGTCGGTTTTCTGGAAGCGGTGCTTTCCAGCGTAGTGCAGTAGCGCAATCATCTGCTCGCCCCTCAGATAGAATTTGTAAACGATCAGATAGACTTCATTCTTTCTGCTATCATCGTTCATAGATCCTGTCTTCACAGGGATGAACTCGAGATTGAGTTTCTCAGAATCCACGGTCTGATCTTGACAAGCAGTACAACACACGTGTTTGGTGTGGCTCTCAGGATTGGATATGTCCCCGTTTCTACCATCTCGAATCCTTTTGTTGTAGAGAGGGAATGAGGTGTTCGGACTACCTGCTCTGACGTTACGTCGACAGCGTTCCACGACATCGTCGAAGCTTGGGAAGACTCCCAAGTATTTTTTCGATGGTTGATCATGATAGCCAATCCAGACGGAGTTGCTCTGGGCTTGGAAAGGAGCGACCTGGAGACTCTTCAAAGAGTCAGAGCCATGGTTTCCAGGGTCGCTCACTGGTGCAAAACATTGCCAGTTGAACGTAGGCATTGCGCGTGCAGTGAGAGGCAGAGACTTGGGCCCGATTCAAAGCATGCGTAATCTAATTGTCAAGGGTGCGTGGGTGATGTTGGGCAAACCGAGATTTACCTCATTCATGCTTCTTGAAGAGGAAGAAAGAGGTCGCGAGAGGCTTGCGACTGTGTTGTGACGCGTGTGCGGATGGAAGGTGCGAAGGGAGGCAAACAAAAACGCGGCTTCCTGCAGTCAAGTGTTGCAGCACGACGATTTTGCACGCGCTTATTGTAGAAGGTGCCAGTCGCGAGGTAAACAAATCAACTTGCACTCAAAACTAATCGCGTACCTACCCCAAGTTCTCTTTTGTGTCCATCGTTAACACTTCGAGTCACCTTGGAATCATCATTTTTCGTTACTTCCCCATCCACCAGACAAGCCATCCCTTCAACTCCATGACCCAACCTCCCATACTTGCTCACAGGAGCTAACCGTGATGTGAAATCAGATACACCTTCAAATCCATCTTCAGCTCTCTGACGCGTTCCTCGTCTCCAGTAAGAAGAGGTGCCTTCAACAAAAGCGCCATATTCTCAATCTGGTCGTCATCCTGAGCGCTCGGATACTTGGCGTAGACCTCACGCAACAAGCTCAGCATTTGCTTTTTCATCTCTGCTTCACTAGTCAAGGTCTTGGACTCAGATGGATCCTTGTCTGTTTTCTTCCGGCTCTGGCTGGATAGTGAGCCCGCCAAACTGGCCGTGACCGCTTGGAAAGTATTCGAGGAGGTCGACGGCTTGGTTGGTAGACGTGGCTGAGTTGACTCGACTGACATCGGGATGACCGGGTGTTTGGCAGGTTTCGAAACTACAGGAGTTGCTGATGCCTGACACGAGGCAATCTCGGTCACACCTGGAGGGCAGGATATGGCTTTTCTGCCCTCGGCGCAAGAATTGTTCTCTGCAGAAAGCGACTGGGTCCGCTTGGCCAATTGCTGATTAGTGGTGTTGTTCTCATTTTTAGGATCGAGCATAGCATTTTGGTTTCTGTTGAGCTGTTCCAGGAGCTCATTGTACATTGGTTCAATCATCAAGCTGAAGCTGTCAGTACTGGTGCTTTTTGCAAGGTGTAAAAAGATCATCTTACTCATCAGCGCAGCCGATGCTTCCTACAGTCATCCCGACCATGTGCTTGATACGAGCTATGAACTCGTCACGAGCACTGACACCACCAAACTCCAGCAGAATGATGCCTCCAGCGATGTTGTCGTCTGACTTGGTTATACTCCAAGTTGCGTTCTGGCTCATGATGACCTTGAGGGACTTTTGACTGCTGTACAGCACATACTGTAAATGCTTCTCGGTCATCTCAAATGGACATCCAGTTGTAGGATTGATCAAAGAGCCTTCAACAGACTCGATAGTGAAGACAACGGTTCGGTACATCAATTTCAGACCCTGCTCAGTAAGATGATAGGCAAGCATGCATACTTCGTTGATGTGCAATAGGGAGCGAGTGGGTCTCTGTATGCCAGAGTGGCTCGACTGCTGCTGCCTGGTCGGAGTTGTGGAGAGGTCGCTAGCACTGGGCTTTCTCAGCGCACCCATGGAGTACGATGTGACTGAGTGTAAGTTGTTTGCGTGGCCACTTTTTCCAACTTGTGGCACGGATGAGCCTGCGATGACCCGTCTTTTGAATGGAGGCTCAGGAGTGTGCCCAGAAAGGTCTTCGTCCAAGCCATTCACGAGCTGTGCTTCCATGTTTCTGCTTCTTGTGAGTGCGCGTGCCTTCTGTAGAACTCGCAATGGCGTGTCGTCAAGATCAACGACTAGATGTGCTGCTGGACTACCAGGTTTGTTGGGTGTTCTTGTCGAAGTTTTCTTCAAAGAGGCCAAACTGCCAATGTTGGTGCTGCGAGCGGACCTAGGGCTTTGGAAGAGAGAAACACTTCCTTTGACAAGGCCATAGGACTCGTGATAAGTGCCGTCGGCTTTCCAGAACCGGTATTCGCCATTCTCATGACGACGTACAATGGCAAAGAGTTTCTGCGGTCCGGTACCTTTGGACAAACGAACATAGAAAGGGTATATGATGACCTTGGAGATTATGTTAGCAAGCCATCACCCTAGAACTGATCTGCTGGGGCGCCTCACATTCTGCGTGCGGTTAAAAGCAAGTGCCTCGAGACGAGAAGGTTTCTCGTACTCTACAAAGGGGCTGTGGGTGGTTGGACAACAGCTATCACTACAGCACCGCAAACGCAAGTTCTGGAATCGGTTCTCCTTGGCCATTGTATCTGGAAGTGGAAACCTCGGGTCTCCGGTGAGAGAGCGTGCGAGCAGTTCATTGAAGCTGGGATGTGGCCATACGCGGCTACCGAGGTCGTCAAGGTTACCGACTCACGTCCCAGAGTCGAACGGCATGGTGCGAAGGGGACGCACGCGGTCCGATCCATGGTTGTATGCCTGCTCGGTTGGCGCAAAGCAGAGGCGAGTGTGCTTGTTCTGATTGCCGCCATCATTAGTAATAACGAGTGCCTCGGAAGTTGGATAATGAGAAGGCATCTCAACAATGTCGTCAGCGCTGGCAGCGCAAGTGGCACTGTCAGCGGCTGCCATGGTGTCTGGATGCAGAGGCTGCAAGGCTAGTGCTTGAGACTGTGACGGACAAGTGTGGTGACACCAGAAGCGACGGCGGGAATGCTGTTGTTTCACTATCAATAACCGCGGGCAGTGGATTTGTGAGGGTAAACTGAAGTGAACTCGAATGGGACATGTAAACAAAACAGAAATCAGAGATGTGTCTCTAGAATATTTGATGTGGTCCTTGTCTTTATTACAAAACGTGTAGAATAGGATAGTGATGTACAAAACAGCAATGCTAAAGTGAGACATCCCAGTCAGGCTTGACAACAACTCTAAGTGTTTCCAACAGAACGATCGCTCTCGTCTGCAGGCACCGATAGTGGGGTCTTGAGAAAGGAAAAGAGTCTAGAAAAGGGCTTGAAAACAGAAAGCACAAAACCTTTTGGCCATTTCTAATGGCTGTGGCCGTGGCCGTGGTCGTCATGGTCATGGTTATGATCATGGTCATGTCCATCTTCCTGCGATGGCTCAGCAGAAGCAGGGGCACAGCAACTCTTGCCATTGCATGCATCGTCACAATCAAGCAAGCATGCATCTGCCGCGGCGCGAAGGCTGTTTGCATTGCTGGCTTGCCTGTCCAAAGTCTTACGAGAAGAGGCTCCGTCTACACCAGCGAAGTGGTTATCATCGGCAAGAGGCGCAGAGTGGTCGTGTTCGGGATCGAGACAGAACTCAGGTTGTATGGTAGAAGAATGAATGCCATACTCGTGAAGGCAGTCGCGGATAGCGCGGGCGAGTTCCATGTATCTTGCCGAACCCTCACCCTTGAAGTCAAAGTCGACCTGGACGTGCAAACTTGCAACAAGCTTGGTGTCGCTCAACTGCCACACATGGAGGTGGTGGGCACTGACAATGCCAGGAAGCTCCTCGATATCTTCCTTGATGTCATCGATGCTCAGACCAGCGGGGACAGCTTGAAGCAAGATGCGGGAGGCGGCAAGGCAGAGAGGGATGGCTGAGGCGAGAATGATGCAGGTAATGATGAGGGAGATGCCAGGGTCGGTGTAGAAGCGCCAGCTGTAGTCGGTGAGCCAGATGAAGAGGGCGGAAGCAATGACTCCAATGTTTCCGAGAGCATCACCCATGACATGAAGAAAGACACCACGCATGTTGAGGTCGTCGTGAGAGTGACCGTGGCCACCGCCGCTGGACTGCTCCTTGGGCTGTCTGTGCTTGTGCTGCTTGTGGTCGATGGGTTTTGACTTTTGAATGCTACCGTAGCCGTTGGCTCCATTCTTATTGAGGAGCGGCTGTTGGGGTGTCTGGTCGGCATTGTCGTCCTCAGCGGCGGAGTCCTCGGTGTTCTCGCCAGATTCGATGTCTTGGAGCCTGCTAGTCTCGATGATGGAACGGCGGAAGGATGAGGGGTTGACGGGCACGTCTTCTACGGAGTAGGCTCTTGAACGGGAACGACTGGACTTTGACTTTTGACGGCGGTGGCCGGATTGTGGGACTTCGACATCTTCGCTGGCTCCGGAGCCGCTCGCCGTCGGCTTCTTAGTCTTCGGCCAGTTTGCAACTCTGCTCTGAGGAAGCACATCGGCGACGTTTCCGGACTCGTCAGCAACGTCGGCATCCTCGTCCTGGGCAGCACGACCTTCTTCGGCGTCGCTGATGGTGTTTCCGTGGGAATGGCTGTGACCATGAGAGTGACCGCCGTGGCTGTGGCCACCATGGCCGTGGTCGTGGAAGAGGAAAAGACCGACAATGTTCGAGGCAAGACCGAGACATCCTACAATCAGCACAAACTTAGGGTTGCTGACTTCTTGCGGCTCGACGAAACGTTGGATGGCTTCGAGGAAGATGGAAAGGCATAGGGCGACGAGGAAGACTCCGTTGACTAGGGCTCCTAGGGTTTCGGCACGTTGCCANNCTGGCAGAGTGTGAGTGGGTGGACGACTCGTAGATTGGATGTAAGTACATACGCCGTAGGTGTACATTTTGGACGTTGTCTTCTGGTTGGCGACCTTGACGGCCCAAAGACCAACGAGTAGGGAGATGACATCGTTAAGNNCTGGATACTGGCGTCAGTCTTTCGAGTGCTGTAGTTCGGGGAGGGGGCGGCGACTGACCATATGAAAGGAGTCGGCCACGAGGGCGAGAGAATGGACGGCATAGCCTGNTATGCTTTGTCAGTAAATGATCGTCGCACGACCTGGACGATGGGCAGTCGTCGTACCAGTGATGAGTTCGATGAGGAAGAAGACTGTGTCAATGGCCAGGAGGATGCATATCCTCGTCGACTTTGAAAGACCCATGTTTGATGGCTGGTCTTGTGCCTAGAGGGAAGGGATCTGGAAGTGTTCGAGACGTGCGGCGCGCGCGTCTAATGTCAAATGACGACAGGCACCAAGCTTTTCCCTTTTTGCGAAGTCGGTGCTTGAATCCTTTGCACTTTTGCTGTTTGCACCAGCTCTGACTCAATACCTTTCTGCAAAACCTGAGTCTTCTCGAGACGGTCTGATCTTGCCCTGACGCTACCTCTTAGACTTTTGTTCTCGTCGTTTGTTTGAGCTCACTATCTAGGATTTATGCCTTATCACCTGAGGGACCATTCCCAATTGCCAAGCTCCCCACAAATTCAACTCCGGCTCAGGCACAACTTCTACATCTCGGGCCGAGACGCACGCCCGACGAGCATATCACCCTGTCGAACAGGTACTGTCTGGACATCGACACCATCAACCTTCTGTCACTCCATCGTGACTTGTTATCCTAATCGTGTGCTAGAGTCTATAACTCCGTTCTCCTCTCACGAAAGTACGGCGAAACGTACACCATACAAAGGCCAATTCTTTTCCAAAGCAGAAGAACAGCCAAAGAGAATCACTAAACTGTCGACTCTGAGTGGATACTGCCTGGTTCATTGATAGCGCCGTGCATTTCTAAAGCTACACGAGCTACATACTTGCGGAGCTTCTGTGCCACATTGATGAGTTCAGCTGTAGAAAAGGATGTCTCCTTTGACTATCACGTATACACGCCATGCCCACCCTCAGCAAGCTCAATACCTATCTCTCTCAACTTGAACTTCTGGATCTGGTTGTCATTAGCCATGATCGAGCGTTGGAAATGTTTGAGTTCACCACTTACCTTTCCACTCGCTGTCTTCGGCCACCCCTTGGACCAAAAGATGTACTTTGGCACCAAATGCGAACTCAACGTCTCCTTGACCCACTTCTTGATCTCTCTTGCCATTTGCGTCTTCTCTTCCTCGTTCGCATTTGCGTTCTTTGGCATGATGAAGGCTGCAACCACTTCACCATACTTTGGATCTGGCAGTCCCACCACCGAGACGTCTGTCACGGATAGAAGTTTGAGGATAGCGTTCTCAATCTCCAGAGGATGGATGTTTTCGCNCCCGCGTATAATCATGTCCTTGAGTCTCCCGGTGATCCGTACATAGCCGTTCTCGTCCATACTCGCCTCATCACCAGTATACATCCACAGCGTACCTTCTTCTGATCGTATTGCCTCCTGAGTACGAGCTTCGTCCCNCCAGTAGCCCTTCCTGTAATACCCATCATTAGTATATGTTTTGTCGAAGCTAATCCCGGAAGTCAATCACACTTACATGACCAAGTACCCAGCAACAGCGAGCTCACCACGTACGTTTGGCGGTACGATTTTTCCATTTGCATCTACGACTTTGGCTTCCACATGTGGGAGAAGTCGACCCACGGTCTCGAGTCGAGCCCACATTGGATCATCGGTCGTAGTCATTGCACTGACTGGGCTGGTTTCCGTCATGCCATAACAAATCGTCAACTGTGTTAGTCCGAGCACATCGTGGAGCTTGCTCATCAACGCAGCAGGAATGCTGCTGCCTGCTGCAATGCCTGTACGCAACTGTGAGAAGCCTTCGTATGGCACTACTCCAGAGGCCAGTAACTCCAGCTCACTGATGAACATGGTGGGTACGCCATAAAGTGCCGTGCATGCATTCTCTTGGACTGCACGTAAGGTGGCCTCGGCGTTGAATGATTCGGAGGGNNGGAAGACGATGGCTGAGCCATGCGTGGAGGTCGCCATGTAACCTAACACCGCTCCAAAACAGCTTCATGCCGGTCAGTAAAATGATGTGAACATCACGTATCAGCCAAAGACTGATAGTGGTATAGAATCTTACTGGAACAAAGGGGGCGGACAACAGACAATGTCCTTGTGCGTCAACAACATTCTATCACCAATACTCTTGCCATTATTGAGTACGGATCGATGTGTCAAGCACGCCGCTTTTCTAGACCCTCGTGGTCAGTAGATTCTCCACTAAAGCTGATCCGAGAGAATTTGAACTTACGGCATACTCGTCGTGCCAGATGTGAACTGGATATTAACGATCTCATCCGCCTCCAACTCTTTCGGTACCAACCTCTCACCCTCTCCGTCTCGAAGTACATCCAGATAGCTGCTCAGCGCCCCGAGCGCTTCAGTTTCTACTCGGCCGGTCGAGTTGTCAACCACGATAACTCGTTTTAAGCTAGGTACGGTCTCGGATTCCAATTTTGACTTGTTCATGTCTGGGATCAGGTGAGCGAGTATAGGCATTACTGACTTCGGAGCTTTGTAAGGCAGATTAATCTCCGAGGATATGATGAGATGTGATGCAGCAAGGTGCGATAGCGCTGAAGTGATCTGCAAAGCATTGAAGGCAGGATTCAGAGGCANCCTTGAGAATAAACAGGTCAATATCGATGCCTCCAACGTTCAGATTCTTCAACATACAAGCATTGCTCCGAGTTTGAAAAGAGCATATGTCGCNNCTGCAACGAGTGTTAGGTACATCTCAGCGCAGGGGTATGGACAAGATAATCTTACAACAGAATATTCGACGCTGTTGCCTAGCATCACGGCAACGCGATCGCCTTTCTGGACTCCNNCCTGCCTCTCGAGCCCTCGTGCAAGAGCATCACTCTGGATATCCAGGTCTTCGTAGGTCAATGTCGTGTTCTGATGACGAGCTATCANCTCTGTAGCCAGAAGCTCAGCTCATAAGTTCGATAGGACAATAAAGCATAGGGAAACTCACGCAGGTCTGTCACCATACTCACTAACCACATCTTTAAAGTATCCTGGTATAGTTTGTGTGATCAGCGGAGGCTGGAACACGGGTCGTCAGCAAGTAGCTAGAATCTTGGTTGGATGATGATCTTTTGAACGACCTCGCGTCCTCATGGACTCATGGAGCGCGTCTGTGAACAAGGCACTTACATCACTAGGTCCACGATCCCTTGCTTGGGTCAAGAGTCCACGAACGACATTGAGCCTCGGGAAGCTACAGAATGNTCTCGCTAACCGTGCGGTCGAAGGTCTTGCGATCGTTACCGAGTGCCGAAGAGATCGTAGGAGGTGCATGTCAACGGCCTTGCTCGATCGAGTGGTAGACGATTGAATGTATCATCCAGTACTCAGATAGCTGCTAAACTCCCCGTTATTGATTGTCTTGATTCCCACAAGGCTCGTGTCGTGGTCTGTTTTCTCTCGTGCCTCTTGACTAGATGTCGACTCTTCTTTTAGTGGAAACAATATGGCCGAAGAGAGAATATTGCGGTTGTTCCTGAGCCAATGATCTCTCCGCTTTAGAATGTTCTGAGCTGTCCGTTCGCTTCGGCGAGTAAGTAGTTCCCGCGACTGGCATCTGACGAGGTTATATTGATTGGCTGCCGAACGAGGCCTTTCGAGGAGACAGGAACCAATCGAGACAGATCTTGACGTGGTGGACGTCGAGAAGGACAAAAGGGAAAAGATACAATGTACTCGGTCATATCGAAAGCGTTCATCCACTCCCATGCGCCGAAATATAGCACCTCGAGAGCATAACCGGTTGTAAGGAGGGGTAAATTGGTTATGCGGGGTTCAAGGCAAGCACAACGCGGAAATAGATCCGCTTTTGCTCTGATGCATGCAGCATACCTATGCTTGCTGTACGTACGTACACCCTCACTCGAGTAGCATGTAGGAAGGTTTCTTCTAAGAATGTTCGGTTTATTATAGACAATTGGTTAGCTACGCGTCTAGCCAGTGCCGTCACTTGCCATCCCTCTCCCGCGATTGTACAAAATATAAAAAGTAGGTCGTGAGTACATATCTTGGCAGTCCTTTCGCTCTGAAGCAATTAAACAAAAGACGATTATCCAAGGACGAGGTATAAAAGGGAAGCAAAGGGTCGTGAATGAGCGAGAAGCAAGAGGAGAGCACAATGACAAATCGTAATGCCGTGCTCTGATCCATGTCCTGCCCCAAGCATGGGACTCTTTTAAAAGTCCTTGAACGCACTTTCGTACTTCTCCTTCATTTCTTTTGTGTATGAGTCCTTATGCAGAGGTTCTGGATCATACTCGTCGAAGTTTCGTGTGTCGGCGGGACCTCGTAGATGCGGTACAATGGGGCCTTGGACCTTGCGGTGGTACATGGCATCCCAGTCGATCTCTTTGAACCAGGGATGTGCCTTGATGGCCGAAGCACCGCCTTTGATATTGCCCAGACGTTTTGACACGTCCACGGCGCACAGTTGTGAGATGAGGTCGCGAGCATCTGGTGACATGGCAGAAGGGAAGCGGAGTTTGCCTTCGACGANTTCTAGATGCTTGTCAGCTTCTGGAACACTTCTTCAATCTCTCGTGGGTCTTGCGTACTGTTCGTAGATTTTCATAGGGTTTTGGTCCCAGAACGGCGGTTGGCCGACCAGGAACTCGTAAATTAGGATGCCCAGTGCCCACCAATCAACAGCTAGGCCGTGTCCTAGAAAACAATCAGTATACCGCACTAGATCTTCAGTGCATTATGACGTACCGGTATTTCGGATGACTTCTGGCGCAAGATACTCTGGCGTTCCGCACAGTGTGTATGTCTCTCCTGTTTTGGTGTCCAACGTCAGCTAACCGGTTCGTCCAGCACAACGTGGCAAAAGGAACCGAGAGCGAAAGCCGTTTGGCGGTTTCACCACACGACCCTGGAGGCTGGGAAAGGGAGATTACGCACTGTTTTCGACCTTCTTTGCGAAGCCGAAATCCACAAGCTTGAGGTGTCCTTCTGCGTCGATCAGAATGTTTTCGGGCTTGAGGTCGCGGTATGCGACACCTTGATGGTCGTGCAGGAATTCGAGGATGAGGACGATTTCGGCGGCGTAGAACTGTGACGTGGATTCGTTGAAACGGCGGGCGCGGCGCAAATAGCTAAAAACCTCACCTCCAGGGCAGTAATCCANACTGCAGCAGAGAAACGAGAGGTCAGTTTGTGTATGGCTGGACGGACGTGGAACGCAAATTACCAGCATGTAAAGAGTGTCTTGGTCTTGGAAGCTGGCGACCATTGTTGTGATGAATGGGTGTCCTGCTACGGCGGCCAGGACGTTGCGCTCATTGCGAACATGTTCGACTTGCTTCAAGCGGATGACTGCAAGACTTGTCAGAATCTCCTCTTGCCCGGTAACGGCGCAGATTCACACACCATCAGTCTTGCGCAATATCTTTAGAGCAAAGACTTTGTCTGCATCCTCCTTGTTGGATGTAACCAAGTTCGCGAGCCAGACTCTTGCAAATGTGCNCTATGAGGACACTTGTGATCAGCAAACATGATGCATCGATTGTCCCTGGAGTCGTTGTCGCATACCGGTGCCGAGTGTTTTGACAAGATCGAAATCCTCGCGCCGTAAAACCTTTGAGCTGTGACCAACAGGCTTCGAGTTGGGCTCGACCAATATTTGGTCGTACTCTAGGGGCTGTTTCTGTGCTTCCCAGGCAAGAAGTCTGCTCTTTTCCTCTTCACGGGCGCGGTTGTTGGCCGAGGTCTCGGATCGGCTCTCTTTGCGGCCATCCTTGTCTCTGCTACTGCCGATGTGCAGCTTGGGCATGATGTGATGCATTGCTGCCGTGGCCATGGCCTATGGGTCTAGTTCGTTGTAGTATTCAGAGTGAGCGAACAGCTTCTGGTTCTTTGTTTTGACGAAGATCGAGGGTCCGAGTCCGAGGATACAGTACGGCGGTGGGTCTAGGCTTGGGCGGGCTTCTATCTCTCGATTGATGCGGGAAGCGGTGAAGTGACGTGAGATGCACAAGAGCTGGGTATGGATGTTTCACTCGGCCATAACACTGCTGGGTCCAGGGCGTGACGGGCTATGTAAGTGAGGCTACAAGGACGAGAAAATGAGAAGACTAGAAAGAAACAAGACTCTCAACCAAGTCTTGTGTGCGCGGGGCACGATGAAATCACTCTTCAACCCGCCAGGCCAAAGGATTCCACCAGGCCCATCTGTGACCAAATCTTGCCGATCACAAACTTTCGGCCCGCCATGTCGAACAGAGCGACGACTGACGGCATGCCAGCCGTCGCTCGTGGCTGCACGCGAGTTTCCACAGAACCGAGAACCACCGACCCCTGCTTGGTTCCTGCTCTGCCCGCGGCGTCTGCCTTGTCATGCCGGCCTGATCAGTGATCACCTTCGACTCCATCAGAGACCATCATCTGTTTGTGCATCCGTCGGTCGCCGCAGGCCAAACTTAACCACCACGCGGCCTACATGTGCAGCGGTACCTTTTAAGCTGCGACAAACTCAGCTGGTAATGGACATGCTTGGTTGGCAACGCCGCGAGATAGACCTTCGGACAAATGCCCAGGTGACGACCCCGGGTATAATGACCACCAGCTGATAGAGCGAGTCATTGAGATGAGGCTGAATTGATTGTATTGAACCATATCGCAAATGCCGTTTATTGAACCATGCCCTGGGACGCCATTTATCGAACTCATCTTTGGCTCGCTACCTAGGTACCCTTGTTCTTTGCGTTCATGCTGATTGAACAAACACATTACTGAAACAAAAAGAGCATTGCATTTGATGCCGCATCCATCATTCTTTTCATGCTGGGGCCTTTCCCAGCTCCTCCCAAAACACTCTAGCATATCTTCAATTGGGCCGTCGTCGCAGGAAAGAAATGAACAAGACTCGGGCGCCTTTGCCGGCACAATGAACAGAAACAAGAAAAAGAATCATCCTCCCAGACGCCATTGCCAACCCAGTGAAACAGATTCAACATCAAAACATTCAAAAGGAAACTGCGGCCTGGACCACTGGTATCATGCGCAGAAAAACAGAAGAAAAGCAGAGGCGGACGCGGTTCGGCCAACCATTTCCAAACAAGAGTGGCAGCAACGTGACCACTACAACAAGATGAGGTAGTTGCTTGGTGCGATGCCGGTGTCGCCGTTCTCTTTCTTGGCCTGCCACCATCTTCCGCTAACATCGCTAATCTCCAAGACTTCGTGTTTCGAGAAGCTGATTTCGTTGGCATCGTCGGGGTTGGCCTCGTAGCTGTATATGGCCTTTGCGCGGTATGGGTATTCTGCTGGAGCTGCGGCAGTGGAGTTGGGTCGGTCTGCTGCTGCTGATAGAGGGGCCAGAGTGTTTGACTGGCCATAGCGAGCACCGCTGTCACGGTTACTGTCCATTGCTCCCAAAGCTCCTCCGGGGAAACCAGTGACGGGCGATGATGTCTCGAAGCCACTGAGCTGGGCTGATGTATACATTTGTGGTTGCTGCGAGACCGAGGTCTCGGGACGGTAGCCGTTGTGCTGAGGCTGGCGAGAGATGCGCGATGGCACGCGACTGTCTCTGTGGAGGGCAAAGGAATCGATCACGTTGCGGCTGGACGCAGTGGGTTGAGAACCATAGTAGAAGATCCAGACAATNNCTGCGACAATCGTGTCAGTACTTTCATACTAATCGTTGAGAGGGGAGTTGAGGCGTACGGCGACCATTGAGAGAAGGATGAAGCCGGCGGCAGCTGCTTCATGTGCGCCGTCGGACGAGTAGACCAAGGAGTTGACCGAGGATGTTGTAAAGACGAGACCAGCAGCTAGGAAGCCGACGATCTACGATTGAGTAAGCAAGAGAAGTTGGAAGATTGCAGCAAAGGGTCTGCTTACAGCGACATGGTAGGTAAAGACCGAGTCAGAAGCGACTGTGACAAGGACTCCAATGATGCAGAAGAACATGTATACAAGAGCCCACCACGAGTAGTTGGGATATTGGCCATGGATCTTGGAGATGACGGAAGCTACGAAGGCGATGAGCCAGGCAATNNCTGTACCAGGTCAGTGACTCGAGTCCGACGGAAGCAGAACCAAGGTCCAGCGACGACGTACGATTGCTATCGAAGAAGTCGCAAGGGCGAACGGGTCGCCGATGATCTGACCACAACTGAATCTCGGTTTGCGGCCAGTGTACATATCACGGCGACTGGCTTCCATTTTCTGCGAAGATGGCGAGCCGAGCGAGCTGTATGGCATGTGAAGAGGCGATGCGAGTTCAAAGGATGCCGCTTTGTCTCGAGGCGAGTAGCAAGGTGGATCGGCGTCGATGGAAGAGACAGTGGACAATGGCTCCTGGCGACGTGTCGGACGGCAGCCGGCTTGTTGGGGATCTGGCGCTGATGGCTCGTGGAAGGGACCGGAAGTCTTGGTAAGGACGTGGCAGCGCAAGAGAAGAACGTTTGCTGGCGAGAATGAAACGGTTCGCGCGCGTAGCTGATGGTGGGCGGGGAAAGGAGAGGCAACGGTAGGACAACAAGAAAAAAGGGTTCAAAGTTACAAGTTCAACGAGAGCAGACGATAAACGAAGGACGGTCCGCCTCTTGGACTTGGATGTGGTCGTTGTAGGAAGGACAGCCAAAGTCGTGATGGATGCGACAAAGACGAAGAAGACTGAGAAGCGGTAGAAGATGCGTTTTGTTTCAGGAGTCGACGCAACCCTGTTGATGAAACACACACGTCGCCCCCCCACAAGCGATGCATCTCGGCCAAGTTTGGAAGAGGCATGGTGTGAGGCGCTGTCACCAGCCTCCTCGTACTCTTTACGCAGTAACAGTCTACCAGCATTTAACATCCTCGACACAACCGGCATTGCTAGTCGAGTTCATCTCTGTTGCTCCATGAGCGATGTCATTGTTAAATATAGACCCTTGAACTCCAGACCCACTGCCGAGACACAACGGACAAGGAAAATTCTCCGCAGTTCGCTCAGGTACAAACGATTCATGGGCAATTCGCCAATGGCTCATGGTCCAGAGCATAAAATAGTCTATTGTTTGTTGCCCTAACTTCTAAGTACCAAGAACTGATCTTTCCGACAATCAAATTCACCAAGCCAGAGAAGAAGACTTGCATTCTGATTCCTTCCCCGTGTGGTCGTCAGCAGCGTCTCTGCACGATACTCTCCGAGTCTCGGTCGCCCCTGCATAAATAATTCTCCTTAGCTTTCCCCATCGTCTGCTACGTCCCTCAACAACAACAAAGACAGCCCGTCGCGCATCGGAGAGTGACAGCCTATTGTGGAACAATGTACGGACGCTTCACCACTGAGGTGATACCACTAAATACCGAATAATGGGTTTGTTAAAATAGGACAAGATCACAAGCCGTACTGGATCGAAGAAAGCCCATGCTTTCAATCATGTCCATGAGCCTTTTGAGTGAGCCAAATGACAACTGGCGTTGGCCAAGAACTGTGAAATCCACTGCACCTACCCGTCCTGGTGGTCACTACACATCTAGATCCAGATAGTGTACAAGCACTTGATTTGAGGCTTCTTGCCTACTCAGGAACCACGCTCTTATCCACCACGCATGATCGCCTCCACAAGCAATGCGTGGCCGAGGACGAGTCGCCTAGAAGTCTGACCAGAGTATGCAACATGGCCTGCCAGAAGATGGGGTGGTGTGTCGCTTATTCAAGACGGGACTTACGAAGCTGGGAAGCTGGGTGGTGGCATGCAGCAGTAAGAAGAGATGATTACCGAGTTGTTGACCCGAGCAGATAGTTCTTGCATCATGAGTGTCACAGAGGGTGTTCGTCTTGTCTCTTGTCGGCTTCTGCTCTTCTGACAATTTTCTCTTGATCCAAAAGTCTCGCTTCCCACTCAGTCCAGCAGTCGTCCATCCCAATGATAGCAGAATCGTACCATCTGGCTAGGAGAGCAAGACTCTGGTGTCGCAGCTGGGCGATAGATTGTTGTTGATCCTCTTGTCTATGGGCAGCACGCTGCAAACGAGGAAGCAAGTGGATCAAGGCGGCCGAGGAAGAAGGATCAGGGACTGGGAGATCTTGTAGAGAGGTTAGGCGGGCAGCTGTGGCCTGGTACGATGGGGCATGTGAGAGAACAAGGGCAGCGAGGGCATCTTGGTTCATGTCAGGGGCGTCATGTTGATGTTGTGATTNCTGTTATAGAGTCAGGTGGGTAGCAAACACATTGTGGAGCAGGTGAGGGTTACGCAGTGCGACCAGTTCCTGTGCGGGCTTGTTGTCGGACAGGACAGAGTTGAAGGAGGACTGTAGAGCTTGCAAACGAGAAGCAATGGATTGAGTGGTGGTTGTGTCGGCAGGCGTTTCGACGTTGGTGTCCGGGTCGGCAGCGGTGGAGGTACCGTATAGCAGAAAACGGACGCGTTGCAGTCGGTGTTCCAAGGCGGCTAGGGTCTGCAAGGCCGTGTCGTGGGCGATGGATGACATGGTCGTGTGATGTACTGTGTGAAGATGAGGCACGTCTTGTGTTTGGTGCCCGGCGCTCATGACGGAAAATGGCGAGCTTCAAGGGATTAACAGTCGGCAGCGCCGAAAGCCGTTCGGCGTGGCTTGGCTGAAGGATAGCGAGCGATTGCGAGACATTCGCATTGTCTGGCCTTGCAATCTCTCTTCCACCATGGTCTGCAACTGTCGCTGCTGAAGTCCTCGTCGCCGACCCAGCACCCTCAGTCCCAGTCGGCCAGTACACAATGACCAGTTACGCATCGATTCGTTCGCCGCCCAGCGACTCGTCGTCCCGCCCCAACAGCACCGCCAGCATGTCGCGCCGTCCGCGCCGCAAGGAGAATGGCGTCCACGGCCAGGCGAGTTGGCTCAGTAGTGTCATCAACCTGGTCAACACCATTGTTGGCGCCGGCGTGCTGGCCATGCCGTCCGCTCTGTCTAACATGGGCATCCTGCTCGGCATCCTCGTCATTGTCTGGTCTGGCCTTACTTCTGGCTTCGGTCTCTACCTTCAAACAAGATGCGCGAGATACCTGGATCGCGGTAACGCGAGCTTCTTCGCTCTGAGCCAAATTACATATCCCAATGCTGCCGTCATCTTCGACGCTGCCATTGCCATCAAGTGTTTCGGCGTTGGCATCAGTTATCTCATCATTATTGGTGACCTCATGCCCGGTGTGGTTCGTGGCTTTACAGACACTCCTGCCGCCGAATATTTGCTGGACAGACATTTCTGGGTTACTGCCTTTATGTGAGCATGTACCAATCTCGCCTCTCCTTCGCCCCTCTCTGACATGTCATCAGGNCTTGTTGTGATTCCTCTATCTTTTCTCCGCAGACTCGACTCGCTCAAGTACACCAGCATCATCGCTCTCGTATCCATTGGTTATCTCGTTGTCTTGGTAGTCTACCACTTTGCAAAGGGCGATGACATGGGTCTCAAGGGCGAGATCAGTATTGTTCCCGACAAGGGTATTGTCCCTGTCTTGGCCAGTTTCCCTGTCATCGTCTTTGCCTATACATGTCACCAAAACGTAAGCAATGTCCTTGTTCCCATATTGCTTTCAAATGCTCATTCTAGTAGNATGTTCTCCATTCTCAATGAGATCGAGGACAACAGCCCATTCAAGACGACATCTGTCGTTTTGGCCAGTATCGGCAGTTCTGGCAGCATCTATCTGCTCGTTGCCATAACTGGCTACTTGACTTTTGGTGACAATGTCGCCGGCAACATTGTTGCTCAATGTAAGTTGATTGGATCATGTTTTTCCTGTGATGCGCTCTGACAAACCTCAGATGTTCCTTCAGTGGCGTCGACCATTGGCAAAGCAGCGATTGTTGTGCTTGTGATGTTCTCATACCCTCTGCAAGTTCATCCTTGCCGTGCTTCGGTTGATGCAGTACTCAAATGGCGTCCGGCTTCGCGCAAGCAGCCAGAATATGCCTCTGTCAATGGGTCTCCATCTCGCTCGACGCTTTTGAACTCTGCGAGCAACTCGCAGAGAGGCCGTGGCGAGATGAGCGACAGACGTTTCGCGGTCATTACTACCGCCATTATCATCTTGAGTTACATCGTAGCCATGACAGTTTCATCTCTGTCGGTGGTGCTCGCATACGTGGGCAGTACTGGAAGCACGTCGATCAGCTTTATCCTTCCTGGACTGTTTTACTACAAAATCTCATCGCCGGACTCGCCGCATCACCAGCGACTGCTCAAGGAGGACGATGATGAGGAGGCAGAGGCGGACGGCGAAGCAGTGACAGGCGGATGGAATAGTGGAAGCATTCTGCGCAAGCTCAGTCTTGGGCTGGCAATCTACGGACTGCTGGTCATGGTGGTTTGCCTCATCACCAACACGTTCTTTGTTGTTGCGCATTGATCTAGACCTGGATACCAATGAAAAGTAATGTCTTCTTCTTCTTCTTCTCGCCGTCCTCGGTTTGTATGTGTCACTGTCACATGCCTCGGCTCATCAGCGATGACGACAGAAAATCTGGGGAAGACGACGTGTGTGGGGTGTGCATATCAAAACTCGAGAAAGGCGTGACCAAGACAAAGGTGTCGTCTACTCCGCAGTATACNNTACAGCTCAAGTATCGTTGCCCCGCAGAACAGGGAATGCGCGCAAGAGATTGATAAAAGGTGCCCTGAGCCCGATCGATTGTCTTCCCAAAGTGCCCTGCTGACTTTGTCCTGTAGAAACATCANNCACAAACATGTCGGTCTACAACAGTCAGCTGGTAACAAGCCTCATGAACGCCATCGACCGCCTGAATTACTCTGCTGACTATGGTGTCGAGGATGCTTTTGAGCTCTACCACAAAATACAGGAGCACAATGAGAGGAGGGGCCCTAGTACCGATGGCATAGGATTGCCCGCCTTGGGCCATGCTCTAGCAGGGAGTGCTGGTACTGCTCTATCGCATCTTATTCTTTACCCTCTTGACCTCGTCATCACTCGCCTCCAAGTCCAGCAACAACTCAAAACACCTGGAGAGGCTCCCTCGGCAGCCAAAGAAGCAGATGACGCCGAATACACCAGTCTCGCCGACGCGGCACAGAAGATCTACACACATGAAGGCGGACTCCAGGCCTTCTGGAATGGCTGCACGACAGACACGGCAAAGAGTGTGATTGATAGCTTTCTTTTCTTCCTCGCCTACACGGCGTTTCGTCAGCGCCAGCAGAAGAAATTGGGCACCAAGTCTCTACCTGTTTTCCATGAATTGAGTGTCGGCATAGCTGCTGGAGCTTTGTCGAAGTTTGTCACGACTCCAATCCAACAGATTGTTACCAGGAAGCAGACTGCTGCTCTGATCGCCGCAAGAGACAAGACTTCGACACTGCCACCAGGTACGGCATCCAAACTCAGCGTCAAGGACATTTTCCTCCAGATCCGCAGCGAGCGTGGTCTTTCAGGCTTCTGGGCCGGCTACAGTGCCAGTTTGATTCTAACATTAAACCCTGCCTTGACCTTCTTCCTCCAGAACCTTTTGAAGAGGACACTACTCCCTCGCTCTCAACGCGAACACCCAGGCAAAGGGGCGTTATTCCTCATCGCGGCCACGTCCAAGGCAATAGCATCAAGCGTCACTTACCCCTTCAGTCTAGCCAAGAGTCGCGCCCAAGTCTCTCGCCCCATGGCAGAAGATACCCAACGCAAATCACCCTCCTACCTCGAGAAACCAGATTTGTCTTCCGACTCAAAGATCACCGCCAGATCCAAGAAAGTGTTGCGCTTGGTGTTCTGGCAACAAATCCAACAACTCGCCATCATCCGCTCGCTGACAAACATCTACAACACCGAAGGCGTAAAAGGTCTCTACAGCGGTCTAGACGCCGAAGTCGTCAAGGGCTTCCTCGGACATGGACTCAGCATGGTGCTCAAAGAGCGCATCCACGTTCTCATCATCTCTGCCTACTACGCAGTCCTCAAAGCGACAAAGCAGTGGCCCCATGATCTTGGATCCGTGAGCGAACAGGCAAAGAATGAATTCGAAAGGGTCAAGAGTGCAGCGGTGGATATGGCGGAGAGTGCCGTCGAGGCTGGCAAGGAAGCTGGTCAGCGTGTGCAGAATGTTGGTGAGACGGTTGTCGAAGGCGTGAAGAATGCCGTTGAATCGGGTAGCGGCAACGTTGGGGAGACTGTACAGGACGTTGGCAGCAATGTTGGCGAGAGAGTGCAAAACATCAGTGAGACTGTGGTTGAGGGAGTTCAGAATTCAGTCAGCAACAAGGAAGAGTAATGCGAGAGGTTTATATCTCAACGATGTCACGATCAGCGAGGGAAATGGTGGGCCACAGTACTCGGGGCGGAATAGTTATTTCATGTCTTGTCTTCTTGTATTAAAACGAAATGCATTGGCGAATTGAAGTTTAGCTGCTTTAACCAAGGCTAATGATTACTTGAAATGAATATGCGTGACGGAAACAGAAACTTCTCTCGCGAAACCAGTTTAATTGTACGATAGGAAGGTGCCAGTGTTGGTTGTGTTCAAGGGAGGTCTCTGCGTAGTAGACTGGTTACTCTCGGTGACGTTCTTGAACGGCACAGGTGCTGAGGCGTCACTGATGGCGTTGGCATCCGTGAATTGAGTTGGAACCACCTTACTCTCAGTGGTGCTTGCGAAAGGTGTAGGGATGGATTTGGTCTCAGTCGTGTCCATACTCTTGAATGGAGCAGCATCCATAGTGCTCTGGGTAGAGCCATTGCCGCTAAGTGAAACAGGGGCCGCAGTATCCTGGAAGTAGGAGCCCACATCTTTGAAAGGTGTAGGCTGCAGGGTTGAGCTCGTTTCCACGCTCTTGAATGGGGTGGGCTGTACGGCTGACGGGCTCGTCTGAGCAANNGCTGGGTAGGAATGGCAGCAGAGGCAGGGCCTGCTTGCTGCTGCTCTGCCGGCGCCGTCAATGAGTCGTCAGGCACGTACATCTTCTTGACAGGTACCTCGTCTTCAGCGCTGTGGAAACGCTTCTCCGACATTACAGGTCTGGTCTGCTGGACGGGCTGGCGAAAATACTGGCCTTGATCCTGCTCGTTGTTGGAGGCCTCTTGTCTTTCTTGTGCAGCGAACTCGTCTGGGGTCGCACGCTTGGGATCGTACTCCAGATGCTCGAATTCTGGGGGAGTGAAGCCAGCATCCACTTCTTCTGCACTCCTGTCTAGCCATCCGCTCTCCAAGATCTGGCTGACAGTCGGCCGCTGATAGGGGTCGGCCTTCAAGACCCATCTGAGGAAATCAACCTCTCCATCTTCCAGACCACGTTGGCGCAAAAGTTCCCACTGGTCGCCTTTGTGTTTGCTTGGGTCGTTTGCGGGTAGCGGGACGTTTCCGTACACAGGGTCGTTTTGTAGCTTGTAGTCGTTCATCAACGCGCTTTTGACAGCGTCTTCTCTTTCGACCATGCCTCCGCTCTTGGTGTCGAGATCGTCGTAGAGGCCGGTCTTGGAGAAGCGGGTGCGGGCCTCGAGCAGATGGCAGTAAATAAGAGCCCAGCCCCATACATCAACTCGAGAGGTAATGTCGCCTTTGAGGTAGACCTCGGGGGCACGGTACGTGATGGGCTGGACTTTGCCGTTCATGGGTTCCATGACAAGACCCAAGTCACCGAGTTTCGCCTTGAGATGGTCGTCCTTCTCTTCCGACTCGGCGTTGAAGCCGTCGACCATGATGTTTTGAGGCTTGAGGTCGGCGTAGACCAGGCCGGCAGCATGCACGTCGCGCAGGCCTACAAGGACGTCTTTGGCGACAGTCTTGATTTCGGCAAGAGACATGGGTCGTTTCGTGCGTGCGATCCATAGAGTGGTTTCGGTGATCTCCAAGACAATCATTGGAGGGTCGCCGGCCTTGGTGGGAGGGATTCTGTCAACCTGCTGTCTAATGGCTGGTGAGTCCTTGAAGACTTCATGCATGACCATCTCATTCTGGAAACTGGGCCATCCTGGTTGGGTATCGACCTCGCCGGGTTCTTTGATGACGACCACCTGGACTGGTTTGTTTGGATCCTTGCTCTGTTCGACAGCGGTCCAGACGTTGCTCTGGCCCAGTGGGCTGACTGCGAGATAGCTCTTGCCGCTCTCGCCGATCAATCTTGCGCCTTCGGAAAGCATACTATGTCAGTTGGTTGTGTTGTATAAGCGTGGGAGGAATTGAATTGTTCGAGGTGGAGACTGAAAGATGAGAGACAATTCCAGCAAGTAAAGTAGTTGGAAGGTGAACAGAGGGAGCAAGACAGGCAAACCACAACACGACGCAGCAGCAACCGGCTTTTACGTCACAGAGATGACGACGGGGTCACTGAGCAACTCCAACTTTGCTGAGCTTGGGTGTTTTCCTGCTTCAACTCTGCCTCCGACACTGCGACAACTCTATCGGGTTCCTCATCTTGATGCTCCGATGCCTAGCGCTTCAGTAAACAGCAACTCTCCGTATTTCCGGTACCTTGATCGAGGCCCATGCACCACGGATTTCTGCAGCTAGAACCGGTCGAAGCAGATGACAGGCCTGTTTTTTGAACGACGAGGTTCGACGACCGTTTGGAAGAACATCGTCAGAGCTCCTCAACCCCACAAAACTCGGCTCTTTCGGAGCCTCCAATAGGGCCAAGAAACGCGACGAGCCCCGAGGAAGTCTTTCTATTTTGACCGATCCTCGCCTCTGTGGCAGTGTAGTCGACTCATGTCAAACACCAATGACATCTGCCAACGTGTTTCTGGTCTTGTTCGCCATCTTCTTTTTGGATGCCTGACTGCCTCTGACAGGGTCGCCACGACAGGGGTCGCTACTTGACGCACCACCTGGCTTGTGTTAACCATCCACAATGCAGGTACCAGCTGACGCGTCTGCCATGCTATATAGTGCTGTTTTAGGTTTCTGAACATCAGGCAGGCTGTTGCGTCCCCTGTATTTCCTTTTCAGCGCTTACAATTATGATTACTAGACTTGGCATCAGCAGATTGACTACAAGTCCACACCGCGTGCTCGATTGCTCGCTTCAAGTGCCCTTTTAACAGGTTTCTATGGCTGTAAACCTTGTTCTACGCATGCGCCAACATGTTACTGTAGATCGCGAAGACCAATCAAGGTGAACTGGGAATCGACACTCAATCGCTCTACCACCCTGATTGATCAAGTCGAGAGCCACGTTACAGAACAGGTTTAGTCACGTAAAGGGCAACACATGTCATGAATATTATTCGAAGGTTCAAATCTCTCGTGTCAATTCTTGGTCATCATTCAGACTATCAAAAGGAGGGCATTACATCTGTCATTCATGGTCTAAAGCCCAGCTGTCTTGGCTGTCGGCCGAGGTCTTGCTCTAGTTCATGAGGACGACAGTCGTGGTTGGGTCGCATTTCGTTTCTTGCATCAATTAGTGACGTACTGATAAGACAGGCATGATAGACATACCTGCACTGGCTTACAGTCTGCTTCCGTTCACGACTCTGTAGTCGACGGCAAGCTCGCGGCCTTCGTCATTGAGGACAAGAACTCTGATGCTGCCACGACCTTGATCGAAAGCATCAGTGAGACGCTGCAACAGGTTGCTCTGATCAATGACAGGCAGGCCCTGCTTGACATCGCCGCTCTCAGTCATGGCAACAACTTGGCCGTCATCGCGAATGTCGAGGACACGGTACTGCTTGAAGACGGGTCCGTACATCTGCTGAACCACCACCGATGGCGAAGGGTTGGAGATGAAGGAAGACTCCTCTTGCAACTGCTTGGTGAAGAGATCAACGCCAAGGTAGCGGTGCTGACCAGTCTGAGAAGAGGTGGTGATACGAATGACTTGGCAGGGGCGGCCCTGGAGGTACAACAGGTCACCGATGCGGATGTGGTGGCAGGGGATCGAGACGGCACTGCTAGGACCAGAGCGGCCAGCAGAACGACGAGGTGTAGACATGGTGGTTACGGTCTCGCGTTCTTCAACGACTTCGTTGACGGGCTCTGAGTGATGGTGATGATGCTGGTGGTGGTGACGAGGTCCGTGAATGGGATGGAGGATGTGGTCAGCGGCGCGGTGAAGTCCGTCACGGAGAGAGTGATATTGGCCTTCGTCGTCGTAATATCCCATGTCAAACTTGCGTTGCTTGGGAGGGTCGACAGTAGTACGGGTCTCGGTCTTGACACGTACTTCCTCTTGGGTAGGAGAGGTGTGATAGTAGTCTTGGGCAGAGGTAGTCTTGGGATAGTCCTGGATGTAAGAGCCTGATGTATCCTGAAGGTAGGAGTTCTGGACTACAGGGCTAGTTCGGCGACGATAATCACGCTCGGTAACGTCGACCTCCGATTCGAAGTGGGTAGCAGGAGCGTGGGTGGTCTGGTACTGGCGGTCGTAGGCCTTGTCCTGGACGTCGATCTGTGCGTCGACGTAACGTTGGTAAGGTTCACGATAGCTGGGGCTGTCAGTGGGACTGGTNNCTGAGCAAAGAGGGGAAGCAACGGTGCGGGAAGAGAGTCAGGTCAAGGGGAGGATATGGGTGAATGAGGAAAGCTTGGACGAGCAGCATGGACACTCCAGTTGACATGGCAACACGCTAGTGGGTGGAGAGCTGGTTCATGTCACTACTTTAGTGCCTGAACCGCCCGATCCGCCCGCTCGTGCCGAAGCGAGGTGCTGAGNAACTGGAAAAGCGGTGGACTGATGCTGATCTTGCGTGTGTGGAGAGGGCTGATGAAGGGAGGGGAACAAAACACTGACTTACCGGTCCTGTTCGACACTGATTTTGGTCTGTCTGTTGGGACGAGACGTACGCTCTTCTCCGTGGATGTGAACGTTCTCTTCTCTGCGTCCCGGATTACGGTAGCGGTCCTTTTCTGTTACTCTGATATCCTCTTCAAAGCGGCGGGACGGAGGGGCCTGAGATGAGGTGTAGCGAGTTTCGTGACCTTCCCGTCCGCCGTGCGAGCTGGGGAGGTTGACCTGCTCTTCGACTTTGATTTCGGTAGATTTGGTGACGGTATCGCTCTTGTACGTGGACGGGAAGACTGCACAGTGTGAGCTGATTATCAGTCAAGAGCGACGAAGGAGATGATACCACTGAAAGGGACGGGAACCTGCGAGTATTCTGTCAATCGCTGAACTAGCAGTTCGATGCTGATGGTATGCACTCACTCTTGCTTCAAAATCCAGCTTGCTGAATGTCAAGTGTTCTTTCTTGTAGACCTTACGAACTGTCCTTGAACAACTCGAAAGGACAACAAGAACGAACTGAAGGTCCTTGTCGGGATTGGATCGAGGACGGAAGGCGGAGTAAGGAAGAGGAAGATGCTAAGGTGACGAGGGTGATTTGTCTTGCAGGATACTAAATAAAGCGGGAAGTGGGCAAGGTGATTGATTGACCTTTCATTCGACCTGCATCCTGTTTGTTGTCACTGTACCCGCCCGTTTCCAGGTGAATATAAAGAGTAGCGGGAAGCGTAACCCGAGATCGAGGGTCCTGTTCCTGCCCGTCGAGCCACTCGGGTGGTTGGCTCTATCCCCGTTGGTGTCGGCCTTGCTATTTGTTGGCTCTTACAACCACCTCAGCAAGACATGTGCTGGGCTTTGACCGTGCTGCCCAACTCTGAACCAGCCATCCCAACAAGAATACAAGCAAGCAATGGCTGACTGTAGGCGCCATCTCCCAGCCTTTGTTTCTTGCGCTGTCGATCTCTGCAAGCTAACAGGCCCGAGTGTTTTGTCAACACACAAATTCGCTTGCAAGCGCTGTGGTGGCTGGGTGGCTTGGCCTCCAGGCGTGACCTGACCGGCTTGTGTCGCTGCGCATCTGTCCCCGACAACTATTCGTAGTTAACGCTATGGCGGTTGGAGTGTGTCCCTATAGGCTTATCTGCTTGATGGCGGTTTTGCAACATCGTCCGTTTCAATCGTCGTCGTTTTGTGCTTGTTCATGGTTCCTCGATCCCCCACAGAAACGGCACCCGTGCATGAGCACCTCTTTCCCAGCGGTGTGGGGAGAGCTTCCACGTTACCGACATGGACTTTTGCTTCACGTCCAAGCAGTCACCATGCTTGAGAGCATCACACCAGTCTTTAGTCGTGGACTTCTACAAGTCTGAAAGGTGTCGCAGTTCCTCTTGGTGAGATGCGAGGTCTAATGTCCGAGGTCTGAGCCGTGAGTAAGAATCGATAGTAAACATGAACAGGGTCATCCCATGGACCAACTTTATAGACCTTTTTGTACATTATTTTGTTTTACTTTGATTTGTAGAGCCGTTATACCGGCAAACAATATATAGGCTAGGTAGTATTGTATGTTTCTAAGCATTATTGTCTTTTTTTTCTTATAGAAGTGTGGAGTAGTAGTCTTAAAATTTACCAATATGTCACTATACAAGGTTAAAAATCTGACATTATTAAGAGAATAACTTTACTGTAGCTTTTTACTATATTGTCACTCTAGAAAGATATTGTACAAAGAGCAACCATTTTGTAGATGTCAGAATTAGTTCATAAGAAGACTGTGTCCCTCGAGCTTTCGAATCGATAAAAAAAAAGGTAAGGAGTCGGTAAGGTTGGATCTTCACCATCGAGCTTAAGGCGCGCGTCATCGGTCGCATTTTCTCCAATCAAACTTGCTATCCTTCCACGATTCTGCTAAGTATTTCACTTGTATTGTCGCATCTACATTTGTAACGACACATAGCGACACGCTGTCGCCATTGGAACATGGGTAGCATACCTTGTGAGCAGGCAGCAGTGTGTGATGGAGTTGGTGTAAAATCTGCAAGAGTATGCTGAAGCCTCGATCGCCTAGCGCATCGACGGTCAAACACAGCATGCATTCAAGCGAGTGCCTCTTTTGCTCAATGCCCTGCGAAGTGACGACCATAACATGGCATTGACCATTCACAGACAGTGCTACCCTGAAGTCACCAAGACTCAGGCTGGTGTACCTCGCAAGCACGCAGATCGTAATTTTCTGCCGTTGGACGTCGGGCAAAGTCGTAGAGTTTGAGTCTTTCGTGTGGACGATGCAGCGGGGTCTTTACCCTCTCCTTCAACCGCGCTGTGAAAGCCGCAACTCCTGGAGTCTTGGGTTCCACTCAACTGACTCAACTAGCTCTAGCTACTACAATGCTTATCGAGATCAACATCATGCAATGCCTCGAAACGGTATTTGTACAGATGGCTGATCACTAGTAGTCATCAACATTTGCCCCGTCGCACGACTCACTTAAAATTCTCCCAGCCTTCGTCAATGTCAAGCATTCATAGCGAAATAGTATCTCAGCATTCTAAACCATCCGTTCCACACACAGCATGACGGACAACAAGCTTAGGATCTACGACCAAGAGGCTCGCCCTCTTGAGCCTGCATATGAACAAAAGCTTGTTCAAGATTCGCCGATGGTGAGTAGGCAGTCCCCTCTGCTACTGGGGTCTTGCACAGAAACTGACTGATCCGGGGCAGAACTGGACATGGCTCCGTAAACACATAATCCTGCTGCAGTGCGCTTTTCATGCAGCCGGCCCAGGCTTCACGAGTGCCATGCTGATTCCTGCCTTGGAACCCTTGTCCGAACAGTTCGAGATCTCACCTCAAAAGGCATCCTATCTTGTCGCCACACATGTCCTGTTCCTGGGGCTCGCACCATTTCTCTGGAATCCACTGATGAATGCGTTCGGACGCAGGCCGGTACTAGTAGGCACCATGCTTCTGTCATGCGTGGCCGCGTTGGGTGGAGGCTTTGCTGATAGCTACGGCACTCTGATGACCGCCCGAATCTTTCAGTCCATTGGGATCTCGTCCGGTATGGTCGTGCCAGGTGCTGTCGTTGTCGATATCTTCACCAAAGAGGAGCGTGGCCGGAAGAACGGCGTGTGGACACAGATGATTTCACTGGGCGCTCCTGTTGGCGGCATCATTGGAGGCCCTGTGGTTTACTACATCGGTTGGCGGTGGGTCATGTGGCTAATCGCCATTTGCAACGGCCTTCAGTTTCTGGCCTACGTGCTCACGGTTCCCGAGACATCCTACACCCATCGACAGCTTTCTGGGCTGGGCCGAGGCCAGTTTTCGGACATGTTCAAGATCCCAAAAAGAGCCCACGGAAGGCTTGGGTTGCGCTCATTCATTGAACCAATCTTGCTGCTACAGTCTCCGCACGTCACACTCGTTGCGTTTGCTTACGGCGTAACCTTCGCAATCACATCACCGGGTATTTCAGCTATCGTCCCAATGGCGACCAAGCAGATCTACAACTTTAGCCCGATCGCGCAGGGCCTGTTCTTCGTTGGGCCACTTGTGGGAGTTCTGCTTGGCGAGTTGGTAGCTGGACCAGCCAGCGACTGGCTTATGAACCGTGAGCGTAGCCGGGCCGAGAGCACCGGTCGTGATGTGCGTCTAGAGGCCCGACTTGTTGGAGGTCTGCCTGGTTACATCCTAGCACCGTTGGGAGTTGTCATTTTCGGTGTTACGCTGGAGACATACTGTCCTTGGATCGCGCCCTGCATTGGTTTTGCGCTCGCGAACTTTGGACTGCAGTTGGTGACTACGCCGCTCAAAACCTACTGCATGGACTGCTACCCTTCGCACTCAGGGTCGGTGTTACAGTTGATCAATGCGATACGCCAGATCATCTCCTTTACCGTCCCGTTCTGGAGCCCTAACCTAGGTGAAAAGGTGGGCTATGGGCTTGGATTTGGTATCGAGGCCATTATCATGGGGTTTTTCTTTGTCTGCAGCTTACTAGTATTCTGGAAGGGCAGCACCTGGAGACGAGCTGTAGGAGTGAAAGGCTTAGTCGATTTGAGATGAAATCTTCTCAACTTCGGATTCCTAGTTTTTAGCTGTCTATGGCCGTATGTACCAGAGCATCAATCTTGCGATAACATAGATCTTATGATTACATCAAAGCGGCATACAACTTGCTCATAGAAGCAGAAGTATCGATGACTGCATGAACTAGCGGTCTTTGATGTAAAGATGCCCATCCGCTAGCGATGTTTTCCCCGCACTGCGCAGTAGATGGCTCTCGCGTGCGGCTGGCTCGAGTGTGGGGATCCAGACGCACGTCAAGTCATCCATCCACCTGATCTTATGTACTTCCATGTCGATTGTGAAGCTGATGCCCGCATACTCCTCGGAGATCTCATAGGATGGTGAGCAAAGTTGCTGCAACTTCTCTTCTTTGTATCCGCGCTCCAACTCAAACGTGTTCTCCAGCTGCCGCTTTTGGCTGCATTGACCGGACGAGTGGACACGGGACGTGACCATGCACTGCAAGATATAGTTGTTGGTCTTGAGGGTATATCAACGATGGACTGCCCAAGGACACCAAGCTTAGGGTTTTCGTCCGCAGGCGGAGCAATTTGTCACTATGAGGCTCATCATCTCCATTCTTCTGGCCTTAGCTGGCGATGCACTTGCTCAACATGTTCATATGCACATCCCAGAAGTTTCTCATTATATCTCTGCCATAGAGTCTGAGTTCTCGGCATGGTATCATGGACCAAGACCAACAATCACTCGACCAACTCAAGCTCCGCACCCCTTTCATAGCCCGACACCATCAGCCAGTTGTGCATACTGGCTCGAGGATATCAAGCATCAGGGCATTGCGGCTTTCAATTCTGACCCTTCAGCTTACCAAGTGTTCCGCGATGTCAAAGATTTTGGGGCGAAAGGCGACGGCGTTACTGATGATACTGCCGCAATTCAATCTGCAATTGCATCGGGTGGACGTTGTGCACCAGGCTCATGCAGCTCCACCACGACCACTCCAGCAGTCGTTTACTTCCCTGCTGGCATTTACATGATCTCCTCGTCCATCATCGATTACTATTACACCCAAATGATCGGAAATCCGAATTGTGTGCCCACGATCAAGGCCTTCGCTAACTACACTGGAGCAAATGGCCTCGGTCTTATCGACGGTGATCAATATGGCGCGAACGGTCTCGGATTTGGTGCTACGAATGTTTTCTACCGACAGATCCGAAATTTTGTCATTGACACCACTTCCGTTCCAGCGAACCAGTCGGTGACTGGCATCCATTGGCCAACTGCTCAGGCTACCTCACTACAATTCATCACCTTCAATCTGAGCCAGGAAGCAGGCACACAACACCAAGGCGTGTTCATCGAGAGTGGATCTGGTGGCTTTCTCGGCGACTTGGCCTTCCACGGTGGATTGTATGGCATACAGGTCAGTTTGATTATCTGTCAGAGTCATATCCAATGCAGACGTAACAACACACCGTCAGTCACTAGGCTGTTTAAATTCGTAACATTTTCGTCGACTCAGATACTAATTTCAGCGCTTNNCCAGAATGGCAATCAACAGTTCACACAATCACGACTCAATTTCACAAACGTAGTAACTGCAATAAACCAACTATGGGACTGGGGTCAGTATCAGAGTGGATCGATTCTATTGGTACCCATTCTGATTGATCCCNNAGGCTGGCTTTATCAAGACATCAATATCGAAAACTGCTCTGTCGGCATCAACATGTCCTCTGGGGGCTCGACTGCTCAAGCTGTAGGCTCGGTAGTATTGATTGACAGCACGATCAGTAATACTCCAATAGGTGTCATTACCGCCCATGACTTAACCTCCCAGCCTGCAGCTGGTGGCAGCCTCATTCTAGAAAACATTGCACTGAACAATGTGCCAATCGCTGTTCGAGGCGCTGGAGCGATCACGGCACTTTCAGGTTCGTCTGGTTCGAGCGTCATTAGTGCATGGGTTGAAGGCCATGAATACACACCGAACGGACCCACGAACTTTGAAGGTACCTTCTCGGCAAACGCTAGGCCTGCCTCACTTATTGCCAGATCTGGATGGTACTCCTCTGCTTCACTCGCGCCAGGATCAAAGTACTACTCTCAAGCCAAGCCTCGGTACCAGCAATACCCAGTCTCAGCATTCATTAGTGCTCGCTCTTCTGGTGCTACAGGAGACGGTCACACGGACGATACAACAGCCCTCCAGACTGCCATGAATGTGGCAACAGCACGAGGAAAGATTCTGTTCCTCGATCATGGCGATTACAAGATAACTCGCACTCTCAATATCCCAGCAGGAGCTAGGATTGTTGGTGAAAGCTACAGCGTCATACTCTCTTCCGGCGACTTCTTCAACAACATCAACTCTCCACAGCCGGTCCTGCGTGTCGGACTCGCCAAACAGTGGGGAAGAGTAGAGCTGTCGGATATAATAGTATCGACGCAAGGTCCACAAGCTGGTGCAATCTTGGTCGAGCACAATCTTGCAGCACCACAAGGCAATCCATCCGGATACTGGGATGTCCATACACGTATCGGCGGCTTCGCAGGCTCCGATCTGCAGATCGCAGAGTGCCCAACGACACCGAATACTACCACTCCACCCGCGCCTGTGAACTCGAATTGTATCGCAGCCTACATGTCGCTGCATATCACTTCAGACGCATCAGGCTTCTACGCCGAGAACAATTGGCTTTGGACGGCTGACCACGATATCGACGACCCGCAGCTAACACAATTGACCATATATACCGGCCGCGGCCTTCTGGACCAAAGTGCGGGCCCCGTCTGGCTCGTTGGTACTTCCGTTGAACACCACTCAAAGTATCAATATCAGTTCTCGGATGCGTCTGACGTCTTTGCTGGCTTTATACAAACAGAAACACCGTTGAGTTCCATACCGCATTTCCATGTCCGTTCGGCACTAACAATTGGGTATCAGNNATACTATCAACCCAACCCTCCAGCTTCAGAGCCCTTTCCGTACGTCGCAGCCATCGACGACCCCTATTTCGCTCCTGTGGCCCGAGCCGTCAATCTCACATCTTCTAACACCTCAATCCCCACCGATGATGCTTGGGGACTTCGCATCGTCAACTCCAAAGATGTACTGATATACGGCGCGGGTTTGTATTCCTTCTTCGACAACTACTCGACCAACTGCTCGGATCAGGGCAATGGAGAGGTTTGTCAGAATTATATTGCGGATATCGAGGGTAGCCAGGCTGTGAGCATTTATGCACTGAGCACGGTGGGTACACACTACTCGGTGCAGTTGGACGCTGTCGATGTGGCACTTTACAGCGAGAATCTGGATGGTTTTGTGGAGACAATTGCGATTTTCAGGACAGGATGAGTCTGTTATCACTATGCAATCGGGTATAAGATGCTTGTTGGTTCTCTTGAAATTGCAGGGCAATAACAGATTGCGAAGGGTTGTCTTGAATCAAGATGATACAACAATCGTATCGGATCCGGTCATCCTCAGGGCTGTATCAACTTCGGGAAGAAGCTCAACGAGGATCACTTCTGTCACGAAGAAGAGCGTAGAACGAATGTCATGCAAGCGCCAACCAAGGTCAGAACATGCCGCTAACCCATCAAACTTATTGGTCTTTCGTATATTGGTCAAGATGCATGCTGAGCTGCTGATTGGGGAAGTACAGGTGCTGGAGGAAATCTCTAGGAACGGTTGAGGAGACTTTGGGCGAACACACGGATGCGATCACGGTGGCATGGAGGGATAAGAATGTGCCTAAACTCGAGCAATATCCAGCATGGATGAACTTGGAAATTCAGAAGCGTTGCATCATTGTTTATTTTTATTTTTATACACAAGCTTAACTACTACAGTACCAATGCCGAACCAACCAACGCAGCAACAGCCACTGCACCCACACTGCACAATGCTGAAGAAGCACCACTGGTCTCATCCTCAGACAAGGAGTTCTGGGGCAATTTGGCACCATCCGGAGCAAACGTCTTCATGCAGACGTACTGAACACTGGGCTCGCTGTCTTGCTCATCGCCATAGACAACGGTGATCACCGGCGTGACTCCCGTGCGACCGGCACCAGCCTCGGTGTCATTGTTCGAAGAATCAGACAACAGCGGTCCGGACTTGAACAGGAATTGATCCATGCTGACTACAGCACGCAAGCTGTACTGCTCGGGGCTGACGGGCTGACAACCCTGAGACTGGGGTCTGACGACCGTCGTGTTGGCATTTGTGCCCGCCAGAGCGCCGCCGGCTGCCGTCAGGAAGGTGGAGAGCCAGGGCCCGACTTTCTGACGAGCGCGGATCTGGGCATTGACGTGTTGCAACAGGGCATCACAGCGAGGAAGAACATTTTCGCCGCTACCGTAGGCGCTGTAGTCAAAGGATTCGATGATGTTGGTCAGCACGTCTCTGGTGCTGCTGGCCAGGGCGCCGTTGCAGGAGGTCGTGTTCAGGGCTTGCGCCGCGTCTTCGGGCAGCGTCTGCGCTTGGTACTGCAGCATCAGCGCACAAGCGTCATTCTGACCCGACGCGTTGAAGTTGGCGGGAACGCCTGCGTAGAGCTGGAGATTGCGCATGCTTCGAGGCCGAGCTGAGAATTGGTTCAGATCGGCAGAAGAATGTCCCTCTCAATAGCTTCTTTGTTCGTCAATTGATTGAGGGTTCAACAGGAAGTTTGACGTTGCACGTCGAGAAAGCATCATCCCAATCTGACGCGGGGATAAGGTGTCCTTTTTGGCTCATTCTGGGATGAATTCGTTGCCAATTGTTGAGAATGTCGGAGTAGTTGGGACGCGATGGTGTGGGGCAAAAGGCAATATCAACGAGGAGCCCTCTGATGGAAGCCTGTCGAAAGTCTTTCAAACGCCGCCAGATTCCCAAGAAGTCACTTGTTACAAGCACGCTCAAACGCTGTTTCACCTCCCCAAGGAGAATTCTTGTCGCTTATCTGACGGATTTGCTTGATGATGTTTTTGGCGACCTCAGGCTGTTTTGCCTGTAGAACTTGCCTAGTCTATTTAGCGATGGTAATTCACTGGACTGATAGATGGAACGGCACAACTTACAGGTCTCCCTTGATGTCCCGTCTTATCTCGAAGATCTCATGATACACCTGGTTCATATCCTGAACATTGAAGGACAGCGAGTTGAGGTCGATGATAACATGAAACTTGTGCTGGCGGAGTTCAGGATCCTGAAGAGGCTCAACAAAAACGTTATGCTTCCTCTCTTTGTACTCAGTGACCGAGCGACCGGCCCAACTCAAGTAGGCCTCGATTGCAGTAAAGTATGAGGACCAAGAGTAAGGCTCGTGGTCAAAATCTTGGACGCGTAACCTCAGTATCACACGGGTGGGACGAAGCTCTGGGGCTGCCGATTGCGGTTGTGTTGTTTTCTCGACCACAGGAGATGTTGATAGAACGTGAGAAGCCTCGATCATGATTGTAGCGACATGGGGGGGGAACTGAAATATTCGAGAAGTCGAGACTTGACGTGTGATCATAATCCAGTCCCCGCTTGGCATCACGTGTCAACATGAGAGGTCAACTGCAGCTGCACTTCTTCTACACTTCTGCATTCGTCCTAACAAACTTCAATGTGGGTGTTGCGTCTGAACCAACAGGTGGTAAGCTCCAATAACGCATCATCGAGGCATGGATCTAAGGCGTAAGGACTGTCATCACACATGTGTTCATTCAGGCTGCGACACTACATGTTTTGACTTCATCCATTCGTGACTGCCACTATCACCGACCTTCTACCAGACATAAACTCCGTCCAATACCGACTGAAGGCTTTCATGTAAGTCAAGCAAATTGGGAACCTTGCGAGCTCGAAGGTGTGTGGCCCAGACATGCTGGGCATCTTCCAGCTTTGTCCCTGTCTTGTGGGTCGATAGCGCGAGGCAAATCTCGCGTGAAACCAGAAGGAGGTACACAGACGGCTTGGTCGGCTCTAGCCAATGCTGCTGCACATTTGCTGACGTGGTCGGTAAAGTAGTGATTGCAGCCTGCGTAGTGGTGACATTGATTTTCGCACATTTCTGAGTGTTTCGCATCAGTACTGGGAACCGTTTCCTATTCGAGAAGAATGGCCCACGATCGAGTTTGTTGTTGCTATAACCACTATGATGTAAAGGTAGGATATCCGTTAGCGTCACAATCAGCGTCGGTCTGAACAATACAGTTGTTGAGAATTGGAACGGACTGGGTAGTCGTGAGAAATATAATAAGTAGCACAGCTACGAGACGTAGACGCGAAGCGCCTTCGACCTCGGCCATGCCTCGCTTACCTATCGCATGAAGACATACCCGCGAATCAGCATAGTCCGCTTGCCGCGCGCATGAACTGGCAGACTTGACACTTATCGCTTCGATCTCCCAGGATCGTCCACATCCCCTGTGTTGGCGTTACATAGCAGCAGTAGACGCCGTGCATAGTCTCATGGCAAGATTCGCTCATAATGAGCTCGCTGTCAGACACACCTCAATCGCAAAACTGATGAAGCGACATGACCCTGACACCTTCAAGGCGACTTGAGTTCTTGGAGTGTATGGTCAATAGGCAAAGATGGCCTTGAGACCGCGTAACAAGATTGTGCTGCTGCCTAATAGGGAAGATGCCTTGGCACGGGAAATGCATGCGCTACATCTGAAATCTTTCGACATGACATATGCTTTTTGGATCCATACGACCGGCCATTACTGCCACGTCCTGTTTGCTGAACGGAACCATAGTCAGTCAAGTCACTCACCACTTAGTTTGACCGGACGGATGACATTCTTCGTATTGCGGTACAATTTGTTCTCATATTTGTGTCACCTGTGGGAAGAAGCGCAAAGAAGACAACTCTTGTTACAACGAAGAGAAGGGTGTGAAACAGATAACCTATGTTAATCATGCAAGCGCCAACCAACGTCAGAACATCCTGCTTACTCATCAAGAGCCGTGAATCGTGTGGTATAGCCGCCATGATAATCTGACTCGCTACTGCCCCTAAATCCTTGAGCCCTGACTATCGTTCCAGAAACGATGTTTTGGACCCACCTGAACAGACGCCGACCAACTGAATACAGCTGCCTTGTACGCCGACCCAGAAGAGAATATTGATGCCTTGTAGGAACAACAATAGCACACGACGCTGAGGCGCAGCGATCGTGTACTTCTATATAAACATAGACTTGCTTGTAAGACCTGCACACATAAATCACTTCCAGCAACACGTCCTTCTTTCTCCAAGACCATTACCTCAGCGATTGAACCAAGCACATGATGGAGACTTCGAGCCCTCTGGACCGTATCTTGCGCAACACCACTATCATCACCTTCTTGCTTGCTCTAGCTCTTCTCATCCCTTATAGCATTGTTTCATACTCTTGCGTTCTTGCAGTCGGGTTGGTCCCTGCGTTTTTCTCTGCTGTGCTCGGCCTGGCCTCCTTGAACGCAAGCATCCGTCAGAGTTGGATGTTTCTGTACATGGATCTATTCCTCGCTGTCTTCCTCTTTAGCATCTTGGTGCCATTCTGGGTTCTCACAGCCCGCCAAGGGTGGTTGTCTTCCAGCGGCGTCGCAATGTTGGGGACTTATGGAAGTGTGCCGTTGATGATGGACTTGTAAGTTTGACCCCTTCTCGCATCGCAAATTGAATGACTGACTGGACCCTGTTCCTGATAGNNCTGCATCCACGGTTTCTTCGTCCTTCGTCATGTTTTCAGGATGTGCAGAACACTTTCGTTTACGCGCACTTGCCCAAACTGTCACACACACATTGGTGCAAGGGTTGTTCCTAGCATCACTCGCGCCTCGGCTGAGAAATCTCGTCATTCTTGCGAAAGCGAGGCGCTGTACCAACCACTTGACGGTCCAAAATATGATGACGAGGAAAGAGTGTCTTCGGAGGCCGACACATTATACAGACCTAGTGTGGACACTCTGAGCTCTACCGAGACGGTTGTGAAGCTGATCTGAAGCAACCGTCATCCAGCTTCGAGGACGGCTTGAGTTACTACCAATAGCTTCCAAGATGAATATATATAGCACTGTATGGTGTTAAGCAAGAAAAAGAATGGTGAGAAGTCATGTATGTAACCAAAAAATTAACACGCATCCATGTTCGTGTCTCTCTTATCAAAATAAACAAGTACCGCCTCACTTCCTCTGACATGCACTAGACCATCGCACCCAACTGCCTCTACTAGGAGGTCGCCGGTCTCGTTGCCTTCGGGAAAAGATTGACCTGCCCAAGTGGTCTTGTTTGCATTGCCTTCATCAATATGAGGAGCGCTCAATCTTTTCAACCACGCTCTTGTCCCTTTCTTTGAGTGTCCGTATTTGGAAATGTCCACTGCCACCGTAAAGTCGCTTGTAGAATTAGCGTAGTATGGCTTGGAGTTGATGATGGCCAGTTTATTGAGTCGATTCTTGACGTAAAAGGCATATGCAGAGAAATAGTCCTTGTCAACGCCTAAAGGAGTCTCCACCTGGCGTACGCGAGTGTCGGGAATTGCAAATGCCTCAGCCATGAAGAGTTGACTTGAAAAGCTGGGCAAGACTCTTGCAGGACCACGTTTGTCGCTGTCTCGAGGATAGAACATGTCGTACGTCGAATAGCCTGGCGATCCATCTTGGCCTGCAGAATTGACTTGTTGACTGCTTTGAAATACCAGGGCTGCTCCTTGATGCAGATATACGGCCGAGGCATTGCGTACGGCATATATGAGCTCACTCTGGACCACCCACAAAGCCTGTGCGAAAGTGTCTGAAACGTTCGGATTGCCAGAGCAGGAAATGGAGTTGAACTCTCCAATGATCCATCGATTACCAGCGTCGAGTGCGGCCTTGGCTGATGGATAGATTTCCTCATCGGCGTAGCGACTCAATTCAGTCTGATTCAAGATGTTCTGTGTCGTTGCCAACACAGCTCGGGCTGGATCACAGGTCGAGAATGGGTATGAGTGTATGGAATAGTCGGCCACCTGGTCATTCGAGTCGATACCAGCAGGAATGAGAGCAGCAGGTCGGACCTCCAAGCCACTTTGGTCTGTCGTCGCGGACGAGGCCCACCAGCGCTCGCTGCCGAAATCGACAGCTGCATTGGTACCGAGGGTTGCATTGACAGCCGCGTCGATCTGAGCTGTCCAATCCTTCCACTGTTGAATATATGTTGATGTGCTGTTCTTCCATCTCGAGCTTGGATAATTCGTCGGCTCGTTTCCAAGTTCGAAGAAGCTGATGCTGTCATTGCTTGCATATTTGACAGAGGCGACTGCCATATCTCTGGCAATGTCGAGCGAGTTGTTGCCAAAGTTTAATGTAGAGACAAATTTGGTGCCCTCGGGAAAGTTTGACCAGCTTTCGTAGTAGGCTGGTCCAACAGTTGTACGATAGACTCCACCCTTGGGATTCGTGGTACGGACCGGATCGCCGGCTGATACATCGAAGATCATGGAGTCCATTGTGATCCCACCAGGTCGAANTCTATTATTGTCAGTACAGATGTTGAATATCATAGATAGAGGGAGAAAGACAGTTGGTTGTCCACCATGATCGACAATGCGATTGAGCAGATTGAAGGTGAGCTTATTCGGCGTACTGAGGTTGCCGAAGAACTCTACCCAGAATGCTGGCTCGAACGAGAAAGATGCAAAAGAAGGATCGTGTGCTATCGAAGCGCCTAGTGCTGTTTGCGGTATATCCAACGAGAAAACACCATCGTGACCTCTAGTAGGGTGAGAGACTGCGATACGGGCTGCAAAGAACAGAGCAGTGCAAGAAGCGAGATGCGAACGAGATGGATGAGAGAACCGCATGCTTTGGGATGTGTAACAAGAAACAGTGGGTAAGAATGAAGAGCATGCAAGATGACTGTCTTACCTATCTACTTACATATGTGACAGTAGCTGTTTACTCGCTAAATTGTTAGCCCGAAGGATAGACTGTCTTGCGGAGAGGGGATGCATGATGATGATCCTTGTCCTTTAACCGAAATCGACAGCAAGCTTGGAGAGAGATCCTATCAGCTCCGGTGGGCAGAATTCTGGGCGCAAGTCTTTCTCTCTGCAGAAAGAGGAGATGTTGTCGACGGGAGAAATGATGCGGGGAAGCCGGCTGGATGTCACGTCAGGATGTGTACTCTCGTGTTGACGATCCTCGAGAACGAATGCAACACTGGCCGCATTTCGGAAACATGCTGACGAGAAGCGATCGATCTCCATTTCACAATCAACAATTCGCCTGTCACAGCCGACTACTCTCTAAAGGAACGACCGCTCGTAGCTATGACTATGAGCACTATGTTGACGCGGGAGTTGCATGTATCGTACAATTGATTCTTCATATGATCTGTAGAGTAGAAAAACTGAAAGGTGGTACTTGTGGATGGTTCCAACTTACCATGGGTATCAAACCGAAATTCATCATAACTCATCTCCTTCGCCTTCAAGAAGTACATATTCTAAGATGTCACTCAAGGTAAGCAGGCCTTTGAGCTTCTTGTCCTCATCTATCACGACGAAGCGATGAACGCGGGATTTCCGAATAGTGTCAAAGATGGAGTCCAGGCGGTCGTTGAGGGTACAAGTGAAAATACCAGGGAAATCCTAGAGTCAAGTCAGACACGATCACGCCGAGTGACGGAGTTGTAGATGTTTTACCTCTGAGCGCTTTAACAGAGCTTCACCGACTGTCAAGTTCAGGTCGTCATATACACCACCCTTAATCAGTGATATGACATCGACCGCTTCGAAGACATTGACAACGCCGCCTGGCATGAAGTCAGTAAGACGGACTGAGTAGTGTGGGCAGGAATACACACCGTCGCTGTCCAGAATGGGGACGTTCGATATGCTGGACTTGACAAGCAAGTGAATGACGTCCATGACAGGGGTCTCCATTGTGGCAGTTTGCAGGTCGCCATAGGTGCCGCAATCAATGTCTCGCAGAGGCTTGCGCAAGTTCTGGGTGTCTTTGACGTTGACAGCGACGAACTTGAGGATGCGATACTGAGTCAAGACACTGACTATCATGGCGCGTTGTGTTTCATCATCGACGTCGACAAGAGGGATACGACGAGCACGAGACTCGAGCATGCGACGACAGGCCGTATATAGGGATTGGAGAGGATGTACCGAGACAGTCTCGATGGGCTGTACGCCAATGGCTTTTTCGATGTCGCGAAGACTGTTGAGACGGAACTGGTCGACCTGGGCGAGGGCATCGGGGTTCTGCCAGTAGTATTGAATGACGTTGATGTAGTCCGAGGTGGTCAAGAGGCCAGCGAAGGTCGACGTCTTGGAATCCCAGAGCGGAGCAGAGACGATGCNCTTGTTGGATGTCAGCCATGTTCGAGGGATGAGGGGCATGGGATGCGCACCATTCTGGATGAGGATGTTGAGACTCTTCTTGACCAACAGGGCGGTATCGAAGACGATGAGGCGATAACTGAGGGGTAGAACGTCGTAGCTCGTGCGGGCCTTGAGGAATTCGCGGATGGCTCNGCTGCAGACGAGGGTCAGATGAGGCTTGACAGGCAGAGGGGAGGGACTGACTAGGCCATCGAGCTGCTCGTGGTCGAGGGGTGTCATGGGGCCTCTTGACTTTGAGCCATGGGCCCTTTCGCGAGGCCGCAGGTAGTCGCTGGGAGCGACAAAGTTGGGCGAGGGCGAGGGCTGCTGTGCTTGGGTCGACGTGGGAGTCGATGCGGTTGCAGATGCAGATGCGGATGGGCTGAGACTGGGTGCGGGTTCGTTCAGAGGCCCGGCTGCACTGGCTTCGGCCTCTGACATTGTGAGACTGTACAGCTCAGTCCAGTCGTTTATGCGCGCCCACTCTTCGTAGACATCAATGTGGACTGCTCTGCGACGCGCCTTCCTGCTACACCAGCAAGCAGCGCAGCATCATGTCCCCGCGACTCTCGGCCCAATGATCTGATCGCTGCACCGTGCGTTTTGTGGAGAGACTCTCAAGAGATTCCAGAGACGCCATCATCGCGCCTTCTTCATTTACCAATTTATCGACGCCCTTCTGTTGCGCACCAGACAGCGTCAATACCGCTCTTGCGAAAGGTAGCACTTGCTACTATCACAGCTGCCCTCTGTCCTCAGCTAGACGCGTCCTGTCATCCTCAATAACCTCACGTGCTTCTCGCTGTTCTCGGCTGCACCCGCTCTTGTATTTCACCAGCGATTCAGCTGCACTTTCCCATGTCAACGGCTCCCCTTTCTGCCATCTTGCTAGCCAATTTTTGGTCTACTTTCCTTGTGCATTGACAAGCCATGATGGGCTTTCGGACATTCTGGACCGAGGCAGGAAACGCCTCTTGACAGCCTCCATGTCAAGTCTGATGCTCGTTCGCCTGCCGGCCTTGAGCTTAAAATTCCCTATTCTCAGCCACAGCTCTCTCTTCCCATCGCACTGCTCGCATTTGTCGAACATCGCCATTTCGACCGAGGCACCGGTGCGAGACCATTTACTATTGCAGCACGATCCAATCAGCAATCTCCCTTTGTGCGAGTAGTTCTGTGCGATTACCTACAACGGTCAAAGTGCCGTCTTAGACGTGTGGATCCGTAGATCCATGTCGATCCATGGTGCTGAAATCCGGTCCAGTGACGACCACTCTTTCACCAAACAACCCGTCTTGTTAGCTGAACCAATCGAGCATCGACAAGTCATGACGATGAACCGTCTCGTTCAAGCTCAAAAAGTGAGTGCGTTGCTTCTCCTTGCGTGTTCCATCTCTGGTCCTGTGAGAATCCGCTGTGCAACATGAAGTCTTCATCAGTCCTGCTTGGTGCTTTTTTGGCCCAGTATGCCTCTGCCTTTCCTGGAATGGGAAACACCCGTAGAGAAGCCGGTCTGCTTCCTCTCAAACCTCTAGCCAAGGCTGTTACTACATCTAGCAGTGCTACCACAAATTATCCAGCCTGGCACCCACCACAAACTGGAGAAGGTACGAGTGGTTTTCTGTTCGTTGAAGGAGATTGTTTTTCTGACCATCCTCTAGTCCGCTCTCCATGTCCTGGCCTGAATTCATTAGCAAATCATGACATCTGCCCTCGAAGCGGCAAAGGATATACCATTCCAATCTTGACCGACTGCCTTAAGAGGGGACTGAATGTTGGTGCCGACTTCGCTCTGGTTGTGGGCACGGCAGGAATTGGTTCCAACCCCAACCCCTTGACGTCAGGTCTGTACTTCGACCTCGACATGCTGGATCGTCACGACTTTCTGATTGAGCACGATGGTTCATTGTCTCGTGCCGACGCCTCTACAGGAAACAACTACAGTTTCAATCAGACCATCTGGGACACGGTACTCGCCTACTATAGCGGTATGGAGGACGCCACCATCCCTGTCGCTTCCAAAGCCAGATATAACCGCATCAGCACAGAGGCCGCCCGAGACCCCAACTTCAGTTACAGTCCAGTTCAGTTCATCCTCAGCTACGGTGAAACCGCCTTGTACTTGTCAACTATGGGAGACCCGATCACTGGAGTTGCGCCACTGGAGTATGTGCGTAGTTTGTTCGAACAAGAGAAACTTCCCTACGAACTCGGCTGGCAACCACCAAAGACCACGACAACCTTGGCTAGTTTGGGTGCGATGGCTATCCAACTCAACGCTGCAAGCGGAGAACAGATCCCCGAGGGTGTGATCCTGGGCGAGAACAGCTTGAAAGCGGTACTCATCGGCCTCAACGCCGCCACCGGAGAGATTGAGAACAACGCAGTCTATTCTCTCGCCAAACTCACGGGAGCGCTTGGCAGCGTAACTTCAGCATTGAAAGGCTTGACCGGTCTGTAGTGTAAAGCTCATCAGGTCCCTCAAAGACACTAAAACACAATGGCATCTTTTCCCCGCATGGATTTCCAATCGCCTGACCTTTCTTTTTGTATTCGCAATGTCCACGTTGAGGGTTTCGGTTGTACAGTTTCGTCTTGGTTTGAGAGTGTACTACACTGCACACTGAGACCTCATACACTCATTGGTTCGATCATACCCTGGCATAATCTCCCAACCTGTCACACGGAAGCGGTGTGTGAACTGCTAATGACCTGGTGAGTTTGTAAGCACGTGAATGCATCAAAGAAGAGTATAAGAACTTCTTGCTCATCAATGTGATGACCTTGAAGGTAGACTTGACAATCCTCTGCGGTCGTGAGTCTCGTCAAATGTGCCTATGCCACCCAGATCTAACATGAAGTTTACAGCAACATAAGCATCCAGGATGCTTCGAACATCCTAGATATATATCTCAAGTCCAGCAAAAGTAAAGAGATGTGCCACATCTCAGTGGTATCGACCAGATATCGAACACCACCCTGCAACAATCAAGCATGCAGCACAAGCTCCGAGACTGTCATTCAATGCGACTATCGAGAAATCGGAGGACCATACGCTATATGCTCGAACGCTAAAAAGGTCTATATGGGCGTCAGATATGTCAAGGGAAGATGTCCGTTGCATAAGGATGATGTGCAAAGCGATGTCTAGGGTGACTTGAATGTCCAGGCGAGCGTCGTCCGCCAAAGTCAAGGCAACACGGGGCATAGGAAGGACGTGATGCTCATTCATCCGAATGCTCGAGCTTGATAATAATATTAGTTAACTAGGAGTAGGAACACGACATGTACCTGAGATCAATCACCAGGAAGATTACCATAGCGAATAGTAACGCTATTATTCCTTGATATCTGTAGCGAGCATTTACAGTCGGATTTGACAATAGGAAGCTCCACGCAAATGTCCATCATCTTTTCTCAGCCCCATGTGTCGTTGAGGAGAGCCATTTACTATGTCCCATCCCTGAGCCTACCAAGTCTGAAGAACATTCAGACCTCGAACACGGCCACCATTGCCCTCACTCTTTTCCTTGGCCTCTTCGGCTGCTGCCTTGCACTTTGTGGCATGAGCATAGTAGTGCTCCTTCTGACACTGGACAGAACAGTGGTTTCTCTTCCTGCAGCGTGAACAGCGCTTCAGGGCGCTTCCATCCTTTGCTTGCTTCGCACCACACTGGCCACAGGCATCTTCGTGCTGCTCTTCATGGGCTTTCTCGAAGCCTGGGCAGAAACATGAATGCTTGGGGGTGTGGGCCTTTTGGCAGGTGTTCGAGCAGTACAGTCTAGGTGGACTGTCAGCAAGCCNAGTCATAGCATCAGAGTTTAAGGTGAGCTCTTGACGGCACCAGTCCGGGATGTTGCAGCCAAGTTGCATGGCACAGGCGATGAGTAGACAGAGTGCATTGCCCTGTCCTTTGTCGCGGAGGTCGTTGATCATGCGCATGAGAACACCACTGTCAAGATGCTGCTGGACCAGACCNNCTACATCGAGGAGGCAAGATCAGCTCGCTGCATCCATGGCGTCTTTATGTATGCTTTAAGTTACCGGATGAGAAGGGTTGTTCAGAGTCATGTAAATGTCATCATCGTCAATGTCATGGTATGCGTCGGTATCCTGTTCTCTGGCATCCTCGGGCTTCTCAAACTTCCTGAAAGAGTACCTGGCTGGGTTGACGAGAATTCTCTGCTTCACCTTTTCGAGGTCGGCAGCATCGTTGAGCATGTCCACAGTGTCAGAGTCTTTGTCACTCTGAAACAGATCATATCCCCAAGCTCCCTGATAGACGTCAGAAACCCGATGCGCGACGCGACGAACGTGACAGCACAGGAGTTGAGCAGATCAAGCATCACAGCTGTCGGTTTGCTTTGACGTCTCACGTTCCAAGGAAAGGGACCTTGTTACCAGAGACTTACCATTGTTGCGAAGAAGTAGCAGAGTAAATTGATAGCTTGAGGTCTTGAACAGGTCGTGGAAATGTAACGGAGGGTGGGATCGCAGAGTTGTAGATCAGACGTAGTGTTGAGAAGAGACTGGATGAGAGCAGTACTTGAAAGGGTGGTAAAAGTCAAAGGCGCATCGCAAGCAAGCATGTGGTCCTTTCACTTGGTTTGTATCAGCAGACGGCTTCCTGCATGCCGAGACCCCAACTGTGTGGCCACTACATTTGGAGTCTTTGAGCGAGAGACAGCGACATCAAGTCATCTAGTGTTGCAGAGGTCTTTCGTAGCATTGTGATCTACCACTTTCCAACCATCCATATCCAGGACTGCGTTATGGTTTGACGGAAGTCCGAAAGGTACTCTGCCCCGTTCAATCATTGGAGCAATACAAAGATGGCAGTTTCCTGACGCACGACAAACTTATGACTTCCTGGTTCCATGAGAATGCCTGTATTGTGGCGCCAGGAAGAGAACGTCGATGGACAACGCGGTACTTCTATACCGCCTTGCCTCTTTTGGCTTTCTGCCAGTAGCATGCCTCAAGATGCCGAGCGTTCTCTGACCAACTTGACTTCCTTGTCATCAGATCGGCAGCAAATCCGGGGAAACTGGTATGAATAGAAGCAAAGTCACCATCATAGGCCCGAAATTCATGACTATCTGGAGACCAGCTAAACATCAAGACCTGATCAAGCGATGGGTCTTCAGACATCACGAACTTGCTAGGAGAGCTTGAAAGATCGGTACTTCGCTAAGCAGCCTTGATCTCCCTACAATACCTCCTGGTCTCGGAATTTTTCTGTGCAATATATACAGTGGCTCGACCACTACAGGGAAAGATCATAATTATTCAGCCTGCTACAACTCAAAGTAGAAGATCAACTGTCAAAACTCCTGGAGAGCGTCACACGGAGTGGACCGCGGAATTTTTGACTGGCTGGGAAGCAAGATGTTCTTGCGATCTTTAAGAAAAACCCTACCGATGCCGAGCAGGATTGCGTCTCCAGCTTTCGCCTAGGATCTACACGAATATGATTATGTGAGGTCTACTGATGGTAAGGTCTCTCCAAGAGCCATCATCTCATGTGAAAACAGTATCGAAATCATCAGGCCCGATGTTCGATCACTTCCTGAGACTTCGCTACCCACTTGCTGTCCGATGGCTTCTCGAACTAAAAAGACCCAATTCTCCCTTCCCACAGTCATTTACTGCCATTTGCCGTATAAACACATCAGATATGTTTCGCGCAACTTTTTCATATCAACCAGGAAGAAACAACACGAAAGTGAGGAGAGGTTACAGCTATTGGTTGGGAACATCGTCGCTGGCTTGAAGAAGACCGCCGCGTAAGTAAGAAAATGTCCTGTTATCGCCCTCAAATGCGCTGCACCAAGGCTCCCATCTGGCACATGGCCATAAAATTTTCATCGCCCACAGCACATGGACGCGGATATTCGAAAAGGTTGGTCTGCTGCAAATCTGTTTCTCTTTCTCCTCTACCCATCCATCTACCAAGTCAAAGACACCATCAAGTCACAGACACAGTCCGCATCCACAGCACATCAGCGCAAACGCTATCGAACAGCGAGCACTCTATACTTCTCTACCATAGACAGAATACGTTCGGTCATCACAAAGGCTATCATGGCTACCACCACATTCCACATGCAGCTTCGCTCTGCCACCGCCAGAGCTGCCAGAGAAACACAGAAGCTCGTCCACCATCACCAACACATCACCATCAACGGCAGACGCGCCCTAAAAGTCCACCTCAACAACGCACCAGGCAGACCCAAAACTCTCACCCTCTTCCACCACCAGCACCGTTCTGGTCTGAAGCTGAGACTGGGTAAAGTGCAACCGAAACCCACCGAGGCCAAAAAGCTGGTCGATCATCACGAACACATGACTCATCGCAACAGACGCGCTCTGAGAGTTCACATGACCAGCGGTCGGAGCCTGACTTTCATCCACCAACCGCGATCTGGTACAAGGCTGAGGCTGGAACTCGGAAAGCGCTCACCTCAGGGGCCGATATCAACGACACAGTCAACCCACTCATGGCCGCTACGGAGGAGCAACAGAATCTTGGGGGCTGCAAGATACTCCGAGACATCGAGCAATTTGACTAGTCTATGAGAATCCGAGAAGGAAACTTTCAACAGGCGATACGTCGCCGACAATTGCGCTTGCTTTCATCGCGATGATTTGGACATCGCCATAGCGGTCTTGTTTGAGAGACATACATTGCGATTTGGATATTACGGATGGAAGGGATAAATTTTGGATGTAAAGGATTAAAATGGCAAGGAGGTGTTTTGTATACAGTTTTTTTGTCTCCTTTTGCTGTCCTTCAGACCATACAAATACAAAGATTGTTTGAAGAGATCTTTTCGTGCCGTGCGAGTTCAGTCTGACTGAGCGCAGGTGATACAAAAGTAACTACAAAGACAACACACAGCTGGAGACTGTAGTAACATTGACTACAAGCCCTTATTTCGTCGGCTCTCTTGGACTGCGTTTTTGATGAGAGAACATGGCGGGAGACAATGCGCATATACATGAGACGTGTGGTATTGATGGTAGAAGATCTTGGTTCCTTCTAGCTAGGAGAAAAGTAAAAATGAAGCCATATCGTTATTTCCGGCGGGTATCGATTATGTTTGTCGTCAAACGCCCTTTCAATCCTTGTTGCTGCTGCGTCTGTACCTTCTCGTATCATTCTTCCGACCCTTGCGTCCATGCCGCTTTTAAGGTCTTAACACGTGTGTGGTCTGGATAGCAAGATTCCACTCTTCGACAGGCATCTCTTAAGCCTGTGTGAACCCAAAGCAAATGCGAAAGCTAAGTAAATTGCCGAGATGATCAAAATTCTGCAATGTTGACTTTCTGGTTGACAAAGTCCCACAGCATCTTGATGAGCTGGTCGGGGAGAGTGTAGAGATCGACATGGAATTCGCCGTCTGTATTGCGCGTTAGTGCTGGGGAGTCGATAGATTGAACTGAGAACTCACTCTCGACATCGTTCTTAGTGTATGTCTCCTCAGTCTTATTGTCGTGTACCAACTGAACGACGTGCAAGAGATCGTCTTCGCCAAGTCGCTCCAGACCCTCCGCCAACTTTTCCATGTCGACTTGCTATCGTGTTTGTTAGTTACGTCCGACGTGTGGGCTGACAGTAGAACGTACAGTCTTCGATGCCTTCTTTCTCTTCTCAGGCTTAGCGGCACCATTGGCGTCTCCGACGGGACCGGATTCCCTCAGTCTTTCGACAAGTTCAGGCTTTGGGTTACGGAAAGTCTAAGAATGACGAGTCAGTCCTGAAATACGCACAGGAACGTAGGGCCAACGTACGAACTGCTGCAGGTTCTCATAGCGCTCTTGCTGAAAGTTCAAGTCGTGGAAGATGGTCTGTTCGCCCTTGGGCTGAGAGAAGGGTGTGAGGACGATGGACATGTCGAATTCACCCCATCCTTGCTCTTGGATCCTAAAGGGAGCCTGCTTGAGACCTGCAAAACATATGCGCATCAATATCGTGCTCTTTCAGAGGGGACTTCGAAGGCCAGGTCGAGGAGACGGCGTACTTTGGTTGGCACGCTTGCCGAAGGACTCGTGCAAACGGTATGTGACCTTCTCGAAACAGGTTGCAGGTAGTTGTTCGTCGTTGGGTCCGACTACGTAGACTTCGATGCTCCATTCGCGCATGGGGAAACCCTCGACTTCTGAGGGGACATCAGGCCTATCGGCGAAACAATACTTGTCAGATGGCTTCTTTCATTGAGACGTCGAGGACAGTTCATAGTGACTTACAANGACGTGCTGCTCGGTGACGAGCTTGATCTGGCGTTTAATCTGTATGCGCGTCAGTACCTGGGCAGGCTGACAGAGGCGGAAGTGGGCGTACGTCAGGCATCGTGAGACTTTGATGGAGACTGCAAACGGAGGGGGATTTGACGCGACGACGTAAGTATACAAGGCACTAGAATGCAAGCACAGCAATGTACAAGCAGCAGCGATGTTCAATGTAAGAAGGACCCGCTGCTTTTGCGCCGACGCCGACGCGACAGCTGAGCGTGTCGTAAAGTTCGCGGGGATGTACCGCCTTTGCGGCAGAATGACGACGTCACTCTAAGGTGCTTCACAGCATCTTGTCTTGACTCTTTCACACATGTGACCGAGACGCAGGAGGTCAGAGAACGTAGATACATTAACCATCATGTGCTCTATCTAGATGAAGGCGCTAACGAGACTTGGGGAAACATTCATCATCATCTCAAAGCCGTCACCGAGAGGACAGGGGATATGGGGAGGAGGGGTGCAGTGCCAAACGCCCAGAATGCTGAATGCAAGATGCGTCTCGGTGCCTTCTTCAGGCATACGTGGTGATGTGGGTGAGGAAGGTGCAGCATGTGCTTGGGATAGGGGTTTTGGGATTCTGGGCCTGGCTACTGCTTGGTGGGTGCACAAATGGCGGCGTGGTCATGCTGGTGCTGTAACGACAATCTAGTCAGACTTGCTGAAAAGAGCCTCGTTCTCCTGCTGGGCCTTGATGAAGGCCTCCTTGAACAGGTTGGCGTCTGCAGATGTGTTAGCATATGTGTTCCTGGTCAGCAGACGTGGAGCATCAAACTCACTCTCGCTGTTGCCGAAACGGATGGCAAGGGTCTGAGCCTCGGGCTCGCCCTCAGAAACATCGGCCGAAGCGTTCCAGACCCACGAGCGGTCGCTGCCGACGTTGGGGGAGAGCTTCATGTCGGGGACAACGTAGTGGTTGGCGCAGACCTTCAGGGTCTTGTCACGGCGCATGACAAGTCTGGTTCTGCCGTTCTCCTTGTGCTTGAGCAGGCGGACCTCGCCGGTACCACGCTCCTTCCACTCTCTGCTGTCGCGGTCGAACTTGAAGAGCTTGGCGCGCATCTTGAAGGTCTGCTCCTCGCTCTCCTCGTGTGTCTTGGTGTCGACTTTCTCGGTAAGGTGGACAACGGGCTCGAAGTGAACGTCGGGCTCCTTGTCGTCAACCTCGTCCTCCTGTTGGGCTTGTATCAGCACTCGTGTCGAACTCCAACTATGCAGACGGGGGTGAAGATGAACTCACCTCGTCAGCGGTCTTTGCGGCGGTTGCCTTGGAGCTTCCACTGGGCTCATCGGCGCCCTCGTCCTTCTCGTCGGCCTTCTCCTTCTTGGGGCCACCGCCGAACATGCTGAAAACATTGTCCTTGACGGCGGAGGCGGCAGCGGCGGCGGTCTCGGTGGCTTGCTCGGTGACGGTCTTGGTCTCATCAGACTTGGGAGCGTCGGCGGCGACGTCCTTGGGCTTGTTCTCGGCTTCAGACATGATGAAGGTATATTCTGATGCGATGGAGGTGTAGTGAGTGTGCCTGGGTTGGGCAGTGAGATGTTCAAACAGATTGTTTGGAAAGCCAGCGGGGCAAGCACAGAAGATTGATTTCCTTGGCCAAGAACCTAAAACAGCCCTCTTTGTTTCGCAACCGTTGCCAACGTCTGCCCCTGGCGCGCAATCGCTCGTGCTGCGTCACTGCCCTCGGGCTGCTACTCTTCCGACGAGTCCGCAGTTTACACCTTTCGACATTATTTGATTACGTCCGTCGCAACCGTTGTTCAGCCCTTCCAAACATCTCACCACCCCTTCGGCCAACACCATGATCACCCTCGGTCCTCCTTCCTAAGCTGGCTTATATTCACTTGACAAACAACATGGCGCCGTCCTCATCCGTGGGCTCCGATGTCTTTGCTGTGCTCGCCCTACTGTCCATTTCAGCAACTGTTGTTCTCCTCCTTCGATACTACCTTCCTCTACGGACAACTCCCGCCTATCTCCTGATTCCTGTGTTCTTGGCTCTGGCTCTTCCATCCTCCATAGTCTTCCTGGTACCCATCGACTTGGCTTCGTCTTCTGGTACCGATACCGATGGCCAAAGAGGAATATGGCTGCCCAACAATGTCATGCTGGTTGCTTGGAGGCTAGCATACTGGCTCACCTTTTGTCTGACATGGTTCGTCAACTCAGCTACCCATCTTCAATATACTCGAGCTAAAACATCTCACCTAGGNTTTGTACTTCCTCTGCTCGGCGAGTATTGTGACTCGGGATACCGAGAACCAAAGGACCGCTTCATATACTCTCTCCGATCCAACGCCCGCTATCAGCTCATCACACTGTCCCTCGGAACCGCTGGCGCCATCTACTTCTTTTGGCAGAATCGCCATGACCATACTACAAATAAAGCTACGACCCTCAAGGCACTAGTCATGGCCATGGCATATGCCTATGGTCTGGTTCTGGCCATCTACCTTATGGGCCACGGACTCGTCGCCATACCACGCCGTCTGATCAGGGATGCCAGCGTCAGTGCTCGATTGAAGAGGCTTCAGAGCCATGCGCCGGGCATACACGACAAGCTGGATGAGGCTATTGAGGATCTACACAAAGTCGAAACTCAAGTCCTCCAACTACGCCAGCGGAAAAACACAATACCCAGGGACCTACAAGATTGGGTGGAAGAACTTTATGATATGTCTAGTCTGCCCGAATCGCGCCCTGCTGTTACTCATGCATCTGTACCCGCACCCCCACCCGTCGTGACGGAACGATATCTGGCAGAACTGTCTCGAAAAGTAAAGCGTGCGAGGCACAAGCGTGCACGCTTCACTGGCGAGTGGAACCATCTCGTTAGGCAGGCTGCCAGGTTCCAATCGCTCATCGACTTCCCTTCGTCACAGCGCCCGAAAGCAGCAAACATGCGTTATCATGTCCAGGTCCATGTCTTGCCTACTCTGCGTGCTATTGCGGGCGTTTTCCTAGCTTGCGCATCTATCGGTCTGCTCTGGTCAGAGGTGGTGCACGAGATGGAGCCAAAGCTTTCCTTGGTTGGAATGAGCGTTGTGCATCATCCATCGAGCTCTCGAGGTCAGATCGGTTTCGCCGGTCAGATGATTTCCGCTGCGTGGTTGCTATACATGTGTGCTGCAGCTTTGTACTCTGTAACGGAAGTCAAGGTCTGGGGCAATCGTGCACTCGTACGTCGCCAGACATACGCTGAGAGCGCATGTTGGTATAGCTTGCAGGTTGCTAAGCTCACAGTTCCCTTGAGCTTCAACTTCATCACCATGATCGACCCGACCATCAGCGAAGGTACCACCTTCTACGGGTTTCTCGGGCGCTTGATCAACCTCACACCCGTCATTGGCAACTTCTCGGCCTATTTCCCAATTGTTGTCCTAATCCCAGTCGTCGCGACCCTCTTCAACCTCTATGGCAAGGTCAAGAATGTGATCGGCTTCGGCGTGATTGAAGACGAACACGATGAGCAGGGAGCAGGCACTTGGCGTGAGGGTCGCATTCTCATCGAACGTGAGCTACAGGCCGATGGCTCACAACTGAACTTGGCTTCTTCGAGTCTGCTGTCTTCAGCTGAACCATCACCACGCCATAGCGCCGATCTCAACCGACCGTCAAGACTGAATAACAACAATGGCCGCCCCTCTGCAGCGAGAAGAGCTGCTGCGCGAATGCCCGAGGAGGACGAAGACACGAGCGACAGAGCGTTCTTCCAAGATGTCGGCCAGCGCATGCGCAACACGTTTGACACAGTCGAAACACCGGCCTGGCTCCGGGAGATCGGAGAGGTTATTAAGAAGCCCAGGTGGATGAACGGAGGCAATGAAGATGGTGCTCAAAGCTCAGAAGAAGGGGGTAACTTCTTTGGCAAGCTGTTTGGCGGTAGCAGTAGTGACAATGGTAATATTAGGTTGTAGCTTTAGACCAAGGTGTGTATGTTTACTTGATTTTAGCAAGGTGTTGGGGTTATTATGGGTAGACACCTCGCACATGCTGCTTGAGCGTGCGGAATTATACTCCATTTCATACTCGTAATCTTTGAGGAACAACAACTATGTTTGTCAATGTTTGCAATGAAATGTTCGTGCCAAATCTATGGACTTTCTGATATGTCTGAAGTCTATCGGCCATTGAACTGTGGGTATATACACTAGATCACCATGGTCTCTACCGAACCAACAGGTCGACCAGCAAATCCTACAAAGCCATCGACTACAGCCTTTCTCGTGGGTTCCGAGCTGACGTTCTTGCCTGCCAGATAACCCATCCAGATCAGCCTGCTGATTCTGGGGTCCTCGACTTTACCGACTCTCTCGATACCAGTGCCCTTGGCTGGGTCCTCGAACAGCACTTCCATAGAGCCAGGAGCATCTCTCAGCATCAGTACGACAGAGCCCTTTGGTGTGCGGCCACCGCTGAACATGCCCTTGAAATCGCGCATGGCGTCGCCGAATGACTCGTTCTCGTAGTCCGAGGTAATAATTGCTGGGTTCTGTTGCTTGACTCTGTTGATCTCGGTGGTGGCGCGCTTGATTCCATTGACCCAGCCATCGCGCAGATGGGCAAAGTCGGTGTTTTTCGAAGGGACGACACGCCAGGCGGAACGGATGCCTTCTTCGCGCAGCATCTGCTCCCAGATCTCGATACTGGTGTCGGGATCGAGCATGCGCTGCTTGAGGCCGTCTTTCTCGCCCGGCACTAGGGTAGAAGCGTTGGGGTTAATCAGGTGAATGAGACGAGCTTGCAGAGTGGAAACATCCTGGGTACGGACGTAGAGACCCATGACATAAACTTCGATGGATAAGAAAGAGACAGTGCGGATACCGAGGCCGACCAAGGTGTACTCTTCCTGGTTTTGCACGTTTCCAGGGTTGATGCGCGAGTTTGGTTGGGCAGTTTCCGATCTGGCGGTCTTTGAGCCAGGGATAGGCAGGAAGATCTTGCGAGGGAAGTAGGGCACGCTGCCGCTGCCCGTCTTTACCAGGTCCAGTTCTTGGTCACCTTCGGCTACAATTCTCTTGTCGTCACCGGCGCCGATGATATGTACGTGGCGGCCTTGGAAGTCTTCCGAACCGGGACCAGCATCTAATTGGGCCTTCTTCTTGTTGGCACTCTTTTCCAACTCATCCAGGTCGAGGTTGTAGATGGTAAGGGCGAGACCACCAACACTCATGAGCAGACCGACGGCGGCGAATCGCATACGCCGCATGGCATGTGAACGTTTGGCCTCGAACTCGCGGCGGGCGGCGAGTTCGTCCAGCGGGTTGACCGGACGGGCTTCTACATCTTCAGCGTCGACGACCTGTTGCTGGTCGAGAAAGGAAGGAGCTCTGGCCGAGAGGGTCGCGCCTGATGCACGAGCTGCGGGATTGCTGTATCTTGACGAGTAGCGAGTTTGCGCCAAGGGCGACTTGAGACGAGGGTTCTGAAGAATGTATCTGGATCTGGCCGAGAGCAGTCGCATCGCGGACCGGCAAGGGGTGGCCATTGTGCTGCTGGACATGGTTGTGATGTTCAAAGGTCAGGTGTGTTTCAACATGGCAATGTTCATGATGGCATTCGCTCTCGCCAAGCCACCTCGAGCTCTCCGCCCTTCCTCTTCCTCTCTACCGAAACATAGGACTGTGCAGTGAAAAAGGCATTATGCATGCGTATTCTTTGCATGAAAAGCTGCATATCACCTATTACTTGGCTCAGATCTATGCAGCTTTCGCTATGTATCAGCGACTGCGTGCCGGAGAATACTTTATTGTAGCGATAGTGAGCGGCTTCTAGAAATATGGAATCAGAAACAAACAGCACGTCATTTTGCCCGAGGAACGAGTGCCCGCTTTGTAAGCTCTCTCATTCCAATAAAGCAAGCCAGACACCCCTCTCGCCATACCTACCATCAATCCACTACTACAAACAACGACTCCGGTCCCTCGCAAATCGCCCACCATTAACTTCGTACGAAGCTTCTTCACACGCGCGACCAGTCCCGCCAGCATGTCGTCAGCAAAGGCCAAGGCACAGAACATCATCGACCAGAACGGCGTTGGTACGCGACTCCCTTCACCACAACAGCATTTGTGGCCGAAATGCTGACTCTCTGCAGCCGTCTTCTCCAAGTCGTACTGCCCCTACTGCAAGGCCACCAAGGAGCTTTTGTCCAAGTCCGGCGCCAAGTTCTACGCCCTTGAACTCGACCAGATCGGTAAGTCGCCCTGCCTGTTGTGCCAGTCAGCTCATTGAACCCGGCCACTAACAAGTTGTCTGCGCNNAGATGACGGTGCCGACATCCAGAACGCCCTCGCCGAGATGACCAGCCAGCGCAGCGTGCCCAACATCTTCATCAACAAGGAGCACATTGGCGGCAACTCGGACATCCAGGCCCTCAAGAAGGACGACCTCAAGAGCAAGCTCACCGCTGCCAGCGCCTTGTAAGCAAGCGATATTGGAGCCATTATGATATCACGATAGATACCAAGCGCAATACATGCATGCGTTACAAAGCTTGAGATGTTGACAATTGACATGTGCTTATGTCCACAATGACCGAGGCGTGAGCACGCTAAAGTGCGCCCTGTTGTTTGGAGAAAACATGTTGCACTGCTGCTCCTAGACGTGCAAAGATACCATGGGTGACCGCTCGAATCGCGGGCTCCTGAAACATGGAAAGAGGTAAAGAATCACACGGTAGTAGTATGTGGCCACTGCCGCGATGGCACCCGACCATCCAGAGAAGGTACGTATTCTGGACACGATAGGCGGCTAGCACGAAGGAGATGACGATGATCAGACCGACCAATGTTGGTCAGAGAGCAGCGGATGGGTGCGCGGTCGGAGGTCAGTATGCCCGACAGAGATGAAAAGCGCACATGATGCAGACCATGTCGCATTCAAATGCATGCGCGATAGCTGAACTGCATCAATGGAAACACGCCATGGGGGTTGCCCGCAATGGCCGGCGGTAAAGCATGGGATTGGCTGCACCACGTCTGCGCCTCTCTATCGATTGACAGCCAACCGGTCAGCCAGTTCGCCTTTTGCCCTTTTGATGTTTAGAAAGCCTTCCTGCCCTCTCTCTCCAACAGTGGCTGTGTACACACCAAAGACATAATTGGAAACAAGTTGAAGTGAGTCGTCCCCCAGCGGCAGAATGATGCGTCGGCTTCGGGGTCTGCTCTAGCGCTAGTTAGAGACCCCAATGTCGTAGCTTCCCTCCTTGAGTACCTGCCAAGTCTTGAATTGGACTGACTCGATCCGCTGGTCAAGTCGAGACATCCCATCTGAATTCTGCTCGGAATCCACAACAAGTCGCTCTATCCCTCCTCTCGGCCTCGTTCGCCCAAACCCCTCGCCGCGCGTCGCTCCCACGACCCTCCCTTCCACCCAGCATACCCCCCGCTTTAGGAACGCGGATACCTGCCCGTCGTGGCCGACCATCAAGAGACTCCATCTACGCCCCCGCCGTCCTCGTCGGGTGTCTTGCGGCCGCCCGTCGGTTCGGTCGACATGGCCTCGCCGGCACCACTCCTGAGACCGCCAATCCCCGGTAGCAGGAACACGAGTGCCTCACGCACACCCAAGCTCGGCTTGGCCATCCCGCTCCTCCCCCAAATGCCAGGCCACTCAACGCTACCAACTCACATGCCGTGCCGCCTTTGCAAATACCGCCTCGTCAGGCTCCTCCGAAACTGNAGTCTGGCCACGCCCATGGGAAGTCATGGGGTCCCTCAAGAAACTGGTCGGGCCGCAAGAGGAAAACTGCCCCCATTACAAGTGACTGGACTTTCAACAGCACAGAGTTTTGGGGGTAGTAGCGATGAAAGTGCTCGTTCAAGATCCAACAGCAACGGAGCGAGCAACAATTATTCTACCTCCACCACTGCTTCTTCATATTCGGCCTCACTGGCTGGGTTGATTGGTGGTCAATCCAACTCACAGGACCCTCTTTCTGCCGCTGGCTCGTTATACTCGGCATCGTCTGCTGGCGGACTTTGCGGTGCTGCCATGGAACGAGATGGCAGCATGCAAGGAGCAATATTACCTGATCTGGAGAAACTGAGTCTGGAAAAGGGAAGAGCGCTTGACGTTGAGGATCTGGATGACGCTGGCTGGAAAGTGGCTGCTAAGGAGAACAGAATCGTGGAGCTTGGGAGCCTTGGAGAGGGTGCAGGAGGTGCCGTCAACAGGTGTATACTCAAAGGTGGAAAGACAGTATTCGCCTTGAAGGTTTGTGTCTTGATTGCGGACTGCAGTACCGGCAGCTGACCAGTTGCCCAGATCATCACCACGGACCCTAATCCGGACGTGAAGAAACAGATTGTACGCGAACTCTCGTTCAACAAGAACTGCGCATCTTCGCACATCTGCCGCTACTATGGTGCATTCATCGATGAGACCCACGGCACCATCGGAATCAGTATGGAATACTGTGAGGGTGGTTCTCTAGACTCGGTATATCGTGAAGTCAAGAAGCTGGGCGGTCGGACAGGCGAGAAGGTTCTGGGCAAAGTGGCCGAGGGTGTGCTCAACGGGCTCACCTATCTACACAGTCACCGCATCATCCATCGCGACATCAAGCCATCCAACATCTTACTCACTCGGTCCGGCGAGGTGAAACTATGCGACTTTGGCGTGTCTGGTGAATTCGGCACCAAAGGTGACGCGAACACTTTCATTGGAACTTCATATTACATGGCGCCCGAACGTATCACTGGCCAAAGCTACACAATCACTTCCGACGTATGGAGTTTGGGTGTCACACTACTCGAGGTAGCGCAACACAGGTTCCCCTTCCCGGCTGACGGGACGGACGAGACGGAGCTACAACCCAGGGCCGGACTTATCGATCTTCTGACCTATATCGTCTCGCAGCCCATCCCGAAGCTCAAAGATGAGATTGGTACGCCCGACGGACAGGACATCCGATGGAGTGAAAACTTCAAATATTTCATCGAGTGCAGGTAAGTTCTGAAAATTTGTGCTACATATGCGACCAAGCTGACTAAGATTGANTGCAGTCTAGAAAAGGAGCCCAACCGCCGAGCGACACCCTGGCGGATGCTGGAACATCCGTGGATGCTGGAAATTAAATCCAAGCGAGTCAACATGGCTTCGTTCCTCAAGAGAGTCTGGGACTGGTCCGATTAAAACGCATACAACTGATTTTCGACAATGGTTAAGCAGAAAGAGAAGGGTATTGGCAAACAAGTGATTCGACTTGGTCTGTTGTCGCATGACAATCCATCTCGATCTATGCAATGATTGGTGCTTTTTCCTCCATCGAGGTTTCTGTTTCTTGTCATCTGCCCCTTTCTTGTTACCGATTTTGTTGCATTGGGATGGCGCTTGAACATTTTCCTTTTCTGGTTCTCGAGCGGGGTCATTTCTGTCTCGATTTCTTTTTCACACACTTCGGTTTTCGTTGATTCAGTACACAAATTCCTCTGCATATAGCGAGTACCCTCATTTTAATCTTCAGGCTATAGAAAGCACAATCCATCGAATCTCTGAGTAGAAGGTTGTTTCGATATTAAATGTGTACGAATGATGAATTTCAGATGAGTGGTTAGATCAAAGAGTCGAATCTTTTTCATTCCACAGAGGTCATTTCCATCCAAAGGTCTACAGTGGCGGACGGAAAAAAAGGTCAAACGCCATTATCGTATTTCGTTTTGGTGTGCCCCTCAAAGCAAAATAGGAATGGGGAGGAAAGAAGAATGCTATACAGGGTCAAGGAGAAGGCGACGAGAACATGTCTAGTCTTCCCACTCCTCATCCAATTGGTCGATTAGTCTGTTCTCGTCGTCTGAATTTGAACGGCCGCGTCTTCCGGCGCTGGAACCATTGTTGAAGTTGCTGCCTACACGGTTGTAACCTTTGCGGCCAGGCATGAAGCGGGCGCATGAAGAGAAGAGGATGACAAACATGTCCTAAGAAAGCGTGGGTCAGTATCTGGACATTCATGAGGTAGAGTTGAGCCAAGGGCTTACCGAGACAAAACTGGCAATGCCTGCCCAAAGCGAGTAGTTGGGCAATTGTCTCCAACCTCTCTGGTGCATGACGGTGCGTTGGTACACGCAACCACCAACGACGTATACTATGATGGCGATCAAGGCGATGACGCCGAAAACGCCGCTGGGGCCGAGCTGTTGTTTGGCAACCTCGATGCCTCCGCAGGCTGCCGAGGAGCGGGCTTCGAAGATGTAGGTGCAGCTATCAGGGGAGGCGACAAAGGAGACGGTGTTTAGAGGGGCCAGAGGATCGGTGTTGCAGAGTAGAGAGATGATTGTGTTCTTGCGACGGGTGAGGTGGGTCGAGGGCTCCTTGCTGCCTCCCTTTCTGCTCTTCTTGTCATCGTCGTCCGTGTCCTTGTCCTTATGGTCCTTGTTGTCCTTGTCGTCGTCGTCATCATCGTCATCGTCACCAATGATTCCGCGTGCGCTGAGGGAGGATACAGGGGTGTCCGGACATGGTGATCCATCAGTGTAGTTCAAGACGAGCTTGCGACCGCGGAAGACGGGCTCGGAGCTTTGTTGGCTGTTGTGAAGTCGTTAGCGACGTAGTAAGAGCAAGTCTCGAGGAGGAGCATCTCACCCTATGCTGTATGTCTTGCCGTCCAACATGTAGAATGCGCTGACATTCTGCCACCTCGCCTCATCAACACCAACAACGTTTGTAAGATTCTCGACTACAGGACCGCAGAAGTTGAGGGTAAAGTTGGCGCCGTAGTCGTAGCCACGAGCAGACCAGGACTCGTTTCGCGCATCCTTGCTCGCTTTCTTAGGGTCCTCGGGTAGGATGACGTGTAGAGGGTTGAGGTCGAAGAAGGCGCCGGATGTTGGTGAGCGGATGGTGCAGGGTACGTGGTTCTCCTTCTTGCCCTTGGGGTCGTCGGAAGAGGCAGCACCGAGGGCGACGGGCAGCCCAAATGCCAGTAGATGGTACAAGATGGAAGAGTGCATGGCCGGGTGTGAGTGGTTGGGTAGAGATATGGTCGCAGAACTGCAGGACAGTTGTACAGGGCTTGGAGGATGCGTACCTCGACAAGCCCCATCCCGTCATCAAGCCCCGAGCCCCCATTCGGGCTAGATGCCGCCTGGGGTTCGGATCTGGCTGCCGAGGGCTCAGCCGATCGGAATCGTACCATGTCATTAAATTCAATCGAACCATGTCATTATTGTCGAATTTCTATGTTTATATTTTGATGTTTCGCCTTCGCTCTCTTTCCCCATCCCCCACCATACCCCCTGCGCGATAATGGCTGTGAAGAACCAAGCTCACGGCTACGAGTTTGGCGGNCCCGTAAGTCTTCCCCCCTTGGAATATATTCTTTCGAGGCAGTCCGCTAACACTCATCCTAGTCTGGGCGCCATTGGCATCTCGTTCGTGCTGCCCCTCGTCTGCTACATATTCGCTTTCCTCCTCAACGATGTTTCCGGCTGCCCTCCTCCATCATTGACCGATCCTTCCACCCTCACACTCGACAAACTCAAGCAAGAAGTCGGATGGCCTGGCTTCGCTGGACTCCTCAACACCCAATCTGTTGTCGCAACCCTTGGCTACTACACTCTCAGTCTGGCTCTCCAGACCTTCCTGCCCGCTCATGAGGTTCAAGGCGTTGTCCTGGCCTCTGGTGGCCGTCTGAACTACCGCTTCAACTCGTTCGCCTCGGCCATGTTCATCCTCACAATCGCCGCCGCCGGTACCTTCCTCCAGGGCGCCGACTTTCCTCTATGGACTTTCATCAACCAAAACTACATCCAGATTCTGACCACCAACATCCTCATTGGCTACTTCCTGGCCACCTTCTGCTACGTTCGCTCCTTCTCTGTCAAGCCCAACGACCCCGACAACCGCGAACTCGCTCAGGGAGGCGCTACCGGCAACATGATCTATGACTGGTTCATCGGAAGGGAGCTCAACCCTCGCGTACAACTCCCCATCTTTGGCGAGGTCGACATCAAGGCTTTCATGGAGCTGAGACCTGGTCTTCTCGGCTGGGTCTTGCTTGATCTGGCCTTTGCTGCTCGTCAATACGGTACTTACGGCACTGTGACCGATTCCATGTACATTGTCGTCGGTACTCAGGCCTGGTACGTCCTCGACGCTCTGTGGAACGAGCCCGCCATCATGACCACCATGGACATCACCACCGACGGTTTCGGCTGCATGCTTGCCTTTGGCGATCTCGTCTGGGTTCCTTTCATCTACAGCATTCAGGCTCGCTACCTCTCCATCCACGCCGTCCAGCTCGGTTGGGCAAAGGTCGCCTTTATCATGGCCATCCAATTGACTGGCTACTACATCTTCCGCTCTAGCAATGGCGAGAAGAACAAGTTCAGGACCAACCCCAATCACCCCGATGTCAAGCACCTCGAATACATCGAGACTGCCCGCGGAACCCGTCTCTTGACCTCTGGCTGGTGGGGCACCGCTCGTCACATCAACTACCTCGGCGATTGGGTCATGTCGTGGGCATACTGCCTTCCTACATGGCTCTCCGGTTACGTTGTGCACACCGTTGCTCTCACTGGCGACAAGATCATCAGCCAAGGACCCAACGGCGAGATGGCTGGCTGGGGCACNCCCGTCACCTACTTCTACATGCTCTACTTCGGCGTCCTCCTCATTCACCGTGAGCGCAGAGACGACGGCCACTGCCGTGCCAAATACGCCAACGACTGGGACCGCTACTGCTCCATCGTCAAATGGAAGATCCTGCCAGGTGTTTACTAGATTTTGCTGTTTCTTGCGAGAATAGACGGGAAGAAGAGAGATAGCTCTTGCTCACGCAAACATGGGATATATTATAAAGTCAAAATCAAGTCGAACATTTAGAGACAGACTCACATTTTTTCGCTACAAGTGATCGACCCCCACTGACTATCAACGTCTATCACAACATAGGGCGGCGTCTTCAATAAAGCTACAAGAATACAAAACGATATTCAGGCAGCAAAGGCATCCGGGAAGGCTTTTCTCTGGATGTCGGTCCCTCTACAGAATTCTGTGCAGCTGAAATGTGATATCTTGTTGGAAAAACCGAGATGGAGAACTAGTCTGAACGATCGTGCATTTTGATATCGTGTCTATAGCACTTTCTGTATAATCGTACTCTGACATAAGCGAACGTGAAAAGTCATAATGCATGTTAAACTGCGCCCCCTAACCACAACCCAACCAACCCCAAACCAAAGACCAAACAATAGGCCCACAGACCAAGCAAGATGCAGTTGTCTCCAGTCACATTGCCATGTCCAAGCAACTGTGTGATAGCGGCGGGAAGGTCACCAATCTATCCGAGCTTCTTGCTCGCAAACTCGTTGGCCTTGGTAGCCATGTCGCCGACTTGAGAAGCAACGCCCTTGAACCATGCCTTTGCAGTGCCGGTGGTGGGACTGCCAAAGCCGTCGTCTTCGCCAGTGATCCATTCGCTGATGCTGTTGCGACCGGACTTGCGGCCTCTTTCTGCTGCCTCTGCGGCTTCGAGGCTGGCGCGCTGGGCAGAGGTCATTTCGGCAGCGTAGGGGTTTTGCTGGTAGCCTGGTGGGTGGGTGGAGATGCTTTGGGGTCGGCTGTGCATTGTCGGTGACANCGGGGCCCATGGGCAGTGTCACTGGGCGGCGGGTAGGTGAGGCTGGGCTGGCTGCTGATGTAGTGTGGGTGGGTAGGCCGCTCGTCGTGGGTGGTGGGATGTTGAGTTGATGTGGCATGGGTTNNGTGCTCTGGGAGCGGCTGGACTCGTGGGGTCGTAGGCATTGGATCGTGTGGATGACGAGAAAGGCATGGGAACAGCTCCAGGCTGAGGAGGTGGTGGACCATCATGCTGGAGACTTGTAGAGATGGTACTGGTAGGTGGTGGAGGAGGTCTCGACACGCTGCCGGTGGGTGCGGGACCGGCTGCGGCACCAGGTTGGGCAGCTGGGTAGCTATTGTTGGTCGTGGAAGTTGTAGTCGCTGGCAGATCGGTTGTCCGGGTTGGAGGAGGTGCCGTCTGAGGAGTTGGACCGTCTGCTTTGGCTGCTGCCGAGATGGGCGCATCGGCATAGATTGGAATGGGTGGCATGGTTGTCGTGAGTGTATTGTTGTTCGTGAATAGCTGTAGGAATACGTGTGGTCATGTCTGCATTGGGTTACGCCTTCTGTTGTCGTTCCTTTGTGCATTCCAAAAGTTGATCATGTGACATGGTGACGTTGGTGACGCCTATCTGCCAGCTGTATGGCTTTCTTCCACATGCCAGCTGGCAGCCTATGAGGGAACGCGACGAGCAGTGCCTACCCGTTGCGTTAAAAGTAGACAAGACGTGTGGTCAGTGTTTTGTTTGCTTCTTTAGCAGCATCGTCGTGTGGATAGACTACCTGCAGCTCAGGAAGCAACCACCGAAACAGCAACAAAGACATCACTTTTGCGACGAGAGATCAATGGAACAGAGGTCATGATCAAAAGAAAACGCCTGAAATTTATTTGTGATACATGAGGAAAGACGAGAACAGGCTGGTATATTCGAAACCGCCCCAGAAAACATCATTTCCCAAACTCCCCTTCTCATCGCCAGGCCGATTGAGCCGCTTTTGAGTTGGAGCTGTCCTCCATCGGCAGACAGGTAATACATCGTTCGTTCTTCATCCCCTATGCTTTGCTCTGAGTGATTGGCGAAGAGAGCATTTAACCGGAACCACCCTTGAACTTCTTGCCGAAGAGGATGAGCTGGACCTGGTCGTAGATGGACAGGACACCGGCACCGGCAACACCACGGAGGATGTTGGCACCAGCACCCTTGAAGAGAGACTTAACACCCTCAGCGGCGACGATCTTGCGGGCAGCGTCGAGGGTACCGTTGTACTTGACGGCCTCACCGGAGGTCATCATCATACGACGGCGGATAGTGTCAAGAGGGTAAGAGGCGATACCAGCACCAGTGGTGACAGACCAACCGAGGAGGAAAGAGGCGAGGAAGTTGCCCTCGAGGTTACCAGTGAGGAGGACGGGCTTGAGCGAGTCGTACATACCGAAGTACAGACCACGGTAGACGATGATACCAGCGACGGAGGGCATGAAACCACGGTAGAGACCGGCAATACCGTCAGAAGCGAGGGTCTTCTTGTAGACATCGACCAGGCCGTTGAACTGGCGCTCACCAGAGCCCTTGGAGGACTTGGCGTCGTTGGCAAGACGGGTACGGGCGTAGTCGAGGGAGTAGACGAAGGCGAGGGAAGTGGCACCGGCAGNCCTGAATGATGGTCAGTAAGAGGCAGAGATGGCAAGGCAAGAGTGTTTAGAACGTACACCACCGGAGGCAAGGTTGCCCATCATCCACTTGGTGTAACCGTCACGCTCCTTCTTGTAGGCGAACATGGACTTGTAGGTGTCGCGGAAAGCGAAGTTCAAGGCCTGGGTGGGGAAGTAACGGATGACGTTGGCAGTGTTACCACGCCAGAGGGAGACGATACCCTCATCGGCGGTGGTGCGCTTGAAGCAGTCACCAATGCCGGCGTACTTGTGGGAGAGACGGCCAGCCTTAAGCATCTCATCCTGGTTCTGGATGAGGAGCTTGATACGCTCAATGGGGGCAGCAGCGGTCTTCGAGACGGCGGCGGAAACACCACNCATCAAGAAGTCGACAACGAAGCCCTGTAGATATTGTTAGTGGCTGCGTGGAAATGCCAGATAAGCTTGCCACTGCGCACAGCGCGAATCCGATGAGTGCGCGTTCACCGCAATCCTTCGACAGATGATCCATGCATTGATAGCTCTGAGCTCGATGAGCTTGTAGCTGGATGCAGCGATCTGTCGAGGTTTTCGTTTGTGAAGTGCGCGGTCTCAACGAATTCGCACGGCGAGCGACAGCTGGATGGTGCAACTTACGGGCATGCCGAAGACGCTCTTGTCAGCCTGGTTAGCCATTTTGATATCTTTTTGAATGAAAATAAAACAAAAAGAGAGGAGAGGATGGAGAAAGGGAAGAAATTGGATGGAAGACGCAGCTTCAAATAAGAAGGGGGCCGGCTAAGAATTTTTAGCGCACTAAGCGGCACGAATCGGAAGGAGCTCGGGAAATTCACGCACCTTCCCCAACTTCAACACTTCTTGCCTTCACCTGGAAGAGTCGATTCCTCAACACCAACAGTTCACTTCATATTTGCTTTTCCCGTCCCTCGAATGGTTCTCCTTTCAGTTCCCCTGAGTCCCATATATGGACTCGAACAACAGCTTCACGTCACTTTGTCAAGTCTGCATTCATGGTGTTTTCCAGAAGCTGGAGATCTGCACTTATCTTCAGCTGCGGCAAGCAGGTAATAAATAATTGCGAATTCTTCCGTGGCAACCTCTTCCTTGCCAGCGCTGAGCCTGATGTATACCACTCTCATATTATCATCATCGTACACTCACTGCCGTCAAGCCCGATCATTATTGTCAGCCGCCGCGTTCGTAGTAAACCATTTTGCATGCTGGAGACTCCTTCACATGAAAGATTCGGAGGCGCGCTCGTGTCCCCAGATTTGATGCTCCACACCTGGCGGTCACAGCTCCTCTTGCCCTTTGGCCCTTGATGATACCGCTTCGAAATGCGTAGACATGCTATGCTTAAAGCACGCGACCTTTAGCACCGAGCAGAGACGGTTGCTTGCCCGTGGCTCGAGCCTTTGGCCCGTCAACCGGCAACCCCAGTGAAATTTGACGAATCGTGCACCGTGCATCGTTCTCCACATGTTGCGCGAAAGAGGCGTTCAACAACGCTTTCTCTCTGGAAACCTTCTCCAGTCCAACCACCAACAGAACGCACAACAGACAACGAGACAAGTTCTGCCTCATGGATACCTATCTAGAGAGCCCGAGGGTATCTGCGATTTTCAGCGAGATAATCAGGTCTCGAGACGATCTTCAAAGACCAATCTGCAACCAATCTCCGTCTGAAAGCTGAATGGGACACTACTTTGTAAACCATTTATAACATATGGATATACCTTTCTCTCGGCATGTACGCTATTCGTAAGGTTCTTCACAGTCGTCTTCTCGAGCTTCGAGGCTTCAGGGCTCTTCATCGTATGGACCGCCTGGAATGCAGGTATGTGATGAAGTAGATTCAGTCATGCCGTGAGGATCTCAAGAGTGTCGACTGTCTGTGACGGACACCAAAATCTCTGTGAGCTCAGTAGCTCTGAAACCCCTTGGGTTGGACAGACTTTGACGTTGATTCGCGTCCGTCCCTTAAATGTGGACGCTCTATATTTCCAAAAGCCCACATCGGAGACTGTACCCATCCTTCGGTCATGCATCTAAATTGTCTGGGGCAACTCAAAGCAAAACCTGTATACCAATCATACTTTCCATCAAGCACCAGAGAAGAAGGAACAAGGTCTTGATGCTGTCGCCAGGTGTGACATACAAGTTGTATATCGAGACCAGGGTTACCACAGTCTCAAGCCTTCGTGCTTCGTGTCCGGGATTGGGTTGTAGATCAACTCGTGGTTGCTTGGCCTGAACAAGCTCTGTTCAGCAGACATCAGAGGCGGACGGCTTAGCATGTTCCAACTCCTGAAGGCATGTTTCGAAGATTTCCCGGTGAGGTCGAGGCTCCACCCAAGTGAAGGGTTTGCAGATTGAATAGGCAACGTCGACAGAGAGCGAGGCTCGGCATGATATAAGCTGGCTGTCATGGGTCTCTAGGTCGGCAATTACTGCCATAGCACGAGTACGAAGGTTTGAGTAGCAGCGAAATAAGAGTCAGCTATTGCTCTGACGGATGGCTCTTCTATTGACTGACCGTTTTTCTTGCGGCTCCCGAGTCGGAGGATTCGAACGGATCAACACGATGTGCCAAGCAAGAAGATATTTTTAGACCACAGCTCATCCACACTTCTTCAATTGGCCGCATTGAGAAGCGAAGCCTGAAGGTTCTCGCCCGGTTCATACATACCACACTCTGCTGGATGAGCAAACTGCCGTATGTGCCGACCTGCCGAGGCGCATCTCTTCCCCAATAGGTTGTTCGTTTGAAGAGTTCCTTTTGCTTTTTGACTTTGTTTGCCCAGAAAGCCCAAGGCCAACTAACCCTTGACGTAGGAGGGGATAAAAGTGGTCTATTCTTGTCCACATCCACTTGCTTGTCCTCGCGCGTATAGGCACAAGCAAAGTCAGGCATCTGGATCGACTTACTCGCTGGCTGACGGACAAGAAGACCGCAGAGATCATCGGCGCCGCTCTTGACCGTCAGCACCGTATCTGTCTCGTAACATCCGGAAACTGTCTCGACTCCATCAATCGAATCCGCGCATTTGCATGACTATTTGGCTCTAGCGTACCCTCGCGTTCGCGGTGTGCACGGCTGTTTCGTATTCTTAAAACCACAAGCCCACCGTCAACGAGCTAGTTGGTCATGTCAATTTGCCTTTCCATTGTTGCTTGCTTACCTTGTCACCTTATCTAAGATGCAAGGTTGGCTTACCCTGTTTCCCGTGGCTTTTCAGATCCTGTACTCCGCCTCCACCTACCAACAACTAAACATTGTATCTACTCGATCCTACTAGTCCACCCACCATTGTCGCATCGCATGCATCACACTCATGAACCGGGATCGAACTCACCAACCTTCTCCATACTGGACATGCTATGCGAAACACCACCATCTATACTGTGACGTAGCTGCAGACTCATGGTCACAGATGGATCCCAATTCAGACTGGTCTCTGCCACGGGATCGCTGGGCAGAGACGGACACAGAAGATGGATACTACAGGAATCAATCACAACACACAAACAACGGACCTGGACAATTATCACAACAATACCATTCACCGCCAATGAATCAATACCATCCACAATTCCGTCACATAAGGCCTCAAATACACTCTCAGAACTCAGTGCCTTCGTTCATGGAGTACCAAGGCAGGGTAGCACCAGTTCAAGATCCCGCACCCCGCTGCATCAGTCAACCAGACTTTCAAGACTTAGAGCGCGAGGAGCAAATATCCCGAACCGGAAACAGCGAGGCTCTACCACCTGTCGACAGGCGATGTAGTGATACCGAGTTTTCAAACGATCTGGACTTGACGCTCTTTGTTGCAGCAACCTCTGGATTTACCCCAGACTCACCTGTACACCGCTCATTCGGAGATGCACCGTCATGGCGCGACCAACAACAACAACAACAACAACAACAACCACGACTAGAATACTCGCAACCGCAACGACGGCCCCAATTCGCACGAGCGCATACCTCGCATATCAACACCATACACGCACAAATACCTGTACCGTCGCATTCTACACCTCATCTGCCAATCAGGCAGCCTCAGCCCAGAAGTTCTGCGTTGACTCGTCAAGGGCCGAATGTATGGCAGGAGCGACTCGAAACGGAACCCTATGCCTGGCAAGCCCACGATTACGGTGACGAACCACCACCAGCAGACGAGCTACCTGATTACGAGCAAAGTCAAGCCGAGATGCAAAACAAGAACCGTCTCGAGGCGAAGCGAAGAGCAGAAGAGTTGCAAAGAAGATGGAGGCAACGACATAGTCGCTAGGGTGCTGAAGAACAAGATGAAGAGAGAAAGGAAGGCAAGGAGGCCTAGAAGCAAGAACCGAAGCAAGAGTGACCTGCATGGCGCAGTATTGGCGTTTTCCCTTGGGTTTGATTATCCTCTCGCTTGGTCACCTTATGATCTGTTTCAATCGATACCCAAAGGCAATAGCATGGAAAGGCTGGGAGCACTGATGCGGCCCCAGCAAGGCGTTACTGGGTTTTTTTCCTTCCTAAGATTTTTTTGTAAAGAGACAGCAACATGTCTATCATGCGATACGAACACAAGATGATGTATATATACACTCAAACCTAACACCTCCTATGCTTCTTTTTCTACAAGGATCATCATGGTCAATGAAGACCCCGCACCAAGCTTTGGCCAACATGATTGCCCTGCAGCGGTTCGAGAACAATTTTCCGCACGCAAACCTCAAGTCATCATCACCTGTCTGTATCCAAGAGACGTAGCGAAAACAAATCTCCCACAATAGAAAAGATGGCAGCCGAAGCTAGCACGCCGAACGAGCCTCAGCCCTCCGCTCTCCAAACCCTCCTCACAACCTCATCCTCCGACTCATCGCACCCTCGGCACCTGACCAACCTCGCTGTCCAGATTGCCCACAACCTCGAGCATCAACATCTGTGGACCGATCTGCGCATCCACGATATCTCTCCCCTCGACTCGACGCCGCTCCCACGACCCATGGTCAGTGGCACGCCGCCACAACGACTGTACATCCACCCAGACGAGCAGATCGCGCTCCTACAGACACAAAAGGCGCAAGGCAAGACTGGACTGGGCGAGGTCAAGGCAGAGAGGGAATGGGTGCTGCCGAGCCACTTGCGTGAAAAGTGGACGCTCAGGCGCTTCGCAGACGTGTTTGAGAAGGTTGGCATTATACCTCCGTCAAACGAGGATGACGACGAGGAAGAAGAGGAAGAACAACAGACGAACAAGTGGAGAACCAAGAAGAGGGTTGTCTTGGCTACAGTGGACGATGATAGCACAATTGTTTACTACATTGTTCACGATGGAATTGTCAAGCCTCGCCAAAACTGAGCTGTCAAACTGTGGAGTGGGGTATGTCTGATTCGGAGCCCATATTGATTGGGCACCATTCTTGACTACATCTACAACAGAACATACAACGCGCACATCTGTCATGAAGGTCAGCAACCATCAAAACCTGGTTCAGGAAAAGGAGGATAGGACTTACCATGCTCAAGCCCAAGATCATACTGCACCAGAACAGGACGTTATTGAGAATGGTTCTGTTGCGAATCCAGGGGCTGCGCTGAACCAAGACTATCGGCATCTGCAACATCATGGCCACGAAGCCGTATCCACGGAACTTGCGTGTGATGCAACCCATGACGAGCTCGTGTGCTATACTAGAGACCAGGAAGGTGATGAAAGTGGCCACGGGACGAGACATGGTGTTGCGAGATGCCGAGTAAACGTGGCGACGGAAGAAGTGATGGACAGGGATGTTCCATTCGCGAGAAAACTCGAGCCAGTCGAGACTGTTCCACCAGTCCGAATAAAATTGTCGATCGGCGAANNACCTAAGAGGCATTAGGAAGTGCTTCTCTATATCACGATCGAAGGCTTCAAACTTACAAGTAATCTCTGCAAAGGCACCGAGGAGATATTCAAAGATGACAAGAAAGACCAGCAAGAAAGCAACCATGAACGGAAAGAGTAGTCTGCTGACCGTCTCTGCAAAGACCAGACTGCCCTCTTGCCAGTTGTGCTGATGTTCTAACCTCTCAGCAGACTCGTCAAGCACCGGAATGATGAACTCTTCGGAAGTTATGGTGAGCAGGAAGATGATGCCGCCTACTGCCAGAGTTTTCCAAAAGATTTCGAGATAGGAACGAGAGCTTGTACGGGGATATTCGAGTTCGTAGCACAGTGTCGGACAGAACAGGAAATCGCAATAATTAGCGACCGTCAGGTTTTGAGGGTAGGTGAGGCGGCCGAAAGGAGAAACCAACTCCATGGCCAAGTCTTCACGCAATTGTGTCAAAGAACCTGCCTGTGTCGTCTCTTCCTCTTTCAATTCTTGGCTGATAACATCGATTGGAGTCTGTGACGAGGGGTACTTGACTGCGGCAGCGGTCGAGGCGTCCGAAGCAGGGTTGTCGAGTGCAGACAGACGTTGTAGGGTGTTGGCGAGATGGCCGTTGTAGAAGGCGTACGAATGCATCTTCATAAACATGACGAGAAGATGCAGAGTGAAGAAGACCTGGGCGGTCCATGTCCAGTCGCGCACAAAGGGCCAAGTGACCCACAGTAATAGCCAAAAGGCCTGGTACAGGATCTGCACGTTCATGCCTTGGTGCTTCCACTGTAGCCAACCCTTGCTGTTTTTGAACAGTTTGTTCAAAGGCAGACTTAGACCCGTGCTAGCGACCATGATCAAGTCTACTATGGCCATCTCGTAGATGTTCTTTGTAAACAAGCCCCATTGGCGCATGCTCAGAGGGAAGCCCGTTTCTTTCAGGTTGCGCAGCATGGTGGTAAGAACCATGATGGTCAAAGCTATCCAGAAGAGGACAAAGAAGCCTCTAAAGTTGGAGTGTTCGGAGCGCGGGTCAAAGTGACTGACACGAGCGGCATATTGTATCCTTGGAAAGGCTCTCTTTTGCTCTGCGCGGACTTGTTTGCGAGCCGACGTGGTTGCCTTGATCGAGGGTGGGGCGTTGGTAGGAGTACTTGGGCCCGGCGTACTTGGAACGCTGGAGGAGTCAGGTAATTTNNGTCGGAGAGGGAGAAAAGCGATCAGGGAGTTGGCGTACCTGGAAGGGGTTGGTGAAGGTGCGGTGGCAACATCTTGGCGGTATGCGCTCAAGGGCTGTGAGTTTGGATGGCGCGGTTTTGGTTGTTGAATGGATATGCCATTTGTGTCGCTGCCAGTTGAAGTTGCCATGGCTGAGGAGTGTCGATATGCAGGCTACTCTAGCTGTCGTGTAATGTATTCAGGAGTCGCGTAGATGCAGGTGTGGCTTCTGCTGAATCGGAGTCCAAGAGCACGAGACAAGCCTGGAACGATGCAAGAAAAGAGATGTAGTAGGTTGCTAGGATGCGGCCATATACAAGAACCAGAAAGAGTTGGAGTGCGTCCGAAGATCAAGCACAAGGCTAGGAAGCGCCGGGACAAACATATGAGATTAGAGAAAATGCGGTGACGTAGCATATAATTTGGCGTGTGATGCGACGGCTACCGACGGAGCGTTTCAAGTGCGCGAAACAACAGGATCGAGTTGCAGCATTCTGTGCTAGCATGCAGTCGCTGAGCAGCAGACAAAAACCATCTCACATGGGTCGGAAACAGCTTGTACACTCATAGCCGGTGACTCGTTGTTGGGTTGAGAATATATCTGTTGTTCGTCTTGGAGTTTCCCTGCCAAAATCGCGGAGAGCTTCACGGGGTCAATATCTAATCTGATCGAGCTCGGAAAGCCTAAAGGAGAGGCACCGCGACCACGCATGCACAACAAAGTCGAGACCATCTTCCAAATCCTCCCACCGTCCATCTGCTCGACTCGACCCGGTCTAGCTTTTGCCGACGACTAGTCTACTCCCACACTGCTCTCTGGGGTCGAAGGGGTCGTCGCCATGAGTTCTCGTGAGCATCAACGACAGCTGCCATCAACAACCCCATACTGACCCGATTGCAGTCAAACAATTCATCCGCAATGTCAGGGCGGCCAAGACGATTGCCGACGAGAGAGCCGTCGTCCAGAAAGAGAGCGCTGCCATCAGAGCCAGCTTCCGTGAAGAGAGCCACAACTCAAACGTCAGGTATCTTGATGCCTCCACCAACCACCGCCCGCCTACCCCTCGCTGACCACTTTACACCAGGCGCAACAACGTCGCAAAGCTCCTCTATCTGTTTACCCTCGGCGAGCGCACCCACTTCGGTCAGATAGAATGTCTCAAGCTGCTGGCCTCCCCTCGCTTTGCCGACAAGCGTCTGGGTTACCTAGGCACCATGCTGCTGCTCGACGAGAACCAGGAGGTCCTCACACTCGTCACAAACTCCTTATCCAAGTACTTGCCCATCTACTGCTGTCTATCCTTTGTCTACTTGCTAACGAGCACCNNCAGTGATCTCAAGCACTCCAACCAGTACATCGTCGGTCTCGCCCTCTGCACTCTCGGCAATATCGCCTCGGTCGAAATGTCGCGCGATCTGTTCCCGGATATCGAAACCATCCTCTCCAGCTCCAACCCATACATTCGACGAAAAGCAGCCCTCTGCGCCATGAGAATATGCCACAAAGTCCCCGATCTACAGGAGCATTTCTACGAAAAGGCCAAGCTACTCCTGACCGACCGAAACCATGGTGTCCTCTTGTGCGGAATGACCCTTCTCGTAAGCTTGTGCGAGGCAGACGAGGAAGAGGGCGGAGAGCAGGGTGTAGTTGAGATGTTCAGACCGCTAGTTCCTACATTGGTCAAGATCCTCAAGGGTCTTTCCAGCTCCGGATATGCACCCGAACACGACGTTACCGGCATTACCGATCCTTTCTTGCAGGTCAAGATCCTCCACCTGTTGCGAGCTCTGGGTCGCGGCGATGTCCAGACGAGCGAACAGATCAACGATATTTTGGCCCAGGTAGCCACAAACACCGACTCTTCCAAGAACGTTGGAAACTCGATTCTCTACGAAGCAGTCCTGACCATTCTGGATATTGAAGCTGATTCTGGTTTGCGCGTCCTCGGTGTCAACATTCTAGGCAAATTCTTGACCAACAAGGATAACAACATCAGATACGTCGCCCTCAACACTCTAATAAAGGTTGTCGCTGTAGAGCCCAATGCAGTGCAACGACACCGTAACACCATCCTGGATTGTCTGCGTGACCCTGATATTAGTATCCGCAGAAGAGCTCTGGATCTCAGTTTCACCTTGATCAACGCAGACAATGTCAGAGTTTTGATCCGCGAACTTTTGTCTTTCCTCGAGGTCGCCGACGCCGAATTCAAGCCGATCATGACATCTCAAATTGGTATTGCAGCAGACAGATTCGCCCCTAACAAGCGATGGCACGTGGACACGATGCTGAGAGTTCTCAAATTGGCTGGTAATTACGTCAAGGAACAAATTCTGTCTTCTTTCGTCAGGCTTATTGCAACTACCCCTGAGCTCCAAACTTATGCAGCTCAAAAGCTGTACGCTACTCTCAAGGATGACATCTCTCAAGAAGGACTCAGCTTGGCTGGTGCTTGGGTGATTGGCGAGTACGGTGATGCCCTTCTGCGTGGCGGCCAGTACGAGGTAGAAGAGCTTGTCAAGGAAGTCAAACAGAGTGATATCGTCGACCTGTTCACCAGTATTCTCAACAGCAGCTACGCCGGCCAGATCGTCAAGGAGTACATAATAACCTCTGCCATGAAGCTCACTACTCGTCTCACGGAACCCGCACAGATCGAAAGATTACGAAGGCTACTGGAGAGCAACAATACCAACCTCGACGTGGAAATCCAACAGCGTGCAGTCGAGTATGGTAACTTGTTTGCATACGATCAAGTACGTCGTGGCGTTCTAGAGCGCATGCCACCGCCAGAGATTCGCGAAGAACAGAGAGTGTTAGGCGAGGCGACGAAGAAGCGACACTCGAAGGTTCCCAAGATGAAGAAGCCTAGCCAGGTCACTGAGCAGGACATGCTTTTGGACTTGATGGGTGGCGACACGAACATGCCTGCTGTCGACCTAAGCTCAACCATCAACGGATCACAACACAACGCAGACCTGCTCGCTGATATACTAGATGGCGGCCAACCTGTGTCAATACCTTCTCAGCCTCATCCAACCACATCGCCAGCGCCTGCTGGCAACATGAGCTCAATTATGGACCTATTTGACACGTCATCGACTGCAACGACACCGCAACCGCCGCCACAACAACGCGCACAGAGTGCCGATTTGTTCGGTGGGATGACTTCTCCACCACCTCAGACGCAAGGATCTCCGACCCATACAGCTTTCGACAAGAACGGGCTCTTGGTCACATTCCAGATCCAGAGGAACGCTACTGCAGTGCAAGTGATGGCTCGATTCAGGAACACGGGTGGCTTCGAGCGATTGACAGATCTTGGCTTGCAAGCAGCTGTGCCCAAGAGCCAAAAGCTACAGTTGCAGGGTATCAGCTCAAGTGAATTGGACGGTGGAGAAGAAGCGACACAGCAAATGCGCATCATCAGCGTCCAAGGAGTAAGTCATGGCAGAAATGTTGCGAACGAAGCATGCGCTAACGAGTATCACAGNCCTCCTCCCCCAAAATTGCGCTTGCGATTGAAGGTGAGCTATGCACAAGCAGGGAGCCCAGCCACAACAGAACAGGTGGATTGGTCAGAACCAGCATAGAAAGTATAATGAACAAAAGAAAAGGGAGGATGATACAAGAACAATACGGATTGAGACCAACAACAACATGCAACTCGATGTGCACAGATGCTGTATAGACTTGACAGCCCCGAGAGGCTGGATGAACTCAAGAGTAAGCAGCGTAGGACGTCTTGACGTGCAGCATGGATGCATCGTGGAGGTTGACTCCGGATGCGGGGAGCTGCTAGTTCAAAAATGATATGCAGAGGGCAATTGATAGGTACTCGAGCCAATGTGTTTGTTGAATGCAATAGCGAGGATGCACACGAGACGGTATCTTGGACTACCAGTAGTAATTGGTAATAACAGTATATCCAACGTATTTGACCAGTAGAAGAGCAGCAAAGGTATCTGTCAAGTGAACAGGAAATCGACACGCTCCACATGCTCCACATCGGAGGAAACCTTAATAATGTCTAGTCTTCGCCGGTCAACAGGACCCCGACAACGGCAGCATGTAAAGGCAGTTCGACAGGCTTGTTTCTTTCTTGCCCTAAAGTTACTGAGTACATGATTGCTTCTGAGTAATTTGCTTGCGCAAGGAACTGGTATTGCGACATAAATCCAGCGTACATCACATCGTCGCTGGTAGGATCATTTATAAGCAACGCCGCCATCTCCACGCTCAGGCGGGGCTCTATCAGATCGATTTTGCTTACCAACGGACGATTGTCGTTGGCTCTCGAGGCGGCCAGCGCTCTGGTTGCTGAAACCTCGGGCGCGCCGCAGGCAGAGACAAAGCGTGCCAATCGCATTCGCTCCGGAGGCACCAGGCATCATCGTCGGTCGAGTCGCTCGCAGCAGCTTTCGCAGAGGGCCCCACATGGGCCGTTATAGCTCTCTGCAATCATGTCCATGTCGCCAAACACGTCGCCGTCCTTTGACACACCAGGAAATTCTTTTCCTGACCTGGAGACCAACCTGACCTCCTTCAACGCCCCCTTCGACCCTGGTCATCTCATATCTCCACAGATGCACAATGCTCCCTTCCACTTCTCTATCCCCGAACTTGGCGATGGTCAGTCGCCATCTTCCGCCCAATTCCACCATCGCATGAGCATCGGAAGCTCAGGTCCGCTACCGAGTCAATTACATCCTGGCAGCATCGCCGACTCTGATGCGACCAGTCCCGTGAGCGGCCAGGATCCAGGATCCGTAGGCCCCCGNACGAACCCTTCGACCGGCCACCCAGCCCCAGACGACCAGAAAGACAAGAACGACCCAACACCAGCATGGGCAGAGCTCAAGACGAAAGCGGGAAAGGAGCGCAAGCGACTTCCCTTGGCCTGCATCGCTTGCAGACGCAAGAAGATTCGCTGTTCGGGCGAGAAACCCGCTTGCAAGCATTGTCTGCGTTCTCGCATACCTTGCGTATACAAGGTCACCACCAGAAAGGCTGCGCCAAGGACAGATTACATGGCCATGTTGGACAAACGTCTGAAGAGAATGGAAGAGCGTGTCATCAAAATAGTGCCGAAGGAGGACCAAGGCCGGATAGGAATCATTGGTAGAGCCGTCGTCAAGCCTGCTATCCCAGGATTGCCCTCGAAAAATGAGAAAAAGAGAGCTGCCGATACAGCTTTTGGCAACGATATCAATGATTGGTCAAAATCAAAGTCTGGTGGCAGCGCAGAAGCTCGGTTGAGGATAGGTCCTCAAGAACAAGATGAACGTCAACTACTACAAGATGGAGCCGACCAATTGCCTTCTCACGAGTTGCAGATCCATCTGGCCGAAGTGTATTTCGATTATGTTTACGGCCAGAGCTATCATCTACTGCATAAACCAAGCTTCATGCGAAAACTCGAAGTTGGACAGGTGCCACCGGTCCTCATTCTAGCCGTATGTGCCATCTCTGCTCGCTTCTCATCACATCCCGACGTCAAGACGGAACCTGCTTTCCTACGAGGCGAGAACTGGGCCAGTGCAGCGAGGGAGATTGCCTTGAAGAGATACGACTCGCCAGATATCACAATCCTCATAGTCTACCTTTTGCTTGGTTTGCACGAGTTTGGAACTTGTCAAGGTGGTCGAAGTTGGATGCTTGGTGGTATGGCTCAGCGCATGGCATACGCCTTGCAATTGCATAAAGATTTGAATCACGACACTTCGTCACGCGCTACAGGGAGCAGTGCAGAGCTCACATTCACTGACCGGGAGATCAGGAGACGTACGATGTGGGCTTGTTTCATGGTAATCAACTTTCGTCACGGCTGTATCTCACCGAATGAACGGCTAACGTGTTTANNGATGGATCGTTTCAACTCGTCGGGAACTGAACGACCACTCTTTGTCAACGATCAGTACATCCAGGCTCAACTGCCCGTCAAGGAACACTTTTTCCAATTCGAGATTCCGGGCACAACGGAAGTACTCGAAGGACCGAACTCTGACAGTGCTGAGAATGCTGGACCACACGCGCTTTCAGCCACCGAGAATATGGGCGTGGCTGCATACATAATCCGACTGGTAGCTATCTGGGGTCGCGTGATCCGCTATATGAACTTAGGAGGAAGAGAAAGAGACAAGGAGCCGATGTGGTCTACTCAATCAGAGTTCCACGCCATAAAGGAAGCTGTCCGTGAATGGCAGACCGAACTTCCAAAATGGCTCGAATGGTCGCATGAGAATCTCGAGACCCATGCAAGCGAGAAGATTGCCAATCAGTTCATCTTCATGCATTTGATATGCAACCAGATTATCTGTTTCACTAATCGCTTCGCATTGCCATCACCAGGGTCGAAGTCGGCAAGCGTCAGGGACACTCCTCAGGTGTTCATCACCGAAAGCGGAAGAGCGGCTTTGGATGCAGCTAACCAGATTTCAGTCTTGATCAACGAAGCTATGGATCATAGGGTGATTGCACCGTTTGCTGGGTACTGTGCGTTCTTCTCCAGTACAGTCCACATATATGGCGTCTTCTCGAAGAACCCAGCGCTTGAAGCATCATCTAAACAGAACTTGGCGACAAACATCAAATACCTGACAAGGATGAAGAAACACTGGGGAATGTTTCACTTCGTCACCGAGAACCTCAAGGACCTATACCGAAAACACGCAGACGCTGCCTTCAGAGGCTCGCAAGCCGGCAACACTCAGAAGCCACAGGAGACGATCTTCCAATATGGTGATTGGTTCGACCGATATCCTCACGGTGTCAGTGGTACAGACTATGAGGAGCCTGTCACGGACGTCAAAAGAGAGCCAGGCTCTGATGCGGTATTGGGTCAGAAGAACGATCTCCAAAGTGTAGAAGAGTTTTTCTCGAAGTTGAGTCCATCGAACAAGACCGCAAAACAGAAAGCGCCTAGGAAGAAGCGTGGCAAGGCAGAATCTCAACCTAAAGCGACGGCTGTGACGGCGGCAGGAACGTCCGGGTCAGCTGCGCCTGACCCATCGGGCTTCCCAAACCAGCAGCAAAACCAAGCACAGCCGCAAGCGCAAAGACAACAACATTCAGCAGCTACGGTTTCTCAGATGACGGCCGGGTCCTTGAACACCAACTTTGGCGTCCTGAGTCCCCAAAACAACACCAGTTTCCCTGACCAGTTGGCTATGATGCAACAGCAGCAACGGCAACGGCAGCAACCAGATCAACAGCACCAACAATACAGCAACATGCTCGGTCTCGATGCCAACATGTCACATTACCAATCCATCGATCCTTCGTCCAACACCGCCAACCCCTTCTCCATCGACCTCAACGCCTTCGACTTTGGAATGAACAGCAACAACAACGCGTGGCACGATCAAAGCTCTGCCTGGTTCATGCCCTTCAACGTGGATCCACCTTCCGTAGGCGCCGGCGGACTCGGCGACGATGCAGGCGGCTTGTTCGCCGCAGACTCTGTCGGTGGATTCGATGTCAACTCCCTGTTTCCAGACTTTGGAGGCGCGCATCCTGGGTTGCTGATGCCAGAGCATGGATTCGAGGACAACGGCAACAACAATACCGAGAACAAGTAAAACGATTGACCGAGTATGTATGTGTATATGAAAAGGAGTGGAGCGTAAGATTTATTCAAAGTGCTGGAGTTGTTTTCAAGCAAGGGTGGATGCAAGGGGAAACTTTGTAAGATGTCTCGAATGTTGTGTATAGAATGTTGAAGATGTGTGTGTATAATGGCTAGCACAGAAGAAAACTGTGGTCAGTCGGTCAATTCTATAACCCCCATGCTCCTTCATTGTGCCTATCTTGCACTTTTTGGTTTCTAGCACATCATCATCTCTCCTGTTTGATACAGTATATACTTTGAGCAATAGCGTAACAAGTCAAGGTTCGAATTAGAATGCTGGAATTGTTGCTGTCGACTGTGTCAAACGTCTCTAGGGGTTTTGGGTATGTTGCAATCTGCCCTCTAGGACCCCGTCTTGTACGTACAAGAATTGAATCATCAATACCGTGTTTTCTCCAGTCAACCTCACAGTATTGGAGAAAAAGAAAAAAAACAAAAAGAGTCCAATGTACAAGAATCGCTTTCCAACAACAAAAGAGAAAGACGAGACGACAAACTTTGGTAGGGACGAGGACAAAAGAGAAAACAATAATATTAATGCGCTGCTGTAATCCTCAAGTCTTCGTAAGTGCATGCATGCATTCAGGGCTCAATGGTGCTCGACTTCGGTCTTGATATCCTTGAGCGCGCCGACTCCGCCGAGTTTGTTAACCTTTTCGACGAGTATAGCGTTTTCGCGCTGCAGGTCGGTCATTTGCTCTCTAAGCAGACCGTTCTCGCGTTTCAACATGTCGACTTGGTGTCTAAAGTCGTCTCTCTCCCTGGCAACTCTACTGGCCTCGTCTCTGTTCAGCTGTACACTCCTCTTCCTCTGTGCTTTCGAAATCTCCTTTTCGCGCTTCTGCTCCAGCTTGGCGAGCTCCTTTTCGCGCTTCTCTGACAGCTTTGCCATTGCAGTGTCGTACTTCTCTTGATACTTGGCAATGTCTTCGGGGTCTTTTTCTCTGTGGCTGGCGAGCTTGACGGCCTCGGCGTCTTGCTTCTTGTGAATTTTTGCTTCGATCTTAGCGCGGTCTTTGTCAATCTTGCGTAGTTCCTTGTCGTGAGGCGTGCTGCCCATTGGCAGGGTTGTTGATGAAGTCGATGAGACGGCGCCTAGCGAGGCCGTGGAGGCGGCTACGGCTCTACTGTCATGTGCGGGATGTTGCGCAGGGTGGTCGCCTGCATCAAACTGGCGGTCCTGGGCAGATGCGAACGAGGCAGCATCGGATGAGTCTGAAGAAGAAGATGAATCCGAGGTGTCGTCCTCTGGATGCATGTAGTTGTGGGTGTAGTTTGCGATAGGTGCTGGAGCATAGGCTTCGATGCCTGCTCCGACAGCGCCTGTGATGGATGCGATGAGGCCGCCTGGCTGTTGTGCAGGTTGCTGTGCTTGCGAGTTTTGCTGTGCAGCAGGAGGAGGGCCTTTTGCTCGACTTGCTCGGCCTGGGCTTTCTGTTGCAATTCTTCGTCGGCGTCTGCATCAGGAATCTCGTCTTTGGCACATGCCCAGTCCAAGAACTTGGACACATCAGCTGCGATAGAGCCAGGAGTGCCTCTCTCAACCATGAAACGGGGGATGCCACCACCGGGGTCACTGCGTGTAATCATGATCCACTCGACAGGGTTGAGCTCGTGCTTGTCGCCGTCTGCGCTGCCCTCTTTATCTGGGACGGGGTTGAGGGGAATTTCGCGAATCATCTCGACAGATTCATAGGAGCCCTTGACGTAGCCTTCGCGGTCGGGAGTATCAGGGTGTGTCAGAGGCTTGGAGATGACCATGTAATGTCTCGGAATGGGGTGCTTGTCCTGGCTACTCTTGTTGGACAAGGCATTCTCCGAGGTCAAGAGCAGGGCGATGAACTCTCTCGGAGTTGTGGGACCAGGGAACTGGGCGCTGAGCTGTAGAGCTTCCATCTTGCCAACGTCGCCCACCTCCTTCTTGTCTAGTCTGCGGTCACCGCCAATGCCACGCACGTTGCCAGCACCAGGGCCACCAGACTGGGCCAGAGACTCTGCGAACTCGCGTTGCATGGCTCTGCGAACCTTTGTGATGGAGACACCTTCAAGGACTTGCCTGCGGGCAAACCATGCGCCATGTCTGTCCTTGGCTGCCATCTTGTAGACGGAGATTCCGAGGGGGTTGTCTTTGGCGTTCAACTTGATGGGCTTTCCCATGACTTTTGCAGGGCGACTTGGTCGGGGTGGGGGTCGACGGGACGGGCGTCTGAGTTGACGACCTCTTTGGACGACTTTGCCATGTTAGGCTTGGGTTGGGTGGGTTCGGAAGCATCGAAGGCCTTGCCGCCAGGAGGCGGTGGGACCGAGTTGCAGATGAGTTCGCCGTCCTCGAAGAGGGTCTTCATGAACGGGCCCAGGTCTTGCGGCACGTCGGCCCAGTCGATGGGACCCAACTGCTCGAGCGCCTTGTGTAGTTCGGCCATGAGTGCGACCGTGTGGAAGCTGCGGTAAGGAGGTCGAGAGAGAGAGAGAGAGAGAGAGAGAGAGAGAGAGAGAGAGAGAGAGAGAGAGAGAGCAGTTGCTCTGCGTGTTGTGTGATGTGGGTACAGGAGTGGCAGCGAGGGTTCTGGGAAAGAGGTGATGAAGGTCAAACAAGGACGAGAGGGAGAGTTCAATTGGACATCAGCATCATCCACGCCATCATCGTCAACGTCTTTTGAGTGCTTCCAGAAGTCGACCCCATAAATCAAGCTCGTGCGCCTGCAGGCCGCAGAAAGAGCCCCGGATCGTCATGCGTCATCAATCCGGCCCTTCCGTCTTCAGCCCAATCAAGGTGCAAAGAACCCATCTTTTTGGAATTCAATTCCTCGGGATAAGCTCCCTGTCCTGCACCTAATCTTGCTTCCGGTTCAATCAAGTCTACCTGTCACCAGCAACATCCATGATAGACGCGTAACTCTGACATTGCGGCTCTACCGCAACAGCCATGTGGGGCTCAATTTTGACCAACACATGACGTTGGCCTTGCCATTCTCCATCTCGACTCTCCAGTCAACTCCTTTCATACGACTTGGTGAAGGGAGAAACATGGAACATGTGCATTGGTATATGGTATCGTCTCTTGTCTAACCCTCGAGTAGAGCGGGCAAGTTCTCCTCGATGAACTCGACCACAGCGTCCGGTCCTCTCGAAACCTGGAGTCCCTGAGGCAGAGCGAAAGTCTTCAGTTGCGGACCCATGATCTCTTTGGCTTCGGCATGGATGCTCTTGGCCTCCTCTGGTGTCCACATGGATGCTGTGANACTGGTCGTCATGTTAGTGTCTAGTTGCTATGTCGTGGCTCATCTAGATAGACACACCAGTACGTCCGGCTGCTCTCTGGTAACGACTTCGCGGACTTGTTCTTGNNGTCTATATCGGGGGTCAGCCAATATCTGCAAAGCTTTCCATCCTCATAACCTACTGTCTGCATTTCCAGCGTGGATGATGGTGTACTTGTCCTTGACGTTCTCGACAACGCGGCCAATCAACCTGTAAGCACGCTCAGGTGCTGTGTTGACGGTAACGAGCTTGAATGGTCCCAATGGCTTGGTAGTCGACATGTTGTGCAGTATGTGGATTGTGTGATTGAGAAACAAAAGACAAGAACACTCGTAGAGAGCTACATGAACAGATGTTCTCGGCCGTCATCGGGTTATCTTGTCAAAACACTCTGTGACTGCCCCACACGGCCCTCCAGCTGTAGAGCTCTGACCAGCAAACAATCAGGTGGTGCTGTTTCGGCATGCGGGAAGGACCACTATTAGGAGAGACGGACTACCCTGAAGCCTGCCTGTCCTACTTACATTGTTCCACTCTCCCATTTGTAGTTCCATACAGCTTCAAGTCTATCGAGGGCACTTCTAGATGTTCTGTCTCGGTCTTCGGCATGGCTTCGGCCGAGGGCAGATCCCCACCTGTACCCCTCGTAGGTGGGGAAGGTGTTTCTCGAGGGTGCGGATCTTGTATGCGGGACTTGATGTGTTTCGTGATAGCGAGCATCGCGCGACATCGGCATATACCCTGAGCCTTTTGTGTTGTTCAACCCTTGGTCTTCTTTCTCAAGACCAAAGATAGTCGACACCAGAACCACACCTTTCGAAAATGTCCTTCAACCGTCTCGTCCGCTTCGTCCCCGCCAGCGACTCCAAGGCTGTCCTAATCGGCGAGCCCGTCGATGCTGAGCTCGATGTTGGTCTTGCTATCCGCAAAGGCGATGAGGTCGAGGTCAAGGTCTTCAGCGGAAAGTCGGCCTTGAACCCTGGTTCGCTGTCAGACAAGACGGAGAAGATTGCCAGACTGCTGTCGCCGTTGTCACAAGAGGAGGTCGGCACGATACGCTGCATTGGCCTGAATGTAAGACTCGATTCGACTCCAGCACTGGACAAGCTTCTGACAAGAACAACANNGTACAAGAGACACGCCGAAGAAGTCAAGATGGACGCCCCATCAGAGCCCGTCATCTTCCTCAAGCCAGCCACCTCGCTCGCAGACCCATACCCTCACCCCACCGTCATCCCCAAGCACACAAAGTCTTCGGATACAGCAGACTACGAATCCGAACTCGTCGTCGTAATCTCAAAGCCCTGCAAGAATGTCTCCGAGTCGGAGGCCCTCGACTACGTCCTCGGTTACACTGCCGCGAACGACGTTTCCAGCCGTGCCGCCCAATTCTCCCAGAGCCAATGGTGCTACAGCAAAGGCTTCGACGGCGCTTGCCCTATCGGTCCTGTACTGGCGAGCTCAAAGTTGATCCCCGACCCGAGCAAGCTGCACATCAAGGGCAGCAAGAACGGCAACGTCATGCAAGACTCTGGCATCGACGACCTCATCTTTAGCATTCCCAAGCTCATCAGCTTCTGCTCCCAGGGCACTACTTTGCCAGCCGGTACCATCATCCTGACTGGCACTCCCGCTGGTGTGGGTGTTGGCAAGGACCCCAAGGAGTTCTTGCGTGACGGCGATGAGTTCTCTGTCGAAGTTCACCCACACATTGGTACTTTGACAACCGTGTTTGAGGATGAGAAGTAAAGAGCAGGAACAGGATGTAAATAGACCCCCACGGCATAATCATGCCAGCTTAACGATTTGTATTGAACTGTGGATACCCTCCGATAGAATTCATTGTGAGACAAGAAGAACTGATCCTCCTTCCATATATAGGTCCATCAAGTACATGGACTTCCACCTCTCCACCGCTGTGGTGGCTTCGGATAGTATTCTCGATCCTTGAGTATAGACCATACGTTCTCAATTGGATTGAGATCCGAACTGTTCGATGGCTGATCTTAGAAGATCAGTACACCATGCACGATGGAGTATATTCTCCACCAGATCTCATCCATTTGAGAAGGTATGCTCAATATCCAGGAATTGAGTACATCAATCGACTCCAAGGCCATACGAAGCAATGGAAGCAGCGCTCTTGGAACGATGATCGATATCAACTCGTTGCTAGCACGCATACAAGCGGTCACTGATATGACCAAGGGCCGACGAGGTGGTGGTTCTAATCCGCATACGGCCCTCGCGTATAGGGTGCGGCGTACGTACGAGTAACGCCTGAATGGCGGTAGCGGCGTTGTGCTTGTATTCCTTCTCTTTCGTATATGTCTTCTCGAATACATGTGCGTCCATCTCCTTGAGAACCGAAAGCTTCAGTGGCAAAGAGATATCCACGAATTCAGCAAAGACTCCATGTCGTATGCAAGCCCCCATTGTGAGCTGAGACAACGGAACAGCTTTTGCATCGAGTTGAGCTCGTACAACAAGTTGCGAGTCAAAGACTCATAGCCACTGCCGGAAAGCTTCTCACCACGAACAAACCTTCTCGTCGTGCTCGATCCCGCTGATGTTCCTGCGAGGTCACCAAGAATGACACAAGGGTCGACTTCTGTGAAGAGCGCATCCTTCCAGTCGACAACACGGGGTAGATTGACTGTCGTGTGGCCTGCTAGTGAGAACACACTGTACACCGTGGCTGCAGCGAACAGCGAACTAGGCATGTGAAGTACGTGGGCGCGACCACGAGGAAGCTGTTCCACGATATCTTGAATCGCGACGGCATGGAGTAACGCTCTGCGTGCATCTTCAGTCTTTGCCCAGGCGACTAGATCTAGTCCTGCCTTGAGGCCCTTGCTGCCCCCCAGCACATGCTGTGGAATGTTGTAACGAACGCAGAGATGACGGCATAGCATAGATGAGTCCGTGGCCGCATCTAGGCAAATCGAATGCCATCGCAACAGAGCCTCGAGCGTCTCAGGAGTAGATATCGCATTCTTGGTGATGCTTTCGTGGACTTGTGCCAGCGCTCTGCGAATCTCAGAGCGGGTTGGGACGCCGACCGATGGTCCATCTGTGGATTCCGAGACGAGTGACTGCACGCCTTCCAGAATTACACGCAATGAAAAAGAGGTTAGAGTATGCTCTGGTAGTCTTCCAATGTCAACGGGCAAGAACAACGATCGGAAGATGTTGCGGAAAGAGACATCCTGTTTGGGTTGTGATCGTATTTTGATCAACCATTCATCCGCGGTATTTGCTTCGAACAGACTCTCATCGCAAGGCAGTCCAAGCTGGTTAGCAGCATGTCGCGCAGTGGTAGGGTTGCCACTAGCCGATGAGACGAGCCCGTCTAGTATGTACTGAGCGAGGAGAACCCTACGCCTGATCTCATGGGCAGCCCATGTTTTCCACTGGCGATCCTTTTCCGCAGGGGAGGCGTCGAGTGAAGGCAAGCTATCCAACAAGAAGGTGTCGTTATCGTACATGCCACAATGCCTTGCCCAGGAGAAGCCGAGAGCATGGAATATTTGCGATGTCGTTCGGAGTACGCGGTTNNCTAATTTGTCAGTGATTGTGAGATGATATTCAACACACTCTCTTACCTTTGAAAGTGCTGCATAGACCTGACCGAGCAAGGCAGCCAACACGAGTTGAAGTCCGTTACACGGATCGTGCGGCCCTCGATGGGTAATCAGACTCTGCCATGAGGTCGCGATTGCTGTGTGAGATAAACGCCACAGGGCTTCGCCTTTTGCAATAGAGTCTTTGGGACCGAGATACAGTGATCCTATAGCGATGCAATTGAGCAGCACTGGATGAGTACATTCCTTGAATACAAAGGTCGAGCGATGCAAGACGGGAAACGTGGGTATGAAGCGAACGAAGAACATGTGCAGGCACTCGTCCAAGAACACTGAGGTGATGGATGTAGCCTCTGCCTCTGCGGTGATACTTGACGNACTAGAGAGGTCAGCTAGGAAATACTCTACATGATTCAAGCCTCTTACCAGGTTCGAGATCATCTTGCTGACTCCATGGACAGCCTGGTGGCCGCCGCCATTGGGAATGGCCTTGATGGCCGATCCTCGATCATCGAAGGAGGTAGGCGAGTCGAGGCTGGTTGGTGTGAATTGTTCCAAGCCTTGAGGGAACGGCAGAGTACCCACTGGAATCTGCGACGTAGTATCTGTAGACATGATTGACTGAAACAACTCCTCAGAATCAGGCCATATCAACTGAAAGTCGAGATCCGTGGCACAATGTATATCCATCATGTCAGGTTCAACTTGATATGGTTGTTCGTGCCAGGTTTGTGATGTACCATGATCCGAAGGTGGTACATAACTGCGTGTGTCCATCTCCTCATCAGCTGCCAGCAAATGCTGCAGTGCGTGCGATTTGACCGGCGTGTAGGTCGAGGCAGCAGGCGAGGCACATTTCATGCTCTCTCTACGTAGATGGAGTTTCTCATGGCGGGCCAACGAGTCTTGTCGACTGAAAGCACGGTTACACTCTTTGCAAGTAAACGGCCGCACACCTGTGTGAGAGCGTTCATGTCTCTGGAGAGGGCGGATCAGCAATCATCCATTATCAATACTACGAATTCTTTGCCCTACTGTGAGATGCTCTGCTTTGGAATAGATTCTCTGACAGAATCGACATTCCAACTTCTTTGCTGTATTCGCGACACTTTCGATAGAGGTCATTGTGGTCAATTGTGGTGAGTTGTGTGGAGAGGAAGGAAGAAGGTGGTGGAGAAGTCAGGGCACGGAGCGGGGCAACGGATGAACCCTACCTAGGCGGCCGACACCGTGGCATGGCAATCACGTTCGGCAAGCAGGGCTACATCTACAGTTCAAGGATTCGATTGTACATGAAATGTGTTCTCTTATTCTGCGAGAAGTATCGATTAAAAGCTAGTCGGGCGGCATTTGCTGGGGGCAACATAAAAAGAAGAAAATAATAACTCGCCCCTCTCCAGGCAATTTGACTGCACAAGACTCAAGGGCACAGCCCTGAAGTCACTGCCTTTGCCGGAGCTTGTGGGTAGAAATGAAAAAGTCTTTGACACGTTCCGAGTTACCAAACCCGATCTCAGACTCCCAGTGCCCAATCATAAAGCCTTGCCCAACCACGAGTTGAATCCAGAAACGAAAAATTGCATCGTCTGTGTCGTCCATACCGATATCCACCGTAGTACTCTAGAACATGCTCTTTCTCTTCTCAGCTGCGCTGAGAACGCCCAACATCATATGTCTGCGGCCGAGACCTTGCTGAATAGGGCTGGGGAGCTGCTTAGCAAAAGCTCCCATGTCGAAAGCGTCTCCCTTCTCGCTGACCGGAGTGTGGACGGCTCCACCTGCACCAAGGCCCTCGAGGCTGTCCTTGGAGCTTCTCTTAGCGTTGCGCTCGCTGCCGATGGGACTCTGCTTGCGGAAGCACGGCTCATCCTCCTCTGACTGCAAGTGAAGCTCGCGCTCGCTGATAGGACTACCGCGAGGGGATCCACTGACGGCACGACGGAACGAGCCAGCACGAACGAGGTTGTCGAGAGCACGACGGCGTTGACGAGTGGCGAAGTTCTTGCTGCCTTCGTGCTTGCTGGTGGGCAAAGCGATGAGTTCTTCGAGTGGAGGTGGGCCACGAGGTTGACGAACAGGGTGTTCTCCAGCACGAGCAGCGCCAGGTCCGAAAGTGCCAGTCATTGGAGTGGGTGGGAAGACGGATCTGGCAGAACCGAAAGTAGCGACGCTGCTTGTCTTGGGGCCATCAGATGTTCCAGTTAGAGCATTGATAGCAAGAGAAGATGCCTTCTTGTGGCCACGGCGAAAGGCGTTGGCAGACGGAGNGGGAAGGGGTTCAACGTGAGCAAGGCTCGATGCAGGCGAAGATGTCTTCTTAGGAGGAGTGATGGAGCGAGAACCAGTAGGGGTAGGGCGCTCGGTGGGTGGCGGCGAGATTTCGGCACGGAAGACGGGCTGTTGCTGTTTCTGAGGAGTGTCAACACTGAAGAAGCCGTTCTGGTGCTGCGAGACAGGCGACATGGGGGACTGGGCGTTGTTGTCTACTGCGTACTGGTACTGGCCAGTCATGGGATTGTACACAAGGTAGAGACCAGGTTGACCAGGGACCTCGATAGGCGACTGTTGTTGCTGGGCGTGCTGCTGGGCGTGCTGCTGGCCATAGGCATTGATCTGTGACATTGGCTGTTGGAACTGGGCGAGGTTCAATCCCTGCAACTGAGCAGTGTTGGCGGCAGCAGTGATAGCGGCGAGCTGCTGCTGAAGTTGCTGCTGGCGCTGAGCGAGGAAGAGGCTGGTCAGCTGGAGCTGTTCCATGACGTTGGGGTCCATCTCGGCCTCNNCCTGGCCGTAAAAGGTGGGCGGGGCCAAGACCTGCTCGGGCATAGAATACATGTGTTGTTGTTGCTGTTGCTGATGACGCTGTTGCTGCTGCTGTTGGTGTTGCTGGCGACCAGCGTAGTGGTTACCACCAAAGCTAGCGGCAGTGGCTGACTGAGGAACACCTTGCATATAAGCGTTGTATGTATTGGCGTCCATGCCACTAAGCTGAGACTGGTAGTCTAGCTGGTTGTAAGGAGCGGAGGCCGGGACGGCCGGCGTCTTTGGGGCAGTACGGAGACCGGCGAGGAGGTGGGAGCGCGAGGTACGGGGTGTAGGGTTTGAGTCGGAGTGGTTCTCAGTAGGGTTGATATGCTGAGGGAGGCCAACGCTAAGGCGCTTGTGGTTATGGGCTCCTCTGTTTCTAGAAGCAAAGCCAGAGCCGGGAGCGCCAAGGCCGTTGGAAGAGAAACCGTTAAAAGTCATCTGAGCGAGACCGCCAGCGTCCATGCTCATTATTACAGTTTGATTCGTGAGACCAGGTGAGATCTGGGCTGAAATGATGTTGATGATGTTGAGTGAAGATGATGCGGAAGGTCGTTAAATGTGCTTCGTGCAGAAGTGCGGAGCGTTATGTCGAAGGACCGGATAGAATATGGGCAAGCCAGGAAGGCTGTCGTCAAGGTTGGGTCTTGTACAGAAGTAGAGAGAGGATTGACCGTGGAAGAGGCGAAGTGCTTGACAAGCAGGCAGCTACACCGAGTGATGCTGGACTGATATTACACAAACGGTCGGTGGCAGCCGAGAGATCCGGTGGGCCGACGCGATATGAGATGTAGTCGAGTAGATAAATGTTTGTCGGTTTTTCAACCAGACAGACGTGTTGTGTGCGTATGATTACACTATAGAAGAGTGTTTGTCGTGTTGCCGTGCGGTGTGATGTCAAGGACCAACGCGTGTATCGGAACAGGGCTGTCAACAGGCACACGTTGACGCTAGTGCGCGAGACAGATGGATGTGCGTAGATGTGCTGATGAGAGATTCAGAAACTGGAGTGTTCCGGAGTGATGGGAGTGGTCAGGTGTCAAGCTCGAGGGGACTGTGAAGTTGCTCAACAAGAACACAGCGACGGGATGCTAGACGATTGAGCGCGCCCACAGAGAGAAAGCGCGTGCCGGGTTGGGGAGATTATTAAATTCGCAAAAAGGTCCGAAGCACAAACAGGTAAGAATGAAACAAGGCTGCAGTCACCAAATGAAGGCAGAAAGGGAAGGAAGGACGGCGCCGAGTTGTTGCAAAAGGGCACACTGAGAAGAAAAGAGAAAGAAGAAAGAACCCTTCTTTGGTCCGCGAAGGGGCAGGCAGCGGGAGGAGGGGACAAAGCTCAACTTGGCGCACGCTGCTTTCTTTGCGAGCGAGGGAAGAGCGAACCCCTGAAACGGGTCTTGTCTATATGCGGTATGGTGCAGCGACGGGTTGGCCTTCTTCGTTTGTTCGTCAAGGCCATCCACACACGTCTCACAAATCTCCCTCTGGAGTCTGCCACATGACAGGCCACATTTCCGAACGGCCAGCACACTAATGCGCCTTGGATGTTGCTGGCACCATGGCTTTTCATTGTGCGGACAGGCTGCCGCGGGTGAAGCTCCTGAATGAAAAAGCACCGCTCTTTTGAGTTTACGACCCGCAACAAAGGTGCAAGCAAATTAGATGAATCGTCCGCCTTTGATTGGGTACCTCTTTGACAGCTCGGCGCTTAGGCACGCTTCGTTCACGTTCCAGAGCCACACGCCGCGCTTCTTTGGATCCACTCATGTGGTCTTCCTTCGAGGTCACGCTTGATCACAGAATGTCCTTGCATTTCTAGAAGTTCCCGTGTCAGACCAGCACCTCCAGGCACACCTGCAACGACATCTGCTGTCTTGGTGCACGCGCCGCTGCATGCGGCTGCCCCCTTCTTGTCCTGCAGATCCTCCGCATCGCGGCATACCAGCGTATGAAACGCGCAAGAAGAGGCGTCGCAGATCCAGATATATTGGGCTAGTAGTGTCAACGGCTGCTCCCCTGGGAATGGAGATGATTGGATTCGAAGTGAAGCACGTGTGCGCGTTTCAGAGGCATCTTGACATTCCTGGAGGGCATGGAGGGAAACTTGTGTTGTCGTTGGAAAGACCCTGCTCGTATGGTTATACCTACACCAAGCATCGTGTTTGAGCCGACGGGTCATCTGTGCTGAGACTTCTGGTTTGTAGAAACAATGATATTACTTAGTATGCACCTGAGCTCAAGCGGCGTCGTCTTTCTTTGGGTTCTTCTCCTGGTCGTCCAAGACATGCTTCAGACCCTCAATCTCGACATGGTCGCGTGTGTTCTGCATCCTCCTTGCCCACTTGATCTCGCCGTCAATCCAGATGAGCTCTCCACCATTCTGACTCTTCTTTCCCGATGAAATGGTCAAGGTCATTAACGTATTCGCCGTGCCAATCAGAGTTCCCATAAAACTGTTCTCGATATAGTCTGGCTTCTTTCCGAGTCCCAAGTTGCACGTCATTCCGAGTGTATCGTAGGTGACGCGTGATGGATCTGTATAGATCTCAAACCTACAGCCAGTGCGTTTGAGGTACGTCGAGATGAATGTATGACTGCCACAGCCAACGATCGTGAGTGCTGTTGGTATAGACCTGGCTGCCAGATCTTCAGGGGAGAATGCCGTCGACAGAGCACGCACGTAGTCGGCACACGANNCTTTTGGACGGGGTAGATCAGTATTTACACGACGTCAGAATCGTTGTTCTCTGATAAGCTTTCTCACCTCGCAGTTGAAGTGACGGATGAAAATAACGATCGTTCGACGCGGCATGTCTCCATGACGACTCCAGAGTGTGCCGAACTGCTTCTTGTCGCCATTCTTGTCCAAGAGGTTGACTTGGGCAACTTTATCGAGTTCTGCCTGAGTCGGGATGCGTGTCTGTGCTTGCGATTCGGAATTTGACATTAAATCGTTGTCTGCCATGGTGATTGTATTATTGTCACAAGAACAATATGGAAACTAGCGATGTTGAGAGGATAGGTATGTAGGTATGTGATGAAGTGGTCACAACAGTTGATCAGCAGTCACGCCTGTGCACGGCCTCGAGAGTGCGGCGCTCCAAAGCCAAACATGAGCGACCAACTACGATAAGTTCTTCACACGCTATTTAATAGGCTGATCATATTTATATTGAGACAAGAGAACCGATCCTGTTCTTATCCCCGGGTTGCCTTGCAAGATGTTCAATGCAATTGCAGACTTGTCACATTCTAGCGTCTCGCAAGACCTATTGATAGTTCTTTGACTTTGACCTTTCTTGAGATGTAGGTTCTCCCGATAGCCATCGTGGATGTTGCTGTTGCTCACGAGCATGGAGAGACCTCAGAACCTCACCCTGACTGCTGAGACTTTGATATGTCTGGAGTTGTATATGCTCCAAGCAGAATCAGTGCCGCCTGCAGACTGATTTTTGTCGTGCAACGTCTGACTCTGACTGTTTTGCTTCGGCGAGGGCTTGATTTATACATATCACGCCAACTAAACAGCGATGGGTTGATGCTGTTGGAAAAGGTTGATATATGGCCGTGATGTTCACATTTCCTTGACCCGTTTCGGTGCTCTGAGGAACGAATCATCAGGCAATCCACTTCTCTTTGTGCCTGGCAGACTGCCTGTTCGAATGTCATTGTCCTCAGAACTGACCTTGCGAGGAGGGTATTTGTGTTCAACACCCTCGAAGCAGTTCTTCGGAGGCGCCGCTGGTAAGTTGCTTTCATCATGGAGGAAGTATGGATGGCGAAGCGCATGCTCAGCACTTAGTCGATGTAGTGGATCGTACTCAAGGAGAGCCTTGAGCATGGCCAATCCATCTCGATGTGGTGCCGGCATGTTTGCGGCCGAGTATTGACTGTTTCGAGTAAGGTTGTCCCACCATTTGTCCAAACCTATTGGCCTTTGGACTGCAGGATTGCCGGCGGCCAAGGTTTGTAACTGAGGATATTCAGGCATTGCTTGAAGTAGTGGCCAGTTCTCCTTCCTCGGAACACCAAGCACCTCAGCAATTTTGCCCATCTGATTTCTTTGAAATGGTACCGTCTTCTTGGAGTCCTGCTTTGCCTCCTCGCCTTTGAAGATTGGTCGTAGACTCAGAAGCTCGGCGAATATGCAACCCACTGCCCATGTGTCGATCGCTGGCGTGTAATGTCGACTTCCAAGCAGTAATTCAGGTGCTCGATACCAGATGGTGACAACCACCTTGTCACCGCCAAACAAGGCTTGGAGTGGCTTGTAAAATAGTCGTGCAAGGCCCAAGTCGCCGATCTTGACGACTCCGGCAGATGTAACCATAATATTGGCAGGCTTCAGATCTCGATGCATGACCCAATTGCGGTGCAGATAGAGAAGCCCTTCCAGAAGCTGATACATGATGGAGCGTAGCGTTGGCGCAGGGATCGGAGTCCGAGGATGTTGCGTATGCCAATGTATAATCTGCAAGAGGTCGTGCTCTGCATATTCAAAGACCATAAATATGCATTTCGACTCCAAGATGATCTCAACAAGCGAGATGACATTCTCGTGGGACAGCTCTGTGCAGAGAGCCATCTCTCGTATAGCGGACTGTGATATGCCCGTGTATTGTAACTCTCCTTCCTTGTCGGGCTTGAATCTGGAAACCAAACGTCAGTAATTGTGCAAAAGACATGACACTCTGCGTACTTNTTTGATAGCAAAAGCCTCGATGGGATTTCCAGAATTTCGACTCAAGACCGGATGGGCACCTCTTCCAGATTTGTTGCGGGCCTTGTATACCCTGCCATAGGTGCCACTACTAATGAAGCCTACTACATCATAGTTGTCGTTGATGCGCCTTTGGCTAGTATACCCCATGGACGACATTTTGGTATCGGCGGGCTCTGTGAATGCAGGCATTAGCCGACGTAGTGCATGGTATGGAGAGAGAAGACGGAGGCATAAAGTGGGAGATACCGTTAAACGCAGAATGTAGATTTCGTTTGAGGGTCAGACTACCTCCTGGGACTGAGGTAGTTGCATTTCTGACACTTGCGGCAGAGCTAGGCGGGTTGTTGGTGGGTGCGGCTGAAGCGGTCACAGAAGGAGGCACATTCGAGAGGGCAGAGGTTGAAGTAATCATGGCGATGGATTAAATTGTGCTTGGTTTATGCATACCCCACGCCCCGCGGGCAGAGGGCAGAGTTTCAGCGTTGGGCCGAGCTGGTGACGGGACCGGAGACGGGGACCGAGAGAGACAGAGGGACTACTCGTACGGCCCGGGCAAGCAGCGAAACATGCGGTGAAGCCGAGAGTGGAGGAATACGAGTTCGAGGGAGCAGATGATGTGGCAGAATAGAAATGGCAGCGCGACGTACCCGCTGGTCTCTTGTTGTTGGTGGTGAGCGATTCCTGTTCAACCAACGAGGGGCATTGGGCAAGCTTCGCGGCTGCCACGGCCCGCATGTGACGGTCACGTCTCGACAACGGCTCCAGCTTCCCAGCCCTTGTCCATATTGACCATGTCACTGTGACACGACAGCATCTTAGCGAGTCCTGAAGCCTCTCAACTTGCGAGAAGATCCTTCTTGCAGACGTCTGGCTGAAGCGACGCGTCTTCACAGCTGCTCTTTCTCACCCTCAACCAAGCCCGACGGCTGTCTGCCAAAGCTTAATCGGACATGGATACCAAGTCGTGGTTCAAGGACCTCACGCCTTACTTTGTCTACCTCCTCCTCGTCTCCACCATTGGCCCTCTACTATTCGGCTTCCATCTTGTATGTATTCCTGTCCACCGTGACTTGCTAGAATCCAACCTTCTGACTTGTCGCAGNGCAGAGTTCAACGTGCCCCAATCCGTCATAACATGCGAGAAGAAGTCCATCTCGTCAACGATTGCGACAAGTCTGCCGCAATGTATCCCTATGGACTCGACCCAGTTCGGCCTGGTCTCGTCCATCTTCACCCTGGGAGGTCTTCTAGGTGCCCTTAGCGCAGGTCCTCTCTCAGCTCGCTATGGCCGCTACAAGTCCATGCTCTTCAGCACCCTTCCCTTCATCGTCGGCCCCGTCTTCGAGGTCCTCGCTACCGACATCCCTCTCATGACCATTGGACGATTCATCAGCGGTCTCGGCGCCGGTGCCTCTGTTGTCATCGCACCCATCTTCATCTCGGAAGTTGCTCCTCCCAAGGAGAAGGGTTTCTTTGGCGCCTTCACCCAGATCATGATCAACATGGGCATCTTCATCGCACAGCTGCTTGGCCTCTTCTTGAGCAAAGGCTCTTTGTGGCGGATTATCTTGGCTGTTGGTGGAGCTATCGGTGTGGTTCAAGCCGTCGCTCTGTTCCTTGGTGGCCAAGAGAGTCCAAAATGGCTCGCCGACCATGGCATGGAACGACAAGCGAAACGCGTCTTGCGCAAGCTAAGAGGTCACGAAGCCAACATCGAGGACGAGGTCAAAGGTTGGGGAGTCGAGAGCTCGCAAGACATGGAAGACGAGGAAGACAGCCTCTTGTCCAACCAAGATCGCATGCCTTCCGATGGTATCGAAGATAGCGGACCCTCGTCCAACGCCTCCGCCGGCAAAAAGACCAAAGAAGCTTTCGAAGCTCTTGGTGCACTTGCTGTCCTCAAGAACCCCGACTCCCGCCCCGCCGTCATTGCAGTTGTTGTCATCATGATTGGTCAACAGCTCTGTGGTATCAACTCGATAGTCATGTATGGCGTCTCATTGCTTTCGAATCTGCTCTCGGCGAATGCTGCCCTGCTCAACGTTCTGGTCGCAGTCTTGAACATCGTCGTAACCACATCCTGTGCCCCCTTGACCGACAAGCTTGGCCGCAAGGTCTGTCTTCTTGCGAGCATCTTGGGCATGTGTGTTTCGTCCTTGCTTCTAGGCATTGGGATCATGAAGCATATTCCTATTCTTTCGGCCATAACCGTCTTGACCTTCGTCGCATCCTTTGGCTTAGGTCTAGGACCTGTACCTTTTATCCTTTCCTCGGAGCTTGTTGGACCTGGTGCCGTTGGTGCAACTCAGAGCTGGGCTCTAGCAGCCAACTGGATCGCCACCTTTGTGGTTGCCCAGTTTTTCCCTATTGTCAATGAGAAGCTTGGTGGAGGCAAGGTTTACTTCATCTTTGCCGCTTTTGCTGTATTGCTGGCGGCCTTCGTATTCTGGGCAGTGCCTGAGACAAAGGGCAAATCGGATGCTGACGAAGTTTGGGGTCGTAAGCCGAGCAGAACCGTCGACTGACCGTTTGTTGATGCGTTTTGATATCAAACAGATACCTTTAGATGACAGAGGCTTTATTCAAGATGCGTTGTGTGACTATTCCTGTAAGACAAATGCTCGAGTACATTGGATAACTACCTGTGTTCTGCAATGCAGAAGAGATGCATTCTGGCCCATAATCAATTGGCAGTTGACTCGAGCATTTCTAGCGCAATGACATGGACTCACCTGGTAACCTTTACAGGAAGCAAAAAACACCATGTGCGGCGATGACTAGGGCTGCCAGTTTGGGGTTCATGATGGACTTATCGCCTGTGTGGAATGGCCCTTCTAAAGTAGTCATCATCTCTATCGTTGCTTCCGTTTCTTGTGTGTTTCGCTCATGAAGATTCTTCCGCTACACATCTCTTACTGTGACATCTCAATCCTGCAGACAGAGCATCACATTTCTCGCCAGGTATTAGTACAGAATATTTCCACTGAACATCATTCGACAGCCAGAATTATGGATGCACAAGATACGGACACCCCTTCGCCGAGGAACAAAGAGAACAACCCCCTGTCGTTGCGACTCACCTCGAGGGGGAAAGCTACAAGTGGTGTTGTTCACGAGACTGCCAGTCCTCATCGACAACCTGAAACTTCTGGACCATCTTCCGGCAAGCACACAATCAGTCATGCCATCAAGAGTCTGCTACCTCACTCAAATCATCCATCGTTGGGCAAGAAGACGAAGGACCATCCGAGAAGTCCTCTGCCAACCTCCTTCCAAGGTCAACCTACTGGCACTACTTCCGCTCTCTCGTCAATGTCCGAGGATGAGCTCATGGAGGCGCATGTTTTCCATTCTAGAGAAGCAAATGCATATCTTGAAGAGCTAGTCAGAAGGAGACATCCCACACCATCTACCTGGGTCCCACCAGAGGATTGGGGAGTGTCTAAGACATCTAAAGAGCCTGTCCCAACGGATGCAGAGCAACCACGGCTCCGAGATGTGGGTTCACTCGCTTCTGTATACCAAGAGCCAACTGTCACCGGACCTTCTAAACAGGCCAGAAAAGATTCGGCGTTCACGCAACGTATGAGAAGTAGCGTCGTTTCCACAGGTTCTGGACCACCCCGAGGGCTATGAGAGGCGTACAAACAGCAAGGTTCGCAACAACTCAAATCGCTACAGACTGGGAATGATGCTAATGTAAAGGATCTCAGCAGAAATCATCGAAGTCGAGTGGTAGCAAAAGCAATCCCCAAGCCCGGAAATGCCAGAGGTCGTCTCGTATATGTGAGCAAGAAACAACGTGGTTTAATACTTGCACGAAAGGCCAAACCACGGGCACAAGACTCCTTTATGCTCAAGAACATTGTGCATAGCTCGGGCGATGAGGAGCAGGAGGCGACTGCAGAGTAGATCTCTGAGGACGATACTGAGCTCATCAGGATGCCTGCCAAGTCCATATCAATTGTCAAGATTGAAACATACCTGGAGGCCGAGACGAACCTGCTTCATCTCGACTTGAGGACTGCCATTCCTATGCAACCGGAGTCGTCAAAGATTGACATGAAAAGCTCCAATCAGAGACCACAGCCCGGTCCACACGAGGAAGCTCTCGAAGGGTCGAACACTAAGACACAGGAACCTGGGAAGACAACAAAGCCTCCAGAAGAGAGCAGTTCCTCTGGAGCAGAGAGGAGGTCGCAGGGTCAGGAAGCAACGAAAGAGGCCAGAGATGTAGAACTTCCATCGGAGGCTCATCCTTCACAGGATGCTTACCGTCCTCCGGCATACCTCGAGACATATATTCAAGGATTGGATGAGTTGCTAGACGTTTGCAAAGGTGCTAGGCTCGATAATGTCGACGTCTTCGATGCGTTCAAAGCCAAGTCCGACACCACAAGAACTTCAGCAACCGACGCTTCTGCTTCAGTGAGGGATCAGAAAGGACAATCTCATCTGGACACATCAACAACAGCGAACAAGCACGACGGTGAGTTGCGCGCCCACAGATTGTGCCAGATTGTAGGCTTTTTATTGACTCATTCAGGCTGCGAACGTTTGCACGGAGGAGTTAATTCATCGCAACCACCACCCGCATCGCGACTTGCACGAAAGACTCCGGCTCCAGCGCGCTTGGAGGAGCTGAACACTGGATCCGCTACCGACCTTAGATACCTCGATCTCGAAGGCACTTATTCCACCTACATCGGAGACAAAATTCGTGAGTCCCTTGCGAGATCTTCGCCGCCGTCACACTGATAGACTGATGGAAAACAGTGACTCGATCGAAAACCGAGCTCAGAACCGACGCCACAAAACCAAATCCATCAGCCAGAGAGACCTGCTCGTCGGAAAGCATGCTTCGTGAACCCAGAAACCAGGCGGGCGAAGGATTTCGTCGTGTGAGACTACGCAAGAAGGCTGATAAACCTGCCAATTTCTACAGAGCTCCAGAAATGCAAGACAGAGGTAGAACCCGGGAGCGCAACTCGAACCTGGAAGGCATCGGACTTGGTATCCTTGGTATCAGTGTTCCGGACGAGGAAAGCACTCCAGACAATGAAGGCACGGAGTGGCAGAGTGAAGAGATGACGGAAGACCCAAAGATCCAGAATTACTCGTCCAGACGTCCGCCTATGCTGGTCCGAAGCAGTACGCCGAGACCAAAGCAGCGGGTTGTTCGTCACCACAATGATCCAGTGATGGCGATCGAGCAGGTGCTCTTGGAAGGTGGAGCACTGCTTCGTACAGGACGTGAAGAGAGTGGTGAACTTATGCGAGTGAGTGCTGAACAATTGCGCATGGTCAGCGAGAAACGCAGACGCGAACGCGAAGGTACGTTTACTGCGGGCCGAGCCGCGATCGGTATGACGCACGAGCCATGTTATTCAAGGGACTCATGGCTGACTTGCA